GCCATCGGTCGGTCGGCCCCTGATATTGTTACTAATGCCTCTTTCAGCGTTTTGTTTTCCCATTTATCAATGTTTGTGCGGTGCTGAACATCCATCCCACCATGCCCGACCTCCTTCGTAGCGTCATCGGCCGCTTCGCCCGACACCAGATCGGAGCAATCACCGCCGAGGACTTGTACGATGAATTCTTCGCCAGCTGCTCTCCCGAAGACCCAAGCCTCGGGTCCTTCCACCGATTAGTGCGAAACTACCAACACGACTGGTGGAAGGATCGCTTCGACAAGTTGGGATTTCAGCTGCCGATGCTGAACCTCCATGAGGTCATGGAGATGGTCTGTTATCACTTTGAACAACTGGTGGGTCATTTTCTGTCCTCATCCCATGCTCCTACTGATCAAAATACTTAGCCGATGGGAACCATGTTGCTTGCCGGTCCCCAAATCACCGGTCAGGTCGATGGCGATGCCCTCTGCAACCAATTTTTGGCAGTCAAGACCCATCTCGAACGTCTCGGCACTGCCATGGCAGTCATGTTGGAGCACAAGACCCAGGCAGCATCGGCTGCCGCGGCCACCATGGCCGAGCTTGAGGCACCGATGGAGGAGGTGCATCAGCAGATGTTAAATACCCGTCGGCGATTCCCTGCCAAGTAGCTGTTCTTATTACTGTACATGTGGCATTATCGCCGATTTCCCCCAAAATACCTTAAATGTACATAGTGTTGATACTTGGGTTTCGGCGATTTAATACATGAGCCTTTCACCAAATATTCCTGCCCCTCTGCCCCTTCATGATACAAATTCCAACAGACTGGGCATTGCATACTACATGCATTGCTGCCGACTTTGTGCAGCTACTCTTTGCCTGCCATGTCGCCGGTCGGCATATGTCGGTCTTACCTCCTCTGGCACTAGATGTCCACACAATGATTGCATGTCGGCATCTCGCAATGGTTCTTGCCAGTGCATATGCAAACCCAAGTCCGTCATTCCTGCTGTTCAGTGTGCTATTTACTAACATATCACAGTTCAACTCAATTTTGACATGATTCGTTATCATGAAGCCCTCGACAGACGCTCGAGCGGCAGGATTGCAAAGCATGAAGAGGCTCTGCTTCAAAAATTCCCAAATCCGCCCGATCAATTGTTGGTGAAGCCCTCGGTCCTCGTGGATTCCGGCGGCCGTATTATCTTATGGTATCTTCCAGATGCGATCAGCCCTTGGATTCAAGCAAGTCCTTTCATTTTCTATTATCGGCCAGTATTCATGATGACCTTAGGCCGATATGGAAGAGGCCACCGCCGGCATGAGTTTCCTTCTGAAGAAAAGCATGTCCAGTGCGCAGCAAACAAATTGGAGGACATATGCCGGTCATTTCCATCTCGGCAACCAATCACTTGTCGGCGACCGACCGCCGGTAACCCCAGGATGCATCAATGTCGCTCCTTGCTGGTTCCACCAAGGCCGAGAGGTGTGACATGTGTCTTCTCATGAAATATCGGTGCTCATCCCGTACATTTAGCCGCATGGGTTACCAGCCGCCGGTGGTTTCGTTCCAGAAGTGTCGGCCACCCTGAAGGGGGTCCAAGGTCCGTCGGTCATCATATCCATGCAGCGTTCGGCTCTCCTGGCTTCGGCCGCCCTTCGCTGTGATGCATCCGGAGTTGTATTGGGCTTCGGTCATTACCCATATCAATCTAGGTAGATGGGCCATGGAGAACTCCCTCGGCGACATATACACTTGTTTGCAACTTTGGGCCTCGGTCTTCAACTGTGCATCGGTCATATGTAACCGACAATGCCCTCCTCACCGAGATCCGAGATCGGCGCCAGAGGGGTTCGACCTCATGACCAGCGTCGGCAATTATTCAGATGGCCTCATGACCCTGTCCAACCTTGGTATTCAGCTGCGATATGACCCTGGTGCCATGGTCGCCTGCTCCGGACACATTGTTAGGCACGGAGTTACTTGTATCGGTGATCGTATCGTTTGGGCATGGTTCATGCGAGATAGCCTTCATAATTTCGTGGGGACCCCTCGGCCAGAGTACATGAAATACACCAATGTAGATACGGATGCATCGGCTTCACCTTAGACATCGGTCTCTTGCTATATGCTTCTAGAATATAATTACATGTGGCCATTTAGAATGATTATCCACAATTGAAGAGCTGAAATCAACATTACCGAACACTCGCCGACCGAGCGCCATCTTTGCCGACTTGTAACCGACCGAGAGCATCGGCCCACCGCTTCACATGCACAGCACCCCTCAGGTAGCGGTTTATATAGGCCCACACGATAGCATCAAGCACTTGTTAGGATCGGCCCACCTGATGGAATCGCAGAATCAATACCATCGGCCGACTTGATGGAATCGCAGAACACATGTTATCGGCCCACTCGATAGCATCAGGCTTTTATTTTCGTCGGCCGAGTCGACGGTAGTTTGTTCCATCGGCCGACCTGAGTATTTCAGGGATTCATATTTATCGGCCCACTTGATCGCATCGGCCCACTCGATGACATCGGCCCACTCGATGACATCGGCCCACCTGATCCCATCAGGGATGCAGTCCATCGGCCGACCCGATAGCATCAGTGCTATCGGCCGACCCGACTGCATCACACATTTTCATCGGCCCATCTGATAGCATCGGGCATTCATTTCAATCGGCCCACCTGATCCCATCAGGGATTCAGTCCATCGGCTGACCCGATAGCATCAGTGCCATCGGCCGACCCGACTGCATCAGGAATTCATATCCATCGGCCCACCTGATAGCATCAGCCAACACATTCTATCGGCCCATCTGATAGCATCGGGCATTCAGTCCATTGGCCATCCCGACTGCATCAGGAATTCATATCCATCGGCCCACCTGATTGCATCAGCCAACACATTCTATCGGCCCATCTGATATCCTCGGGCATTCATTTCAATCGGCCGATTTGATTCAATAGTATCGGTTCCATCGGCTCACTTGATTGCATCAGACAACAGTATGTCGGCCGACCTGATCGCATCGGGCATTCATGTCAATCGGCCCACATGATAGCATCAGACATTCATTTTCATCGGTACACCCCGACAATAGCTTCACACCAATCATCGGCCGACCCGTACTCTCGGCCACTATATTCAACATGGGCCCAGCTGATAACATCAGACACCACCCCATTTTCCCCTGGCTATCGGCCGACATGCTTACATCGAATATCACTATCTATGGGCCGAGCTGTAAATATCGACTCTTATTGAGCCTGCCGGCCGAGCGTTAGACACGGGTGCCTCTTTTCGATCGGCCGACGTCCGCTGGCCTGTGTGGAACAGGGATATTTCAACCTCGGCTGCCTGTTTAACACAGGGTATGTGACTGAATGGGCTCACATAACATCAATAATTATGATATACAGGCGCTGCAATATGAATAAACTGGACAATTATGATATACTGGCGTCACTACATTTATCTAATAAATGGTTTCTGATTGTTATTTACTGTAGTGTCGTTAATTTGAAGAACAATTGCCCTTTCAATATGGTGCACCAATGAATATTACAATAATGTGATTGGTATAGTAACATTATAGAAATACAAACTGTGAGTGTTATCTAACAACAAAGCAATGGAATGAGAAAATAATATAACCAGTGGAAATGTAAGTGATTTTGGTGGTAGTTCGAACCTAACCGAGGCAGCTAACCGAAACCGCGAGCCACCAAGAGAATACGTTTTCAGCCTAAGCAGGAGCAGCTAACCTGAGACAACGAGCCACCGAGAGAATATGTTTTCATCCTAAGCAGGAGCACTAACCCGAGACAACGAGCCACCGAGAAATCCTAACCAGGGGCACTAACCCGAGACAACAAGCCAACAAGCAAATAAGCTATATCATTCATTTTCCGCTTTGTTTGATACAAAAATGAGAGCTTTACATGGGGGAACACCAGTTAGATCTCATTTGGGCATCCCGTGCTTTTGGTATGTTTTTTGGGTATCCTGAATGGACATTTTTCATCTTCGGTCAAAAGGGTCCAGAGATATATCATTGAGATAATTGCCATGTATCCTATATTCTACCCCGTGTAAAGCAAAAATGACAGTTTTACATGGGGGAACACCAGTTAGATCTCATTTGGGCATTCCGTGCTTTTGGTATGCTTTATGGGTATCCTGAACAGACATTTTTCATCTTTGGTCGAGGGGATCCGGAGATATATCATTGAGATAATTGCCATGTATCCTATATCCTAGCCCGTTTAATGCAAAAATGAGGGTTTTACATGGGGGAACACCAGTTAGATCTCATTTGGGCATTCCGTGCTTTTGGTATGCTTTATGGGTATCCTGAACGGACATTTTTCATCTTTGGTCGAGGGGATCCGGAGATATATCATTGAGATAATTGCCATGTATCCTATATTCTACCCCGTGTGAAGCAAAAATGACAGTTTTACATGGGGGAACACCAGTTAGATCTCATTTGGGCATTCCGTGCTTTTGGTATGCTTTATGGGTATCCTGAACGGACATTTTTCATCTTTGGTCGAGGGGATCCGGAGATATATCATTGAGATAATTGCCATGTATCCTATATCCTAGCCCGTTTAATGCAAAAATGAGGGTTTTACATGGGGGAACACCAGTTAGATCTCATTTGGGCATTCCGTGCTTTTGGTATGCTTTATGGGTATCCTGAACGGACATTTTTCATCTTTGGTCGAGGGGATCCGGAGATATATCATTGAGATAATTGCCATGTATCCTATATCCTAGCCCGTTTAATGCAAAAATGACAGTTTTACATGGGGGAACACCAGTTAGATCTCATTTGGGCATTCCGTGCTTTTGGTATGTTTTATGGGTATCCTGAATGGTCATTTTTCATCTTTGGTCGAAAGGATCCAGAGATATATCATTGAGATAATTGCCACATAGTCAACAAATCTACTGATTTGAAGCAAAAATGACAGTTTTACATGGGGGAACACCAGTTATATCTCATTTGGGCATTCCGTGCTTTTGGTATGTTTTTTGGGTATCCTGAATGGACATTTTTCATCTTTGGTCGAAAGGATCTGGAGATATATCATTGAGATAATTGCCATGTATTCTATATTCTACCCCATTTAAAGCAAAAATGACAGTTTTACATGGGGGAACACCAGTAGTATCTCATTTGGGCATTCCGTGCTTTTGGTATGTTTTTTGGGTATCCTGAACGGACACTTTTCATCTTTGGTCGAGGGGATCTGGAGATATATCATTGAGATAACTACCACATAGTTCATTTTTTTGAGAAATCGGGAGTTTTACATGGGAGAACATATGTTAAATATCATGGAGAGTCATGGGGAGTTGGATATGGTATTGGGACATGTCCAACAGACAACTTCCTATGCTTATGTAATACAAAAATAGGGGCACACCATTATTTGAGGAATTATCTAGGATTTAATGGTCATGGCAAACTATCCGCACGGGGCCTTATATCCAAAAAGGGCAATTCGGCATTTTTGGATTATGTAAGCTACTTACAAATCAGATTTTTTGAGATACCTATGGTCGAAATTTTTTGATATATCATTGAGCATTCAGGATTTTGATTCTGAGAATACTTAGCATTTTGACTGGCTCATTAGGATAAGGTCTGCTTAGTAATCAACAAAGTGAAGGATGATATATCGGGGGAAGAGGGCATAGATCATGACCCGTGACTCAGATTTTGAAAACATGGCCGGGAATCATGTGTAAACATAGAGAGTTTCAAACGTACGCGGATGTGAGATCCAGGAGATAGTCCAGTAGATAGGAATGCTAGGCGCCAACCTCATCTGTTTCCAAACCTACAGCTACACCCGCCACGGACGGAATGAACACGACCTCCATGGAGTTCGTGATCGCGCAAGAGCGCACGAAGAGCTCTTCCTTCGTTTTGAGCGAGTTTATGGGTATCAGTCAGCATATGGCTGATGCGCTGCAAGTGAATCCTTGGGATCTTGGAGTGCGTAGTGTCTGTTCATTTCGAAAATCTTCGGATGATTGACAGATGTGTTGTGAGCGGGATGTAGCGGCTGCCATGAACCGCGGGTTGGTGATTTCGGAGGAGGAGAAAGCGTCAAGGCACGCGGCGTTGCACAAGGTCGTAACGACTCACACCTCGCACACGTGGGCTGCGGTCCATGTACGTGTTGAGATACTGTCGTGGAATATGTGATAAGAACGTTGATGTGCTTGTGCCTTAGCGTTTCTATAGACCAATAGTTATTGTTTTCATTTCGTCGATGCTGGGAGTTTGGCGCACAGGATGTACAAGGGGCTTCGCGGCTTATATTCAGATGTAAATACTTTCGAGTCGTGTGTGCTGCTTGTCACGATTTATGTGTAGCTAGGAGTTCTAATCAATTATACATTATACTTACAAGTGATTCCCTTTCAGTCGGCACTATGCAGTATGCGGCGAGCGCAAGCTAGTATCTATAGGACGCCTAAGTCTACTGTAAATGCTCGGCCATGTTGGCAGTGGCCAGACAAGCAGGCTGTCACGATTGTAGTTCTTGCACCTTCTATGCAATTCAGCTAAGCTATATCTCACTTTTAAAAAAATGTCACAGTGGATTATAATTCTACTAGATTTCTCCGGTCATTTTACCTATGTGTTACACCATAGTAAATTTATCTAAGGTTAAAAAATGACGTGCAAGCAGGCTGTCACAATTGTAGTTCTTGCACCTTCTATACAATTCAGATAAGATATATCTCACTGTTTAAAAAATGTCACAGTGGATTATAATTCTACTAGACATGTGATGACCTGCAGCCATGCAGTTATCTCACTGTTGTTTGCTTACAAGATGCACGCCAAGATGGTATTTCTCTGGCATAGTCTTATCTCATTTTACCTATGTGTTACACCATAATAAATTTATCTAAGGTTAAAAAATGACGTGTCATAATGAGTTTTGGTTACCAATCCTGTCTGGTCATATCAATTTCGGGTTGATTTCCTGATGACATGGGTCTTGCAGAATGTAGTTATCAATAAGACTGCCGCTGCGGATGGCCCGGGAAGCTGCGTGTAGGAGGCTCTAGTTGATGTTCCCCGGCAGCAGAATGTAACATGACTTGGTTAAGATTGAAGTGACCTCATCGTGGACTGTATATGTAGTGAGATAGGTGAGACATTCGTTTTCGTCAGTGCATGCGGAGCCTCATTCGAATGTCTCACAATTTCTCTCTCGCATATATTAGGCCGTTGTCGACTGAACCTTCTCTACTTCGTTAAGACCTTCAACCTTTGTAAATTTCGGTGGGACGGGTCACGGCACTGAATCACAAAGTCAACCTGATAGGCACGAGGATGGCTAGACCAAGTATTCTCAAACCTCTCTCGGCGAATTTGGCCGCTTTGGCATCAGTGCCAGCATCCACTATAACATTGGTCATGACGTTGTGAGCTTGAAGATTGTAAAGTGGGATGATCATGCGACGTCCTGAGCTCGTAGTTGACAACGAAGTAAATGATGATATAGAGGTTGCAGAGGTGTAAGCTGAAGCCGTAGACGTTTCTGACTGGCCAGAAGGCTTTCTTCGAAGATCAGTGGAGTCAGAGGTGGAGTCAGTTGTGTCTGGGGCTGATTGGTCGAGGGCCTGGACAGTCGCATGAGGTCGATCATGTCGAGATTGAGGGGGTACAAGTTGAACCTGGAGATTGAGCGGATGGTTTGATTTACTCGGTGGAGGTCGTACGACGATGAATGTCTATAGATGCATTGTTAAGCCCCTCAAAGCTGACCAGAATAGCATGAGACGCGCCTCATTTACAAGTTTCTCCCTCTTGTCTTTTTCTTCGACTTGGGGTCACCAGCAGTGTAGTCTACCGGCTGAGAATTGACGTCTGGTTCGGGAGTGTCTTGGTTTGGTGTAGAAATTGAATGGTAAGAATGTTGCTCCTGGTTTGGTTTGGTTGGAGAACAGATGGTAGAAAGGACGAGAAACTGGAAGTATATACCTCGCGGTGGCTTATCCATCCCTCGATGTTCAGGGACCGACGCAGGCACAAGGGATGCGGTGATGTCATGTCCATCTGAGGTGTTCGGTAGAACCCGTCTTTGGTCTGAGATGGCTTCCTGCAAGAGCGCAGCATCGGTGGCCGAAATCGCATAATCGCCAGGCCCGCATACACGAGGGCATATGATTTCAAACGGCTGCCCGCGTTTGGCACCAATGACTCGAAAATTATGGATGTTTCGTTTGCGAACACTCCAATCTCGAAGGCCAGAAGCCTCGCTCCACCCCCCACTGCTCCCCTCCCTGCACTCCCACCGCCATCTCCATCTGCAAAATACACGCATACTCTCGCACCTCCTGCGCTCATCATACCTGTTCCTCATCAACCCCTTATGAATTATTTCGTGTCCACCCCTGGGCTACTCAGTCCTGATTCTGTGATGCAATTCACATCCAATATGTCGCCTGGTATCTCCTCTAGCCCTGCTCATACGTGTTATTTTGGAAGCACTATCGATGAAGAGATGAAAACTGAACGCGCTGCAATGAGCGCCGCTTGTTTGGACTTTGCTGCGCCTGATGTGCGTTGATCGCTGACTCCAACAGTGTGTGCTGTGGTGGTTGTCAATGGGTGACCGGTCATGACATGGACATGCAGTGAGAAAGAAAAAGTCGCGCGAGGTCCGATGCTTTATATAGGTGCACTGCCGAGCTGAGAGAGCTTGTTCTTGTTCACCGGTTCACTGATGCTGACCAGATGAAGGGTTGGGCGCTTCAAAATATTCACAGCCAAACAGTGTCATACTTGTCACGACTTGAAGGATACTTGGTGCACAACCCGAACTTCCAGTCGACTCGACTCTGAATCTGTAAAGACCGACCTTAACAGCATTGTATATCCTGCTTCTGTTGTTCATTCATAGAATCCTGATAAAACACCTGTTTGTGAGTAATGACATAGGCTTTAGCGGACAAATTTGACATGGCAATCCTCGAGCAGTAGCAATGATGCTCGCCCATATGACATGGCCATCAAAAGGTAAAAGGAGGTCTCCGACCACCGCTGGGACCAAAACGACGTCAGAAATGCCTTTGCCAACCGCTGCCAGTGGTACCAAAACTACGTCAAAGTCATCTTTTCCCGACGCTGGGACGGAAAATACGTTGGCGATAATGCCCCTCCAAAAGTTTGAAGGACACACCGGATCTATCTCCGGTGTCATACACCTGCCCGACGGCCAGCGGATCATTACCTGTTCATGGGACGGTTCGCTGCGAGTATGGAACTTGAAGAGCGGAAGACAAATCGGGGATGAATGGCGGGATGGAGAAAGCGAAGTGCGCACCATAGCGTTGTCTCCGGACGGGAAGAGAGTGGTGAGCGGGAGCGAAGATGGTGCGGTGAGATTGTGGGACATTGGCACAGGCAAGGTCATCGCCAAATGGACTGGCCACAGAGAGCATGTGAATTCTGTCTGCTGGAGTCGAGATGGCGAACGAGTGGTGAGCGGGTGCTATGATGGAACTGTAAGTCAGTGGGACGTGAAGAATGGAGAACCTATCATCGCACCAATCAAGACCAGGCACAAACACTTGTATGCAGTCGTCTATTCGCCAGATACGACGACGATTGCGACTGCTGGCTATGATGAAGTGAAAATCTGGGATGCGATGACAGGCAATCAGGTCACGACTCTCAAAGGACACGCAAGTACAGTGGTTTGCCTGGCTTGGACCACAGACGGAAAAATTCTTATATCTGGGTCAACCGATCGCTCGGTTAGGACATGGAATACCGAAACCTGGGAGCAGATCACCGTTCTTAAGCCAGTACAGTTTACACACACATCCTCCCTCTGGGCCATTGCAATCTCTCCGAATGGCTGCATCCTCGCAAGTGCTTCATCTGACTGTACAACGCGATTGTGGAATCTCAACAACGGCCAGCCCATCAGTCCACCCCTCAAGCATGCAAACACAGTGACCTGTATGTCGTTTTCAGCAGATGGAAAACAACTGGCTACTGGCTGCTATGACTACGATGCGTACACATGGGATGTTTCTGCGATTGTTGGAGAAAATTACAATAACAACAACCTTCTGTTGGATCTAACTGTGAGTTTTTGATGTCTTCATAAAAGCATTGTTGTACAAATCTATGCATTGTAGACTGATGCTACACGACGTCCGGTCCAGCGACCTGACTCGGAGGAAACTTCCCATCGCCGGATACCCCCAGGTTTCTTCGATCCGTTGCCCAATGTACGTGATGTATATGCATCTATCTCACATCACAATGACCGTGCATTTTAGGCTGATGGTCATCGAATTCAACAGGCCGAGGAGGTCCGCCCCAGACCGCTCGTAGATTTTTTTGACCACTCCAGGGATCGTGTTCGTGTGCGTGCCCTGCAATATGGACCTGCAATCGAAGCGCCAGTTTCCTTGGATGGGCATACCACATCAGCTCCACCTTCTTTTATGCGCCACTTCTCGTCCCTCTTCCACCGCTCTCAGCCTGATCCTGATGTCACACTAAACCTCTCACCACGCCCATGGTTAGGGTTTTTCTCTCGCCGTGCCCCTAGTCCTCGTACTGTTGGTCAGCGCACATCGGTTTGTTCTCTTCTACTTTCTTCTTTCATGTACTCATTTGTTCCATAGCGTAGATATGTCGCTCCTGTTCCGAATATCAGACGTACTTCGCAAGGACAGCGACGACGAGACCAGAACCAAGGCGGAACATTATTATTGCCGACATCGCATTCGCAGCCAGCGGGTGCCACCACATCGGCATTGGCACCTCCGCCTCCGTCTCCGCGTCCACGCCCTCTTTCCGTCACCAATCCCGCAGTCACACCATCTGCACAACAGATTGGATACTGGACTCTTTTTTTGCGTCGTATTTGTTGTTTTGACTGTTGTTGTATTTGCCGCGGGTCCAGTGAATCTTCTGATGATCGTCCTTGACAAAGGAGCACTGTCGTTCACGCTACTCACCTTTCCCTTGCTTGCGCCTGCCCCTCATTGTACTCGCATTTGGATGCATTAATATCACACCATCAAATGCTTTTGCGCTACAGTCCCATCAGTCTCATGTTTGTCTAACCACAACAGGATGTCCATCACCAAGTTGTGTGTTCTTCGCATTGCCCAGTAGCCTATATATACCACTCTGATACTACTTACATATATTCGAATGCAAGCTAGTATTATTTATGGAGATGCTCATGGTCAGATAATGAGGCGTGACACCTACCTTATGACGGACGGTCCAACGAAGCGACTATAAGTCTGGGTAGTCTCCGTAGAAGGCAGTCGCGCACGGACCTTTCAGGGCGAGTCACAATAAACGAACGGGAAACTCCCAAGTGTCCATTCCAAGATAATACTTACGTGTTGCTATCAGAGGGTTATGTATGTAGAGCAATATGTGATGATCGTTGTGTGTACTCTGAAGCAGACAGCTGCTACGTCCTGGATATTCCTGAAATCCACAAGGAATTGGGTATCGTATAAAACGAGCAAAGCACCATATACAACTGTACTACATTAAACAGGCATGAGGGCTGGTGCCTCCGATCTAGAACGCAACACCTGTTCTGTGATCCAGAAAATCAGGTGAGATACATGAATATTGTTGGCAGCCAGTACCGGCCACGTAGCCAAGATAATTATGGCGGTCCAGATTGGAGAGACGATCGAGACGGTGACAACGTCGGAAGCGCGGAAAATCACGATGGACAACGCTGTAGCAAAGAATGCCATTCTGTCAAAGAATAAGTCGCCACCTCATGTTGTGCAACCAGAAACGCACCCCCAAATCAGAAGAGCATACGGCAGACTGAGCATGAGTGCAAGGCTCTCGAGGCCGAGCATAGAATCCGACATTTCTAACATGAACGAGGCCTAGTGGGCGTAAAGAATGTAGTCAGATGAACGACGCAAAGGAAACGTACCACGCCTTTAGCGGAGTCCCGCCGGCTGTCATTGACTTGTCCGGCCAGGACTAGTGAGACCACTAACGAGCCCAATGCACAGAGGGAAGACATATATGATACAAGTATTGCGGGCGTTTGAGTCTGGACGGATGGAACCGCCAGAAAACTGATATCAACGGCAAGCATCACAGTAGACTGAGGTGGACGTCGATTGCATTGACAATATAAAGCAAACAACAACTCACGAATATCGTGTATCCATTCCATTCACTATTAAGCCTGTTGATGAAGTTTTTCCAACGCCGTCGAACGATGGTGTTATCGACCCATATTTTGTGAAGGGCTTTGCTATGAGCATCAGGGGATCCAAACAGAATGATGTTCATGATACGAAAAAGGACGGTTTTGGGGCGGGCGATGGAATCGCCGTACAACGACTTGTCTGCATTAAGTCGGGCACCTGGCTGTCCACAGAAGTTTACAAACTTATCGCTGCCTGAAAAGCAGTTAGCCGAAGGGCTGCACTCGCAATTAGATTGAGCTCACAGAAATCTCCCATAAATCGAGCTGAAGTCATTAGAAAATGTATCAGAAGCAATTAACTGAGTTTCGGTGCTTAGACTTACCGACGATCCATACAGAATGCTCATGCTCCTTGTTAACACTGCCTGAAAAGACGATCAACGATAACCTCCAAGATCAGGAAACGATTCACTCATGAGAGGTTCCATAAGGCCAAGCATATTTGAAACCTCGTCTGAAGCAAAAGGCGATAGGCATGTTTCGGAAGTGATATTGTCTATCACGAGTCATTTCGATATATCAAGACGATTATTAGTCTTTACCCACCTGCCTGAGTAAAGATAACAATTTCCTTCAGTCTCACAACGACGTCTACCGGAAGGAAGCGTTTGTTTGGAAACAATTCAATATGTCCCCTGTCGGGATAATAAAGTGTGTAGCAAGGAGGTAAAAAGGACTGCAAAAAAGTATCAGCGCATTTACTTAGGTTAGTTAAGGGAACTTGCACACTTCTGAGGCCATACGAACCAGTACTGTGATTCTAGTGCATACCCTGGGAGTAACACAATGATAGAAGCTCGAATGAATATCTACCGGAATTAACTCACGGATGTGGGTGTTGCGTTTTACTCCTCGAACATTATCCAGAATAATTGTGTGGGGTTCCAGCCAGAAAATGACACGTCTGTCATGGTCAGCAAAGTAATAGCCCCATTTTTCTTTCCCATCCACCTCCACGCGCTCCAATGTTAGCTCGACAGACGGATGAAAGGTGGCTGCCTTGCGCGCTTCCTCGTACGCCTGATCAGCAACCCTACCCATTTTGACTGCAGTTCCAGGGTCCCGAACATCGACATCAGTGAAAACTCTCTGGAAGGAGATTGAGTAAAGCAATGCAGGAGCGGTCATAGACATACACCATTGGAGTGATAGAAAAACAAAGCGCCTTCGGGGTGTGTGAGCGGCTCCCATCCCGACACCGGAGCAAGCTCCCTGACGATCTTTTTCAATCTCATTGAGCGCTCTGCCACAAGCATGCTTACTCTGAACAGTCCAAAGGACCTTTCTGAACCTCGAAATCTTGGTTGTAATCTTGGCTGTCGTTATGGATTACAACGGCATTAGAAAGACACCAGCAGATATAATTTACATACAATTGATTCCTCTCGTATCGCTTTATTTGTCCAGGCATAATGGGAGTAGTGATATCAAAGAACCGTCCTGGCATGGCGACAGCCACTGTGGTATGAATGCTGGGCATGGAGATATAGCTTGGAGCCAATGGCACAGAAGAGGTCTGGGGAGACCGGGTATTGGAAGCCACGCTGTTCAACCCTTCGCTTTGTGATTCTGAAGGTGCTTCAAGCAACGGCACTGCGAGGGTCTCGTGAGTCTTCTTCTCTTGGACGGTTGGCTGAGAGTTGAGCGCCAAGCCCGGTTCTCGCAAAACTCTGCCTTTTCTACCAATCGCGACCTCATAGTGTTGGATCAATCGCAGAAGGAAAGAGAGGAGACTTGTATATGACCGAAATGCGGTTGCCCTGATAGTGAGCCTCAACCAAGAGATGAACACGTGAATGCGATATCCTCCTGGCATGATGATTTGAGAACGAAGGTGCCCAAGTACGCCTTGAACCTTCTGACAACTGTCACACTACTTGGACACGCTAAATCCGACCCAACCATGACATAATTAGTTTGAACATGTCAACAAGAAATTCATCAGCACACGTTAATCACACGTATAGTAAATGACATAGTTCATCTGGTTGAAATATGTACCCCGTAACATACTTGATGTAACACGAGTAACGGCACATATCAGTAATCCAAAGCAAAGACCTGTCCTGACGGAAGACTCGCACAAAGCCGACAGGATACCTCGTCGAATGCGAGGCACTGGCAATCTTGTGGATTGAATGGCAGACCAGAGAATGAAGGCATCAAAGTCGATGTGGTTGCAGGAAACACCTGTTCGCGCACGGTGCGCGCAGCGGAGAACTTCTGCAACGTACAGCCCTCGACATCTAGGCACCTCGCTATCCATACTGCACGGCATCCACTGCTACCAATCCTGATTTGCTGGTTGGCGAACGATGGCTTGTAGGACGCATAGGTCGGAGAAAACGATGGCCCTGAGGCCGTGATATCGTGAAATGCGACACGCAGCACGAACATCTGGGTTTCCGGTGCATCATCATAACCGAAGAATGGAAAACCAGCAAGAGCGAAGGAAGATTGGAGTGAACTGCTGTCAGCAGGTCCGTCCGATGGCAGTAAACTCGTCGTCGAGCCCACATACTGAATCAGGTGCCATGTTAGCTTCGGCGTCCCGATTTCGCACCGGGAATCTTCAACATTTGACGATTCTAAGACTGATCTGGGAAGGTCGTACAACGTTAATTCTCGAGATTGACCGGATCCGACAAACACAAAATGCTGGGGGAAGAGAAAATACACCGAAGATGCATGAAGCTGACAGCGGTCGTCAGTGATTGCACAAGGAAGTACGCCGAACTAAACCCACCCAACCGAGCCCAGTGATGACAACTCGAACGCGCGTAGAGGTGTTGAAACATAATACTTGCGCCTCTCTTCCCATCACATTGTCGAATAGAACAGTTACTACATCTCCGCATATTTTGACCTCCAGTAGAAGCCCGAAATCGACCAATTCTCGGGGTTGCGTTTCTAGTACGACACTCACGGGCGCTGGCGAAGGCAAGCTCTCGGGCGCATGATTCGAGACTTTGTAGACCCTGACCGAACTGCGTGAACTTGATATTCAGAAGGCAGTAAAAGAAATAAGTGTCAAACTTACTCGTAACCACTATCAATTCTCGAACCAACAGCAATCGTGATTTCCTTGCGAACCCGATCATGAAAAGCATGATGGGATGTAATGCAACCATGGAATTTCGTTTGAAACGTGATCGCAACACGATTGATATCATGCAATGACCAGAGGCTCACGACCGTTGTCCGCGAGCTCTGTTCAACTTGAAATGTTATCAACCACTTTCCGCCTGGAAGTATTTGCAGAGCTTCCACAAATGCACCGCACCGGGAAATGATACATGACGCTTTTCGTGGATAAAGGTTGGGATCTCTCCACTTTCTATCTAATTTCAAGGCGTTGATGACTGCAATACGAAGCTCGTTGCTCGAGAGCGAAGCTACGATGCCATCCCCTGGGAGATCCAACGGCAAGTCAAAGGATATGACTGATCTGCGCCAGACATAGTCTGCAGATCCTATAGCATGCAAATTACGACAAGTCTGCGTGTTTCGCCGTGCGTGGCATTGTGTTCAACGTTTCTGCCGCTAGACTCACAGAGCATATGACTCACCTGTCTCAAAGAGAGAATGTCCTCGACAGGCAGACATAAGAAAGTCACGATTAGTACGTCCTGAGGGAGATCAGTTATCAACAGACCCATGATAATGTGCTTGATGGTTTCTTCCTCGCGGCCATGCTGTGAATTCTTGAGAGCGCTAGTAATCTGGAAGTTCGTACACAAGCGCAAATACGATCAATCATTCATAGCATAGCTCGTGACCAGTTGCCTTACACCACGATCGCGATGATTAAAAGTTCGAACGTTCGAACGTTCTACGCGCGCGGCTGCCAACGTTCTCATTCAGCCAGATATCACTTGTTCGGTAAGACAAAATGGCGTGATTTTCTGCAGCTTCCATTACACACGACTCAAATTTTAAGACCGATGGCTTCTTATGCCCTGCCACAACGCCAATGCTGCGCCATCAAATGATGGCATCCGAGCTGCTGATTCCACAAGCTCGTTCATTGAACCGACTCAGCGGAATGACCAATTGTTCAGCGGGCCTGTTCATGGTTACTACATCCCCCGATTCAAATCAGCGACATACTTGGTCCGATCAGGAGCGATCTTTACACAGCGGCAGCCTGTGGAGCTCGGTCCTGTACTGTTGTCACATCATTGATTGAAAAATCGCACTATACACACTAATCCAACCCACAGGATGGCTCAAAGCACGCACCTTGCAACCCTGACAAAGCCATAGGCTGAAGCTTAACCCTCATCACACGAACTACAATTGGTAATACAGTGAGTGGGAGATTAGGGCGTGCGTGATGCGCGACGTCGACAAAGCACAGACTTGTTGACTCAATGCGGACTGATCGACTCGAGACATACTAGTTGGATTGATACAGATAGCACGAAATGATGAACGACGATGAACCGCATGGACGCAAAAGAAAGAAAAAAGAAAGAAAAGAGCACGAAAACAACAGTTGCAGACAGCGAGATGAGCATGAGATGAAAACATATGATTGGAGTGTGGGGTAATCCGATTCGATGATTTGCATTAGATGATAGAAAGAGATTTGAGATTTGAGATTCGACTGAACGATAATCAATAGCGAGAGTCACCGTAGATCCAAGACGAGGAATAACAAGACAGAGAACCAGGACGCCAGTCAAGGAAGCGCAAGCCACGTGAACGCGAAGGAAAATATCTTGCATTCATCTTCTCGTCGCCTGGAGCATTCACGTATTTTTTCCGCTTCTCTCGGCCTCGGCTGTAATGGACATGTGCTTACTCCCCAACTTCCATGTCTTCCTCCTTCATGCCAGCCGAGGATGCACTGCGGTGATCAACAGCAGCATCAGCTGCTTCTCTCAACTCCGCGTCTACATCCGCATCACCTTCGCCGTCTGCGTCTGGATCTGTGTTGGGGTCGGAGTGGGGAGAAGGAAGGTGTTGCGCTGGGAGGTGTGTGTCAACTAGGGGGTGATAGAATGGAGGATGTTTCACCCACCAGAGGACACCGCACCGCGTCGTCTGCGTCCAGGATCTTCATCATCAGTCGTCTGTAGGGTGGCGATTGCAGGCGGGGAGGGAGGGTCACGGTTCCGATCTCTCTCTCTGTCCTTTGCAGACACGCCGACACGTTTCTTCTCCTGCAAAATCACAGAAGGCGCCGAGAAAGACGCTGAGCTTGGAAAGACTTGCGACTGCGTCTGTCTCTGCGTCCCAGAAATCACACCAACAGGAATGGTATCCGTACGGTGCAATCGAGCTGCACTGGCGTTGCTACTGCCACCCACATTTGCATCGGTCGTACCCCGCCGTTCTACGCGCTTCATTTTTTTTCTGCAGCGGTCGCATACGGTACCGGGCCCTTCTGGCCCAGGTCCCCATTTTTCTACGCACTTGTTGTCTTTGTAGCGCCCTGGTAAACCACATTGGCGGCAGATGCGCTGGCCAATTGCGTTGGTTGGGGGGTAAGGGATGGTGGGAGGAATAGCGGGTGGAGGTGCTGGTGCGATGGCAGGGACGATGGCGTTAGGAGGTGTTAGTGGGGAGCCATTGTGAGCTGGCGCTACGTCATCAACTCGAGATCCGTTCATTAAAAAAGGCACGCACTGATATTTGCGCTTGACCCTGGTTTCCCCTTCTTTTGGGGGGCGCCCGTGACGGGAGGGGCAAAAATGTGGGTTTGATAGGTCCTGAGCTCGCCAGGTTGATCCAATGGACCTACTGGGATACCCCTGGACTGGTGTGCAGCCAACACGGCACGGGGAGACTGTGGCTGTTGGTCGCGGGCATTGAGAGCGCTCCTTTCATCAGTGGCAGCGTCAAGGAGGAGGTCCTCGATGTCCTGTGAAGTAGCACGGACACTAGATCGACTGCTGGACCGGGAGTGAGATTTATGAGTAGGGCGAATGCTAAGGTGATGGTTATGGTGTTGAATTTGAGGAAGTTGTTGGGGGAGGGGGTCGATATCAGGAATGCGACCGCGTGACATTGTAGCCTGGAGAATGTGAGGAGATAAAAAGGTAGTATGAGAGGGAACTTACGGAGAGTGGAGGCCTGTGGTCATATTCGCCACGGTCATTGCGAGGTCGTTTGGAAGGTGGCTGGAGGGGTGCAATGAGATAAGATGTGTCATCGAAGCTGCCTGAGCGAGGACGGACACCACGAGTGGAGGGGGGAGCGGGGAGAGCTGGAGGGAGAGCACCAGAACTGAGGGATGATGAAGTGTAGCGATGGTGAGATCGATGGTATGGACGTGATGGGGGTTCTACAGTGATACTAGGATTCGCAGAGTAGGGGCTGTGATCGTGCTGGATTTGATTTGGGATGGGTGTCAAGACGAGATGGCCACCTGCATCTCTAAGGATACGCTGGAAACCAGCACGTGCATCGGCAGCGCGGGATTCGATTGCGGCGAGATATTTGCTGAGTTCGTCGTAAGATTCGAGAACAACGCGCCTGCGTGCTTCTGCCTCGTCTCTCTGTCTATCGGCATGGGCTACACGTGCCTCTGCTTCTTCGATGACACGACGAGCCTCGCCTGAGAGGGGAGCACCGTTGACGGTTGCAGCCTGAAATTCAGCTAGTAGACGCTCTAACTTTTCGAGGCGTTTCTTGGTGTTGCCTAGTTCTTTTGTGAGTCTGTCATTGTCGCAGTAACTGTTATGGAGTAGATGGGCGAGCTGAGCGTTGGAATGATTATTAATTATTCCATTTGGTGAAGGTAGAGGAGGGGAGGTCATATGGTTGTTGGTGGATGGAGGTTCTGCAGACATGGATGGTATCGCGCTAGTGGGGGAAGAGGAGGTCCATGATGGGTTTCATTATTATTGGAATGTGGGTTGATAAGAGTTGTTTCCCTGTCGGTGAACACGCCTTCCCTGTCACACTTTTGTGCGTCACTTGTCACCTTCCCCGGTGGCAGTCTCGGCCGGGTTAATCTTGCGTATAGCATCATGCCCCGCTCAACTCCCAGAACAAACGTTGCCGACGCACATCATTTCTTAATAAAGTAAAACCCATTTCCCTAATTCGGTTCTAACGCCAGGGACCCCAGTCACTCATTTCATCCCGCCCCTCCTTGAAGGTTCGGGGTCTTGCCTCGTGTCGGCGCTCATGAAACCTCATGTTTCCGCCTTCCACCACCGCGGCCCCCATAACCCATCTTTCCCCCGTATCTCCAATCCTGTCAATTTACTAAATCAATATCTTTTTTAAATATTAAATATAAATCTATTATCCACTCCCCGCCTCGTGTAGCGGCTACTCCCGATTATTCCCGCCCTAACCGTCGGTATCCCATCTATACCGATTTTCGTACCTACGCTATATCTCTCTCCTCGGCAATAACACACGAGGCAAACACGAGGCCCCGCACCGCCCATCCCGCTTCCACGTATGTTCTATGTTTACACCCGCCCTTGATCAGTCCGGTCCGTATTCGCCCATCCACCAAGCCAAGAAGAGAACCCACACCGCACCCCTACAGCATGCCCGACGAATTCCAGAACTCTTCAACTTAAACTTTGTTTTTCACCTCTTTTCACATTCAAGTTCTGCCTCGTTTTTTTTCTTTTCATCTTTCATCCAAATTCGTCCTCCGTGCCTGACAATATCCTTTTCAAATATTCATTCGTCCTCTCGTCTCCAGCGTTACCTCCGTCACTACCCCCCAGCGGTCCGTTCATGTCCAAACCAGTGTATTCACCACATGCTCATTCGAGATCATCAGGTCTCGATTTCCAGTGTTAATGACATATCCTGACATCATTCATACCCGGCATCTTCACTTTTTTTTCACCCGGTACAGCATATTGCCTCCCTAATTCGCGATATCATCGAGACGCCAGGAACTACAATGTCCAATCTCATTTCTCGTAGCTCGTGTCCTCCTCGAGGTTCCGTCAACTACGTTCTCCACCAAATTCCCGCCATCCTCTGACCAGAATGCCGTCCTCGACTTATCGGCGGCTGTGCAATTATTCTGTCACAGGTGATCCTGCGTAACGCAAGTAATTTTTAAAAATCCGTAATACATCGGCTTCGATTCTCACTTACTGCGCTCGTCGGCGATAATATCTGCATCTAGTGTTTTTCTCCAGCATACTCTATGGGGAACACTCCATCCTTAAACCTCGGGTTGTGTGTTCCCCAACGCCTTCAATCAGTTACGCTACCATCGAGAATGGTTAGCTCAGACCAACACCAATGAATACTACAGCTCTAGCAGCTTTTACTCCGGAATGTTAGTTTCCACTAAATTATACCGGCGACGTGGCGCTCTTGAGCTCTCTCCGTAGTTCACGCCATTCAGCATAAGCAAAAGAATCACGATAGCTTGCCCTTCGATGCGGGTCCCGTTCAAGATATGAAATGTCGTACGTGCTATGTATTCATGGCCGCACCCAATGCGTAGGAGTATAGCGGCGGCCGGATGCAGCGGACGAACTCAACAAGCTAAAGTCGCATCATTTCCTGCGATGCACGGGCTTATGGACCAATTCGTCTCGGATTTCTCCTTCTGATCGTTCGACACTGCTTGAAGCTTCTACGCCTATTCTAGTGAACCTTCGAGTCTAATGTATAGGAGGCTAGCGGCGTCCGTAAGCAGCAGAAAAAACCACAGTCGCGATGTTTATCACTGATAATGCACGGGGATCTGGATGACCAATTCATGTCGGTTGTCTGCTTTTCCACTGCACTCGCAGCTTCTTCGGTCATTCTAGTGACATCGCATACTAATGGAGAGTGCTTACCTGACTGCATTTTAAGCTACTAGCTCAATAAGCCAAGGCAACTGAAAAAATAATTGCCACTCAAGAATACCGTGGACGATCTTCAAGTTTTCAAACACCGATGTTTCATGCGCATGCTGCATGCGAACAGCAGAATTTTGGTGACGGTTAGATTTGCTTGATCGGTGACCAGTGTTCTCATTTTTTGTGCTCCCGATAGGCTCTAGCTGATGAACTCAAAACACACAACCTCATCGGGACCGTGGCTATGGACGCTATCCACCACCTGATGAATACCAACACGCACAGTGCCGACCGGTATCCAATCTCTTGCCCATTATTTTCCCGATTCTGATAACATCGATGTCTTAGCCGATCTTCACGCCTCACCTCTCATAAAGATGTCCCATAAAATCAATCACGACATGAGCACATGTCAATCTAACTTAAACAGGCGCATCTCAGCTGACTTGTATTATTTTGGAGTCAGCGGGATCCAGTGCACCCCGAGCGAAAAGCCAATCTGATGCACGCACGCACCGCGCGAACTACCAAGCCTCCGACCTCGTCGCTACTTCTATGATTTTTGCTACCATGTGCATCGCAAAATCCTGCCGTTTATTCAACCGGAGGAATTACGGGGATCACACGCGAGTAGCAGCCAAGCTCGTCTCGACGTATTGCCCCACACCGATTTATTCGTGCGGGCTTCTCTTGATAGGCGTTGGTGTGATGCGTGCCCCGCTCAAACCGAATTTTGAAGGGGGTGAAGGGTTTCAGACGCCCTCATTATTGGCGAAATGTTTTTGATCTCGTTTAGGCTTTTTGTGGGGAATAATTGATTTAGATGACGTTGAAATGGCGTTGAATATATTCCGCTATGTGTACGTTACACACACCCTCCACCCCCAAATACTCCACATCTAAAAACCGACAATCTTAGCCGCGAACCATCATGACCCAGTATGGTACAACACATGACCCCTGAGCTCGATCGAGGATCGCAGTGCTCTACTAAATCCATCTACTCGCCCCCCACCCGCATTTGCTGTGCCTTCTATCTATATACAGCATCCAGTTATCCAAGTTATGCGACAACACCGCAGGCTCGCCTTCTTCGTTCCTGTAGCATACCCATTTCCCTCATCTTGGCAAACCCTGCGCAGCCATCAATATTAACGCTGCATCGCCGCATGCGCATTGCACGAAAGTAATATAACGCAGCGACAACACTTTCCCGCTTTTGGCGCGCCGTGGAGTCCAATCCATATGCAATCGCCCACAGACTTCATCTAAACTCACGCTCCCATCACTGCCAATGACATAAGTAAGTTCATATTTCAGAAGCCGCATGTATCACGTTTCATCCCGCGACTTCTCATAACTCAATGCTCAGAACGGTTCATTACTTGTTCGGGAAGGCTTCGTTATCAGCCCATGCCATCGAGCGTTATTTTTTTTGGTTTCAGTTTTCTCAAATCTTATATGTACGTGCCACCGTGCATGCGGATTGTTCTAGGCTGCTGGGGGCCCGAGCGTGACGTCGTTTGCCTCGTGTTCGGCGCATGTACGCGAACTGGGCCGTGGCCCGTGGGGATGGGCGCTCGTACGTTCGATGGCGATGTTACTTCCCACCGCTCGTCTGCTTCTGTGTTATCTGATCGGCTGTTGCTGCGTGCGTTGTGCGTTGGTGCTGGGCGATTCGCGGTCGGATCCTGCAAGGTGGCTCGGGCGCTGATGGCGTGCTTGAATGATTTTATCACGCTGGCGCCAGTAAGGAAATGTGTTTTAAGAAACTGGTTTCATCAAGTATGCTACGAACTTATTTCTATCGATTATTCAAAAGTTCACGTTGTCCTCTGGTCTCACCCCAGATCCAAAAAAAATGAAGAACACCTCCGAAGGAATCGAATCGACGAGTAATACGGCTCTTGTCAAGTGACCTCCGGATGCTCAAGAACCCGTCCTCCCGATAATTTTCTAACACGATATAACTGAATGAAGAAGCTCGGCTGAAGACCAGTTCTGCCCGATCGAGATGTATACGTCCATTTCCTAACTTTAGCACGTCGAGGTCTCGAGTCTAACGGGACGCCATCCGTTAGTTTTTGTAAAAAACTAGTATGGTGCAACGGGAAAGGGGCCGGTGGCTGGATACTAAGGAGTCTTCGGCGGGGATGCGTGCCGTATCCCGCCCTAAGCATCATCGTGTTAGCTGGCATCTCGTCACTCGCTTTCCCAGAGATCACTTCTGGACATCTCAGCTGCCATGCATACGCCGTAAAGAGACACATCCCCCTGTCAAAGCGAAAGGGGCCTCCTAGCCGCAAACCGTGCCAAGTGACAGAGAATCCTTGATCTTACACTCTGAGCCATCATCCCGCCTTCGCCTTCCTTACTCGGGTCCAATCATTGCTCCAGGGAAACCCTGATAGGTCGTTTCATGTATTAAATTTTCCTTTTGCTTCTTTGGTTCTTGCTAACTTGACTAATTGTTGTCCTCGATGGGGCGTTTTTGCGCCTTTGTTCTTTCTCTCGTGATTCGCTGTTCGGCCGCTCCATGTCCGCCGGTTGGGTGTACGACCATTTTGGGCTGACGCAGTACGTTTGGGCGGGCGGGCGTAATTACGAGGCGCGTATTTCTCATTTTGTTATGCTCGGTTCGGCTGCTTGTTTATTCTGCGGCCACTGAATTTTTTCAACCTCAGGTGAAGTGGGCGGTAGTTGATTTTCGCGTTAGGCCATTGTTTGATCACAGGCCCACTAATTCTGGATAGGCGATGATCAGAAGATCTGCAGATATCAATGTCTGTTCTTTGTTCATCCCACTCTGATGAAATCATGATTTGGCAGGTCACACATTGCTGAACACAGTAATGGAACAACTAAAAAGATAATCGAACGTAGATTGATTCCAAAGCAAAGTATCAAACTCCAACACACCAATGATTATCAAAAGATCAACGGTCAGATGCTAGCGCTCATGGCCGAGCCCGCTCCTTGCCATCCCCCGTGATGATCATATCACGATTCAGATTGCTAGTGCGCCGCTGAACAAAGTAAACAGCGAAAAATTGTTTCAATGCAGATTCATGCCAACGCATACGGAACAGCAAAACCCGCCCAATCATAAAGCCCCCGGCCTCCTGCGATAGGCTTCCGTTATAACTGCGGTCCTGAGCGCTCCACCCCACCCACGTCTCGCACGTCGTGCATGTTCTGGATCTTACACGCACTCTGAGATAAATCTGCGGCGACGAGCCTCGTGTTTTGCGCGTGTTTGCGAGTTTGTGCGCCACGTCCCAGGATTACCTCGTGCCTTCCACCACCCAGGCCCTGAACATCTCAGGCCAGCGTCGTTTGCCCCTTTTCATGCCAAGGACTCCTAATACAGAGCTCGCGGGAAACCTAGGTCCTAAATTGAGATATCCAATGAGATCGCGCCGACGAAACGTTAAGGTAACGGGCAGGCGATCTTCCAGCGAACCGTGCAGTACTGCCAATGTGCACCGTCTTCCGAGTCGCGAATTCGACTCACGCTTGGATTAGGGGGGCCTTGAGATCAGTCGACCAATCCTCGTTCATCCATAAATTAATGATAGTTTGTTGATTAATTGGGACGTCATAGATTTTCATTTGGTCTTATCTGCTGGCTTTGTAATTGAAAATCGTTCTCGCTTGTCTATTTCCTCGGCGAAGCAATCCCGATGACAAGTTGATGATGGCAAGGCCCTGAATAGCCCTGAGTTCGTCGGGAAAAGCGGCTCGTCACACAAAAGGGCTTTGGCAGCGGCGTACGCTCTGTTGGCAACAGTGTGACAGCGTCGGCCTGACCAGCGCGACATGTCAGTGTCAGGACTCGGCAGGTACGACATCGCTGCCATAGCGGAGGAACTTCGTTACGGCTGCATTGCGTGCTACTTTCGCTTGTTATCATCCCTTATCCGCGTTCGGAAGACTATGTGAATGTGCAGTAAGCACCTGTACCCTGTACACTAGATTAAGCAAATTATATGGCAATGAATCGACTCATCTCTATCACGCCATCGCCCACTCAGCCGCTAATAAAATCGGTCGGGCCCCAAAATTCATCTGGCTCAAGTTTGTCCATCAGCTCGTCCACCAGGATGAGCAGATAAGGAATATCGACATCTTTAACGACGCCGACGCCATCCGGATACCAAATCATCCTCTCCTCATAGGCCCACTTCCATCGCTGCATATAAACTTTGATCAGCCAAAGTCAACCACGTGGTGATAGGAAGATGGCCAACCAGATATCGGATCAGTTCCTTGTCCTCAGGCATGACTTGTTTCCACTCCTCGCTCTCGTAGCTCGTGCAAAATATTCTGTACGAATCCAGGGCATACCGCCCCACGCCTGGATAGTGTGAGACAGGCGTTGGCGGATACGGTATAGTCATTTTGCGGGCCCTTTTAGGGGATCCAATACTTTTGCGTTTTCTTGGATTCACATAAGTCGGCGCGGTGATTTTTAATCTCGCAGGAATTTCTAAGCGGCAATTAGATGGACGAAGAGCGTCAGTAGGGGGATCATCTATATATCGTTGGGACATTTCTTTCAGCCATGCTGCTCGCTTGTTGTAGAGGCCGAGCGGTCGCAGAATATTCACAAGCTCATCATTATCAGCTTATTACGAGATGGTCATCAGCGTTTGTACTAGGGTCTGGAAGGTGGAGCCTACCCTCGATCATATCCCGAGGAGTTGGCCAACGGTCTATGAGCTTCCAAAAGACTGGGATAGCATATCGACCAGTAGTCACGTTCAGTAGCTTGACGGCGATCAGGAGCTGCCAGGGATTATCTGAAACAGCATCTGAAATGACGAGTTGGTCCAGATTAGAATTGCTGTTAAGAAACGTCGTGGAAAAAGTACCCTGTATCAAGATCGGCTTCGCGTTCGCAATATATCCGATGAGATCGTCGAACAAGTCTTGACGGTATGTCGGAAACGCGGACATATTCTTGTGTGTGAAGAGGTCCTCCGACGGAAAAAAAGAAGGCACCCATGACTTGCCAGGATGTGTGACTTTGGAAAAATATTTTGAGATTATCGGTGTGGTGGGATCTGGACTGGTTCCATGGATGACATCCGTTTGCGTTACTACCTTGGATGTAGCCTTTGATTTACTGGTTGGAGTGATAGACTGGTGGAGTGATACGGTAGGAGGCACGACCTTGCGGCGTTTTCGAGGTCTAGAAGATGGGGTGGGGAGTGTCAGGGTTTGGATTGTAGATCGAGCTTCATCAGGCATAGGTGTCAGGTAGCATCTGGTGACCGGATTCTTCATCTCCGTTTCCGGTGGCTCGACGGAACCTTCGTCCTTCGCGGGTAGCTGGCGATTGTGAGTATTAACAGGTTCGAGCTTGCGCTTCTTTTTCGCCCTCTTCGATACCTCTAGTGTTTCATCGCGCGTCGAAAGCGATGGGGCTGCAGGTACAACAATCTCTACCGCGTCAAGTAATTTACGAGGGCCTCTGCGCCTGCGCACTTTGGTGGAAACACCCTTGGCTGAGGGCGTGAAGTAGATAGAAGTCTCTCCTGCGATTGTGGGTACCTGCTGTTGATTTGCAGATTTACTCCTGGTGCGCTTATATTTGTGCACTGTAGCATGAGAGACATGCTGCTCGGATGCCTGTGAGGTATTTTTTGAAGCTCGAGGCTTTCTGCCAGTGGTCACTGGAAGACAATCACTATTTTCAGGCAAACGCTTCACTGGCAGCGAAAGATACGTCTGAGACGTCTGAGGGGTATAAGCATATGAGTGCAGAAGCTGAGAAAAGGTGGAAGGACGACTTGGAGTAGCAGACGAGCTCATCGAATGAGCAAGAGAGAGGAAACTCCGTGGACCATGGACCACGTGATGGACCGGGTGGACTTGGTGGTACATGGCGTCACTACCGGAAAAGGTAAAGTCAGGTTTAGTGACTCGGTAACGTTGCTTGGGGAAGAAGGGGGATCAATGCTCCTGTTCGTCGGAAGCCACCACCACCGTTAACCCAAGTGTCTTTCTCTCTCGAACAATACTCATCATCTTATATTCTTTCATATCTTTTGTGATATATAGTTCTTGCATTAATTTACAAGAACATACCAAACAACGCCGTCCATTTCACCTCTTATCTATCTCCTACTACGAACCAGTCTGGACTATTTCTTTCACATCTCTTAATGCCATCAAGGAAGAATCGCAATGCAACTCGTCCATCAGCCCATCCTCCTGCTAATTACTCTCCCGCTCTCCTTCCCGTTGACTCGAATTCCCCGCCTTGGTCAACGGAACAGTCCCCCCTCCTCGAGCCAGACAGACCTCCAGAATCTCCTATCATTCAAATCCATCTCGAACTTCCCCCAGTGGTAGCATTAGAAGACGAAAGTTCACCCATCAAACATGAGGGTGGTCTTCTTCTGGCAACCCCCGAGTCTCGTCCCTCGCCTGTGCGCTCAGAGGTTAAGCTTCCTCAAACGGAAGTCGACTTTACGTCCATGCCAGGAGCGCTGGGCCACACGCGATCTCCTGTGCTTTCCCGGTGAGCATTTCTCTTTGTTTGTCTCTGCAGGTCCATTTTGGGGCACAGCAGCTCTTTCATACTTGACGGACGCACAAACGGCATTTACACGGCATGGTGTTGTCTTCACTGGATAGTGTGTCCTCGCCTTGATGCGCAATGCGCCACATCAACTTTCCTGTGTTCTGACACATTCTATCAACAAGTATAGTACACCACGTGCACTTGCGTTCTAGCACATTGATTTCTCGTTCGTTTCCACTACCACTTTCCTTCGTCAGACACAAAAGGCCAGATAGCTGAGATTGCACACTTCTAGCGAGCCAACAATGCTTGAGACTTTCTCTCGCACTGTGCGCAACTATGTGCCGACTTCCATTCCTGTTCCTACATCTGCCCCCTCACCGCCACGAGTATCGAAACCCGTTTCTTTTGGTAGCTTCATGGCGCCTCCTGGTGCTTCAAGTCTGTCTCCACCAGGTCCTACGATACCAATTGTTGCCCAAACTACCAGCAATCCTCTTGCTACTGGTCTGATTGGAAATCAGCAGACCTGGAGAATGAGAACAGGCGCCCAACTTGACTCAGCAGACGTCGACGAACCTGCTATCTTCGGTTCTGACGATGAGGACGGCGGCACTTCGTTTTCGGGAGATCAGCCCCTGGCGACTTATCCTACGGCTGCAGAAGGCGACTCTATCACATGGTCCCGCTGGGACACCCTCATTGAGAACGGTTCAAGACCTCGGTACGTTAGATATCTCCCAGGCCAGGACACTCTGTAACTTTATCACACAGGCGTATACTGTTACTTGGCTACACCACTGGTCTTCAGATTTGGGACTGCACAATCCTGGGATCAGTATCCGAGATTTTGAATCTCACTGATTATCCCTTCGGGTCCGTGACCTTTGCTAGTGTGCTTGCAACTCCGCACCCCTCTACGGCGTGTGACTCCGACAGTTCTAGGCCCTTGATTGGTGTAGTGTGCGTTAAATTTCTGTAGAGATATGACATCCACCTCTGATCAACGGAATGTGCAGCTCTAGGTCGAAAGACCAGTCGACGATGTCTATTTATTCATTGCGGGCTCACAAGGTCATCAAGCATCTTCCGTTTGCTAATGTGGCAACCTTTTCTTCAAGCGTACACTTCATTGTTATTGTAAGTGTCTGGCTTATCTACCAGATAGGACGTCGTTTACTAGCGAACAACAGAGTACTACAAATCCACCAACTCTGCACATTCTTTCTTCAGCATGCTTTACAGAGCTACATACTATTTCTTCGCTTGCCATTCTTCCTTCTTACACAACAATTCCATATAAAACCAATACCAACAACATTGTATCATTAACAGCGATAGACTCCATCAACACCAACCACGCTTCTCCTGATTACCCGGTCCCTATATATGCCCTTTCTCATCGCATCTTGGCATATGCCTCCCCAGCTCCTAGAGCAGACTCTCATGTTGGAGCCATTTCTCAACCTCGCACGCGCCTCCACTCCCCGTCAAGCACCCTTGGAATATCTCATGCGGCTGCGCTCAAGGTCGGGGGAACTGTCCTCAGCGGGGTGAAGTCTCTTGGCGGAATGGCGTATTCCGCTGCTGCGGAGTATGCGAAATCTCGCGCGGGCGCGGGAGGAGATCAATCACGCACTCAAGGGCAGTCATCAGTCATGAGTGGCGTTAGCAACCTCTTCTTTTCACGGAGTGCCCCTGCTGCGAGTAGCGGCCATGCGGACCCAGGCGAAGTTACGTCTCCGTCATCGGCGCTGTTTCCAAATCCCCCAGACCGACAAGAGGAGGCGGTTTCTTCAACGCAATCGTCGGGTTATCACATTACAGTACTAGATCTAGCTTCCCTCTTGGCCGAAGACAGTCCGTCCGTACGCATTATTTCCGAATTCATCGCATTCAAACATCAGCCCGTCTCCTCTCTCAAGTTTACGCTTGATGGGACATCCTTGCTAGTATCCCCTAGGGATGGTCAAGCTGTTCGCACTTTCCAGATTCGGCCTACGCCTGGTGTTTTGCTTTCCGTCGACCCCGAGAAGTATGCTGTCGAACGTCAAACTGCGCTCGTCGGTCGACAACTCAATGTTGAACCAACTTCACCGTGGCACATGTACAATCTACGACGAGGTCGGACAACTGCCGTCATTGATGGGATTGAGGTTTCGCCGGATGGGCGATGGGTCGCTTTCGGGACCAGGAAAGCGACAGTACACGTTTTTGCTATCAATCCATATGGCGGGAAGCCCGACTTGCGAAGTCATATGGAGAACAGGGTTCGGAATACAAACGAAGCCGTAAGTATACGTTGTCTTCCTGACACGTTTGGTTTGGCTAACAAATTGTATTAGCATGCGCCGTTGTCCGTTGAATTGTCGTCGCTTGTGCGACTCAGATCTGTCAAGTCGTCCGCTCATAGCGGCGTCAGGCCGGGAATAACCTTTACGTTCCTTCCAAGCGACACACCCCTACCTAACGGCCTCCAGCCTCCCCCTTCTGCCATCACTTCAACTCCTAGCTCATCTTCAAGTCGATCGGAGCTGCCTTCCCCGCTTCGTACGCGAAAGATTGCCAACTTTCAGGATGTTCTTCTCTTTGATCCCTCTGATGGCGTGTTATCTTTGAGGCGGGTCATGCTTGAACAGCGCCCTCGGGACACGGGCGCATTTTCATACACATTGGCCAACTTGCCAACGAGCATGTCGCTTCCCGGAACTGGCGCCGCTGGTCGTCTCAGCACATCGCCCCATAATCGCGTCGGCGTCGCATCAGCCAAGACTTCTGGCCTAACCCAGATGATGTTAGAAGCTGCTAGCGAATTGCATGGGCGAGATACCATGGTAGCTACTTGGCAGCTCAGACGGCACCGAGACTGGAGCGAAGTCAAACACGTGCAGCATTTGAGTGCAAGGTCTCCAGGACGAATGCCTATTGCAAAGTATGCACTTCTGTCAACAAAGTCACATTGATGCTGACGCAGATTGTACTACCATTAGCTCCCTTGCTCATGCGGAGCTATCTACATGTTCTAGGTCACCGAATTTGGTCCCTCGTCTCATCTATCTCGCACACCAATTCAGCTTTTACACTCTCGGCGAAGATTACCACGCTCTGATTCGCCGCCACCAACTCGATATGACAGGGACGAAGATGGAAGTACGCAAGGAAGTAGAAGTCAGTGCGTATTCTGCTGGTACTGGAGAGTCATTTGTCGAGGGATTTTCGCCTCGTGACATGGGACGAGCCGCATCCTCCTTTGACGAACCGATAGCATCTGCTATATCTGCCGACATGGCATACCCGCGCTCATCTCGGTCTGTGATCCCAATGCTCCCGAACGGGGCAGGCCAGAATCCACGGTCGTTCAAGAACCCCATCCCCATCCGCGCAATGACGTCGAACATCGCTGAGGGCGTCGGTGAAAGCTTTGGTCGCATCCGGAGGGAGATCAATCGCGTGCGTTCTCCACAACTTGTCGTGGCTCGCCCAGAGGGTCTATCGGTGTCTGTTCCTCTTGAGTTTGACGAGCATGATGAGGACCTGGTGTTCCCTGGAATGGAACGAGATGATGACGTTGTGGATGACAGGGGCGGAAACGCCACTGATCCTTCGATCGATACACCTCCCACCGATGCTGAGCCGTGCGACGAAGGCACCGAGTTATGGCATGGTTGGACAGAGGAGGATAAGCTCGCTGTGGACGAAGCGGAACAGTTTGACGATGTTGTTGGGTTTTTAGACGAGGAGCAGACGCCAGCGATCCAGGCGGAACAAAGGCGGGCGAACAGGCAACAGCTGTGGTAGTTACCGCGCGGTGCTGCGCTCTTACTGCCTCCGTTTGTAATGTGTACTATCTGACATGTAACCACGCGGTACAATGAAATTAGTGAAACTTTGTTTGCAATCCAAGATAAATGCTACATGTAACGATGCTCTGGGGGTGATATCAAGATACACGTGTTGGTATGTGATAAGGAGCGACCAACGAGAGATTGACAAGAAATGAGGTTAACATGCGCGTTATGAACGAGTAAGGACTGCTCCATTCTGCCTTGCGACCGCGCGACCCGAGGTGTCACAGGGGAATGCAGGCCGCAGGGCTGTGGAAACCCGCGAATCTGTGCAGGAGCGAACGTATGCTGGGTTCGACGGTCTATAAAGGTACTCCGTGGCGTGCGATGGGGACGGGCCGAGATGGGAAGGCGGACGGGGCCGGGGATAACTATAAGAAGAAGTTTTCCGGGTTGGGGAAGGCGATCGCGACCAAAACGAGGTGCTCTGCGACCCTGATCCACCGCGATGATTAACCTCCGTATGTTCTTTACTGCAGCCCTCGTACACGTCCATTGCGTAGTGGGAATCGTCGTCTGAAAGATCGTCGTCCGATTCTTCCGAATCTGTTGCTGGTGGCGACACGAGTGATTGGCCGTGTACCAGCATATCCGAAGGGAACGGTGATTGGTCACATGGACCACGCCCATCCATGTCAGCCAAATGGCCCGCAGACAATCTCGTGTGATTTCGCCAGTGGCGACGCATGTTTGAATTGACATTGAATTCGCGACCGCACCCTGGATATGGGCACTGATATGCTAAAAGTGGGTGTGTCAGCCAGTGGGTTCGTGGGTGGTTGGGATACGAATTGAGAAATGGAGTGATGCAACGAGGCAAACACGATTTATTTGTTTGATTTTTTTGGACGGACGAGGCCGAGATAATCAGATATAAACGTACGTTTTGCTCCCGTGTGCGTGTTTACGTGGATCTTCATACTGCTTGGGCGATTGAATCGCTTGCCGCAATGAGGACACTGGTGCTTCTTACCGCGCCCTTCTCCATGCAGCATTGTGCTAAGATGGTCTGATGATTTTAGGTAAGGTCTCCTGCCGTCATTTGTCATGACGGTGGATGCAGAATTAGGAGGGTCTGATACAGAAAAGGATAAGACGGAAGATGAAGGCTGGGGCCTGGATTCATGAAGGTGTTGGGGTGGAACAGCTACGGTGAAGCTATCGTCTCGTGTGCTTTGGGAACTATAAACCGGAGGAGGAGACCTATGCTTTGGGCGTGGTTGTGAGGGGCGATGAGGGACAAAAGAAGTCATAGAAACGCGGAAAGCGGGTGAGGATCCGTTAGCGATTGCGGCGCCTGTATTTCCCTGAGAGGAAGCTGTTGCACGACTGCGCAACTTGGTGCTAGAAGCGACGTGCTCGAGTGAGGATGTGAGAGGGTCGGCTCGGAGGACATTGAAGGAATAAGTAGCGGGGCTTTGGAGAGCGTCTTGTGAGCGATAGGATAGCTGGCGATTTGGGGCTGAATCTGAACTTGTGCTGGATGGGGGTGGGGATGGCAGACTGCGAATTGCTTCATCGCCTAGTCGATATGCCTTGGGGCCGCGGTGGCGAGATGTGAGGCTGCCGCTGCGAATATGATCCTGGAGATGTGTGAGTGCGAGTTGGATCGTGGTTGGTAGGCAGACTTACAGAAGACATATCAGTGTCTTGAGAGCGAATTGAAATTTCTAAAGAAGAGTGAGTTTGTTTGAAAGGTAGAGATTGAGAAAGATGAGTACCGGGGAAGATGTCGCGTATGCTAGGGAGTGGTACACTCTGGTGAGGCATGATTTGATTGTTTAGGCGTCAAAAGACTGTAGCAAAAGCGCAGTCAAGGGTGGTAGGGCCTGCTGTGGGCTTTGGGGGCTAAAAGGATTTGAGTGGATATTTATATATAAACGGAGAACCTGAAATGGGTGATGAAATGCGGTGTTCTAAAGAAGGACCGAGCGCACTTTGATGCGAGCGCTGAGAGATGGACATCACCGTGGACTATGTGACCGCAGTAAGATGGATGATCCTAGAAAGTGGATTGAAATAACGGGAATCAGAGATGATACCGTCAAACTGGAATAACTATTGACGGTGATGAAGAAAGATTAGCCTTGTAATGTACAGAAACGGGTTGTGAACCGAATTACCTACGGGTCGCTACAAACCAGACCCCTCTCCTCGGATTTCAATACAATATCCTCCTGAAAATCTCACTTTTTCAGACTTCCTTATTAAATCGGCCGCCGGTCACCCTTTTTGTACATAAAGTAAATCCGCTTTACCGCACTTTACGATGATCTTTTCCCCTTTTTGAACACTGATCTCCGCATTTCTGACTTATCCGCCGATCTTATCGTCAACTAAGTTAGTACAAGACAATTCCCAAATTGAATACACATAACAAAGCGTACATGCCCGTTCTCGCTTGGCTGTCCAATACATTTATTTGACAGTGGGTCATAGATCGTGGACACCTTTTGATCCCTGTTTACGTCCACATGACTGTCTTCAACTATCCGAGGTGATACCGTGCTTCTCACCCGTGGAAATAATACCCTACCCCACTAGGAGGCCCAAGATACGATACCCTCCTCACTCCAATTCTTCATCTAGAGCCATCTCTGACTCATCCGCGGTCCTACGTATACGTCGGACTAAACATGGCACATTCCGATCTACTTGCGCTCCAAGCGGAACCTTGGTCATACCCTTGCACCATAACCTCCGTCCACCTGTCCAAAAAAAAACAAAAAAAGTTCCGTTCGTCTATAAATTAACCATTCCCCTACAACCGTGACACTGATTTTCAGATTGGCGCGGTGGTTTTCCCTCCATGTTTAATATTCTCTTGCCATTGTGGGAAATATCCGTCAAGATCGACAGGGCACATGGTTGCCGCCGGTTGGATGGCCGGATTTTCGCTGCGGTTAATTGCGTTATCGATCAACCCAGTTGCCAATACTGATCACGGCCAGCCATGATTCTGAACAAACCAAATCCCGATATACACATCGCCATCCCGAAATCCTTCATTCAACCATGTGACACCTCCACCAGAAACCCACTTGGCACTTCTCATCTGGGCTTTAAATCGGTACCGCGTTAGCAAAGCACAAGCGTTGCAGTTCCTATTTAAAGCGGAAACTGCACTAGAATCACAAGTCCTATTTCAAACACGACAATAAGCTATCCACAAAATCTGCAAACGAATCACAGACTTCATCAGGAGCATGCACCCCATCCTTGCATTCATCCCCTGACCGGTATTTTCCCGTCTTCACTGAGAATCAATATTAATCAGCTCGCATAGAAAATTGTGACAAATCATAAATTGTCAATACATACCTAAGATCCTCCATAGACACAGCTCTATGGCGCCGCCACCTAGATCTGTTTGGATATCGTCGCCAATCACGGCGATGCATCCTTCAGAATCGGGGCCCTCGACATCGAGGCTCTCAATCACCGTTGAGAAGAATCCTTTACTCGGCTTGCCAAGCACCTCTGCTTCCCTTCCCGTAGCATTTTCAAGAGCGGCGACGAACGGTCCAGGTCCAAGCGCAAGCCCATGGCCCCCCGAGGATTCTATGTATCTAGCTTTGTGTAAAGCGATGAGGGGGATCGATGCCTTCGGATCCTCAGAGCCATTACGCTCCTTCTGCGAATCATCATCATCATCATCCTCTTCTCCAATAAGAACTCGAAATGCAGAATTCAGATGATCGTAGTCGAACAGCGCAGGCGCCAAGCCAACAATTACCGCGTCATAGGGGACGTTGGTATCGTGCAAGTCAAGTCTACATTCGTCTTTGGCGGATTCTGACAAGAGGAAATATGGTCTTGAAATGGCTTGGGTTTAGCATGGTGTGTGCCGGGTATGATCGCTACCCGTACCTTCTGAGACCCCTTGATTGGATAAGACTCCGTACAGCCTTAAGGCTCGTCCACAGTTCTTGCGATTCACGCACGTCAAACCCAGCATCCAGCATTCTCTTCTGAAGAACCGAGGTAGATTCTTTGCTGGTGTTACTACAAAACCTGAATGGGAATCCAATGCGTCGCAGCTCGGCAAGGGCTTCAACTACTCGACCCGTCGGCGTTGATCCAATCATCAGAGTGCCAGAAATATCTATCAGTAATGCGCGAATGATTGGTCTTGCTCTTACAGCCATGGTGAAAGTGGGAGTTCGTTATCGGCGATGGCGTCAACTACAACTATGTCATATTAATCACGTGCGGCCAACTATATGGTGAATTGCTTCCGCGGGATCAGTCCTTACATATGAAATACAACATTCACGTAGCGTCCCAAGTCCTGACAAGAAAAATATAATTACAACTCAGCCAGTGCCCCAGAGCCCTTCAGCATCCACCTCTCGTGGACCACGCCCATTCGGTGCTCCTGTATCATGCTCTTCATCAGTAGGCAGCGCAATTCTCCCTTCCAGCCCGGTAATCCGACGATAGAGGAGCGTCCCGAACAGAGCCAGAGGATGAAGCACGGTGAACAAAATAACGGTGATCTAGATACGCGTCTGTAAGCAAACCATCAAGCTGGCATACAATTCAGCTCACATATACAGGGCCAGGTTTTGGCCTTGCGCTCCATATACTCGCACAAATCCAAGTAGCTGCGACGGCCCATACAATATCACTGCGCATCAGTATCACGACTAGGCCAATGAGATTTGCGCCGAATGTGACTCCGAATCCAGGCCAGGCAAAGCGTCCGTAATCTTCGGGGTGACTGGGCGAGTAGTATAAACCCAGGGTGATGCTGAAACGAAAACACAGTCAGTCACGTCACCTTCGAAGAAGACAAAACTCCTACAAGAGCGAATAGGGGAACAACAGCGATAGAGGAAGAATGAGGAAGAAACGCAGTGGGGCGTGAATCAGTGCCGTGTCAAGAGGGCGAGCGGATGTGGGCGGATGATATGTGAGAAGCGCGATGTTCGAAAATAATAGACATAGAGTGAGAAGACCAAGAAGTATCGTGGAGAGCAAGAAAAACTCGAGGATCTGTGCATAAATGGCAGTTGGGTTCAAAAGGTTTAGAATGTGCGACGTACCCAGCATATGGCCCAAATAGCCATCAACCAGTTTGCGAAAACGAGGGAAAGTCCAACTCCTTTCACGAGCGTTGTCTATAGGGTGCTAAGAACGCTTCATGTGCTCACTTGCAATGCGCTGCTTACCTTCGTCTCCGGCTTCCTGGCTATGACAAGCAAAATGCAATAGCCGATTTGCCCAAGAAATATAGCGACGATATAAGCGGCAATAAGGTTTGGTGAAGGAGATATCGATGTAGGGTGTGACTTGATAATGGACCCTAAAAAACACCAACAGAATGGGAACTCCAGCGTTATGAAGCAGGAGTATGATGCTCACCGGCTGAAGGCTTGACAATGACCGAGCACACAAGTAGTGTTGCTATGTTTATCAAAAGTGACAGAGGGGTGAGGACCTGCAGCCTGTGCAACTAATTATTAGGTGCCAATAATGAGGATTAAGAGGGGCTACTGTACACACCGTACGAGGGAAAGGTAATCCCGCACTGCAGGATGGGAAACATCGAGCGGTAAAGAGTCCATATTCCTGGATGTAACGTTACAAAATTTTGTGTTAGTTGCAGTAGCTAGCAGATGATTGCAAGAGGCAAGCTACGACGCGTCCGTAGGAGCATGAACTCGAACATGATGTCATGGACTCGGGGACCTGAGGTAAACAAAGAAAAACAACTTTATTTGTCACGGAGAAAAAATCAAGAGGCAAGCATGATGCAGAACAGATCGCAGCGTCCGCGGAAGAGGGTGCGCGTACCCGTTGCACACCACGCAGAACTCACAGAACATGCCGTGTTAATCAAGACAATCCGCACAAACCACCTGCTTAATCTCACTCACCAACTACACTGCCATGCCAGTGCCCAACGTAGTGTCGATCGTGAAAATGTCCGTCAAGGCAAGGGAAAGCTGAAATCAAGAGATATATGGACTACGTGGCCCTTGATAGATTGCTCCATTCCGGAATGGCGGGTTGAAGACGAAGTTAAATCTCTTGCTGAAGCGGTGGCGCATCAGCTCAAAACTAAGTATGTATCGAGACGACATGGCAGCTACGAATCAGAATCCCAGGATGATGTGGAGGAAACGGGAGACGAGGATTTGGAGCCTTTGTCACCAAGTCTCTTACAAGCCTTCGTCTGGCAAACTACCAAGGTCCTTGTCTGCATTTTGGACTCCATTCTCGAACAGCGACCAGCCGTAGCAGATAGCATGCAAAATAGGATGTGGGCATTTAATTGGGAAGGTGTTCTTAGAGTCTTGATCTCGGGCATGACTCTAGACAGATCGTAAGCTGCTGTCTTTCACGAGGCCCATTGATACTGATGATCCTTCGCAAGTGTGGTCTCTGCAGCATACAAACGCTTGTCTTCAATATACGGCTCATCCAAGACTCTTGATATCGGTATTTGGCTCTCTCTTCGGTTTCATATTTACTGACCACTACACGTCAGCTTTATCGAGAATTGGTCGTATTGAATCACGTAAATCCGCATTGGTTGAATTCTCAGAAAAACACGAGGACGCCTTTCTTCAGCAACCCATCGTGCGTGTACGAAGGCCAAGTGAGAACACCCCATCCTTATAACTGCAGCCTGTTTAATATACCCATCCCCAGAGAAACGACGACGGGTTATGTCTAAGGCGGTTATCGAAACTGATACCGAGTAGTCGTGTTTCCCGCGGACGAGCTGCCGTGCAGTGTTTCTCCGATTCACAAGATAATCTGCTCGGGTTACCGTCTACGCTCACCATATGCATGTGGGTGTTTCAACTGATATGCACCACGCTCTCTAACATGTTTCGCAGCACAGTGGTTTTAGTTCTCAGCATAATAAGCGCCGACATCGTTTCTAAATACCTGTCAGCCACGCTTTTATAACACTGCTTTTGGTCCGCCCGACTATTTCCCGTCCAGTGTACATGATTGGACAGAATCGTTTCGACTGAGGTTCATATCGCGGGGATCAGACCATCCCGGCAGGAGCCGTGATTACCTCTCCAGACATGACTGAATTCATATCTATCGTGCGAGATCCGGGGCGCCTCATCCTCGTCGTTCCTCGCGTTAGCAATCTTATATGGGAACATGACAAATCCATGGGTCGCAAAGCCAAACTTAATATATTGCAACGAGACAACTTGGAGATTGTGATGATGTAGCGCTGAACATCGACTGCGCCTGCATTGCCATCACACAGTTATCCTTGGGTGAGCACTACCATCTGCGCCCAATACCAGCGATGGAACCGGCCCGTAAGCCATCATTCGTCATGTATGACGCAGCCTTCTGAATTCGAAGTTTGTGCGCAGGTTCTCCATTTCACATTCGGGCAATGTTGTTGTTGTGAGACGGGCTACCCTGCCCCGTGGTCGTATCGCCCAACTTGCCAGGCTACAGCAAATACTCGGCTTTCCCGGTTCTTCATTTCACGATTGGGTACTGTCATCGTTCTGAGACGTGTTGCCTACCCGGTGGTCGTATCGCCGACCTTGGCAGACGACAGCAAACACTCGGCTTTCACGGTTCTCCATTTCATGATCGGGTTTATTGTTGTACTGAGATGGGTTACCTGCCCTGTTGTCGTATCGCCACTACAGCGAACACTCGGTTTAGCAATGAGTCATCGGTACTTGCTGTGACCAGCTGTAGACTTTCAGACTACAGCAAACACTTGATTTTGCAAATGACTCATCGGTACTTGCTGTGACCAGGTATAGACTTGCTCAGGTACCGAAAGCTAATTCGGAACCAGAGGATGAGTTTGCGAGGATCGCACGACGCCGAATGGCGCCAACTGATATCGATAAGTATTGAGTTTCAACACTGTCTCATTAGGACCATATCTGTGTTTTGGGTTCAGGGGAGACGTGTGCTCTCGGGACTTCTTCTGACCAGGGGAAGTCGGATACTACCCCGATGGAAGTAGAGCGTTTGAACTAGAAGAAGCAAGCGATTGACGAGGGGCCTGGCTGTACGCAAAAGGAAGCAGCGACAAGTACGCGCCAGAGTATAACGTGCAAAAAAAATCCACAGAACGGTTCTGGCTAAGCAAGATGGTTGGTCGTTGCCTACGCTATGCCATATGATATACTCACCGCCAGTATGCTGAGCTTGATGAACAAGATTGATTGCGTGAGATCAGGATATCGGAGGGGAGCTATTTCCGGTGTGAGTGAGTTTAATATGTATGAGCGCAAATCAACATATAGTTAGGTCATGGGAGAGCTGCAGGGCGGTGTGTAAACGTCTAGGACAATCAAGGGGTGTCCAATTGGACATCTTACTCTCCAGAGTGCAGATTTCAGCCCCCATCATGATTGTTCTTTGATAATGATGACATTAATGATGCCTGACCAAGGGATGGGATCTGCAAAAGCGGTGTTTTGGAGCGCTGGGCGCATCAACATTTCATTCCACGGCTACCGCTCACACCATAGTGCGATCAGGGTCGAATACCTGTGCAGTGCCGCCGTGAGCAAAACATGTAGGAATTGGAATGGATGATCGTGCATCACGATGAGAGTCCAATTCACAGGTCCACAATAGTAAATACCTTTTGCGCAAGAGCAGAAGCCCGCGAGCGTCGCATTGTTTGAGGGTTAGTTTGGGAAACTTGGTCAACTGATCATGGTATTATGAACGGAGCTGAGTCACAGCCGCTGAAAAGTTGGAACGCCCGACTGCTGGAAGCGAAAGTCTGCCGACCGGCGCGTGACCAAATTTAGTGAAGGCTGTGTCATTTTTAAACTGTGACCGTTTGTGACTGATAGGCTTGCACATGCTTTACCTTTGGCGCCCTTCACAGCCAAGGGTTGTTCTTTCCCATCATGCGCCCGTCGATACAGTGGCAGTGATACTAGCAACATCATTAAGTCAGTACAATTGGCGGTACCGCCAAAAGAAACGTGAGTGCGATGCTTGATATGATCTCACAATTTTACTTGCTTCATATCTCGGCCAATTCAACAAAACCACAGCCCAAGCCAGCATCTCATCGTCATATCAACCGAGGAATCCCATCATCTTACTTATCTGTGCTCGTACGGCAGAGTCACAACGTCACACAGGAACCTACAGGAACCCCCTGCCCAGTCAGACACACATATAAGCGTCCGATTAGATACCGCTATTTCATTGTCCCCGCTGAGACTAGGAACTTGTCTAGAAGTCATTACCCCTGCCCCTGCAATCTCACTGTTCCAGACTATTCCCCTTATTTTATTTCACGCCTATAAAGTCGAACAGACCACAGATTAACCAGACCATCCGCAGATCCTCCCCAAGTACCACAACCAGACTACACCCAGATCCTACCCGCTTACCAGACATACATATCATGTCTTCCGAGTCATCCACCAACTCTTCCACAAATTCACATCAACACCCAAAGGGCTCCTGCCCAATGACGGGAAAGACATTCGATTTCTGCCCACCACAGGCTGGAGACTCGAGATCACCCTGCCCAGCACTGAACGCCCTAGCAAACCATGGTTACCTGTAAGTTGACAAATCTCCAGAGTCATCATATCCAGAACTAATAACCTCTTGTCCAGTCCACGAGATGGAAAGAACATCGGTCCAATGGACCTCGTTCGCGGACTCAAAAAGGGCTACCACCTGTCCTCAGTACTTGCCTACATCTTGTCGTTTGGCAGCTTGTTCCTACTCGGGCAATTCAGATGCATGTCGCTTTCAGATCTTGCTCGTCATAACCTGATCGAACATAACGCATCACTCGTACACGATGACGACAACAACGGCGCCGAGTATGCCCCAACTAGCGTGGACAACACGCTATTAACAGCACTTTGTTCAGAGGGCGGAAAGGTCCTCCCAAACAGGATGACGCTCGAGGATGCTGCACTCATTCGTGTCAAGAGAGAAAAGGAGTGCGGAATATTAGATGGTGTGCATGCTGAGATAGCTCGAGGGGAGATAGTCATTGCTATCGGAGTCCTGGGTGGCAAGGACGCGGCGAAGAACGGTGTCAAAATTAGCGCACTGCACGAGTGGATGTCGAATGAGCGTCTGCCTGTTGGGTGGAAGCCCGATCACACTCAGGGCTTGTACCAGACCTACAAGATGGCGAAGTTTGTCAGGGAGCGCATGCGGGAGGTCAGAGCGCAGCAACCATCTGACAAGCCGCCAGTGCAGTCGCAGTAGGGTTCGTTTTTCGCCTCTGTCTCCCTTTCACTTGTATTCCAGCGTGTTTTGGTTTTATTCGTATATATTGGATACCCCATCGATATGTCTGTTCGTACAACAAATTTACTTATATCACACATTATCGCAGAAGCATTGTTAATTATCATGTATTCCATCCCCACGAGCTAGTAGTCGCACAACCGTCAATATTTACCTTTAATTTATTGCTGGGCTATCCTATCCTGGTTCTTTCACATCTCTCACATCACAAGCTCCGAGTGTCGGTGCAATGACTCTTACCGATAATCTCGAGCTCGGCGTCCCAGATCACGAACGACACTAGTGCTAAAGCTTAAAGGACTTGAAGACCGAGAATTATCGGTGACTCACCACACAGGATCCGAGTGTCGGTGCAATGACTCTATGGATGATCGAGTCAGCGTCCCAGAGATCGCGAACAGCACTAAATGACTTGAAGACCGATTTTGTCGCTCCATTTCCATCCCAAATAGTATAAGGCGTTTCGGACATTTACATTGAACATATCGTGTTGAAATTAGCACTGCCAGTGCAGAGATAACAGCAGAATGTTCACACTCATCATTGGACTAACTAATACTGTCGGAGTGAGGAATTGACAATTTCAACTGATGCGATACCGGTGCTCAGGGGAAGGACATTACTTTTTGTTGTCCAACGAACCATGACTTTCCTGTCCATCTGGCAAAGAAGATATCTTGTAGCCTTTGCGTATCACAGATACTCACAGGAGGTAAATACCGAGGTACTGAAACCTTGCAGAAAAATGCGGACGAATTGTATTCTCAAACACTGGGCTGATTGTCATACCATCGTGTTCGGTGTCGACCGACAATTGATCTTGGAAGAATCGCAAAGTGGACGTAAATCTATATTCGGACCTGCAGGTAATGCGAGGTATATGAGGTAGATACCTGAATTTGACTGCGCACTCATGCGAGGAACAGACATCGTGGAGTGCAATCGATAGATCGGGAGAACTGGGGTTGTGGCGTGTTGGTAACCCCATTCACAACGGAGCTGTTAAACACCTGATGATAGCAGTCATGTCTAGAGTCGTGTGTTCCATCAGGTATTTCGGGATTGCTAATTCATCCCGTGGTGCGCGCGAGATAGCTGCCCAGATGGTAAAGTTGGGTTCCAGTATGTTCCTATATGATTGAAGTACGTGAGGATAGCACAAACATATCTCGGGATAGTCAGTGGCGATAGTTGACGGTATTATCGATTGGGTCGGTTCAACAACTAAACATCACTCTGGATTCTAAGTAGCGAACACAAACGCAGCTGCACAATTAGAGTTTGATAGCAATTGCGACCGGACAGGCACGTATTATAGTACTTAACTTCCAGTTGTGCCTCCTTGATCTCTTGCAAGCCCATTCTTGGCAAAAAGCATCCACTCGGAGCGTCAGGCTTGTTGGAGAACCTGATAGTAAGTTTAGAAATGCAAGCCGATTCTGCCGTGCCCTCGGAGGTAACATGACTAGATCAGCCTGGAGGTTCGTCTCCCTCTTGTGTGTTGGCCTCGATTGGAAAGTGCAGAACATCCCGAACGCTCATACTGGTGAACGCTGACAATGAGCCCATCGTATAAGTAGTACTTGCAAATTGTGCAAGCGAGTGTAGAATGAACGGCTGTTGCCGAAGGGGTGCTAAATGTTCGCGTCTGCCATTTCAAGTTGAATACAGAGATGTCATGAGTAGCTATAGCATTCGAGCACTTCTTCTGCTCTGTGGCCTAATTTCACTTACAACGCAAAAACAAGTTCCAGACGCCTTCAGACGTCCCCCTAGTGAAGCAGTGGACAATGTTAATCCGTCAGCATTACCTCTCACACATTGCCTTGTCCTGCTCCGAGTCTCACTAACTCATGTTGTTCAGGCTTATTGGCAATGGCGGGGACACCCCAAATGGATCCGGAGGTATGATTCCCTCAACTTCACCCCCGTTTGCCATGACACGATGGGTTGCCCAAACATCCGAGAACTACGTATCTGTCACTCCATACAATTACACTGCGACATCAATCCATGGCTTTCAAGGAACCCACCAACCAGCCATCTGGATGGGTGAGAGCGGTCAAGTGGTAATATCCCCAGGCGCAGGCCAGGTGCAACCTAAATTCAACGATCGAGGCATGAGTTTCACTCACGAGAACGAAATCATCACTGCTAGTTACTACAGCGTGAACTTGAATGCCATTGAAGGGGGTCAAATTTTAGCCGAACAAAGTTCTAGTACGTTATCTATTGTTGTATTGACAACTCCCCCATGTGCTGAAGTCTGTTGAGCTTCTCGTGTCGGACACCTCCGATTCACGTTCACTGATACCCGCCAGCCTTACGTGCTTGTTGAAGCTACTCGGGCTAGCGTTCTTGGGTCTTCAGACCCTCATAACCTGACTTTCCCTCACGGTTCCATATCCATCAATCCCGACACCCGCGAAATATCTGGCAGCAACCCTGAACGCCAGGACTTCATCATCGCGCCTGTCTCGACTCCTGCAAAACAGTGGAGTGGATATTTCTGTGCACGTTTCGACCAGCCTTTTGCCTCATGGGGCATTTCGAAAAACAACACTCTTCTTGGTGGCCAGACAAGCGGCAACGGCACGCTGCTATCAGGATATGCTACATTCTCACCCGAAGTGGTGGAAGTCAGTGTCAGGATCGGTGTTTCATTCATTTCTGTTGAGCAAGCTAGAAAGAACTTGGACATGGAGATACCCGATGGGAATACCCTAGAAGACACGGCGACAATGACGCGATCAGCATGGGCTGAGAAATTGGAACTAATCAAGATTAAAGGTGCTTCCGAGGATCAACTGCAAACTTTCTACACTGCGTTTTTTCATACATTGCAGGCATAGTTATTTTTCTTCATTTTTGTCGAAGTGCGATGCTCATGTTTCTTTCCTTATAGTATCCTTACGAGCAGAGCGAAGATGGTCAGTACTACTCGGGATACGATGATGCTGTGCATGAGGGAGTGTCATATACCGGATACTCGAACTGGGTAAGCACTAAAAGGTTCTAGGCATTACGGAGGCCTGATGTATTACACAAGGACACGTATCGCGCCGAATGGGCATGGCTTATTTTGTTCGCGCCCGATAGGATACCAGGTATGGTACAGAGTATGCTGCAGGACTACAAGGAGGTGGGTGACATTACGACTTGTTCAAAGGAAGTTATTTTCAGCCACAACACGCAGGGCGGTCGGCTCCCGATGTGGAAGAACATCATTGGTAGGTTTGAATGTTTATCTCAGTCCTGAATCTTATCAACTTATCGTCGTCAGAGACAAATATTATGGTAGCTCTCTTTTTCCGCTCTATGCCGTTCCGCGTGATTAGAAAATGTGCTTCTACAGGTCGCGACTCATGCGGATTCTCTCATTGCAGAGGCTGTCTTGAAAGGAATGACTGGGTTCGATTTGGAGACTGCATGGGAGGCAGTGTATAACGATGCAACAGTGCCTCCGGTCAATGATACAACCACTGTGTGGGTTTAAATGAATCTCTGCTGCTACATGGTGACTGAGTTAAACATTTACAGATACTTTGATCGTGAGGAAGTAAGAATTCTACAGCTCCTGCAGCACCAGATCTTTTGATTATCACAGAATGTCGACTATGAAGTTCGTGCTGGCTTGACTTCGGTTTATGAAGAGAAAGGCTGGGTTGCAGACGACATCCATTCCGAGTCAGCGTCTCGAACCCTAGATTATTCTTGTGACATTCTTGTTCAACTCTTTGTATGGCCAATACTTACTACTTCGCTTTGCTTCATCCATTTAGATGACGATTTTGCCGTGTCTGTCCTCGCAGGTCTCCTCAATAAAAGCGAAGAAGAACAGTTCTTCCGAACGCGCTCGCTGCAAAATCCCTTTACCATCTTCAACTCACTCACCGGCTTTATGGAAGCGCGCAACGCAAGTGGCGCATGGGCCGGTCCCGATAACGGTTGGACGGAAGGCGATAAATGGGCTTATACGTTTGACGTAGTGCACGATACACCAGAACTGATCGCTCACATAGGCGGCAATGCGACGTTTGTGGATTTTTTGGACGAGCACTTTGACGGAGGTCAATTCTAGCTATTATAAGAATCGGTATATCTTACTGATTTCATCGGCCTGCTTCAGGTCACAATGATCATACCAACGAGGTCCGTTTTTGTTATGTGCTTTTGAAGCTGCTGACACATTCTTGCAGCCGTCTCATCATATACCCTACCTGTATTCCCTCGCTGGAGCTGCGTCAAAATCTCAATCACGTATCCGCCAGATCGCAGAGTCAGACTACAACGCTTCCGTCAATGGCCTCTCTGGGGTATGTCAAGCGGTAGAACGTTCAGTCAGTCCAATTGACTAATATAACGCAGAATGAAGATTGCGGCCAGATGAGCGCATGGTATCTGTTCAGTGCTTTGGGATTTTACCCTGTAAATCCTGTGTCGGGGTTGTACGTGGTCGGGTCGTAAGTGTATATATAGTGTTCCTTCAGACTCCACCGCTAACCCCAGGACCTGAAGTCCATTTTTTGATCAAGTAGAGATCCAATTCCCATTAGCCAACGTCACCAGCCTCAAAATCATCTCAAAGGGCGCACCATCAAAGCCATTCGTAAACTCGTTCACCATCAATGGCGAGGATATACCCAGCCCCATTATCTCGCACAATCAACTACTCGACGGGGGCAGATTTGAGTTCATAATGTCCAGTCGACCACAGGCCTGGGGGAGTAGCACACTGTTCCCGAAAGACAACACGGTACGCAGCAAAAGTCCATGCGTCATCTTGTCCATTTGACGCAGTTAGCTATAGGATGTAATCAGCAAGCAGGAGAAATCAGCGCAATATTATGTAGCGCAAACACACCTCGAGTTGCGTTAAGGACACCCATGGTTCTTGACCAGGCGTCAACGAGTTGGGTTTCTGAAAGCCACCAACGGCAAATCATTCATGCTGTGTCACTTGTGAGCTACAACACATAGCCTTGTATGTGGGACCGTTGCAATAAGGCAGATACGTCCCGAGTAATCGATGGAATCAATCGCGTGCGGGGTCTCTGAGAATCATTAGACTAAGAGTAATGGGGTATATAACTCAAGAAAAGCACAACATTATCCCTAGGCACGCAACAGCAAACGCTGCGCTGTTTAAGATTGAGTATTTCAAATCTGATGGAGATGCAAATCATTGGTGGATATAATACTACTACAGTCCAGAGAGGAGTTACATTGCTCTGCGATAGTGGGGGCATCGAGTCAGAGTCAATATTAATGGCCTCTCCCAAACGAGAAACCGCCACGCCCAGCCTGCTGGAAAAAGTGCGCAAATGGATGCTCTCCGCCACCACTACCACCACCGAACGGATTCGCGAACGGACTGCCTCCTTGAGAATGGGGATCATTTGGATCATCACCGTTATCGAAGCGTTGACGTAGTTCTACATGATGAAATGAGCAAAACGCGCAAATATGTTTGTACATGTTCTTGCCTGGGTTAGTCAGGACCTCATATGCCTCATTCACTTCTGCCATTTTCGTCTCTGAACCTCCCTTGTCAGGATGGGCTGTCATGGCTGCTTTGCGGCTGGGGAAGCTATTAACTGACAAGAAATACGAGAGGGAATGCAAGTCCTACAAGGCTTTCTTGATAGTTTTCGCGTCTGCATCCCTAGAGACACCGAGAACCTTGTAGTAATCTTTCTGCTTGGATTGCTTTAGTAGCCGTTGGGCTTTCTGCAAGCGCGCCAGCACCTGTTGAACAGCAATTCAGAGTTCTGAACTTTCATAAAAGAGGGGCAGCTCACGTCTCTGTCGCTACGACCACTGCTCTCAAACGCGCGTTCAAAAGATCGTACTGCGTCTTCCCACTCTTCGCGAATCAGCATTGCTTCACCCTTCACCACCCACGCGTCGACTTCCACATTGGCATCGCCACCCATATCATTTAAAGCTCGGAGGGCATCTTCAGACATCGCAAGCAGAGCATCACACCAAGGTTCGCCCTTTCTTGCGTTGTTGAGCCTCAAATACGCACGGCATGCTCCACGAAGGATAAGAGCGCGACGCGGGCTTGACAAGAGAACATTAGGTATTGGGAGCTTGGAGGAAGATGGTGACAGCATCTCTGGATCCCCATTTGAAAGCAACGCGTCTTCGAAAGTACTGGCAAAGCCATTGCCAGGAAAGTCTTTCGTAGTACCAACGACATGCTTCAAAACACCTTTCCAGTCACTGGCCTCCATGAGCTTCGCCAATTTTGCAAAACCCTTGTCGAGAGATTTCGTGAGTCTATGGGCTGGTAAACACGAAGAAGAATCGGGGTCCAGATGAAGACATTGTTTGAGAGGCGAGAGATGTGAGGATGACTGTGAAGGCGGAAGTAGGAAGTAAGAGAGGCGGAAGATACGCATAAGAGAGAGAGAAGTAGGATGAGTTAAGTACGACAGTCGACTGAATCATCATTAGCAAGTGTATGTGTATGTATAACGTGAACTCACGTCAGATCGACCACAGCTCCCTGCACGTCACCACTGGCTAAATTACAGTCTGCCCTTGTCTGCCTGAGCTCGGTACTATGACTAGCTACCCGTAGGGCTTGAGTCGCAGCTTCTGAGCAAACAGTCCATAGCTGGGCGCGTCTTGCTTTGAAAGCCTTGGAGGCTACTACCTCGGCCTCCTTGATGTCACTTAGCATGTCGTTCGCAGCTTCATCACCAGCAACGTTTATGTTATACGTTGCGAGTAATTCCTTGGCACGAGCCCAGTCTCCTTCCTTGGTATGGATCTTCGCCATCATCATAATGGCACGGTCAAATTCTCCGCCAGTCAGTTCCAGAACCTTGGCGAAGTCATCGAGTGCGCTCGCGTGGCGGCTTAACGAAAAGTAAGCTGTAGCTCGCTTGTAGAACAGTAAGTAATCTGCAGGGGAGAGTGAGATGGCGTCTGTGTATGTTTTCGCCGCATCGTTAAATTGTCCAGCGGAAAGCAAGGCGTCACCACGGACTATGAGAGGTTGAAGTCCGGGTGGAGCGAGCCCAGATGACGAGGTGTCTGACAGAACGGGTTTAGCTAGCAATAATAGTAGCCCAGCGAAACAGTGCAGCCGCATAACGAGACGATGAACACTTGTTCGAAGTCAGTGAGATCTTGAAATAGTTCAACTGCTCCAGAGTCCACGTCCACTATCCCACGTACCTCTATCACGTGAGCATCACGTGTTGGGCGCGTCACGCAAAGCAATCATGATTTCAGTATAGCCGAAATCTGAATGACGTGTGCAGGAGAACCTGCAGTACATGGGCACAACAAAACCGACACTAAAATATGGTAGCCCCTAGCCAGATTTAGGGAGGAGAGTAAACCATGAGATTGCTAGGGCTGACGTCGCGGTGATGGACACCATTTTCCCAGAGGGTATAATGACCTGGTGTCGCATGGGTGAATGTACCATCAGGAGAGAGAGAAAAGAACACATACAGATAACGATTTGCCACCACGCGCTGAGGAAGTCGTCCCCGTTCAGATGCGTGATCGGGTCAAGCTTTCTGAACACGACGATGTAGAAGACGCGCCTGCCTGTTTCAGCATCGTCAATTCCTAGCGCCCTCCTGATGTTCGCCGTAGATGTATCTTCAAACACGTGTGACCAGACCAATTCTGGGACGTGATACTTCACCTTCCCCTCCTCATCCTTCTTCGCTATCTCATACACCTTCTGGAGTATGTCAGCCTCGCTCTCGCGCTCCTCTTCTGGCCAATAAAGCTTGGCTACCAGCTTGTCGGTAGAGTTATGAGGGTTATAATGAGGGAGCTGCGGTACCAGAGCCGACAGCGCCACACTTTCCACTGGAAAGACGGTGGTGGCACGTCCGCGCAAACCGAAGTGAGTGATGCGCTCAGCAGACGTCAAATTGAATTTGAGGTCGACCAGAAGGCAAAAAGCCCTTCGTTCTTTAATATGAAATGGAAATTAAGACGTGTTAAATTGAGGTTCTGGAACTTGGAGACCTCGTAGATTATCGACGAACTGAATCTCCAAGACAGAATATACCTCCGCAAGATCAACGAGATACTACTCGTGTGAGGGTCTAGAGCCCTACGCGGATAGAGGCAAACTATTCCTTCCTTCTTTGTTATGGATATGTTATCCTTGATGCGAACCTAGTGATGACTGCATATCTGGCAGACTATGCCTGCTTGATGTCGCCGTAGATACAGATACACCTTTGCAGTGAATAATTGACATCCTTAAGAGTTCTGGTGACAACATCGTTGCGCTTGCTCCCCGATGCATCAAGGCATCTCCAAGCCTGAAGTTATGATGAGCAGGCTAAGAACTTTGAAATAGGAATCACTCGGAATTCTAAAGTCAGATACAAAACATCTATAAGCTTCTATTATGATGTAAATTACACGCGGACATCTAGGGACTCCCGCGACAGCATCTTTGATTCAATTAACTTCGCCTCAAGCCATGTCTCAAATACGACACGGTTCTCCAGTGAGGTTCTTCTACTAGCACGCACCGTGTAACAAAGGCTGACAGTATCAAGGCAAGATTGCGCCATTTTCTCCCAGGTGTCACGGTGCGATCCCGAGGGTTCTATGTCATCACGGCCCGACAATAAGAATTTACTTTTTTCACCGAGGCATCCTTCTGCATCCACTGTCAGCCAGCCATTGAGTTTTGTGCCCTTGCCGATGAACACGCCGTTGTCATAACAAATACAGACCCAGGTCAGGACCCATATGAATGATTCAGCGTCGTGCTGGTAGAGGTGCTTGACCTGGCCTTGGATGGCTTTCTCTGTAAGAAGGCCAAGTGACATGAAAGGTACTGTCCCTGTACGCTCCTGGCCCGAGGGGGCGGCTTGAGTAGATGATAAGTCGAAGTCGTTGAGTACGCCAATCCATCGACCATCTGAGGTCTGGTATACCATGAGATTGCTAGGGCTGACGTCGCGATGGTGGACAAGTCCTTCCCAGAGGGCATAATGACCTGGTGTCGCACGAATTAATGATCAACAAGGAGCGCAAGAAGAAAGGACACATACAGACGACGGCGTGCCACCATGCGACGAGGAACGGTTTGTTGCTCAGGTCCGTGATCGGCTCAAGCCTTCTGAATATGATGATGTAGAAGACGCGCCTGCCTAGTTTAGGGTCCTCAAGTCCCAGCGCGCTCCTAATTTTCGCCGTAGATGTATCCTCAAACTTATGGAACCACACCATTTCTGGCACGTGGTACCTCACCCTCTCGTCGGTCTCCGCAATCTTATACACCTTCTTGAGAATGTCAGGCTCGCTCTCACGCGCCTCTTCTGGCCAATAAAGCTTGGCAACCAGCTCCTTGGTGGGGTTATGAGGGTTATGGTGAGGGAGGTTCGGTACCAGACGCGACAACTTCTTGCTTTCCACAGGAAACATGGTGGTTGCACGTCCGCGCAGACCAAAGTGAGTGGTGCGCTTGTTAGACGTCAGATTAAATTTGAGGTCAACCTCTCCGATCTTTTCGTCCTCGACCCGAATATCGCCCGGAGTTTCAAGCTCACGTAGCGTGTGGTAGCCCCACTCTGCGTATGGCATTCGCTGCATAGCAAGCAGCAAAACCATGAAGCGGGGAAGGTCCTGGACGAAGTTGATGCCAGAGCATTGAATCGCGCCCTGCCGATCAAAGTACCAGGTGTAAATTATGTCGTCTAGTGCGAGCGATCAATGTCATGGGGGATCTGCAGCAATTCATCAACTTACTCTCCACCAAATAAGAGATGACGCTCTGCCGCGCAAAGTGGGCTGCGAACATTTCCGCGGCGTACAAACCATTTTGCACGACAGGATGAGGTTTTGGCGGCGGCCTCTTGGGTTTCTTGTTTTTACGGCCGCCGTCGGCTAGACCAGCAGAGGAACGCTTCTTCTCTCCTTTGTTGTTGGTTCGCTGAGATTGGTTCGAACGTCCTGCTGCATCGCACATGTTAGTATGGAGGCGTGAGTTGGACATGCTGGATAGCTTACCCGCATTCGATGACTGGCGGGAACTCGTAGCAGCACTACGCGCATTCGATGTCCGGCGCGAGCTCGTAGCAGCAGCGCGCGCATTTGATGTCTGGCGCGAGCTTGTAGCAGCAGCACGCGTATTCGATGTCTGGCGTGAATTTGTAGCAGCACCACTGGCAGGCAAAGGTGTTGCATCTGGATCAGTCCCCTGGTCCATTTCCCTCCGATACTTCATAAACTTCTTCCCTTCAGGGATACTGTAAGTCGTCTTCGCTGCATAAGTCGCAGGTGGTGGTTCAGCTTTCGCCTCCGTGTGTTTAAACTCCAGCGTCGTTCGAAGTTCCTTCCATTCGAACTTCTTGACGGGCTTCTTCAACGCTGAATCGTAAACACCTTCTATGTTACATTTCCCCGCCTTCATAGCGCTTGCGTTGGAGACGATAACGACGTCAGGCTTGCGTGAGGACTGTTCGCCTTGGTACTTTTGGTAGATCAATGATGGGTCGTTTAGACAAAACATGATGTTCTCGAGATCGTCCTTGGCCTTTGAAGGAACCAATCCAGGCGCGTCCAGCTCGCTCAGTCGACCGAGCGCACAGTTTGCAGCTTTGATAAAAGGCACGTACATAGGAGGCTCTGTTTCGCTGGCCAGACTTACAGTGGCGTTAAATTAACCTCCTTTCACAGGATTTGAAGTGCTGACTTACAGAGTAACCATTTGGTTCTTGATGAATTGAGCGTCACTACCCTCGTTGCAGATGGGCAGGACGGCCTTGAGGGACTCATCGAGCAGTGTCGACTTGTCAGGAAGTGGTTTTGAGTTATCTTTGCAGCGGTAAAGGAGCTCCTCCAACATTTTATCGACAGCGCATTCTTTGTAGTTCTCAACGTCGCGCGTGATCCATGGACGAACGTCCTCGACACTGCGTAAACGACGGAATGCAATATCAACATGTAGTACCGCAACGACAGGTAAAGTGGACGTACTCAACACCTACAGCACCAATATGTTCGCTGATAGCAGCAGAGCCAACTGCAAGCGGGGTGGAGTTGGGCTTGGATTCAGAGTTAACGCCGTGGCGAGGCGTCATTGGCGCAGTGGCGCCAGCAGCATTGCCAGCCATGACGAAGAGTGTAAGACGAGTGAACTGCAATGACAAGAAGTTGCAGATGGAAGCTCGCTTTTAAGCTAGGACGAAACTATTGTTCACACATCTCAAGCCACATTCGATGGGATAAGTTAAAAGCCACGCGGTTGCAATTGAGCGCTGAGGCACAGTCACGGTTTAACGTTCAACAGTCAACCATCACATCAACTTTTTTCGACGTCGCCCACCAGCGCCCACCGTCGTCCACCGTGGTTCTTACTCCGTTGAGCATAATGGAGACATACTCTGTCATTCGATGCGCAATACCAGCTGTGACATGGTCCAGACTCTTTAGAATCCATCAGACACCATCAGATTCGATTGTGCATCTGACTCGGACAGGTGTCGGCGTCCCCACTCTCGCCCGACGTGATTTTTTCTCCATCGAGCGCAATCACGATTTTTTTCTGTTCTTCGGCGCGTAGAACACCTGTGAATTGCGACACCGAGTCAAATTTGAAGATCATCGGCATCACTACCATCACACATCAAGCTTCGACGTCACCCGCCCTCGCCCGCCGAGACTTCTTTGACGAGTCGGTGAGTCAATTACATTCGTATGACTCTTCCTACTATGACTCGTCTGCCTACGGTTCCGATTATTCTCGCTGTTTGTTCGTTTTTGACATGTACTATCGCTTAATCAATAATTACAATCTGCAAGAACGCAGACTAATTTTTTTTCCACTCCGCAGCCCACTAACGGAAGAATTACGCAGAAGAATTATGTGGTGCTGTCAATCGGTATCTCTTGCGCAGGGCTACGTTGGCTATGACCCATAACGAGCGGTACGAATCATTTGTACGGGCCATGGCTGACTATAGACCGACGCCAGCCCACTCTCGTTTGTGTTAACTGGTTCATTCTAGTCCTACGATGACGAGGTCGTTCAGCCGAGCTACGCATCACAGAAGAGATTGCATCAGCTTCCTTGTGCGGCCCTGCCTGCCCCTTGATCGTCACCAATTCGTGCAACATTACTTTTACCGATATCATCTTGAACTTAATCACTACTCTTGCTCACGATGATGTTTGAATTGTTATAGACCGGGAAGTAGTGGCGTGATTGGCGCATACCCTTGTAAGTAGTACTACGCCTCCCCCTTTGACGGAATAACTATTCGGCTAATAGGGTGTTGTATTCGTGACCCAAACCTGGCGTCGAACTGCATCTCCGAGACGGGCTATACCCCCGCAAGATTAGAGCGTCAAGTTTCAATCTCTAGAGATCTATATATCGCTCGTGCGGGGGTCTAGAACCCTACGCGGACCAAATCGGGGAAACGTTCCTTTCTTCTTTGTTATGGATATATTATCCTGGATCAGAACCTAGTGACGACCGCATCTCTGCGATAGACTATGGCCCCATGGGATTGGTGTGTCAGGTAAATAAAAATCACCAGGACTTTCGGTCTGTAACAAGGGAAGAACCAACAGTGACGGACGCCGGGTATATATGACATACCCGCGGCTCCGGAGAACAGTGCCTCACCATGTCTCTGAATTTTTGGCGAAGGTCTAGGGGAAAGCCGTTTAATCGTTCGCGACGCAGCAAGCAATATATACATTTGCTAACACCACTCGTATTCGGCCGGTGGCTGCAGCCGGGCGAAAAGCGCTTCACGATAAAGTATGCGGTGTCTGATTTTTTTGCTCGAGCATGATAAGGACCATCCACGAGAGAAGCTTGGAGGAACATATCGCCTTTCAGAGTATGAAGAATTCCTCCTGATGGCCCCGCAGGACTGAGAGACGCAGACACTACTCTTGTGGGGATGTAACGCTAGAATCTCTGAATAGAGGAGAATGATTAGTATGCAGGCGGCCGCAGTGTTTTCGACGCATGTACGTTCTCAGGTACCGGCTCGTCAGGCCTTCAAATCGATGCAATTGACTGGTACGGTTATCGTCGAATCTAAACAAATCACCGGTTGAATGACATATAGGCTATAACATTGCTACCTTAAGTGAAGTGAAGTATTATCTCAAAGCCACAACGATACCTTTACCTCAATTGAACCACGTCTTAAATACGACATTGCTGGAATACTGCTGCACCAGAGTATCATCAAGGCATCTCCGGCCTCGGTATCGGCCATGATGAGGAGGCCACTGTTAGTAATGAGTGTTCAAAGGACTGAAGTAAGAACCACTCAAAATTCCGAAGTAACACGCAAAACATGTGGAAGGCGACTTCTATCTTAAGATAGATTACAAGCGGACATCTAGGAGCAGCTCGAGCTCCCGTGACAGTCTCTTTGCTTTATGTATCCCTTTCTAAAGCCACGTCTGAAATACGACGGTGTCTGTCAGCGCGTTAGGTCTAGAGTCAGCGTCAGAGTCGGAGTCGGAGTCCGAGGACAGATAATACAAGAGAATAGGACGATGGCAAGATCGCGCGACTGAAGTTCGAGCTATCTTTGTGCGATGGTGCGGGTTTCACGACCCGACAATACGAATTTACTTTTTTCCTTGAGGCATCCGTCTGCATCCACTCTCAGCCAGTCATTGAGATATGTGCCCTTGCCGATCAACACGCCGTCGTCATAACAAATACAGACCCAGGTCAGGACCCATATGAATGACTCGGCGTCGTGCCGGCACAAGTGTCGGACCTGGCCTTCGATGGCTTCCTGTGTAAGATGGTCGAGTGCCATGAAAGGTACCGTCCCTGTGCGCTCCTGGCTTGAGGGAGTGTCTCGAGTTGATGATAAGTCGAAGTCATTGAGAACACCAATCCATCGACCGTCTGAGGTCTTGTAAACCATGAGATTACTAGGGCTGACGTCGCGGTGATGGACACCATTTTCCCAGAGCTCATAATGACCTGGTGAATGTACAATCAGGAGAGAGAGAAAGGAACACATACAGGTAACGATTTGCCACCACGCGCTGAGGAAGTCGTCACCGATCAGATTCGTGATCGGGTCAAGCTTTCTGAATACGACGATGTAGAAGATGCGCCTGCCTGTTTCAGCATCGTCACACCTTCAGTGAATAATCGGCATACCACTCCACCAGGGCATCAAAACATCAGCCTGGGTATCGGACATGATGGGGCTACTATGAGGAAGGACTTTCGCTCAGCATTCCGAAGTCACATGCAAGACACTAGTTCAGTAATGGTATTGGAATAGCATGTACTATTATAACCGGATAGTTGGGAGCAACGACGGGAGCTGGGCCTTAATATTGTCCTTGAACCACGTCTCAAAGACGACATGGTTCTCCAGTTTGGCACTATAACGCGGCGAAGTATGCGCGATGACAGTGTCGAGAAAAGCGTGCACTAAGTTCCAGCCAGGCCAGTCGATATCTCCATGGGATAGTGCGGGTTCCACGGTTTGACGACCCGACAATAAGAAGTCATTCTTTCGCATCCTACACTCAACGGCATCCGCTCTCAGCCAGGCATTGAGCGGTGAGCGCTTGCCGATGAACATGCCGCGTTCATAACAAAGACAGACATAGACCAGGACCCATATGAATGACTCAGCGTCATGCTGATACAGGTGCTTGACCTGGCCTTCGATGGCTTCCTGTGTAAGAAGATCAAGAACCATGAAAGGCACAGTCCCTGTGCGCTCCTGGCCTGACGGGGTGTCTTGAGCCCACGATAAGTCAAAGTCGTTGAAGACGCCAGTCCATCGACCATCTAAGGTCAGGTACACCATAAGATTGCTAGGGCTGACGTTGCAGTGATGGACATCTTCTGTCCAGAGGGTACGATGACCTAGTGTCGCAGGTATTGGTGGACAATAAGAATAAGGAGCACAAGAAGAAAGAACACATACCGACAACAATTTGCCACCATGCGCTGAGGAACTCCTTCCCGCTTAGCTTCGTGATCGGGCGGAGCTGTCTCGATACGATGATGTATGAGACGCGGTTGCCCCGTTCAGTGTCGTCTGCTACTAACGCCCTCCTCATTTTCGCCGGGTATGTATTTTCAAACTTGGCTAACCAGACCACCTCTGGGATCTGGCGCGAGTTCGTAGAAGCACCGCTGGCAGGCAAAGGTGTTGCATCTGTCGGCTCAGGCCCCTCAGCGTAGTCGTTCGTTTCCCTCCGACACTTCACAAACTTCTCCACTTCATGGATATCGTGAGTCGTCTTCGTGTGCTTGAACTCAAGCGTCGTTCGAATTTCCTTCCATTCGAACTTGTTGACTGGCTTCTTCAACACCGACTCGTAAATCTCGTCTACTTTATAGTTCCCTGCCTTCATAGTGCTTGCGTCGGTAACGCCGTGGGGAGGAGTCTTTGGTGCAGTGACGCAAGCAGCATTGCCAACCATGATGAAGAGCGTAAGATAATTGAACTGGACTGACAAGAAATTGCAGATGCGACGCCCGCTTTTAAGCTATAACGATACTATCACGTTCAAACATTTCAAGGCTACGATTGATGCTTGGAGGAGATAAGTTAGGAGCCATGATTGCAATCGAGCGCTGAGCCACAGCCACGGTTTGACAGATCAACTTTTTTCGATGTCGCCCACAAGCGCCTACCATCGTCCATTGTGGTTCTTACTCCATTGAGCACAATAGAGACCTAGCTCTTAGTATTCGACGCGCAATATCAGCTGCGACATGGTCCAGACTCTCTAGACTCCATCAAACTCCACCATGGTTCTGATAGGTGTCGGCGTCCCCGACCCTCGCCCGACGTGATTTTTTCTCCATCGAGCACAATCACGATCTTGTTCTGTTCTTCGGCGCGTAGAACCACCTGTGAATTGCGACACCGAGTCACATTTGCGCTACCATACACATCAAGCTTCGATGTCACCTGCCCTTGCCCGCCGAGACTTCTCCAACGAGTGGGTGAGTCAAATACATTCGTATGACTCTTCTTACTGTGATTCGTCTGCCTACGGCTCCGCTGCTGCTGTTTTTGACATGTACTAAATGTACTATCGCCCAATCAATAATCATAATCTGCAAGAGCACAGGCTAATTTTTTTTCCACTCCGCAGTCCATTAACGGAACTTCCGACTCGAAGAACTACGCAGAAGAATTCTAAGGTGCTGTCAATCGGTATCTCTTGCCATGAACGAACGGTACGAACAATTTTTACGGGCCATAGCTGACTACAGACCGACGCCAGCCCACTCTCGTTTGTATTGACTAGTTCATTCAAGTCCTACGATGACGAGGTCGTTCAACGTGAACCGGTCAGACCTATTCTGCCGAGCTTCGCATCACGGAGGAGATCGCATCAGCTTCCTTGTGCGGCCCTGCCTGTCCCTTGATCGCCACCAATTCGTGCAACATTACTTTTACCGGTATCATCTTAAACTTAATCGCTACCCTTGCCCACGACGATGTTTGAATTGTTATAGACAGCCAAGTAGTGGCGTGATTGGGGCATACCCTTGTGAGTAGTACTACGCTGCCCGCTCTAACGATGCGTATTGGAACACTGTTCGGCTAATAGGCTTGGAGATGGTCTACTTGTGACCCAAACCTGGCAACGAACTGCATCTCCAAGACAGACTGTGTTCCTGCCTTCGATATCTTCTTGTGTGAGAAGGTCAGGCACCATGAAAAATACTGTCCCTGTAGGCTCCAGGCTGGCCTGAGGGTGTGTCTCCGGTCAATATTATTTCAAACACATATGTAGTCCAGAGTGGTTCCCAGTCTTTCATATGAGAGGATGGGGAACTAATATGTCGTCCAACTAGAGTAAAATGGGCCACCTTCGTAAGCAGAGCCTTTGGGGCGTCGTTCTATTAACCTACTTACAACTGGCTCTAGTGCTGTTCACTAAGGAGACATTGGGGGCAGCTAAGAAAAGCCACTCAACCCCTCATTTGTCGGTGGAGGGGAGCGCTAGCATTGGGACGCGAGGCATCGAACACCGCCTTTACATATTACTGTAGTGATCTTGTTCCAGCAAGAATCTCACATAAGACCCTGTAATAAATAATTGTGTGGCAACATAAGCATCGACGAAGAGATCCAAATTTCGTGCTCGAATATCTTTCTAAAGTTCACACATCCGGACTGCACAGTTGCACCATAATAGCGCATGGACATACAAGCCTCTACTCTTGACGACAAAATCAAAGTACACAATACATTGATCATTCTAGTCAACTGCTCAAAACTCGCATCGCTATTTCATAGACCTTGTACAACTGCGCGTAAGTGATCACCTTTAATTCCTCCGAGCCACTCGCCCATTGCATCTTCTGATCAACCTTTGCTCTATATTCATTGTAAGGAAAGTTGGAGGACCGCTGGATTTTCAAAAGCTTCCAACAGCCATAAAGTAGTCTGTGCGTTGGCGGATCCAGGGCATCGAAAAGATATACAGGAGGGTCGCTTTCATCGAAAAAGCAGGACCGTCCTTTTCGGATGAGCCAAACAGTATGGCCACCGAACAAAGTACTGTATAGTTGTTGGATCCGAAATTCAATGTATGGCTCCTTGTGCCAGAGGCGGCGCTCCAGACCGCGTTTCATGACTGAGTAGAAAAGAACAAGAATGAAAGATTCCAGGTCATGGCGGACCTCGCGTTTGATTGCAGCCGGTCGAATGTTCTTCTTGGACTTGTCCGCGTGAAGCATCATGGATAGCAGTTCTTCGGCCATGAACAAGGCAGTACCCTGATGATGATATTTAGTGGAAGCAGGCAAGTTGCAAAGTAGACGCACTGTGATCTCTGCGCCAGGAGCCTTTGAGCTCAACTGGCCGGTTTCCTCCACAAAGACGTCTCTAGTGCTCAACTGGCCTGCGGAGGGGGAGAGTGGATGTAATGAGACTACGGTTTCAGTCTCTGACTGTGCCACTGAGGCAAGCTCGAGATCTGCGAGAAACCCCTCCCAACCTTCAGCGCAATCCGGACCGCCGATAAAGATATTGCCTGGATTCATGTCTCGATGAAGAATGCCTTGCTCCACGAGTCCTTGATGTCCTGAAAATGCGATGATTCAGAAAGGCGATCAGCGCGCTAATTAAATGATGCTGAACCTTTGAGTGCAGCGAGAGACCCTAAAATGAAATCTTTTGTTGTGCCGGCATCCCACAAAGGGAGTCCCACAGTTTTCAGCGCGAGACGATGGAGGACGGGATCATCGAGGACGACAGCGTCGTCATCAAGAATGAGAGAACGTAGGGTGCTGATCGTGACACGAGCGTGGGTCTCCATTGCTACAGGAATACAGACATCATCCCCAAGACTGAGTTCAGCGACGCCTGGTAAAGGTGACTTGATATGTCTATAAACGTCGGATTCGCTTTCCAGAGTTTGCGACCTCCATAGAGTTTTCAAAATAACAAGAACTTCCTTCTTGTTTGGGTTGTTATCAAGCAATGTGGCTCGCCACGTGGCTGTACCGCGACCTAGTAAAGACAAAGAAGACCATACAGGGGGACCCTTGGTCTTCCACAGACGCGTATCGCCAGCTGCACCCGTGCTGACTAGGAAGGAGGGATACTCGAACTGGTAGTACGATTGTCCTTCAAGCAAGCGAGCCGACCTGTCGTGTCCAAGCTGATAGGTAGTCATGTGTGTCGTGAGCTGAAGGATTACATTGACGAAGATGTCAAGATTGTCGAGGATGTCATAGTCGTCGGAAATGATGACCCCTCGGCGGTCATACCAACCAAGGGAGAATTTATGGCCGTAAATGAACACGCACAGGACGTAGAGCTGGAACGGTCGTGCGGCCATGATGAGCCTTGCGTAATCAGCACCCTGCGACACGATCTGTTTCACAGATGTGGGCTCGGTGACGTTGGGACCTTCCCTGACGTTGGGTTTCACTTCAATAAACCCAGAAATCTGCCTCCACTTGACGCCGTCACTCCCTACATCAATGGCGGGAGTCAAAGAACTCGACGTCGGAGGTACTTCAGCCAGTACGAAGTCAGGCTTATTGTGGGGGAAGGACATATTTTCAGCATCAGGGACGTGATCGGACATTGACACCAGTTGTCGAAACTGTGTTCGTTTATATCCTGTCACTTCTGCTGCTGCACCCTCGATCATGCGAAATATTTCTTGCTATTAAATGTCGTGGTATTAACGAAGGTCAGCTTGCGGGAGTGGGTACTCACCAATGGTGAATATAAATATTCTTCATCGACGCCGTCCTTTACATTTTGGCGAAATTCGGCCAAATCATCGCTCGCCCTGATGGTCGTTTCTATTGGTTTGATGACGGTGTCGATACTGGTAATGAACCATTTTTCGTAAGCTTTGATAGGTTTGGCTGATCGATATTCGATATGACCAAGGAGATCCAGATGATATGCTGTGTCGAAGTCCATATGTATCAGGACGAATTCAGAGGAATTCAGATGGTCGGGGTTGGATACCTAGCTCAATGTCAGCACTCACGACAACGATCAGCCCTTTGGACGATCCCGAATACAGCTGTTTATATCCTCAGGATTGTGCAAAAGTCGGTGAGACTTGAGCAGCGAGTCCGACACAGTTCAAGCGCTCGCTATATGCTCGGATTGTGCTCGGATCAAGATGACTCTTTTGAATGGCGCCCTACACAGAAAAAGATGAAGTTGATAATAAAGTCGATATGCACTACGATGATGGGTGAGTTGTGGGAGTGGAGATTGAGTAGCGGGTGGCGAAGGGTTGGAACGAAGCTCCTTTATTAATTACACAAAATTGTCTCAATGTATGCATGGCCCGTGGTGCTGAAGAACCATTCCCGCTGCTTCGAGATATGCTGCATGATCATATCTGGTCGGCTACTACAGACTACATAATTTACAAGCGAACATCTAGGAGCGCCGGCGACAATATCTTGGCCTCAAGTATATTCTTCCTAAGCCATGTCTGAAATACGACATGATCCTCCAGCGCGGGTACCAGCTCCGGCACATGATGCTGGACGACAGTCAGAAGGCAAGATCGCGCCATCTTCCTGATACCTCCATGCGATGGTGTGGGTTCCGCGGTTTGTCGACCGAAAGTTAAGAAGTGATTCTTTCGCATCCTACACTCAACGGCATCGGCTCTCAGCCAGGCATTGAGCGGTGAGCGCTTGCCGATGAACATGCCGCGTTCATAACAAAGACAGACATAGACCAGGACCCATATGAATGACTCAGCGTCATACTGATACAGGTACTTGACCTGGCCTTCGATGGCTGCCTCTGTGAGAAGTTCCATGGCCATGAAAGGTACTGTGCGCTCCTGGCCTGAGGGAGTGTCTCGAGCCGATGATAAGTCGAAGTCATTGAGAAGACCAATCCATCGACCGTCTGAGGTCTTGTAAACCATGAGATTGCTAGGGCTGACGTCGCGGTGATGGACACCATTTTTCCAAAGCTCATAATGACCTAGTGTCGCATTCGTTAATTGACAATCAGGAGAGAAGAAAGAACACATACAGACAACGATTTGCCACCATGCGTTGAGAAAGTCGTCCCCGTTCGGTTTCGTGATCGGGCGAAGCTCTCTGAATACGATAATGCAGAAGGCGTGCCTGCCTGTTTAGCATCAATCCCTAGCGCTCTCCGGATGTTCACCGTGGATGTGTCTTCAAACACGTGGGACCAGACCAATTCTGGGACGTGAAGCTTTGAAGGTTTACCTTTCCCTCCTCGTCCTGCTTCACTATCGCATACACATTCTGGAGTATGTCAGCCTCGCTCTCGCGTTCCTCTTCTGGCCAATTGAGCTTGGTTACCAGCTTGTCGGTAAGGGAATGAGGGTTAAGGTGAGGGAGCTGCGGCACCAGAGCCGACAGCGCAACGCTTGTCACTGGACAGACGGTGGTTGCACGTCCGCGCTGACCGAAGTGAGTAAACATTCCAATATGTGCAAGGGAATTGTGAAAAATATTGAGTACCGGGACATGCCGATCAGTGAGCGCTCGTAGAGTTCGCACAAACAGACATACACAACCCCTGTCTTTGACCACGCTGATAAAATACCCACGTACCAACCTCCCTCCCAACCTTCCGATCACAATGCCAGAGCCCACCGTCATCTACACACACGGACACCACGAATCCGTCCTCCGCTCCCACACCTGGCGCACCGCCCAAAACTCCGCCTCCTACCTCCTCCCACACATCAAACCCAACATGCACATCCTCGACATAGGCTGCGGCCCAGGCACCATCACCCTTGATTTCGCCACCCTCGTCGGGCCAAACGGACACATCACAGGCCTCGAGCCTTCCCCAGGTGCTGTTCTCACTCAAGCTCGCGATACAGCCCAAAGCCGGGGGATAACGAACGTGGAGTTTAAAATCGGGGATATCTTTGAACTACAAGAGATCTTCAGAGATGCGAACAGGAAATTCGATATCGTGCATGTCCATCAGGTATTACAGCACATCGACAGGGAGAGGGTATCAGAGGCTTTGATGCAGATGAGGGCTGTTACGAAGCCTGGGGGAATAGTTGCTGTTCGGGAGACGGATTTTGCTGCTATGACTTGGTTTCCTGTTTCCGGGGGGATGACGGAGTGGGTGGATACGTATCAGGTTGTGGCGCGTGCTAATGGGGGGGAACCGAATGCGGGGAGGAGGTTGGTGAGATGGGCGTTGGGGGCGGGGTTTGCGAGAGATAAGATTACAAGCTCGGCGGGGACATGGTGTTTTAGTACCCCTGAAGAGCGGGCGTGGTGGAGTAAGTTGTGGGCTGATCGGACGGTCTCCTCGAATTTCAAGACCACGGCACTCAAAAGTGGGCTTGCGGATGAAGAGAAGCTGAGTAGAATTGCGGAATCGTGGACGGAATGGGGCAAATCAGAGGATGGCTGGTTCGCAGTCCTAAACGGCGAAATCATCTGTCGCGTCGACTGACAAGCAGAACATACATGGATATGATTATTATTATCACAATGAGCTGGAAATGTAATGCAAACAACAGGATGCAGCAGATAAATGACGAAGTTCCTCATACAAGTTAACAGAAATAGTAAGCGTAAGAAAGCGATCACAAGAACTAGTATGGATGGAAGATACAAACCACGTGGCCCGCGCCTGCACGAACTCTCAGTCATCATCGTCCCCATCGAGTTTGACGACCTCTAGATAGCTCTCCGGTACGAGGGCATGCACACCAGTGTCCTCTTTCACAACTACCGCCCATCCCACTCCACCACCCCGTCCGACGACACGGACGACCTGGTCTTCATCAAGCTTCATCTCCGCAGTTCCTTCTGGGTCAAAGGAATACAGCGCGCGATAGAGACCAGGATACAACATGTCCTCATCCTCATCATCGTCTTGGTTCTCGGAGAACTCATCTGGCTCTTCATACACCTCACTCTCATCATCATCACCACCGCCGTCTCCAAAGTTACGAGCAAAGTCGGTTCTCGAAGGAAAGTCCTCGGAAGAAGAAGAACCCGAGCCAAGGCCCCAACCAGACTGCAATTTCTGAAAACCCCACTTGAAACCTCCCCAACCATTAGTATCATTCTCGTCCTCCCACTGGTCATCTTCCTCTTCTGTCGACGACGTGGAAATCAAAGAGGACGTCGACGAGGACGACCCGCGCAAACGGCGAGCGAGGACTTTGGGACGATTGAGGCGAGGTACATTCGGTCCTTCGCCTGAGAACCGCGGATCTGAAGGCGCGAATGCAAAGTCGCGGATTTTGATAAGGACTTTGAATTCTGTGGGAGCTGCTAGTGTTTCTGGTTCTTTTCCTTTACTCTCTGTGACTGCTGACATGCTGAGGACATCTTTGGCACGACGTCCGCTGGGTGTACGGGAGAGAACTGCGCTGGGGGAGAGTGCGGCGGATACGGGGCGTTGGGCGTTTGAGAGGGGGCGAGAGTTGATGCCTGAGACAGGGCGGGAGCGAGATTTGGAGGATGTGCGGGAGAGGCCTGAGGCACGGCGGGAGATTGCAGGGGAGGGTGGTGCGGGACGGGAGGAGGTGAGGGAAGTAACAGATTGTGTGCTGAGTCTGTGGCTGTGTGATGGAGGCTGTGGAGAAAGCTTAGGGTCTTCTGTGTCGTGTGAGTCAGGATTGATGACGAGTCGATGAGGAGAAGGAGTATCACGCGAGCGAGGATCTAGAAAAGTGTGATTTGGAGAGTCTGTGGTGGGAGTGGGTGCGGTTGATTCCTGGAGGGAGAGTAGGTGGAAGAGAGAGCGAGGAACGTTCAGCATGGAAATGATAAAGCGGGGAAGGAAGGAGCGGAAGAAAGCCAGAGACGCTCGTGGGGGACTTACCGCGCCGTTTGGTGTTGCCTGACCGCTGCAAGCATGGCCATTGGCAGCGGTAGAAGAAGCGATGTCATCTAAATCCTTCTTTGACTGTTTCCTACTAGGAGGAGCGAATTCATGTGGACCAGGTGTCGGTGGTGGTAGAAAGGAAGAACCTGGTGAAGGGAAAGGAGGCGAAGAACGTAAAGCCAGTGGAGGTAATTGATCTATGATGTTTGCCTTAGTAGGATGATCTTGAATAACGAGCAACTCACCTGTAGTCATGTCTTCTGCGTGTCGTGGTTTAGTCGTGGCAGTATGATATAAGTACTACTCGTCAACGTCGTCGTCGGTGTCCTCCTTCCAGACAAAAGACCGGCTTCGTCTGAAAGACTATGCCTCCTCGAAAGAAACGCAAAAAAATACAAAAAGTCAAAATGACTTGAAAGAGTTTTGAAACACAGGTTGACCAGCCGCCGTCGTTGCACCAATCCAATTGTTTCCTTGACAACCCAAAGTATCTTATTTGTCCATATTTGTTATCTGCTACCGCCATCCAACCCTTTCACACCGACTCAACGATGCCCGACGCTCCATCCCAGCAGCTCGCTTCAACTCAGTCGACACAGTGCTCCTACTAGGATCGATCTTCATATCAGGCGTAGGTGATCCGGCATCATTCCGACGATGAATCCGGAACTGCATCATCGCAGTGTTAGGAAGCGCCCGTGCCAAGAACGACACAGGCGATAGCGACCTAGAGTGATGCGGGCACGGGAAGAACACGTCATGTCTCTTCTTAGGCTGCGTTCTAACCGCTTTGGACCGAACTTGGTTGGGAGGTGAGGAATCGGATAACCTAAACCCATCGCTGAGCCTTCCGAGCCCATCAAATGTCCCGCCTCCGCCTTTCTCTAGGCCTTCGAAACCCAGGCCCACTAGTCCTGAACGACCATGCGAGCTCACTCCGGCAAATGCATTGGGTGTACTGAGCGTTACCGAGTCGTCTGAGCTGCTGCTGCTACTGAGCGGAGGAAGGGGTGGAGTGGTCGCAGGTGTGTTATTCGGAACTGCGAGGAATGATGCGCTATATGGTGGAGGAGGAAGGAAGGCGTGTACGTCGGGTCTGGGTGCTTTGGGGGTACGTCTGTAGTGAGGTTTAGGGAGCGAAGGTATGTTTGGCTTGGAGGTAGCTTTTGACCCTGGCATACGCGCTTTCCCACCTGATAGGATGTCTTCTTGAGCATTCGGTGGGGCCAAAAGGGAGTTTGATGTAGAGCCGTAACGGTTATGCATGGTGTGGGCGTGCATGGTCGATGGATAATGAAACTGAGGCAGAAGGAGGACGGTGACAAAGGCTTTAAGTGCGGCGATAGAAGGTTGGGGAGAGAACATATGATGTAGAATCGAGAAGAAGTAGGGTCAAAGAAGAGCCGCACAGGTCTTTTGTATTACCATGAATGCATGGCTGACGGGCCTGGCTGACCAGCCAACGAAGCAAGGCTGACATGGTCGGTGGTCCAGACGGCTGACCAGGAAGCGTGTATAGATCACGTGAGAAAAATCAATAACGACCCATCGACCTCTGAATTTCTACGCCTGACTCGTCTGCAAGCAACGTACAATAAAATGCTGATCCGAAACATGAATCGGTATACTACAGTGCGCTGCTTGCCCGTCATGCACACCGACAGCGAACAAAACAAACCACGACTGCACCATTATGCAAATCTCAATTCGAACAGTCGGTAACGGTTCGAAACTCAAAACAGAGCCATATGGGCTACGTGTGCTCGTTGTAAGGCCATGTCTGACTCGCGGAGACCCAGACAGAACAGCACAACAAAGACATGCGAACATTGCAACGGCATTGGTACTGTCGTACCGTTATGCACACCAACAGCGCACAAAAACTCAACGAGAACAAGCAGTTTAGCTTTGTCTTCCCAAGTTTCGTTCACGCGAACGAGAAAAGACGAGAAACGCCTGAACTGAGAGGGAAGGGAGCCAGACAGCTTTGCACTCGTCGTACATTTGTTCCCAACTCATCAATGTTATGTGTTAGGGGCAAATATACATGACAGTGCGAGCGCAAGAGCATTTCAAGCTCCGGTTGGTTATTCGCAGAATTTTCAGGTAGTTGAACGGTGAAGCGGCGGTCATTGAAAGTTCGGGACGACCTGCAGAAAAGTAAAACAGAAGCTTGATCATGAATAATGTAAATTCTAGAATTCCATAGTTAGAGATGGACGCACTGGGAGCTCGAGTACGTTGCACCCCCCATCTTACACTGACCGTGCAAAAAATCTCTGCGACACAGCCATTATGCAAAATCAGGAGCCAGAAGAGAACGTTCGAAACTAGCATATTTCGAAATGAAGGTATTGATATAGGCATTAATCTGCGGTCGTTGTAAACCCCAAAATTTGTGGATCATCCAAAAGAAGAAATACACAACAACGACATCTAGAGACATGTGAGCGTCGCAAGGGCACTTCGCGCGGAATCACCATGCACAGCGCGCGAAAATCTTGGACAGGGCCATGAGCAGCTTTAGCTATCCTTGACGGAATTTCGAGCGATACTAGTCTCAGAGATTCGGTCGAGGATAGTGAAGCTGAAAGGGAGAGAGAAAAGCCACGCAGCCAATGCTCTTTGTAAGACTCGTTCGAGTCAAGTGAAGCAGAAAAGTTCTGCAACGATGACATGTGCATGTGAGCATCGCGGGCTTTTGTGCAACAAATGCACTAAAGACAACCGTCCTGCCTCATCGACATGCGGACCTCACTTAGCTATCCTTGGTAATCGGAACATTGTCAAGGTGGATCAAGCTGAGAGGGAGGAAAGCCAGTCGTCCCAACTGTGGAATGCGCCCCCTACAACGAACATGATAGCGTGAGCACAAGAGCATTTCAAGCTCCGGTTGAAATAGCACTTGTAATGAACGATCTGATGCCAAAGCTAAATTGAAGCTTGAAGTAATTCTAAGTTGAAGAATACAGGCATTACATAGTTTCAGATTGACGCAAGTACTGAGCGCTGAGCGCTGAGCGTTGATTCCGAGAGAGTACAATTGTCATGTTGCATGCCCATCTTGCACTTACAGTGCACCAAAACTGCGCAACGAACTCCGCTCGGTTTTTGCAACCTTGAACCACCAGGGATTAAGTATGGATTTGTAAATTGGATTTGTATGCATGTCGTTCCTAATCGCATGGGCCTACTCACTGTTCTAACAGTTCCATATAGTTTATTTTGAGGTAGGTCAGCGCATATCAATGTTTTGCGATGCTAGCACTAGCTAGACTGTCTTTCGGCCCGACTCTAAGTAGAGACTTGTCTCACAGTGCAAGCGCTCACGAACACCCTTAGCGTCAACAACGTCCTGCACGTGTTCATGATAGTGGCAGGCGCCTAACCAGCTTGCTGTGTACTACCACTTATCTCTGTCCTCTCAGAGCCTCGTACTCTTCCTAGTTCCACACAGCTCCAACTTACTCATGTTAAAAGTGTCAAGCAACGACGGTGCCGAGGATCAGCGCGCCCACAACGACGAGCAGCCTCCCGCGGAACAGGATACTGTTGGATCCACCAAGGATTCAGAGTAAGTTCCGGCTTTCTGGGATGCGTCACCCATATAATAGCAAGACAGGCAGAAGGAAGATTGTGGACCTTCGTCGGTGAAGCTGCTATCAGGGATGTGAGTATTTCTTCCCTGATGCGTCTAAGCCACTCCTCACCAGAACTGCAGCTCGAAAATTGGGCCTTCTCAGTCATCAGAATCTCACAAACAACAAAGTACTTCCAATGATTCACCCGAAGGTGGCTTAGTTCCGTAAGTCCCTATCAACGATGATGTCAAACAACTCAAACAACGAATTGTTTCAGCGAGGCACAAAAGCCGGCGGTGCAAAAGGACCAGCCAAATCTAAGTGAAGTGTGAGGGAAGAATAAGCCAAGCGATCACAGCTGACGCGACATCCTATGCGCAGAGTAAATGTCATGGAGCGAGTATTGGACGTTCTCCAGGACTCGACAATTGCTTCGAAGAGTGGCAAGGACCATCGCTCTCGTTTCTGGGGGGTGTACAAAAGAGTCGCGGAGGAACACGACGGCGAGTTCCTTGAACGATATACCAGCGACATGGATATCGTGTTGGTCTTCGTACGTTTTGCACGTTCTTCTCTGACCCATTTTGAGATTGATGTTTGACTAGTCTGGTCTTTTCTCCGCTGTCAGCACGTCTTTTATTGTGGCGATGGAGCCCAATCTCAGTCCCAACCCCAGCGATACTACGAATGCTCTTCTCACACAACTCGTACAAATCGGACTCGGCAACTTCACTGCAGCAGGCTCTGCAGCCGCAGCACCAGCATCTACGTGGTCGCCGCCCACGTCGACGATACGGATCCAAATGATCGCATACGCAAGCTTGTCCATGAGCTTGCTCGCTGCTTTCGGAGCCGTACTAGGCAAGCAGTGGCTCGGGTACTATAAGTCGAACAGATATGGCCGTGGCTCGCAGGAGGAGCGAGGAAAGCGCAGACAAGAGAAGTTCGATGGCCTCGTCGCATGGTATTTCGATGCGGTCGTGCAATCCTTTCCTGTCTTACTTCAGATCTCCCTTCTTCTGTTTGGGATCGCCCTGAGTGCCAACATGTGGTACGAGCAGCGCAGCATTGCCTGTGTCATCATTGCAACGACGGTCTTCGGATTTCTGTTCTATTCGCTGACGGTGATGGCATGTTTAATATCTCCCTCCTGTCCATTCCAAACGCCGATATCGACGATATTGCGGATGTTACGCATCGACAGTAAGATCGTTTTATGAATTCTCGTTGTCGCTTCCAGTCTGAACGGATATTGCAGGGGTTTTACTCCTGATATTTGAACCAGCCTCAAGGCATTTCCAGCAGCTCACAACGTCAGCGCACGGTGAACTATTTTTTTGTTCTTCTTGGACGCAGGTTTTGACTATTTCTTGTCAGGTGTGCTGTTACGACTGATTGGGACCCTCACATCGAGATGGACCCGATTGTCTGAGGCATTGAGAGGTGACGTTCTCATTCACTATTACACAGGATACCATGTGCTCATTTCATTCCCCAGGCCCTGTACGTGCGGTCGGCGCATTCGTGTGGCGACATCTTCAACAGCCATTCACCATACTCCATAACTGGCTGCGTTTATTTGTTCCGCACTCTTCTACAAATGTTGTGGACTCAGAAGCACAATTGCTCGACCAGAATCTGGATGTTTTGGCAGAGAAAGCCTCCGTCCTTCAAGTTGCCCTCGACCTCCCTGACATGCCCACCGACGATCTCGAAGCACCTAGCATCAAGTGGCTCCTCGAGACATCTACGGATCCTGAAGTGTTTCTCGCCGCTGTCAGTCTTGTTCCGCATGTCGAATGGCCTCTGGATGTCGATGTCTCAGACATGCTGCATCAGCTGTGTGATATTTTGACAAGCTGCGTCGGTTTTCAAGGGCAGGTTATACTGTCGTTGGAGGAGATGGCCTCAGCATGTATATTGGCTCTAAGTCATCTATACTGCGGCCGGATTCTTCAGGCATATCCTGGCCGTGGTGAATTTCTGGGCTGCGGGAAAAGAGACATCGCCGTGTTTGATCGGATGATGTGGAGCAACATGCGTGCAGTCGACCATGCGGTTCTTACCATGACTGCGGATCTATGTCTTAAGGACGGTGTGGATGATTTATTTCGGTGGATGGGTTATTGCTTAGCGGCTTGCCCCGATTCCGTCCCGGAGTGGCTGTCGCATATTCTTCCTTATCACTTTGTTACTGGGCAAGTGAATGAAAGTGGAGAAAAACTCGCCGTAACAGTGATATCCAAATTGCTATGCTCTCCATCGTCTCCGTCGACTCAAATCGTTGCCAATTGCACTCTTCTTGCTGCTGTCATGCTCGGGGTTCAGGTTGACAAGAAGGACATAGTTCATATTGATAAAAGGTGCTATTGACCCATTTTGTGATTCTTCTCATGATTAACAAAGAGATTGTGTAGTTCTGCTCTGCCTCAACTCGCAGAGTCCCTTTTGACACAGTTCCAAAAGGCTCTCTGGACTTGCGATGGAGGCAATATCAACTTTGACAGTACAGCAGTAGCACGCCGAGCATGGAACCTCCTTGACGTCATCTGTCGCATTCTCGAGCTTGCTGGATATCGCCCATATTCACCCCATACGATGCGGAACCTGGATGTGTGCAGGAAGATTTATTCACGGGCGAGGTCATCCGAACAAAGTGATCCCTCTGTTTTGTTGGCAGCTCTGCGAAAGGCATTGAACTTCACTTTCGCTGCTGCCGGGGTATCTCGGGACCCCATACATGTATGGTATGCCAAGTTATGGCAAGGCGATTCCCACTCGTCAGAAGACTCCGACTGGCTGGTGGACTACCTCGACTACATTAATTCTGACGACCACGAGACAACATATGACATCCTTTTGCTACTGAGTTGTATGAGAATGCCCTCCAACCCGGCGAAACAGCGCATGTTCGTCGAGAGGCTCGTCGCCTGCATGGGCAGTAACATGCCTGACCATTTACGCCATGCTGCTCTTTGCGCTGCTCGCAGTGCCCAAGACGACATAGCCTCGATTAATGTCATGGACGATGCGATACGGGATATGGTTTTGACCGAACTCTCCCCTGCTATTCTGTCCGTGGTTTGTCCTCTACCAGATCCAACACCCTTCAATGATAATCCTCTTCTCTCTTTTAATTATTCCCGTTACCTGCGCTACCTCCAACTGGTCTTTGCCCTCGCGAGTAATCCAGACTGGCACCCCCATTTGTATCGGGATCACCATATAGATCGGTGCATTAGTTTTATTGCAGAGTACTCCGAATTCCAGCATGCTTTTTATATAGCCGGTATCCTCCTCCGAATCGCACCTGAACGGAGGGTGCATACATTACTCGATTCTTTCACAGAGCAGCAGTGGTGGGACGTGATGGGAAACGCATGGTTCGGAGCTTACTACGTGATCCAGGACAACCACCTTTTCGAGTTCCTCCCCGTCCTCGCCGAAGGCACAAAGAGGTATATGCAGGCCGCTTCGAAACCTGATCTCGAGAAGCTCATCGAAAATGTGGATCGTATTCTAACAATAACAGAGATAGGTTTAGCGCAGGAAGAGGGAATCGCCATTGCTATGAAGGACTTGAGGACTGTAGCCAGCGACATGCTCGAAAGATTTGGTTAATTACCATTAGTCCACTAACTACGTAGGTGCTTGCATGTAGTGATAGGGTTTTTGAACCAGTGCGGGACGGGATGAGTATCATTGAGACTTGAATGAAATCGATGTCGAATAATCGGTTGATTTTGACTTGGCAGACGCATGCCATGCGTGAAGAACAGCTGGCATGAGATGCAAAGACTCTGGGGACCAACGTGTTCATTTCAACTAGGGAGGGGGGGTTGTTCAACGCAGTTAATACTGGACTAGCTCTGTCGATGGCGAGATTTTGTGATCGGCTGCCCCAGTCACATCCCTTGATCGATATCGACAGGAAGACGACAGACGAGACGACACACCAGGATCATGAAACAGATGAAACAAGTACTGCAGCGTCATGATCGTCTCTATGTCACAACCACCTATATTTCCCAGATATACTAATGGAGGCTGAGACTGTGAAGCCACGCCTGGGAGACACACTCGAAGGGTAGAATAACAGAGAGAGATGAGCACGACGCCGATTCGCTCCTGGCGGACAAATTCGTTAATTTGAACGTTGTATCTATACGTGCATCCGAGAGGCCGATATCCATGTTGACTCCTATCTCCCCCCAGCGACTATGAGATATTGTTATGGATTTTGTTGGTAGAGATCGAACGCAATGCTGAATGATACACATGAATACACAAAACGTGAAAATCATGATGAAGGAGAATCTGATACGCGCCCTGCATCAAAGCGCCCTGCACAGCGCCCACCCAATAGCCCTGCAACAGATTGTAAGGGGGGCACCACCATAACCACAGTGTGTACAATCAACGACAAGGTAAAATTGTAGACTCACGCAACGCTAGACCAGTGGTAACGAAGCCATAATGCACAGTGTACAGGATACAATTCTAAAATCACGGGTGTTCCTTGGGCATTCCAACTAAATAGTTTCAGATGGACGCACCGAGAGTACTTTGTATGTTGCATGTCCATCTTGCAGTGGACGAAAACTCCGCGACGCGGCCATGATGCAAAATCAGGAGCCACTGGCAGGAGCTAGAAGTCTCCGACAAGAACCATCATTGTTTCGAGACGAAGGCTAGCCAGAAACTCTGTGGTCGTTGTCAATCTACATTGAGAGAATCTGGCATACGACGATAGAGGGGTGCTTCATGCACACCAACAGTGCGCAAAAATCCACGACACGGTCATGAGCAGCTTAGCCGTCCTTCCTAGATTTTGGGATCCTGGCTCGGAGACACTGGAGAAGGACAATTGAGTGAGATGCGCATATATCACCTCGAGATCCTACGCATGGTATAAAATGCACTGGCAGCCGACGGGCCTGGAAGCTGTACTAGTCAGGGCTTAAATATTTGTGTGAATCGGGATAGTCTCGAGCCAGCCTCTGCAGACATCCCAGGTGAGATGGCTTTGAACGTCCCTAGAGTCTGATTCGGGACTAGAGTTGAGGATCATTGAGGACGTTGTGAACAAGTTGTGAGAAAGCATAAATGATTTCATCGATTTCCCTTTTGGTCACGCCCCGTCGGCGTTAAAAATGTTTCAAGACCTGCCAATGTCATTGGCACATTGCACACTGTTATCTACAAATATCACTGATTACCGAACGGGAACCGTGTTCAAGGAACATATAGATTGAACGTTCAGCGCTCAGTCATGATCGGACAACCAAGTGCTCACTTGGTTCGCTCCTTGCAGCAGATAATTATATGTGCACCTCCCGGGCCATTCCTCCCATATGACTATTGCTCATGAAGATCAACGAGTCAAAGAACTCCTTGCACGCATACGTTCGCCAGCGTAATATATCCAGATGGGGAAAGGTATACCTATGACGATGGCAAGACCTGCAAGAAGTGAATTGCCTCCCCCATAACCAAGCGCAGCGAGCATCTGTTGTCCAAACAGAGGAAATGCAAACCCGAGGAGTGAACGCAATGTCTGACATCACGAGGTGTTCAATACGCGTAAACGCTGAAGAGATTAAGGGTAAGGGTACGAAGACTCACAGAAGCAGCTGCGACAGCGCTTGCAGCATATGTAAATGTATCTACGAGGTATAATTGAATGGCGAGGCTGCAAAAAGATTCAACGACTACGAAGGGTGCTGAAAAGGGGCACGCTCACGAGGCTGTCATTATGCTGAATCCAAAGATGGCGGTGCCGACAATGGGCATCATAAAGTGGATCTCGGCTTGGGCAGACCAACCGTACCAACTGGCGTAGGTCAGATTGAAAGTAACGAAGATGCAGGCATTGGTCTCACAATAGTCCCACTGGGACGAACAACGAGCCAAATATGAGAGCAGGTATGCGCATCTCTGGTTTGCCCTTTCCTCCATTTTGTGTAGCAAGCTAGAGCGTTTCAGTTGATGTACTCAATGTATAAGGCAGTCTTGACGTACGTATATGTATGTCTTATCGCAAATTTTGGCGCCGAATACTGCGGCAGATAGAAATCCAACGCCGATTCCGATATACGGCAAACCTCCAATTCCAATGCTGAAATGGTACACGTTCGAAAAGAGATCTGGGCACAAACGTTTGATATTCGTGGTGATATTAAGTTACTGGGCGAATGTGATCTTACCGGGGAAAGTAGTGAACATCAAATAGTAGATACCTGACATAGAATTCAGTGCACGTTCAGTTAACTTGATTTCGTGTGCCACTACTGACCATAAATCCTAAATAGAAGACATCAGTTACGCGCACGATACTGCATGAAATCAACTTACAGAGCCATGTATAAACTGAGGATGAAGCATATGAAACTCCTGGTCATGATTATGATCGGTCGCTTGAGGTTGATCCACAAGTAAGCCCATTTGTTCACGTGGTTTGCAGGATATCCCGCGGCTGCCTTTTCGACATCAGCAGCCATTTTTCCACAGCGAAGACGGATGACTGGAGCATATGATTCTCTCATGAGAAGAATGCCAAGTACTGCGGCAACGCCAGAGATAGCTACGACGACATAGAAAACATATTGTATGCCAACTGACTCTGCGATGAAGCCTCCCATGACGGGCCCGACTACGGGACCTTGCGAGCTGAGTGTGAACCTCGTGGTTAGGGTGGCGGACCGTGGAACGTACCTATCAAGGGTCCGATAAAGTATAGTGCCATAGCCGAAGCACGGTCGCGTTCGGAGAAGAGGTCGCCAACGACGCCTCCGCCAATTGCTACGGGTGTACTCCCCACGAAACCAGCTTTGCAGAGAGTAAGCGAACTCGTGATAGCAGTGGTTCTATGACATACCTAAAAACCGAAAGATGATGAAAGATGTCGTGTTGCGTGAGAAAGCGCAGCCGAGATTAAAAACCAGGAAGAAAAGGTTCGCCAAGTGAAGCACCTTGAGCTCATTCAGGCAGACGGTTTCACTGATCTGAAGAATGACGCACCCACAAACGACCATAAACTTCGGACAAGGGTGCGGCAAATAAAGGTCCGATGGCGAACGATAGAAGGAATATACTTAGAGTCAAAGCTGTGATTGTTGGATTTGTTATATTGAATTTTATAGCCACGTCGGGCAGACCAGGTGCCATGATAGAACTTGCTAAGGGAGTAACAAAAGTGTAGATGGCAAGCTGATAGAAAACCAAAATTAGAACTCATGATCTGATCATTGGAAGAACTGACGATTGTAGTGGTTGTCCATTTTTTCCCAAGAGACCAATTCCTGGGGTTGACTGGGTCGTGTTGCCATTCATATTCTGACTGTTCAAGTTTAAGCTCGAGGTTGTCATCTGGGATGGAGGAGAGGACATGGAGCTGCGGAATACGACGGTCATTGGTATCATCTTTTCCTAGTACGTGAGTACGCGAGCTCTCGGCTCCTGGAGAGTTCGACATTGAGCGGCGTTATGGGCAGGTAAAACTGGTACGAGGGGTAAGAGCATCTGCAGGAACCAGACTGTCAATTATGCAAGTTAGATAGAGGGGTGTGAATGAGTATATAGCTATTACACTGCCATTACAGCACTGTACAATTATACATTGACAGGTGCGGCAGTCGGACGAGAAGAGGATCAGTAGATAGAAGGTGGCATTAAGTAAAGGAAAGACATACCAAGTCCTGCGGGCCTACCCTATGACTAAATGAAGTTGGTAGATGGATTTAGTACGAGGGATCCGAAGGATGATTGAAAAAAGCGGTTGACGAGGGCGCAGGTTGTTTAAAAAGTACAATTAAAGCCTCAGTAAAGTTTAGATCTAGAATTCCAGGTACGGGGATTCTATAATTTCAGATGAACGCACTGAGCTTGAGAGTGTGTTATTGCACGTTGCATGCCCATATTGCACTAGTAACAGTCAAACTCCGCGAAGCGACCATTATTCATAACCAGCCTGGAGCCAGAAGTCCTCGAGAAGAACCTTCGAAACTAACGTGTTTCGAGACGAAGAAACATCTTAAGGGGATCAGCATATATGACGACACGTATAGCACGCAAGAATCCGTGACACGATAAAGAGCAGCTTAGCTATCCTTCTCGGGTTTTCGAGTTCTGGCTCGGAGACACCGGGGAAGGACAGTTAAGTTAAGAGGATCCGGAGACAGCCAATTGTGCTCGTAGTGAGTGAATGGATTGCAAAGAAATTTAAGCTCCGATTAAAACACTCGTTGATAATGAATCGTAAAATTTTATAGTTGATTTGGCTAAAATGCCCGCCCCATCGAAAGCGACCGTCCTCTCTTCCTCCGACGCCGTCGCCCATCTAGCATCTTACCAATGCTTAGATGGTCTCTCCGTCAAGGATCTCATGGACTCCCGCGTCCATGGTGGTCTCACTTATAACGATTTCCTCATGCTTCCCGGAAAGATTGATTTCCCTGCTTCTGATGTGATCACCGATACAAGAATCACTCGTAATGTCGTTCTCAAAACCCCATTCATGAGTAGTCCTATGGACACCGTCACCGAGACCGACATGGCCATCAGTCTCGCGCTGCTGGGTGGTATTGGTGTTATTCATCATAATCAGTCCCCCGAATCTCAAGCGGCTATGGTCCGAGCCGTGAAAAGGCACGAAAATGGTTTCATCACGGATCCTGTCGTCTTCTCTCCAAGTCACACCGTTGCAGACGTCCTGGATATCAAGGCGCGTCTTGGTTTCTGTGGTATTCCTATCACAGGTTTGTTATACATTTCATCTGCGTCTCCTTGATGAATACCTTTACCAATAACCTTCGTTCTTCCGAGTAACGGGTTTCACCTGTGATTTGCGGATATCATTTCTATTTTGGCCATCTGATCTTTCATTTCGCCGCTCATGCTCGTGTGACAAAAAAAACTGATGTCTATTTTTTTTTTTTAGAAACCGGACACTTGGGAGCTAAGCTTGTTGGTATTGTCACTTCACGCGACGTGCAATTTGAGTCGCCTGAGATACTCCTCCGCGAGGTCATGACCACATCCCTCGTCACCGCTCCCCAGGGTGTCACCCTCGCAGAAGCCAATCAGATCCTCCGTGCCTCCAAAAAGGGCAAACTCCCCATCGTCGATGATCAGAGTCGTCTCACCTCTCTCCTTGCTCGCTCTGACCTCCTCAAAAACCAGAACTATCCGCTTGCTAGCAAAGACCCCAACAGCAAGCAGCTATATGCTGCAGCTGCAGTCGGCACGCGACCCAGTGACAGAGAGCGCCTCAAGCTCCTTGTCGAGGCTGGTCTCGATATTGTCATACTCGATTCCTCGCAGGGAAACTCCGTCTTCCAGATCGACATGATTCAATGGATCAAGCAGACGTTCCCCAAGCTCGAGGTTATCGCAGGCAACGTTGTCACCCGTGAGCAGGCTGCCAGCCTCATTGCTGCTGGGGCTGATGCTCTCCGCGTCGGCATGGGTAGCGGCTCCATTTGTATCACGCAGGAGGTCATGGCTGTTGGTCGTCCACAGGCCACGGCTGTGTTTGCTGTTGCCGAGTTTGCATCTAAGTTCGGTATTCCAGTGATTGCAGATGGCGGTATCAGCAACGTCGGGCATATTGTCAAGGCACTTGCCCTTGGCGCGAGCGCTGTGATGATGGGAGGGCTTCTTGCAGGCACCACAGAAGCACCTGGAGAGTACTTTTACCACGATGGGAAGCGTGTGAAATCCTACCGAGGCATGGGTAGTCTCGAGGCTATGGAGCAGGGCAGACCGGGTGCGTCTGGTCAGGTCAACGGCAAGCCCGGCTCCACGAAGCACGCACCACAGGCCTTGAGTAAGCCACACGAGAACGCCGCGACCACGCGTTATTTCTCCGAGTCTTCTGCTGTCAAAGTTGCTCAAGGCGTGTCGGGTGACGTCCAAGACAAGGGCAGTGTCAAAGCGTTCGTCCCATACCTACACGTCGGTGTCCAGCACAGTCTCCAGGACATTGGCGTGCGCAGCGTTTCAGCGCTGCAGGCAGGTGTAAAGGAGGGTCATGTGAGGTTTGAGTTGAGGACGCCGAGTGCTCAGGCGGAGGGGGGTGTTCATGGGTTGCATTCGTCAGTGATGCTGACTTCGCTCCATTGCGATGTGTTGCTGATTTTATTTGAACAGGTACACGAAGAGATTGTATGCTTGAGACGGCGGTTTGCTATGCTAGCTATTACCACACATTACCAGTATTATACACAGGTTCCTGCTTTGTATGCATAAAAACAAGGGAAAAATGTATGTACATCATTGACAATAGTTGATTGGAGGCAGCTGTGTTCATCTCGTTTCAGCGGAGTCCGGACTATTTTTGACGAGTGATTGCTTTGGCATTGCAGTAAAATTTTCAGCGTTGACGCGACGCGACGCGACCTCCTGCAAACACTACACCATCATCCGGATCATCCACGATTCCCTCGCCATGTTGGAGCGTTCTAATTTCACAACTCTTCTCAGTAAGGACAGAATTTTAGTTTGATACGGTGTACGTCTTGACCGCAACAGCAACAGCCATCGTTCCACCAATTTCAACTTAAACGATCTCCAAACGCTGGATAGTCCATCGCAAGCAGTGGGCAGCCACTGGGTCACGAATATAAGCAAAAACAAGTTCGAAACGAGTAGTTTGAGAACCTGCGCAGCCAATGCTCAACATCGGCGAATCCAGTTCTACCAGTGCGACGGCGAACGTCAGTCTAGCAGGCAGTGTTCATTTCCTAGGAAATGAAATGGAGCTTATCATCTTCCGAAGGTGCTCACAGTTGTTCGATAGCCCGTGTCATACGTAGACGCTCATTCCCATGGGCACTGGCTTGGACGGACAGGAGCGCGTGACTTGTGACTTGGTCTCGGAGCATGCAGCTGCCCCTTTGGACAGCTATAATAATCGATGATCTTATCTCTTCCGATGGGCACTTGGATTAGCCAAAACTTGCGCCCGCCGCATATTGTGGTCAGGCACTGGTAATTGATATATTTTAATAATTGAAATGACTCGTTACACGCGCGGTTTGATGTGTATCGCATGTTGGATGGATCGGGTGACAGGTCGTCTCTATTCGTGTCTGTCACGCGGAAAAGGCGATCCATGAATTCGCTAAGGGTCCAATTGAAGTCATCAAAAAGTTCAACAAACGCGCTCAGCTCCTGCTTTGGTGTTCAAGTTCGACGACGCAAACGCCTTGTTGTCCCTGAAATCGCATCATGTGCTCTTGGTAAGGTTTCATCTGGGTGCCGCATTTGTTTTCGAGCTTGAATTGACGTTGTACTTGAATCCGAAGCTAACAGATGGTACCTGGGCGTCCAAGGAGCTGGCCCAGGGCTCGTTTGAATGGTGCGACTGTGGATCACAGCCACGGAAGGCAGGCGAAGTGGACGGTTTGTTGGAGAGGAGCCGAGCAAGCACCGAGTCGGAGTCTTTTGAAGTACAGACTCAGCTGGGCCTTCAAAGCTTCGCTGCATAGTACCTTCTCCGAGCTCCAACCAGCCGCATCATATCAGTCGGTTCTGCATTTCTCGTGTTAGTATGCCGGCTCCTGGAAAGCGGCAGTTTCTCAAGCTTGTACATCGAGCCTAATCTTACACTCATTCAAGACTCAACTCATTGTTAATAACAGATTCGCCGTGGCCAAGCGCTCGTTGCTGGAGCTCCTGTTGATCCGCCTTCCGCAAGCGCAAGCGGGACCTCCATTCCCGAAAGACTGGGCACTTTCAACGACAATAACGGATGCCACCCCGTCTCTCTCACTGCCTCTTTGGTTCGGAAGATGGCTTTTCACACTTCAGACTACAGTGTTTTTGAAATTGACGCAAGCAATGTCATCATGGAAACCACGTACCCGACTGCTTCAAGTGGCCTCGCAGATGTCTACAAATGTATATTGAACAGGGGCGCAAGTCAGGAAGGTGTGCTTCATATATTCATCTTCTCTCAGAGTTGTAACTCATTCTGTTATCGTCAGGTTGCAGTCAAATGTCTACGGTTCCCAAATACAAGTAAAGCTGAAGTTGACAAGACCAACTATGTGCGTTTGGATAGCTTTTGAAACTATTATCGTGGTATCTAAACTGCACGTCCTTCGACCACAGAAACTAGACCGCGAACTTAGTATCTGGGTCATATTAGATCACCAGTATGTGTTACGCTTGTATGGTGTTGTATATGGTTTCGGGCCATTCCGTGCTTTCGTCTCCCCCTGGATGCCAAACGGGACTTTGGACTCTTACCTAGATCGCTCAGATCTCACGGCAGTAAGTAGGCTTACCTTGGTGATTTTTTTTTTTTGCAAGGCCTGTGATCATAGTTTATCGCTTTATTAATAGTTTAAACAAATTGTGGAGGGTCTCAAGTATCGTGAGTAGGAATGGATTAACCATGCAGCTTTACTGATTATTGTACTGTGGACCAGTCCACGATAACAACGTTATTCACAGTAACTTAACTAGTGTAAGTTTACACACTGCGTGTCCGTGATCCTCTGATCATGATTGTAGCTCAATGTCTTGGTTGCTGCCGATGGATCCCCGCGCATCGCAGGCTTTGGTATCTCAAATATCGTCATACAGTCCAGCCCGGCGTTCTCTTACCACACTGGCGGGGTTCGTTGGGCCGCTCCAGAGCTCCTCGATCCCCCGGAAGATCAACCCGTGCAATATGCCACCAAATTCAGTGATATATATTCTCTCGGCTGTGTTATGCTTCAGGTAAGTTATCTTATTTCCATTGCCTATGTTACTGATACAGTGCTGCAGGTATTATACGGGAAACTGCCCTACTGGTGGCTAAAGACTGCCACGCACGTCATTTCAGCGAGGTTCAAACACCTGGAGCCTATTGATACCACCTTTCAAATTCAAGCACATCACCTGAATTACATGCAGCGGTGCTAGTCATTCAAACCCGAAACTCGCCCATCGGTAGAGGAGCTCGGTCATTCATTGAAAGGTTATTATTTCCTCGCGCTCTTGACTGGCCTGTGTTCTACAACTTTCATGAACTCCCTAATGAGGTGATCACAGCGTATGAACATCGCGGCGCTGTGGCAGGGGGTCTGGGTGATATGTGGAAATGCAGTCGGTCCAAGAACTCGGAAGGAACTGAAGTCAGCATACTCTTGTATGTTCGAACCATAATTTATTCGTTTCAGGTTGCGGTCAAATCAGTCAGGGTTCGTCATCCAGGCGATAGAGATGAAGTAGAACAGATAAATAGTGTTAGTGTCAACTTTTGCGTGTTGCGCTGGATAAGCTACAACAGTACCGGAGTAACTTGTTCTGTCCAGACTCCAAACTCCTTTGATCATCTCACCAATCATGTCCCACCACTGAATACTTCCGTCTCTCCTCCCGCATGCAATCATCTTGCCGTCTGGTGAAAGTGCCATTAATGTTGCCGTTTCATAGGTCCCAACACGAAGCCTGTATCGCAGTTCCACTTGCACATCGTGCCATCGTACGAGCCACTCACACCAAGAATGTTGTCGTGCAAGAAAACGACCTCAATATAGCCCGGTCCATCACGCTAGTTCTTCTGGATTGTGCTTGGGGTGGAGCTTCTTCGGTGCTTGGCGTAGGGTTTCAGAAGTCATTGCTTGTAAGCCATCTGTATTTTTCTGGCTCTAACGGTGGTCTACCACGCTCATAATGGGATTTACCATGCCTCTTATTTTGTAGATAATTACTCAAGAGGCTGCCGCCTGGGCCAGGTCATCACATCATAATATCCTCCCCCTGTATGATACAATCACTTATTTCCGACCTCTTCGCGCCTTTATGTCTCCATGGATGGACAATGGCTCGCTGACTGACTATCTACACCGGGAATTCTCCCGTCTGTCCAACCAGGAAGATAGATATCGTAAGCCCATTATTCTGGCTGCATGATCGTGTCTGAGCTTGATGACAGCTGAACCAAGTGGTTGCTGCGCTTAAGCACTGTTAGTAGCATTCCTGGACGTCAGTTGTGGACTTACAACTGATTTCCAGTGCACAATGATGGTATCGCTCATGGTTCTTTGACAAGTGTAAATTGTGTGTATGCCACTTGCCATGTCGTGTACTTACGATATTCCCAGGATGATGTGTTCCTCGACGGCTCCGGTAGGGTCTACCTTGCTCACTTTGGTCGTCTCTCCAAGCTTTTTGCGCGTGCACAACCCACCGTGTCTGATCCATCAAACACCTTCGAATTGAGGTACATTGCACCCGAATTCCTCGCAGATGCGGGAGCCTCGAGATCGAGTAAAGCTGGAGATATTTATTCATTTGGCTGTCTCATGATCCAGGTGTGTTCCCGTACTACTCTAAGCCCCCATTTCACCTGATATTCCCTAGGCGTTGTCTGGGGAGATTCCTTACTGTTGGATTCGCGATGCAAGCGAAGTTCTTCCAGAAAGAGTCAAAGGCGCAGAACCCTTCCACATGCTACAGGTACGTTTCCCAGGAAAAATTCCTCTGCTGGAGGGCTGAAGCTGTGACGAATAGGAGATCGATGAAATCCATTTAACTTTTGGGCAACAATGTCTGTCAATTGACAGCAAGGCTCGTCCGTCAATTGAGGATGTTTTTTGCTTTTTCGTAGTCCAAAGCGTTGGGTAAGTCATCTCCCGTGTGCATCTGTTTTCTGTACTTACCGACCATAGTGCTGCTGACTTGACAAATTCTATCACCCGGACAAATGATTATGCCACGAACTTCAGGGGATATGCGGACGTTCACAGGTGCCAGCTTGTCTTCGACTCGACGACCGCGTTCGTGAAACAGGCTGTTTCCCATTCCCAGATCCCTCTTGAATGCGTTGATGTGAGTGTCACGCAGGCAATTTCTGCTACTTTTCCAACGGCAGTCTAGGTCACAGTCAAGGTATTCAGGCCGACAGGAGGGATCGAGATACCCAAATTGATCAATGTGGGTGAAAATCTCTTGTGTCCCCATTCCACTAACCGGTTGCTTCGCTAGCGAGTTTTTCGGGAGATCAAAATATCATCGATCCTAAATCATGAAAACATTGTACCTCTCTGGGGGGTTGCACGTCGATTCGGGGTTCTCCCCGCCCTGGTTTCACCGTGGTTAAAGGCTGGCACCCTGACAGATTATCTGACGAAAAAGCATGAAGAACTTTCCTGTGGCCAAAAGTTTGCACTGGTGCAATGACATTGTCGCCCCACAATAATAATGTACTTAAGACGCTTTAGCTTAAGGGTGTAGCTCGTGGCCTTCAGTATCGTTAGTCCAACGTTTGCAATTCACACAAAGCATAGCTGACACAGAACTGGCAGTCCATTCGCAGTTGATTGTCCATGGAGACTTGAGTGGCGTGCGTGCACCTTCACGAAGTTTGTCACCGATTTTGGTCTCTCTGCTCTCATTCCAGGGAGAGTAAGCCAGGCCTTATTGCCTACCGCTCCTGGAGGCACCTTGCGCTGGATGGCACCCGAACATCTGTCGGCTGATGCCAGCGACGTGCCCTCCATGCTCTCCCAGGCAAGCGATGTGTACTCTTTCGGAGGGATCATGATTCAGGTGCGTTCATGACTGGCATTCGATTCGCACTCGCCAAAATTCGATGGTAACACTATTGCCCAATGTGCTCATCTATCGCTTCAGATATTGGAGGGAAAGGTCCCATATCACTACATCACTCGTGATTATGTTATAATTGGTGAAATATCAAAAGGGATTACACCTCGAAGGCCTGACACACCCGCTATCATTGATGGCGACTGGGATCTCATCCGGAAATGTTGGTCATCAAATGCAGCGTCTCGTCCCTCCGCTACAGAGATTGTTACAGTTATAGAGACACGGGCTATGAGTGTCATGTAAATAGGTAGCGGCAAGATTAGGATGTTCATATATATATATATGTATACTAATAGTATATATACCCTACAGCATCATCGAAGTATCAGGATTTCAATCGGTGGGATGCAATGAATACCAGTGCAGGATAACGCATAAGGAAGTAGCGGGATGCCCAGGTAAATGTTTGAAGAGGCCGCCCAAACAAAGAGCTAAGGTTGTTTTGCAGATCAGGGACGATAAGCGGCGGGATTCATGCAAAATTTGCAAATGAAATGTAGATTGCGCTCGGGTTACATAAGCAATTGAACTTGCGCCCACCGTATAATATATATTGTGTGGCACTGGTCTCTTCTGACGGTTTGAAGCTGTGTATGCGGTGCGCTATGCCGATGGAACAAAGGCAGTCGTCATATTCTATGTCAGCAAGGCGTCTATTACTACAGCTTTCGAAATTGACTATTTAGCAGGTCTCTTCATTACCTCAGTCGTCACCATCAAAGCCTCTTCACCCCCATTGACCATCGATTCTGTGTACTGATTCAGCCGTGAACCGCTGTCCACACATACAGTAAAGAAAAGCGACTATCTCGAACTTTCTTGGTCGACACCATGCTGCACGCTGAGAATGCCGAGTCAGGCACATCAGGAAACCGAGGAGAAGTAGAATTAGCAGCGCTGTTAGACTCGCCAGCAACTGGTACTCATCGTAAGAGTGCAAAGGATCTGCCACCCTATGGTGCACAGCAACGCCAGGATGCAATTTGGAAAGGTGAGCAGTAGCCGTATTTAATACCCACTGACTGGCTCAAAAAGAATTAGGCGGGAATGAAGCGCTCCCTCCTATGTGGCAACAACGTCAGGTGTTAGACTATAAAACGCTATATCAAGACAACAACCTGATCATGGGTTCATTGAACCGACCATTACCAGGAGTACGATTAGGTGAGCGAAGAAAGTTTGCGTGAGAGCCAGGAGTTTATTGTCGAGCACAGATCATCCTGGAGATCTTGTTCCTGGATGTGAATGGCACATTGCGCCGTCCGGTCGGTCATACTTCGTCAACCACAATAATCGGACTACGTCATGGAAAAAACCCGTGCCAGATTGTCCAGCAGAGAGCTTAACGCCGGAGTGCATCATCGAGGGCCATTCTAAGTGCATATGGGACATCGCCTGCTTGGGCACTAATTGCAGTATAATGAGCTCATCGTCCGATGGTTCAATTCGTCAGTGGACAAGAGATGGAGAGCCTATAGGAAAGCCTTGGGTTGGTGACGGAGGAGTGGCAGGCTCCATAGGTGTATCCCCAGATGAAACTATGGTCGTCAGTGGAAGCGCAGATGGCAGATTACGGTTGTGGAACATAAAGGAGGGCAAAATGGTAGGCAACCCATGGAAGGGGCATAATGATGCAGTTATATGTCTCAACTGGTCTCCCGACGCCGTGGAGATAGCAAGTGGATCGTACGATGGCACCATACGACGATGGGACCCGGATACTGGACAACAAATCGCACCGCTGATAGACACTGGTCATGGTTGGGTTTATGCTGTCAAATTTTCTCCACAAGGCGACAAATTTGCCAGTGGTGGGGCGGACAAGATTATCCGCGTGTGGTCAAAGAAAGGCGAGCTGCTCGTCGAGATTAAGGGACATACGAATGCAGTGACATCGTTGTGCTGGTCCAATGACGGTACACGCATATTTTCCGCGTCATCAGATTGCACAATCCGAACATGGCGGTCGTCTGATGGAGAGGAACTTATTCTTCTTCGGGGTCATACCAAGACCGTCACATCCCTCTGCGTTTCCCCCGACGAATCTCGTCTTATCAGTGCTTCAAGGGACTGCTCAGTTCGCATCTGGGACCTCAAAACCAGTCAGCCAATCGGAGACCCACTTTTGCACGACGGCGAACTTCTGGCTCTTGCCATGTCCCCTGATGGAAAATATGTCGCTGGTGCTCAATTGTATGCAAAGGTCTATGTATGGAACCTGGAGGCAGCGCTCGAGCAGCAGGGTGGCCATGTGCGTATATACAATGTTGCTGTTGCTGGCGTTGAATTTAGTTGAGAGCGCACAGGATGGCAATACAGAGCCCGACGCGAAGCCCAAGGTAAGCCATATATGCATCTCTCTTGCATTGCATCTCACTTCTTTACTAGAGACGTGCAGCTCCAATTACTAGAGACGTGCGTCAATCAGCTGTGAACACGATCCTTTGCTTATTTTCCCAACAGCCTAATTTTGACGTTCATATTGTACATAAACGGCAGGCCAACAACAGAGGCATTGCAAAATATGTCAGTGTAGTTACATCTTTCCTGAGCATCTGCTAGCCTAACACCGATACAGGGCAATGACTTCTTTGGCAATAACACAGACCACACGCCTCGTCGCTCAGCTCCGCCTACAGGCTCATCATCTTCCCTTCCGAGCCGGTGGCGCAACTTGTTCGGGTTCCTGCGCTTCGGCAATCAGCCTGCAGATGGGCTTCAACCAATAATCCCTCAGCCCCGACGTTGGTATTTTGCCCGTGATGTCGTGAGTCGCTCATCACCGATATTTGTCCTGCTCTGATATCATCTGCAGAAACCAACACAACCTATTCAGGGGCAAAATTATATTGTCGGCACAGAAGAACCATCATATGTGATAGGATGCTGCGGATTTTATCTCGTTCGTCGCCGGTCCACATCGCACTAGCCATTCGGCGCTCCGTGTCCTGGTCGTTTTCTAAACGTGCTCGGGCGATTACTAATACGTCGTTGACATTGTATGACTATCACATCAGTTGTTACAAGTATCTGCAGATTGCTTATATGTACGACTTAATGATTGCAGATCAGAATTATGAGCACGCAATCCGAGCCTGGTGATTGTGTTCCTCAGTTGTGGTTGGAGCTATAAGCAGTCATGCGCATCTATGTCTCGTGCAAAAACAATCTACCACCTAGGCTGGTGGTTCCAACCGGAGACACCGTTGGGAGAGTAGCGAATCCGACTGCCTCAATTAAGCACTGTTTAACCAGCCAGCATTTTGACAAAAACCTGACGCAGGGTAATCTACGAGGTCTCGAATTTCCAGTCAGAACCTCGAGTTAGCATGTAGATTATTTTTCCATTCCATAATAAAGATCGTTCGATCGAAAGACTTTTTGCCTTCTGTTGATCTGCCTCTAGGAGCGCTGTATGCCCCAGCATGAATAGTGGCTACATCTCGAGGGGTACACACTAATCCCGCGGGGGCATAGTCTGCTGGGGGCGATGCGGCCACCGTCATGCATGCATATCACATCTCCGCACCTTCAGCAGAACTGTCATTCAGTACGCTTCATCAGGCAGGCGACATAATATTACCACAAGGGCCAATCACGCCACTACCTCATGGCCAAGAGTAGTGATTGAGTTCAAGATGATCCCGGAAAAAATAATATTGCAAGAATTGCTGACGATCAAGGGGCAGGGCCGCACAAGGAAGATCATGCAATCTCTTCCGTGATGCGTAGCTCAGCAGAATAGGTCTGGTCGGTCAATATTGAGCGACCTCGTCATCGTATGACTGGCATGAATTCAATCGAAGTGAGAGCGGGCTGGCGTCGGTCTATGGTCGGACATGACCTGTAATAAAAAGCGCTTCGTACCGTTCGTCATGGGTCATAGATAATGCAGCCCTGCACAAGAGATACCGATTGACGGCAACACATAATTCTTCTGGGCGCTTCTTCTGTTCGTAGATTGCGGAGTGGAAAAAAAAATTAGCCTGTGTTCTTGCAGATTGTGATCACTGATTGGGCGATAGTACATGTCAAAACCGAACAGCGGCGATAACTTGAATCAATAGGAGTCATAGGCAGACGAAACATAGTAAGAAGAGTCCTACGAATGGAATTGACTCACCCACTTGTTGGAGAAGTCCCGGCAGGCGAGGGCTGGGTGACGTCGAAGCTTGATGTGTGTGATAGTAGTGATGCCGATGATATTCAGATTTGACCTCTGTTGTCCTAATTCACAGGTGGTTCTACGTGCCGAACAACATAACAAGATCGTGGTTGTGCTCGATGGAGAAAAACTTACGGCGGGCGAGGGTGGGCCACACCGACACTGATTCTGATTCTGATGGATTCTAGAGAATCTGGACGGTCTGGACTTTGTTCCATGTACAACTGGTTTTGCGCGTCGAACAACAGATCTAGGTCTCTGTCATGCTTGATGGAGTAAGAACCATGGTGGGCGCCGGTGGGCGCTTGAGGGCGACGCGTCGAAAAAAGTTGTGGCTGTGACTCAGCGCCTGTCAGCGCTTCATGGCTCCTAACTTTTCTCCTTCAAGCATCAATTGTAGTCTTGAAATGAGTGGTATTGTTCTAGTTTAAAAGTGAGTATACATCGTCATTGCAATTCACTTATCTTATGCTCTTCGTCATGGTTGGCAATACTGCTGGCGCCACTACGCTAAAGACGCCTCCTCACAGCGTCAACTCTGTGCCTAAGCTTAACTCCACCCCGCTTGAAATCGGCTCTGTCGCTATCAGCGAACATATCAGTGCTGTAGGCGTTGAGTACGTCCACCTGTCTTGTCGCTGCATCCTCCTTACGTTGATATTGAACTTCGTCCTTCACGCAGCGTCCAAAATGTTCGTCCATGGATTGCGAGCAACGTCGAGGACTATAATTGGCGCGTCGCAGTGGAAAGCAATGTGCTGTCGGATCTGGTACCGAAGCTCTCTCACCATAACTCTCATAAACCCGCCAAGGAGCTGGTTGCCAAGCTCTGCAGGCCACAACTTGAAGAGGCGCACGAGAGCGAACCCGCCATTCTCAAGAGGGTGTATGAGATTGCGAAAAGGGACGATAGTGTGAAGCACCACGTCCCAGAGATATCCTGGTTCCATAAATTTCAGCATACGTCCACAGCGAAAATCAGGAGCGCACTGGGACTTGAAGACCCTGAACTAGGCAGGCGCGTCTTCTACATCATCGTATACAGAAGACTTGAGCCGATCACGGACCTGTGGGACACGCAGTTCCTCAGCACATGGTTGCACATCGTCATCTGTATGTGTTCTTCGTTCTTGCACTCTGTATTCTTCATAAATACTTGCGACACCAGGCCATTATGCTCTCTGGGAGGGAGTTGTCTATCATCACGATGTCAGCCCTAACAATCTAAAGGTATACAAAACCTTAGATGGTCGATGGATTGGCGTTTATAACGACTTCGACTTATCATCGACTCAAGATATTCCCTCGTGCCAGGAGCGCACAGGGACAGTACCTTTCATGGCCATTGAACTTCTTACACAGGCAGCCATCGAAGGCCAGGTCAAGCACCTGTATCAGCATGACGCTGAGTCATTCATATGGGTCCTGGTCTATGTCTGTCTTTGTTATGAACGCGGCGTGTTCATCGGCAAGCGCTCACCGCTCAATGCCTGGCTGAGAGCGGATGCCGTTGAGTGTAGGATGCGAAAGAATGACTTCTTAACCTTCGGTCGTAAAACCGTGGAACCCACACCATCGCAGAAAGATAACTGGAATGTTGCGCGATCTTGCCTGCGTCCTATCCGCTCGTATTATATGGACTCGGACTCTGGCATTGAGAGCTCTGGCTCTGAGCCTGACGCGCTGACAGACGCCGTCGTATTTCAGACATGGTTTGTAAAACAAATACACAAGGCGAAGCCACGGTTACTGGAGCTGGAGCAGCTCCTAGATGTCCGCTTTTAATCTATGTAGTGACATATTATTTATCTTTTGCCCTACGCGTGCGAGTTTGCAATTTCAGTGATTCCTATTTCAAAGTCCTTCAAACAGCCTGAGTATGATACCAACCTCAAGCTCATTACTATGACCGATACTAGGGCTGGAGATGCCTTGATACACTGGTGCAGTAGTATCATTCACTGTGAAGAGGCATTTACGTCGACAACCAGGGGGACGCTAGGAATAGACGACGCTGAATGCGGCAGCCGAGTCTTATGCATCGTCGTACTATCCAGAAAGCTTCTTCCAATCGCGAAGCTGAACGGGGACGAGTTCTTGAGCGCATGGTGGCACAACGTCGTGTGTATGTTGTTCCTTAGCTTGGGTTCATTGTCAAGTTAAATTAACTGCGACAATAGGCCATCGTGTCCTCTGGGAAAGCGGTGTATGTCACAGCGAGTCAGCGACGTTAACCCTAGCAATCTCGTGGTATACCGGACCCCGGATGATAGAGTGATTGGCATCTTCAACGATTTCGACTTATCATCGATTCAAGATATTCCCTCATGCCAGGAGCGCACAGGGACAGTACCTTTCATGGCGCTTGACCTTCTCATGGAGCAAGTCGTTGAAGGCAAGGTCAAGCACCTTTACCGGCACGACGCTGAGTCATTCATATGGGTCCTGACCTGGGTCTGTCTTTGTTATGAATGCAGCGTGTTCATCGGCAAGGGCACACCGCTCGATGACTGGCTGAAAGTGGATGCGATTGGGTGCCACCAGAACAAAAGTAGCTTTTTAAACTTGGTTCGCGGAGTCATAAAACCCTCGGATTCACACCATAAAAACTGGGATTTGGCGCAATCTTACCTTGATACTATCGGCTCTTGGTACGGGATGCGGGCTAGTAGAAGACCCATGGCGGAGGACCACATTGTATTTCAGACATGGCTGGAGGACAAGATAATCGAATCACAGAGACTGTCGCGGGAGCTCCTAGATGTCCGCGTGGAACCTATATCATAATAGAAGCTTATAGACGTTTTGCATGTGACTTTGGCCATTCATCATGACCGAGGCTCAGGCTGGAGGGCAAGGGGCAAATCGATCCCCATGTCCTACCTGATATCATGTGCAAAGATCAACACAGCCTACTCGGGGGCAAAAATATATCGTCGGCATGGAACAACAATCATATGTGATAGGATGCGGATTATATTTTGTTCGTCGTCATCAAAATTATGAGCACGCAATCCGAGCCTGGTGAATGTTTTTGCCTGATGTAGTTGGAGCTATGAGCAGCCGTGTGCATCAGCATCAGCGGCGTCTCTTACATATATCTGTATATGCACGGCTTGCAATGAGTCTGATTGTACCACCTAGGATGGTGGTTCCGACTGGAGACAGTCGGGGAGAGTAGCGAATCTGACTGCCTCGATTAAACACTGTTTAACCAGCCAACGTTTTGATAAAACCTGACGCAGGGTAATCTACGAGGTCTCCAACTTCCAGAACCTCGATTTAACATGTGTCTTATCTCCCATTTTATATTATGTAAAGAGTGAACAATTTTTTGCCTTCTGTTGATCTGCCTAGCGTTGTATGCCCCTGCATGAATAGTGTTTGCATCTTCGACATGCACACACTAATCCCGCAAGAGCATAGTCTGATGGGGGCGATGCGGCCGTCACGATGCCCTAGTCATGGCTACATCTCCGAGCCTTTAGCAGAATAGTCGTTCAGTGCGCTTCATTAGAGCAGGCGACGTAATACTACTCACAAAGGTATGCGCCAATCACGCTACTAGTACCTCGCGGCGTATAATAATTTAAATATCATCATGAGCGGGGGTAGTGATTAAGTTCAGGAAGACCCCGGTAGAAGTAATGTTGCACGAATCGGTGACCATTAAGCGGCAGGGCCGCACAAGGAAGCTGATCTGATCTCTTTTGTGATGCGTAGCTCGGCAGAATCGGTAAATGTTGAGCGACCTCGTATGTTTTTGATTGGCATGAACTTGTCAAAACAAGCGAGAGTGGGCTGGCGTTGGTCGATAGTCAGACATGGCTCGTAAAAAGTGCTTCGTACCGTTCCTTATGGGTCATAACCAACGCAGCTCTTTGCGAATACCGATTGACATCAACACATAATTCATCTGCGTGATTCTTCCATTCATGGACTACGAGTGGAAAAAAAATTAGCCTGTGGTCTTGAGATTGTGAATATTGATTGGGCGATAGTACATGTCAAAAACGAACAGCGAAAATAATCGGAGCTGTAGGCAGACGAATCATAGTAAGAAGTGTTCTAAGAATGAAATCGACTCGCCTAGTCGTTGGAGAGGGTCTCGGCGGGCGAGGGCGGATAACGTCGAAGCTTGATGTGTGATAGTAGTGATGCCGACTCATCTTCAAATTTGACTATGTTGTCCCAATTCACAGTTGATTCTACACGCCAAACAGCAGAACAAGATCGCGATTATGCTCGATGGAGAAAAAAATCACGGCGGGCGAGGGTGGGGTACGCCGACTCACCTGTCAGATTCATGATGGAGCATGATGGAGTCTGATGGAGTCTGATGGATTCTGGAGAGTCTGGACCATGTCACAGCAGGTATTGCGCAATGCGCGTCGAATAACAGAGCTTGGTCTCTCTATTATGCTCAATGGAGTAAGAATCACGGTGAATGACAGTGGGCGCTTGTGGGCGACGTCGAAAAAAGTTGACGTGATGGCTGAATCAGACTGTCAAACTGTGGTTCGGCGCTCAATTGCAACCGTGGCTCTTAGTAACTCATCTCCGCAAGCATCTATTGTGGCCAGTTGTGGCCTCAAAATGTTTGAACGATAGCAAAACCGATAGCGTTGTTCTATTAGCTTAAAAGCGAGCATCTATCGTCATTGCAACTCACTTTGTCTTACGCTCTTTATCATGGTTGGCAATCCTGCTGGCGCCACTGCGCCAAAGACGCCTACTCACGGCGTTAAATCTGAGCCCAAGCTCAACTCCACCCCACTTGCAGTTGGCTCTGCCGCTATCAGCGAACATATTAGTGCTGTAGGCGTTGGGTACGTTCACTGTCTTGTCGCTGTGGCCACCATATGTTGTTATTGAACTTAGTCCTTCACGCAGCGTCCGAGATGTTCATCCATGGATCGCACGCGACGTTGAGGACTACAAGGAATGCGCCGTCGATAAAATGCTGGCTGAGCTCCTTTACCGCTGCAAAGATAACTCAAAACCACTTCCTGACAAGTCGACACTGCTTGATGATTCCCTCAAGGCCGTCCTGCCCATCTGCAACGAGGGTAACGACGCTCAAATCATCAAGAACCATCTGGTTACTCTGTAAGTCAGAACTCCAAATCCTTTGGAATGATATTAACAGATCAATGACGCTTTGAAGTTTGGGCTGCCCAAAAGAGCCTCCTATGTACGTGCCTTTTATCAAAGCTGCAAACTGTGCGCTCGGTCGACTGAGCAACCTGGACGCGCCTGGACTGGTTCCTTATAAGGCGCAAAAGGATTCCGAGAACATCTTATTTCATCTAAACGACCCATCCCCTATTTATCAAACGTACCAAGGCAAAGATTCCAAACGCTGTCCCGACGTCGTCGTCGTCTCCCATGCAATCGCCAAGGAGGTGGGGCAGATTAACGCAAAGAAAATTTACAAGGCGGGGTTGTGCAAGCCCACCCGCAGGTTCGAATGGACGGATGTTCGAACGACGGTGGAGTTCAAACATACGAAGGCTGCCCGTACACCGCCGCCTGCGACTTACGCAGCGAAGACTTACGATATCTCTGAAGCGAAGAAGTTTATGAAGTACCAGAGGGAAAAGGAAAAGAACGACTCTGCTAACGAACCTGAGCCAGGAGTTCCAGCGCCTTTGTCTGCTAGCGGTGCTGCTACGGGTTCGCGACAGACATCGAATGCGGGTAAGCTATCCAGCATGTCCCACTTATGCTTCCTCACGACCATATGCGATACAGCAGGACGCTCAAACCTATCTGAGCCACCCAGTAACAAAGGAGAGAAGAAGCGTTCCTCTACTGGTCCAGCTGACGTCCGCAGCAGCAAGAAAGCCAAACTCGGAGTCGATGAACCGAACGAGCCAAAGGAGCCTATAAGACCTCCTCCTGTCGTGCAGAATGGTTTGTACGCTGCGGAGATGTTCGCGGCCCATTTTGCACGGCGGAGCGTCATCTCTTACATTGTGGAGGGTAAGTTAATGAAGTGCTGCAGGTCTCTCGTGACATTGATCACTCGTACCAGACGACATGATTTACACGTGGTACTTTGATCGGCAGGGCGCAATTCAATGCTCTGGCATCAACTTCGTCCAGGACCTTCCCCGCTTCATGGTTTTGCTGCTTGCTATGCAGCGAATGCCATACGCAGAGTGGGGCTACCACACGCTACGTGAGCTTGAAAATCCGGGCGATATTCGGGTCGAGGACGAAAAGATCGGAGAGGTTGACCTCAAATTCAATCTGACGTCTAACAAGCGCACCACTCACTTTGGTCTGCGCGGACGTGCAACCACCATGTTTCCTGTGGAAAGCAAGAAGTTGTCGGATCTGGTACCGAACCTCCCTCACCATAACCCTCATAACCCCACCAAGGAGCTGGTTGCCAAACTCTATTGGCCAGAGGATGCGCGCGAGAGCGAGCCTGACATTCTCAAGAAGGTGTATAAGATTGCGGAGACCGACGCGAGGGTGAAGCACCACGTCCCGGAAATGGTGTGGTTCCATAAGTTTGAGGATACATCCACGGCGAACATCAGGAGCGCGCTTGGACTCCAGGACCCTAAACTTGGCAGGCGCATCTTCTACATCATCGTGTTCAGAAGGCTTGAGCCGATCACGGACTTGTGGGACACGCAGTTCCTCAGCACATGGTGGCATGCCGTCGTTTGTACGTGTCCTTTCTTCTTGCGCTCCTTATTTTTCATTAATACCTGCGACACCAGGCCATTATGCCCTCTGGGAAGGATTTGTCTATCATCGCGACGTCAGCCCTAGCAATCTCATGGTCTACAAGACCTCAGATGGTCGATGGGTTGGCGTTCTCAACGACTTCGACTTATCATCGACTCAACATATTCCCTCGGGCCAGGAGCGCACAGGGACAGTACCTTTCATGGCCATGGAACTTCTCACAGAGGCAGCCATCGAAGGCCAGGTCAAGCACCTGTATCGGCATGACGCTGAGTCATTCATATGGGTCCTGGTCTTTGTCTGTCTTTGTTATGAACGCGGCATGTTCATGGGCAAGGGCGCGCCGCTCAATGCGTGGCTGAGAGTGGATGCAGACGGATGCCTCAAGGAAAAAACTAAATTCTTCCTCTTTACTCGTAAAACCATGAAACCCACGTCATCGCACGAAGATAACTGGAAAGTTGCGCGAGCTTGCCTTCGTCCTATCCGCTCGTATTATATGGATCCGGACTCAGGCTCTGAGAGCTCTGAACCTGAACCTGCCGTGCTGACAGACGCCGATGTATTTGAGAAATGGCTTGACAAAAAAATACTCAAGGCAAAGACACGGTCACCGGAGCTCACGCGGCTCATAGACGCCCACTTGTAATCTATGTACATAATATATAGAAGTTGTCACCTTTACACGCATTTAGCGTGCAGAGTCCTTCGAGCAATATAATATGAATAGCAGCCTCGAGCCCCCCACTATGACCGATATTGTGGAGATGCCTTGATACCCTAGTGCAGTAGTATCATTCACTATGAAGATATAAATTAGCAACCAGGAGGGCGCTAGGAATGGATGACGTTGAATACGGCAGCCGCGTTTTATACATCGTTGTACTATCCAGAAATCTTGCAATCTCGAAGTTGAACGGGGACGAGTTCCTGAGCGCATGTGTTAGTTGGTCAGACCGCCGCATGCGCATAGCCGTTACTCCAGCATGGTGGCAAATCGTCGTTTGTGTGTTATTCCTTAGCTTGGATTCTTCATTAAGTCGATTGACTACGACAATAGGCCATTATCCTCTGGAAAAACGGTGTTTATCACTGCGACGTCAACCCCAGCAATCTCATGGCATACCGGACTCCAGACGGTCGACTGGTTGGCGTCTATCATCACCTCGAGATAGTACCTGAGGCCATCATGAGTCATGAGCCTGCAGGGGCACCACCTTTCATGGCGCTCGACCTTCTCACACAGGACGTCATTGAAGGCCAGATCAAGCTCCTGTACCAGCATGCCACTGAATCATTCGTATGGGCCCTGATCTGGGTCTGTACTTGTTATGAAGGCGGCATGTTGAATTCATCAGCAAGGCCACACCGCTCAATACCTGGTTGAGAGTGGATGTGATCGGATGCCACGAAAAAGTAGCTTCTTATTCTTCGAGTTGTTGGACCATAGCACCCTCGTCATCGCACCAAGGGATCTGGGACATTGTGCACTATTGCCTTTTAACTATCGCCTCCCATTATGAGCCGAATTTGGCCGCCTTGATACCCACACTGAGACGTCAGACATGCCCCGGAATTGAGAAGAACATACTTGGGGGCAAAAACACTGTCGCAGGTGCTCTCAGATGTTCGCCTGTAAATTGGGTAGTCTGTAGTAGCCGGCCTCCAAAGGGACACGATCATGCAGCATATCTCGAAGCAGCAGGAATGTTTCTTCAGCATCACGGGTGCCCGTGTCATGCGTACATTCGTGTAACTAGCAAATGAGCTTCGTTCCAACCCTTCGCCACCTGCATTTCAATGCACACCCATAAATCACCCAACAATGTGGTACGACTCACAAAGATATGCGCCAATCGCACTCGGCCTATGATAATTCGAACATTATCGTGAGCAAGAGTAGTGATTACGTGTAAGAAGATCCCGGTAAAAGTAATGTTACACGAATTGGTGACGATTAAGGGGCAGGGCCGCACAAGGAAACTCATGTGATCCCTTCTGCGATGCGTACATAGCTCGGCAGAATAGGTCTCCACGTTGAGCGACCCTGTCATCATAGGACTTTCGTGAACCAGTCAATTGGGCTGGCGTCCTCTATAGTCAGAAAATGGCCCGGAAAAGACACTTCGTACCGTTTTGTCATGGGTCATAGCCAACACAGCCCTGCGCAAGAGACGCCGATTGACAGCAGCACAAAAAATTGCTGCGTGACACGTCTTAATTTCCATTTCATATTAAAGAACGAAGGGCTTTTTGCCTTCTATTGATCTGCCTAGCGTTGCATGCCCCTGCATGAATAGAGTCTGCATCTTCGACATGTACACACTAATCCCGCAGGAGCACAATCCGCTAGGGGCAATGCGGTCGTCGCAATGCCCTAGTCATGGCTACATCTCCGAGCCTTTAGCAGAATAGTTGTTCAGTACGCTTCATCAGAGCGGCAGGCGTGGTGCTACTCACAAGAACATGCGCCAATCACGCTACTACCTCGTGGCCTATAATGATTCAAACATCATCGTGAGTAACAGTATTGATTTAAGACCAAGAAGATCCCGGTAAAAGTAATGTTGCACGAACCGGTGACGATCAAAGGGCAGGCCGCACAAGAAAGCTGATGCGATCTCTTCCGTGATGTGTAGCTCAACAGAATAGGTCTGGTCGGTACGCGTTGAGCGACCTCGTTCATCCTGAGGCTATTTCATTTGAATCAGACAACATCCAAGTCCAGGAGGAGGCCGCTCAGTTACTAACGGTTAGCGGTTGCTAATTCATAATTACATAATTGGAACTTATCCTTATTTGATTCGAAGCTTATCTCAATTTCCTGCTGCCATCGATCAAACGTTTGTTTTACAACTTGCAAAATAAAATGTCTCAATATCACCTCTGCTAACTCTTCATTCTGATATCGATATCATGACCTCCAAGGATGGTTTGTCCTGCCTTGATTCAACCGTAGTCACACCTCATGACAGCTTTGCAGTGCTCGTTGGTGTCATCGGTGGTAGTGGGCTATATCATCTTGATAACCTGACTTTCGTGTGAGTTGTGACCTGAACGACTTATGTTCTGCACCTCACGACAAACTCCTCAGGGAGAAAGTTAACCCAGAAACTGTTCGTCTTCCTCCAGATCTAAGAGTCTCCATGATCTTAATCAATCTGCATTGCTGTCTTTTTAGCCTTGGGGATACCCATCTTCGCCCATAACCATTTGCTCGCTACCTTCAGGATCCAAGATCGCTTTCCTCGCTCGTCACGGGCATCACCACTCGATTGCACCCTCAGCAGTCCCTTCTCGCGCCAATATCGCCGCTTTGAAGTCTTTGGGAGTCCGAGTTATTCTCGCATTCAGTGCTGTCGGCTCTCTCCGCGAAGAAATCACCCCAGGATCTTTTGCCATTCCTACCCAGATCATCGATCGCACGAAAGGCATACGTCCGGCTAGCTTCTTTGAGGGCACGAAGATCGTCGCTCATGCTGCTTTTGGTGATCCATACAGCATGAAGTTGGCCCGCTGGCTGGAGGTGCGAGTAGAGAAGGCTCTTGCAGACGAAGGCCGAGGAGTGGTTCTCCACAGGGATAGGTGCATCGTTTGCATGGAAGGTCCTCAGTTCTCCACCCGGGCCGAGAGTATCATGTATCGAGCGTGGGGTGGAGATCTCATTAATATGAGCGCTTTGCCCGAGGCGAAGTTAGCTCGGGAGGCGGAAATGAGGTGACTCAACCATTTGCTTTGCTTTGACTCGACTGAGAATCTATTTAGCTACGCGTTAATCGCAACTGCCACAGACTACGATTCATGGCGGCCTCATTCTGAGGCAGTCACTGCTGCGGAAGTGTTCAAGACCCTGCAGGATAATGCTAATACATCGAGGCATGTTGCAGCTGCTGTTCTTGAAGACCTTCACGCTGCCGCGTTGGATGGGGACATTCTGAGTGAAGAAAAGGGCAGCATGCGTTTTTCCATCATGCCGAGAAGTGGCGAACAGGACCAGGAAGATATCAAGAAGCTGGCTTTCATACTACCCGACTATTTCACGATAGGCGATGTTGCTAACTAGATGCTATCATCTTAGTGTTGGCCTAGAGTGGTGTGCAGATTCACCTACGATCTGGGTTTTCTTAAATACCATATATCTCCTTCAAAAATCAATCATTTCACCGCCTGGCAATCCACATGTGGGAAGAGCTCTCGGCAGGTGTTGGCATAGCATACCGGCTTGAAAGTAGATGCGAAGTAGTAAGACTACTAGTACTAGTTTGTTCTACCGAGTTAACTTTCTTCGGTAGTTATTGTAAGGATCCGAATAAGCAAATGAAAAGGAACAATTAGGCTCGAAGAGGACGGAAATCAGGGGATGCGGGGGCCGTAAAATTCTGCTCATTGCAAGAAAGAAAAGGATGCGGTAAAGATCCTGCCTGATCATCGGGTAGTGTCCACAGCTGGCTGGTCGGTGATTATCCCCATGTCAGATCTGTGCGACAGTATGAAGTAGTTAGCATGACTGCGAAGCTCGCCTCGGTGGGCAATTTTGGGGTATGAAACGCGGCACGTTTGTGTATCTACAGGTTGTGCTCGGCAATGTAGCGCATGATGAGGAGCGAAGCCATGATGTCTGATGGTTGAGTCAGCCACTGTCCAAGAACACACAACAGCAACCTGCCTATGGAAAGATGACAAAATGATTCGTGAACGGTCAGAGTGTTTCCGGAGACACCGTAAGCTGGCATGTGTGGTTGACGAAGATCAAAATGAGCGACAAGGTAATTTTCTTCTGAAATGCACTGTGGAAAAGACAGTTTCAGGGGCATGTTAGCGGAAAAAGCATAATGTAACGTACCGACCACTCATGACCGTCTGCGCTGTGGTACTCCCATCTGTATTCCCGGCCATCACTCGCCCGAAATTTTCTGGAGAGAGATCTGTGGTACATCAGGTTTGGCTGCAGCAACACAGGAGAACAGCATACCCTCCGAAAAAGGCCGTCTTTCGTAGGTATCTGCTCATCGGCATCGTCATGCTGGGCGCAGGAGGGTAGAAAAAGCTGATGTTTCCTAGGCCTCCTGCAGTGCCCTCTGCAAACTCGAGTATCACTGAAGGTTGCCTCTCCAGATGCCGCGTGTCACCGTGCCGAGTGGAACGGCGTCCCATGTTGTAAATGGCCAGAACGCTGCCATTTCTGGCAGGAGAATGCGGATGGGGTACGACTCGGATGAACATGCGATCGTAGATGTCGTCATAGTCCGAGCCAGCTATGTGGCCTGTTCGATCCTCAAACATATAGGGCATTTGAAGAGGTCTCATAACACTTGTCGAGGAGTTGAATGATATAGAAGTCGGGGCGCGAATGCGAAAATAAAGTATTGACCTGACCGGTCCCTCTTATATAGCCTCGCGCGCTTCATGACCTGTGCGGTCGCTTCCTCGGGTCAGTCAGGTCCAAAAAGGGAGCCAACTTAGACTCCAGATAGGTTGAGTTGTTGGCGCGCAAGTGTATTCTGGTTCTCGCGGAGTTGCAATTTGCCCTGACAAAGTACCACTGGATCATCTGTAGAGCGGAAAAGGACACCTGCCTTGGGGTACTGGTCGCGTCATTGACTTGGGACAGGCAATATCCCCAGCTTGTGAGGCACGAGCCCGTACACAGCGGACAATGGTTGCGATTGATTGCATGGGACTATGTCGTGGCTGCCGAGCCGAGCAGTGAACAATAGGATCTAACCTTTGCTGTGTACAAAGTTGAAGCACGATGCCAATCCTTACGTTATTGCCCTCAAAGGTAATCCAGGGAATGGAAGCCTGCAAAGTCAAATGATACATCCAACCAATGAAGTGCACGAGACGTCCCACCTGTAGTCTTGCCCCACTACGAACGTGCGAAACTTCTCCACTTGCTCCCTTTTTCAACAACATGTGTTGATTGGACATGTCACGGGCTCAGGCTGACAACGACGTGTGCCTTGCGCAAAGCGCAGGAACCAGGACCGGGAAACCTGCGCAGTGGCACCTATGGCTGCGCTTATGAGAACACCGGATCCAGGCGCCAGACTATGTAAGCTCTTGCACTCACAGGAATGGTGATCGATGATCTTAGACCCCACGCTCATTGTAAGGGAAGCACTGCGTTCAAGGCCCAGAATCGGTGGCTTGGCAAGCATGTCAATAAAGTGGTTAGCTTGAATACATTGCTGACTGAAAGGTTGAGCACGAGCGTAAGGTGTCAGGGAAGTCGTGAGAAGCACGTGAGAGGCATACAGTGGATTCTCTCTAAAAATATGACCATATGATAAGTCAAGTTTCAGAGCATAACGACCATAAACATGGTTAGTAAGAGCCAATCAAAAGAGGGGAAGTGTTGCCAGGATCATTAGTAACCACTCGGCGCGCTATAGCATTGTGGGAAGTAGTACGCCCTACGATGTGGAGCGTAGAATTGGGCTGGAGTCGGAAGTACTCCAAGTAATTAGGTGATGCGTAAAGTGGGGAAAAGGAGTCCAGCCCTGGGCATCGATGGGTTTCCCTTGGGGTTCCCCACTGGTTTCCCCGCTGAATGCCGCACAAAAATTATGAAATAGAAGCACATGATTTAAACTAGTTTGCACATGCACGTTGGACAGTGAGGTGACAGGGCAGTAGTTCGAGACTCACAGTTTCGATGCAGGGCTGAGTTACTGACTTCGTTAAGTTACACACTCTTCGTCATTCAAGAGACAAAATGATAGCATCCAGAGAAGGCATTCTCGTACGAGCAGCAATTTAGCGATCTGAACACGAGACCATGAACAGAATGAACAGGATAATATGGAAGCGTACGGGAGAAGCCGTTGGCAGGGAACGACATTCACCACATCTTTCCCCCATCGAACCCACCGTCTGCGCCAATATTAGTTGCAGAAGTCTTCGCATCTAAGAACAGCTCGTTCATCTCCCCAATATCCTCCACTTCTATCTGGTTTCTTCCGGAAAGACCGGCGAGAATTGAAGCTGGTGTAAGAAGTTGGAGAGCATATCTGTAAAGACAGTCATGAGAAATTCACTGCTAATTGACATATCTCGTACCGCATGGATCCTCGTTCGCCCTCCTCTGCTATTCGCTCCAAAACCCCAGAACCCAGTTTGAGACCTTCGACGTTCGCACGTAATTGTACTACCTTGCCGATTTGCTCGCGATTGTATCCATCGGTCTTTACAATGAGACACCTTGTCAAGGGAATCAGTTGAAAGTTCCGTCATGAGGTTTGCAGACTAACCGATCCAACAAGTCTACAGGGATACCATGAGGTGAGACAACGTCGGTCGTCCCTCGCACTAGTGCATTTCCGCGATTGGTAGCAAGTATTACAGTAGGCGCCATGGGCGATTCAAGGAGGGCATTGAGATAAGTGAAGCACTCGATATCCAACATGTGTACCTAAGGAAAATGTTTAGCATCGTCCCGACGGAACGTGAGAAGACAGATACCTCATCAATGAAAACTACGCCCGGAACAACCTCCGCAACGCCCTGGTCTACGTAGCCTTTCACTACCTTGTTAACTTCTCTTCGAAGTTTATCTGTCACCTCCGTCCTTCCGCTCTTCACGAGGCTACCCATGACGCTCATGATGTCTTGACCGCCTTGTGGACGTGCATTGGCGGCATCAAGATCGCCGAGGGTAACGTCTTGGACAAGCTCTTTGCGCTTGTGAACGTCGCCTTTTGGTAATGGTACGTATGTCTCGGATTCGAGGTCGTAGGAGGAAGCATATGCATCAGAACGTCCAACTCTCTGCATGAAAGGAAATCAATCTGTATACCCTTGATCAAACAATACTGACATACCTTGACTGCACCTGTGTTGGCTTCCACATAGATAACATCACCGACCACAATTTTTTCTTTGAGGATTGCTTCATAGATGGTGGGATCTAGTCGCAGCTGCTTGGTACCTTTGACGGTTTTGAGACCAACGATAACATGCGAGACTGTTTTTCCGTATCCGCTCAATGGGTTCTCAGATTCTGCGGGTGTGAGTTCGGTGACCTCTCCTTCATAAACTTCCTTGGTTTCTTTTATCCGCAGACCTGTCGAAAAAGGATGATTTGAGCGTGAATTCGTAGATCCGAGCCAGGACATAGGCAACGCCATCTGTACCACAACAAAGACGCGCGTTCACGAGAAACCTCACAAGAACTCCAAATATCTAAGATACTCACCGATTGCCCTCCTGAACGATTCTGCAAGTACCTCCGTCTTCTTCACCTCTGTGCTATACACCTCAGAACCAACCATTGGGCAAAAGGGCACTTTGGCGCCGAGTTCGTGCGAGACTGCTAGAGCAAGGGCTGTTTTTCCTGTTCCAGGCGCACCTACAAGTAGTAGCGCGCGTCCCGAAAATTTGCGGGATTTGATGAGATCCACCACCACACCACATGCCTACGAGCTTTGTCAATTCCAGGCGAAGGAGAAAAACGACGTTATTATAACCTCTCGAGCATTAGTTTGGCCTATGAATCCTGCACCGTCAGGTGCTGCAAGGCCTTCTGATGTGAGCCCCAATCCTTTTATGTGCGAGTGAGGAGCGATTCTGGAAGAACGAGCATTGGATGTTGCGGAAGGTGGGGGTAGAGCATTGTGAGCGACAGGTGCTGATGTAGATGGTGTTGCGCTTGTTGCTTTCATGATGGCTTTTCCCTGAGTCGCGTTGAAGCGCGACAATCGTGACTTGTCACATCAATATTATGTCAGCAGGAGGTTGTTTATTTCTAAAGCCGTTGCCAAACAAACCCCAATTCCATTACCTCGAGAAAATCGAGGATCTAACTTCTGCAGTGCTATTTTCATCGTGTTTTACATATGTAGATGGTCGATTAGTGTGGTAGCACGACAGTAAAATTCACTGGCAGATATCCTGCAAACCATGCACTCGACGTATCAACTGCTCTGTTCGAGTCGTCTGAACATATGTTACCAGTCCGCAAATCCAACAAGCCTCCCGTCCCATGTCCACCAAATCATCTCATCCTCTTCTGGAATTTCTTCGCTCGATATTATTGCCGAATCTTCGATTATTCTCTGTCGGCTGCGAATCCATACACCTTCCACCTTTCCGCCTTTCTTTTTCTTCTTTATATCATCTCTTGTAGGATGTTCACCGGATTCCTCAAGAAACTGGTCTAGCAGCGCGTCAAAAGCACCGCTGAGGGTTTGCCTAGGCACCCATGCCGGGTGCATAAATTTTCGCGGAGCACGCAGCACTATGTGCGTCTGGGTCGGAGCTATGTCCGGAATAGCATCAGGGTGGGTGTAAAGGAATTGATAAGATGGGCGCTACTTACCCATTTCGCTGGCCATGCCCTGTCCATCATTTTCTCCGCATGCGCTTGCAAGGGTGCGAGAGAGCAAGCGTTCGGCAGTGCGGTGGGCTTCCAGTTCTTGGGCGTAAGTGTGAGGCAGTAGTTGCGGTGGTGGAGGCGGGGAAGAGGAGGGAGATGGTGTTCTAGATGGTGGTGGGGAGGGTGCTTGTGAAGATTCATCGGACTCTTCATCGCCTGAATCATCACTGCTATCACTGCCACCTTTTTCGTTGAAGTCGGCTTCGCCATCACTATTGTTGTCCGAGTCAGACTCCTCCTCATTATCACTTTGTTCTTCGACATCCTCCGCTCCCTCCCTACCAAGTTCAGATGGTTCACCCGAGCAATCATTCCGTTCTCCCCAGACCTTTGCTTCCAAAGCATCCACTCCCACCATTACCTTGCATTTGGCGGATCCGGGCGTGGGACCAAGAACGACTGCAAGGTAGGCACGACCAGAGTTTTGAGCATCTTTTCCTGGTGTCCCACTGCAGAGGGCAAATGCCGTAGATAGTGCTGTGAATGTCGTATTGAGGTGTGACGCGAGGGTATCAAATGAATTGAGAAGCTCCTGGCGCTTCTTCGCAGCTCGAGACGTGGCCTTCGTTGGGTCAGTGTTAAATTCAGATAAATTGGCAGGGCACATACATCGCCACCAGGCATCCGTGCCATCTGCATGACAGGGCTATACGATAATTAGCAAACGATTCGATTGCAATCGTTCGAACTTACAAAGGAACCTGACTCTTCAAAAACAGCACATGGCCGACCAAGCTAATGCACAATCTGGCGGCCATAGAATCTGTCACAAGATCGGCGTCGAGTATGATGGATGGAATCTTCGTAGGAGGTGGAGGCATTGGGGCAGGCCGGCTGTTCGTACAGGTATCCTCTATTTCTTCGGGAGGTTCGTGGCTTTCTAGCTTGCAGTCAGAGAGTGCGAGGACACGCATGATCGGAGGTGAACCAAGCTGGACGAGGTGACACTAGGTACATGTGACGTCACGCGCTCAACGCGTTTGCGTCACGTGCCAGATATTGTTTTCATACCCCCAACTTGCCCCCAACTTCAGTTGTGTCACAACGTCCATCATACAGAAGCCCTGATGGCTCAGTTGGTTAGAGCGCAGGTCTCATACATCTGTATGACCGGTATTATTATCGGGCAATCCTGAGGTCGCAAGTTCGAACCTTGCTCAGGGCACATATAGTTTTGCCACTCGATCACGAGGTGCCAGGGCAATTATCATGTGGACAGTGGACACCTTTCTTTGACAGCCGCTCCAAGGCCGAAACAGGCCCAGTCAATAATTGGAGTGGTGATTGTTTTCTACTGAAACAAGTTTTTAGGTATGCAACACTTTTTCGATCGTCTGCTGTCGTGCTACTAGCCTTTGGATCCGCGTGCCCCTCCCAGTGTGGTCATTTTGATATTTGGTGTTCATTATTAGCAGGGTTCGGTATCGTTGTAAGCTTTTATAGAGCGCAGCCCCATAAACGGCATCGGGCACCAGGGCCTCCGGGTCTCAGGCCGACGACAAACCATCGCAAGAAGGACGTGTGGCCAGGTTGGTCTCATAGATGTCATAGGGCGGCTCAAGCTGAATTCGACTATTTCTTGGGATTCCCCAGTAGTAAATCTTGCTACAGTGCGGCCGCCAATGTAACGTAAGTATCACACATGGCGCGACCTGTTACTTATATAGTCAAAGGCAAGTATAGATCGATGCCCAGGTGTCCTTGTCAAATCAGACAATGCATCGTCAATTTCGTCGTCTTACAGGGATACTTTGCTTTGCGTTTCAATTGCGCCTTCGCCGGCGTGTTATCCACTACCATTTGGATCGACGCTCGTTGGGTGAGTATTGGTCGAAGGCTCGTGTAAGAGTCCGCGTTCGCTTTTCTTTTCTTATTGCTGAGGGCGTATCCTACTAGAAGTGCCGCACAAGACACAATTTCATTTCATAGTATCACGCAGGTGGTTCCGAACTTCCCGTGAGACATGTCTCGAGGCTTCATGTGAGTTGTGCTTAGCTATGGTGCTGTTTGAGCGTTCTAATGTGCACTTCGCACTGAATGGAGGTGGGGGGGTCGAAGACACTCTTTGCACCAGTGTATAATTATGCATTCATGACATGCTGTAAATTCTAACTAGAATTAAGGGCGACGGATATCCTTCAACTTCAAAAGGTAATATGTTTCACAAAAACACCTAGCAACCCCGCCGTCAACCTGACCCAGTCTGGTTGCAGTAATAATAATACTAATGGCAATTCAGATCGACCGTGCTCCGTGCTGGTGAATTGAATCGTGGCACTTACCATAGGGAGGACAGTGTAGCAGCAAGCTGCTAGGTAGCCACTTGTACAAGGCTGTGAGTAGCTTTGGCACTGCTCATCATTAACGCTCCCCGGCTCAGATAAATTCTTCACAACACAGATGAGCACCAATGTATTTCGCCGTTCATTAAACCCACTCACCTCCTCGCAGCAGCGGGCTGTGCCTGTACCACAGTTGGTCGAATTGGATGATGCCTTGACACTGGCTTGTGAAACGAGAAGAAAGATGGCAGGAACTAGGAAAACACGAACGAACATGTCAATTGGCGCATTGAAACCTCAAATGAGTGCCATTTGAGCAAACGCGGCCATCGGCCTATCGCCTGAATGTGTCCATTTTACTGCGGAACTGAAACTATGAGTTAGCCAGTCTTGGCGAAGGGTGAGTCTAAAGTAATGACCCAGACTTGATCTCACAGGGCGATTGCCCATAGACTTCCATGTGGGATAAAATTGCCACTGCAGCCCAGTAGACAGGCTGTCCGATTGGTGCTTGCTCCGAGGAGGAGGGGGCAGGCAGGGGGAACTAGGATTCCGACTCCCAAAACAGAGCTCCACCCAGGACCGGGCTAAACTTACAACTATTCGCGGCGAAGCTTCGTTGCCTACCATCCAGGATCATGCACAAATCATGCCACCAATTCAAAGGTGGCCCATCTGACTCTGATCTCTATAAGGTTCCAATTGATTTATTCGGTTTAAGGTGCCACTAGGTGATAACGCCATCACTTCGCAGCTCCACCCGAAACGAAACCGATAGCGGACCGCCGTGTTGACGAGTTCTGGCATGTAATTTATCCTTCGAACACGTCGTACTAGCGAAGGGAACGTTCTATCATCGGAACGGGCGTCTGAACTAAGTTCATGTTCTGGTGAATTTAGCACCGTGCTGATTCCTCGTGATAATGACTGTTGTCCCGACCAGGTAATTAGCCGCCTTCAACCCCCGTTTTCATAGGCTTTGCGCGACAGCTAGAATTCAAACCTGTCATCTATCCTAAATTATCTTGCCACATCATTCACCCTGAGCCATGAGGGCGAATCCAGAATCCAAAAAGCGAGGCAGGTATGAGTAGAATGTTAACCTCACCATGCACGTCACTATTCGATCTGATTGGGCGACCGGCCAAAAAGGTGATGACGGAGCTGGGGAAGCGAAGAACGGAGGAAGTAGTCATTTGACGTTGGGTCACTTATGCAACGGGGCAGGCTACGTTCGGCTCAGGATGACCTGGGAAAAGAGATGTGGTGTTTATTGGTTGCAAGCACCTTCTAGGGCAGTCAGGCGTTTTATATTGGATTGTGGTTGTGCGCCGAAAGGGTGGGAATCAAGCTGCGGGAGGGGGATGATTTGTTTCCGGTAGATGTGGCGGACATGATGGACTTTAGGCCGGGGGACAAGGGCAACTCGAGCGAGCTCAGTGGCCTCGTCTATGTCAGGCAGGATGCCCCACTGCTCAAATCTGTTAAAGAATACGTGCAAAACTAAAAAAAAAAAAAGCAAGGAACTTGAGTGAGGCTGTGCCTTGAAGCACAGGAAGGTATGGCAGATACTCTACGCGTGTCAGAACTTTGGCAAACTTCCGGGGCTGCCAGTGCTTGCCCATAGCACTGAATCTATATCCGTCTTGAAAAGTTAACCATTCTATGGCGGTAGATATGTCGCCGTCTAGCCACCTCTTCAACTGGAGACCCGGACCTCTCTCGGACAGCGGCGGTTGCATCTTTTCATGTGAATTGTAGGATTGGATGGACAAGGAGACACGCAGGCTGCCACCCGGTGGGTACGTCTGGCCAAGTATGGTATCCAGCGATAAATCGAGGTTTATCGTTATCGATACGGCAGTCATTAATATTTCATTCATCGGCTGATATAGACAATGGTCTTCGAACTGGCTGTCATCGATGCTGAGGAGTATGTTGAACGCACGAGCGTATGATATCCGCCCAGGATCTGAATCATCCGAGTCCTTCTGCACGACGAAAAAAAAATTAGAATTCAGAAAAAGCAACGCGAGAAGAACCGCGACATACCTGGTTTATCTCGTGCGAGTCGGTATAGACGAATAATTGTGTGGTTACTATGCAATGCCTGATATAGGGGTTAACGTGCTAGAGATTACAGAGACGACATAATGGCAACACTGTATCAGCGAATCTTGTTCGCACGCGTACGAAATACGCAGGCAGAGAGTATTAGTATGGTCTAGGTGAGCTGGATTTAGAAGGGATACTAGTATAAAGGGGGTGATGAGAGTGCCAACAGTGTTACCCTTCCGTAATATTTCGGTTCCCAAATCTGCAGAAGAGAGAATTTCTATATTTCTATACATGCCGCAAGGAAACTGCTAAGATGCCGTGCCCTATTAGTTGTGCTTTGCGAGGTGTGGGGAGGTTGGGTGTGTGAGCGTGTAGAGACTGCAGGACATTATTATTGCTGGGTGTAGTCGGCAGGCAAATGCCACGGATGGGCGAGGTTGGGCATGGGAATCAGGGCAAGGGACAGCGAAAGGTGCGAGACTAAGCAGCGAGAGTTCTGGTGAGCACTCGGCAAGGGCGCCAGCAGACGCGTAACGGCAGGTGTTGAACTGTATATACGAGATGGAAATAACTTGACAATGGGGTCTTGACCTCTACTGGTGAGCTGATCCACGTACCTTGGGAGGAACAGAGTTACCAGTCCCCTGTTACTCTTCCGAACTTTTTCGGTTCCCAAACATTGCGTAAATTTGAAGTCCGAGCATGTGTCATAAGGAGAAGTCAGCAATTTCCTCAGCATAATTGCTGCAGTGTTCCCTTGAGCTCGCACTACCAAGTAAATCAACTTGTTTGTTGCTCAATTGTCGCTGGCCACATGCTTTGGGGTCTGCATGGTGCAATCATCAGTACCTTGTCAGTGAAGGACTTCACATCAGGTAATTAAGTTATGGTTTACTCACAAACCTTCATTAATATTAGAAGTTCTTGTTATCATAGGCACAGCTCCGTGTACCCATTCTTCACTAGTGTTATCATTTTGATGTCTGCGTGCACATTTTGGCCAGTATTGTCGTCGTAGCCGCGTAGCGTGACGAACGGCCTCCGGGTCAGGGAAGCGAATATGTGAGGTTAGTTCTCGTATTGCGATTTGGTATATATGAAGCTCTTGACCTTGCAAGCCTTAGGCTCGAGCTAAAACTGGGCGGCCCTTTTATTTCGTGGTGGATATCGTTAGATCCGGCTCGGGAGTGTGGTTTTTGGAGTTCCCTTCGTCGATTTCCTCCCAGTCTTGCCAACTCAATCTCTGGCAGTGCAGGCTAACCTAATAAACGCGGTATGACAGAAATCGATTATCATGGTATACAATTAAAGTTATATTGTTATGCCGCAGGTTAGTTTTGCCGGTACTCTGTCGATTTCATGGTCTCAATCGCGGCACTTGCAGGGGTGACATCCTCGGGCCTTCTACTGGATTTCCGCCAGTTTGATATTTGACAGGTTTGACGCTCGTCGACAATACTCGCTGGGATATTATGAGATTCCGCGTATCCTAGGCTGCACAAGGCAAATCCTCCTCCGTATCACGAGTCTTCATCTTGCTACGCGTTGGGCTTACTGGTGAGGTGTTTCGTAACTTCAAATTGAATGATATCCGTCAAGGGGTCCAAGACTTTTATTGCATCAAGAGTGGAATATTATGCATTCATAACAATATTATGGTATAATCCGTCCGAAAGTCCAACCCAGCCAATGTCCTTCAATCACAAAGGTACCGTACTTCAAATACCGAGATACCACTGTTAATCTGATGTAGTCATGTTGCAGTAATAATAGTCCTATTGCCAACTCAGATTGACCGCGCTGTTGAATCGAGTCGTAACGCTTACCGTGACGGTGTAGCAACATGATGCTACGTAGCCACTTGAGCAATTCCCTGAGTAGCTTTGGCACTGCTCGTCATTAACATACCCCGGCTCAGATGAATCCTGTTGCAACGCAGTTAAGCAAATATGTCTTTCTTTGCTCATGATTCTTTCTCACCTCCTTGCAGCAGCGAGCTTCGCCGTTTCCACAACTGGTCGAATTGGATGAGGCCCTGATAACAGTGGCCATAACATATGCTTGGGAAAGGAGAAGGAAGATAACAGAAATGGTAGAGATGCGAACGAACATGTCTATGGGTATCGAGGTCTTAGTGAGTGCTGTCCCATGGGCAGACGCATCCTTTTAAACCTGTTGACCAGCGGTTTTCGAATGAACTCTTCCATCTCGCCTTGGAGCTGGCACTATGAATTGCGCAGATTAAAGTAGCTGAAACTAAAATTTCAATGAATGCATCCCTGATGTCACTAGGCCCTAGCCGAGGAGTCCCCGAGGCTGCATGGCATTAATTCCATGTCAAAAATCGCCACCGTGGCACGTGGTCAGAATGGGTGGAGACTTGTCCATCGAAAGTAAGTTCTATGAATTACGTCACTCCCGCACTCGTTAAGATTCACTGCGCCTTGAAACGTGGTCAAACCTCATATTTATAGACTCTACACAGCAGTCGAGTGCTGAACATTCATGCCTGTTGTTATGGTAAATCACCTTGCCGCATCACTCATCTCGGGTTATTCAATGAGACAAGTATTGTTAGAAGTCAAACAGGGACCTTCCTGGGACCCGATAAGTATTCATCCGGCAAAATTGACCAAACGGCGACGCACCTATGACGCCAATGGCTTTGATGAAGTTCCAATCAAGCCAATAGCCGAAGCCCGAGAAGTCTCGTAAGCACTCGTAAGTGCCAATTTTCGCTGCATTTCCGGGGAGTTCCATTCCATTCTCCTGCTGCCAAAGAGGCATGGAGCGATCATAACTGTCTAGCTAAACCAAGACTAACGTCATCGAGCAAGATATCGAAATATACCACGTGAGCAACCACCATAAAGTCGGCCGTATCCGAGCGTGGCAGTGACCAGAATGGCTAGTGGGAGGCAAAGGGGTTATATGTCGATTAGCCTTACCGGCGGCTCGGAAAAAGCCCTCTGCTACGTGACCGAGATGAACGTCCATTTGACAGTAACAGGAGCTGGTGCAATTTCGACTCAAAACAACCTTGGAAAGGGAATGCGGTATTCATTCATTGCAAGCACCTTGAAGGGAGTCGGGTTTGATATTGGACTGGTGGTTGCGCGTCGAAAGGACGGGAATCAAGCTGCGGGAGGGGGGAGCTTTGGTTCCAGAAAACGTGGCGGACGTTATGAAATTTCAAAAGGGCCAGGGGGACAAGGGCAGCTCGAGCGAACTCAGTGACCTCATCTTTTTTTCAGGCAGATGGAGCACGATGGCTCATCCAGGTCAGGCAGGATGTCCCACTGGTCAAATCTGTCGAAAAATACATGTATGAGACTCCAAAATTAAGCAAGGCAAGGAAATTGATTATGGTTGTGTTGTGAAGTACAGCAAGGTACTTGCGTCTGAGTCTTAGTGGCTTGCAAGCGCGACTCTTGACCACGTGGAGTAGACTCTCGTTGGTGTTGGTGTTTTCTCTCCTCATCATCCCGGAGCTACAATGATCTCATAAAACGAGAGGGGAAAATTTGGGGAGAGGAGGCACTCAGCGCGTGTCAGAATGTTGACAAACTTCGGGGTTTCCAGTACCTTGCCCATAGTGTGATATGGGCATGCAAAAGCCTAATATATAGGGGTGAATGTACCATCAGAGACTACATAATGTTCGCACGCTACATAGCCAGAGAATATGAGTATGGTCTAGGCGAGGAACACTATAAAGAGTAGGCTAGGCTAGAAGCAATTTCCCGATAACCAGCGGCCTATTCTGTATAGATAGCCTCTTGTCCTGATGCATTGGAGCCACGAGAAAGTCTGGGTCAGGGCGAGACGATCGAGACATTGAGCGCATGTGCACGAAGGCTTACTTGAGACTTGATCAAAGCCCTCGGGGATGTGAAAGCATGCTTGGAGAAGCACGGTAGTGGGACCATTTTCGTAGTGAATTTTGTGTATGATAAAGTTCTCAAAAGTTGCGGAGATGCGGAAGTGGAAGACTGCCGGAGTGCCTTGGGGGAGTAAGCATTTGTATCGGATTGGTGGTGGCGCCGAAAGCAGGGTGCTTTGGTCCCAGAGAATGTAGTGAACACTATGGAAGTAGCAATTGTTCAACATATGTGCAGGATAATGTACTTGCGTGGTAAACAGCTGGATGCCTGAAGAAGAGCGATGACTTTTGGCATGAGACACTGAATGCTCTCGACATGAATGAGGCAGCAAGCTTGAGTACTTGAATTACGCAGTTAGTCTCCCATTAATATAACTTGAAGAAGTGGAGCGATCCTTGGCATTGTAGTGAGCACAAGCAAATGAATTATCTGTGTTACTTGTATGGATTGGTTACAACACATGCACAATACGGCGAAGGGTTTCAAACTAGACACCTATGTGAATAAATACAATCTGCTGTTCCAGTGGAATCTTCTTGCGCAATGTCTTCATAGCCTTGTGCAATGCAACCGCAGCACGTGTGCAGTCCAATCTCCCTGAACCATCAACCAGGTTATCGTAAAAAGTGGAAACAATCTGGCGGGCAACATCGTCGTCAACAGACCACATAGAACCTATTACACTGCGAAATCCAGAGAATTGCATCGCTGCTGCGAGATGGATGGCCTCATCTGGACTCAACTCATCGCCCACAGTAGTGTGGCAAGCCGATAGAAATGCGAATTCTGGATTCTGCAAGCGAGATCCGATGATGTCCCTGATCGTCAAAGGCCCCTCACGCATTGCGAAGGAAGACTCGAATGGTTGTTTTCGGTTCGGCATGCCATGGCAGGCCAGGTGAAGCCACTGATTTTGGCTTAATGCATCTAATGTCCCCTGGACTGTTGCGCCGCTATCTGCAAGCGATGTAAAGGGCAGCATGGGTGCGACATGCTGGGCTACGACAGCTAACTCAGCGGGGACACTTCGAAGTTCATTTCCTCCAGCCGGATTTGCTTGACCAACAGCAATAAAATGCTGAATGGACGCATCTTGAGAAACCTGCTGTCTCGCGCGAATGAGTGCCGCCAATGTTGGAGTGTATGAGGAGACGTAAAAGTGAGACAAATTATGGCTCTTCTTCTCGTAGGGTCCTGCTGCATGTAGGGGAAGCAGCGTGAAATCAGCGGTAGGACACCACCAAATGCGTGAACCAGTGTGAATGAACTCCCTGAGAGCTTGGACTACGGGCCAAACGATACGACCCCAAAGCTTGCGGAGGACGCTGACAATCTTGTGTAACTCGAGTCGATGGTCAGACGAACCAACCCCCATTGTGAGGGACTGGAACTCGGATGACAACCCGAAGACTTCGTTTTGGGTAATATCAAGTGGAACGAGGACAGGATCCCGGGTATTCAGAACAATCAAGGCATCACAGCTGTACTTGCTAGCGTTGACAATAATGATTGGACCATGTTCTGCCGCTCTCTGCAGATCAGAGAATAGCGGAGGCAGGAGAAACCGGGAAAAGTCTGGAAGCATGCGGATGCGGGAAATGATTTCATCCCATTGCATGGTAAGTTGCCGGATGTGTTGAGACTGGTCTCCAATAGATGCATCAAACATATTATGAAGGCGAAAGCTGAGTTGCTTGACCTCTTCCGCCAAGGCTTTGCCGGTGTTACCTGACGCGGAAAGTTCATCCAGCGGCGTGCGGAAGCGTGCCAACTGAGTCCAGAATACTGCACGGCCTTGCTCCACTAGCTCTACGGCAGTCATCAACGTACCATGACGGACACCACACGAGAAAGCATCCATTGCGAGGGATGAAGTGGCCTCCCTGATCACATCGAAATGGCGTGAGGACGACGACAAAAGAGTCACATTCTCAACCAGAAATTTCAATGAGGTCTGATAGGCAAGTAATGCAGATCCATGCTTCAGCTGCTCAGCGGAGGTGACCCAAGACTTGGCAGCATCAAGATCAGTACGAGAGGCTGCATGAGATACTTCGGGGAGTTGTAGATAAAGCCTAAAAGCCTCGTCCAAGTCTGATGGTATACCCTGCTGATCGAATCTCTTTCGAAGGCTGATGGCAAGGCTGTTGAGACATGCAGATCGATGAGAATGGCCAGGGGGACATAATGCAAGTGCGGCTTGACGGAGTTCGATAGACTCATCCAGATAAGATGGGACGCCATGTTGCTGCTCGGGTCTGGAATGAAGTATGCTAGCAAGGTTGTTGAGAGATGTGAATCGATCAGAATGGCCAGGGGGATAGAGCACAAGGGCAGCTCGAGCGAGCTCGATGGCCTCGTCAAGGTCAGACAAGACACCCTGCTTCTCGAACCTGACATGAAGGTTGCTGGCAAGGTTGTTGAGCGAGCCTGGTCGATCAGAATGGCCAGGGGGACAGAGTGCAAGTGCAGCTCGAAGGAGCTCCATGGCCTCGTCCAGGTCAGACAGGACGCCCTTCTGCTCGAATCTGGTCTGAAGGCCGCTGGCAAGATTGTTGAGAGACATGAATCGGTCAGGATGTCTAAGAGGACAAAGCAGTAATGCAGCTCGAACGAGCGCAATAGCCTCCTCCAGATCGCACAGGACTCCCCGCTGGTCAAATCTGGCCGCAAGGGTAGTGGCAAGGTCGTTGAGAGATGCAGATCGATCAGCATGGCCAGGGGGGCAGTGCAGCAGTGCAGCTCGATTGAGCTCAATTGCCTCATCCAAGTCAGACAGGACACCCTGCTGCTCGAACCTGGTTTGAAGGCTGCTGGCAAGGGTATTGAGGGAGAGTGACCGATAAGAATGTCCAGTGGGACAGAGCGCAAGGGCAGCTCGAGCAAGCTCGATTGCCTCATCTATGTCAGGCATGAAGCCCCGCTGCGCAAATCTGACTCGAAGGCTGGCAGCAAGGTTACTGAGTGACCAGGGTCGATAAGAATGGTTGAGGGGACAGCGAACAAGTGCAGCTCGATAGAGCTCGATGGCCTCATCCAGATCGGGCAGGGTGCCTCGCTGCTCAAATCTGGTTTGCAGGCTTATGGCAAGGTTGTTCAGAGACCCGGATTGAAAAGAATGGTCAGGTGAACAGAGGGTCAATGCAACTCGGTGGAGCTCAATAGCCTCGTCCATATCAGACAGGATGCCCTGTTGGGCGAATCTGTCACTAAGACAGTTGGCAAGGTTGTTGAGCGACCTGTATCGATGAGTGTGACCAGGGGGACGAAGCAGCAATACAGATCTATGGAGCTCAATGGCCTCATCCAGATCAGATAGAACACCCCGCTGCTGGAATAGGTCTCGAAGGCAATTGGCAAGGTTGTTGAGAGACGTGGGTCTATCAATGTGGCCAATGGGGCGGAGCAATAATGCAGCTCGATGCAATTCTATGGATTCGCACAGCTCAGACAGGACGCCCCTCTGCTGGGATCTGTCTTGAAGGCTGATTGCAAGGTTGCTAAGCGATGTGGATCGATCAGGATGGCCAGGGGGGCGGAGCAGCAATGCAGATCGATGGAGCTCGACAGACTCATCTAGATCAGACAGGCCGTCTCCCTGCTTGAGTCTGTTCCGAAGGCAAAGGGCCAGATTGCTGAGAAATTTGGATATATCTGAATGGCCAGGGGGACAAAGCTCTAGCGCAGCTCGATAGTGCTCAACCGCCTCGTCTAGATCAGACAGGACACCCTGCCGCTTGAATCTGGCTCGAAGGCTGGTGGCAAGGATACTGAGAGATACGGGTCTGCGAGGATCCCCAGGGGGGCTCTCCTGCAAGGCCACTCGGCACTGTTCTACATTGTCTGCCATTTGTTTATAGCGAAAGATATGAATTTCAACAAGGAATACGAGGGACGCAGGGATGACCAAGGCAAGTTGGAACGTGCTGAAATGAGAAGAATACTGCAATAGCTGTTCTAGAATCTAGCTGTGCGGTAAGCTTCCCGCAAGTCATCGAGTGAGGTGGTCGCTTACTATAGTTTCGCGCACAGCTGTAAACAACACGACATGTACGCAATGAATGCACAGGAATTTGAGCACTGATCTAGTACTGATATTTGAGAGAAATGATTTGGCGGGTCGAGCTTGGAGAGAGCTACTGCCAGTGGGAACGCTCAGCATGCACGTAAGTTAAAGGTAGTTATTATTATTAAAAGCATGCATGGGCACCTGTGACTCCCACGTATCCCTTGTAATTAGAGGCGGATGTAGGGTGCCTGGGCGCCTCTAGTTACAGGTAGATAGATCAAAACAGCGCTCGGACGGATAATGGTTCAGTATTTAGCGTGGGTACTTAGCAAAAATCAACTATAATGCGTCACCGGCGTGCTATTAATATCGTTGCCTTCGGCAATATGACGTTCCTGGCCCCGACACCGTTCGGCAAATCCCGCAAACCTTCGTGCTCGCTGTCTGCCACAGCGAGCTCGCAATCCAAGCGTTCCCTCAACCGCTTCGCGTCGGATTTTTTTTCAAACGAACATATGTCATTATGTAGACTACTCTATTATGTAGACTACTCATTAGACACCTCCTCGTCGCTGTCTTCGATGAATTCAACACTGGTTGCTTTGCTTTGCTTCTGCCTCTCAACCTGCTTGCCCCTGCGTGATCTCCGAGGCCTCTTAGCGCCGTCGGCCATGGTGGTATCTGTAGCACCATCAGTAGCAGGTGCTTTGCGCTTACGCGTCTTGCCTGCATCCGAGCGCTTCTTGCGTACCGTGCCTACCACCTCACCTGCATCCGAGCGTCGTTGAATGTCCACGCGAAGGTCCTCGAGTTCACGTCGGTTGAGCTTCTTCCAATGACAAGCGCCTGTCACCAAAGCATCACGAAGAGTGCGCACTTCAAGCACGGTGTGCATGTGAGAAGGTGCAAGGAAAGGGAGACCCTCTGGCCAACCATCTAGCTTGACTCCATAGACCAGGACAATAGCCTTCTCGTAGTTTTGATAATTCATGGTGAGGTCCATTCTTCCCGTCGCGCGTCCTGATGAAACATCAGTTGTGATAAACGTGAATGAGGAAAAATACATACGAAGTTTGCTCATCATGAGCGCAGCGGCTTGCTTTTGCAGGGAGGCGAGATCTTCACGCTCAGATATATCTAGTTATACAATGGATCAGTTTATAGATGGATGAAAAATTAATCAACGTACTTTTCTTCTGATTGCAGGCCCATTCCTCGAACTGACGTGCGACATCGTCAAGTGCAAGACTCATCCGATCCTCCCAAAATTCGTGCGCATTGTCCGTTGCGATCCATGTTGACTGAACTTGATCATTGACATGTCCCCGAACCATGAGAACTGTTGCGTATGTGCCGGCTCGGTCACGGAGTGCATGAAGCTATAAAAAACAAGTTGTAAGTTGAGTATACCACAGGAAACACCACACTTACCTCCTTTGAGATGCGATCCATCACTGCGACTGCATCTCGAGCCGCTGACACGTTGTTTGCGCGAGCTCCACTCATCTTGAGGGCGCGATACTCATTTAGCTGGTCGATGTAGTCCTGTTCTTCCTCGGCTGACAGCTGCTTGTATGCAGGGTCGCTATCGATGATATTTTGGATTTCCTCCAAGCTGTACTTGTCCCCGCTGGGCCGACCTTGAGCTGGTTGTCAGATTATACACCCCTTCATATGTAATTTACGTACCTTCGTTAAGTTCCTTTGATTTGACATGCACAATGGCATTGCGCAATTGCGCGCGGCGTTCTTTGTGGTAATGTGTCTTGAGGCCCAGGATGTCCTTGACTTGCTTGTCGGAGACGTCATGAGCGACCGCCAGCTCATGGAGTCTGTTTGATTGATCTTGAATGAATACTGAGATCGCGTCTTGAAGCTTCTTCCTCTTCTCTACCTTCTGTGCCATTTTGATGGCGTGGGATTCTTGCTCGGCGATTGTGAGAGGTCGACGGGAGGGACGCATTCGTGCAGGTATTACGGGACGAACTGGGTTACGAGCAGCCCACGAGGAGCTGTCTCCCTTCTCCATGATGCGGTCAGTCAACGATACCAGCGCAGGAAGAGGAGGGGGACTGTGACGGGAAGCTGGAGACGTTGGAAGAGGAGGGGGACTGTGGCGGGGAGCTGGACACGTTTCTTCTTGCACCAGGGAGCTGGCATCAGCGTCAGGAAGAGGAGGGGGACCATGACGGGGAGATGGACACGTTTCTCGCACCAGGGAGCTGGCATCAGTGTCAGTGGTTGAAACAGCTGGGAGGCTTGGGAGAGCCGCAGTGCGCTCCGGCATCTTCGTTAGCAATGATGGAGTATTTTCTGGCAGATCTGCCATCATTGACGCCAATGTGGACATGACTGCTGGGTCATTCCAGTCGATCCTGGTGCTGAACTCCTCGATGGGTGGAGGCGGAAAGAGTGAATAAGGGAGTTGATGAGGAGGAAAGAGAGGGCCGCCAGCGTCGTATCCGAGTTGATGAGGAAGAGGAGGGACGGTGTCATGGTCATCACCGGTGATGCCGCCAGCACCATATCCCAAGCCCTCAAAATTAAAGGAGGGCAGATGGTGGTGAAATTCCGACATCGTCGAGTCTGAGCTTTCTGCCCTCTTCCTGAACTCGCGAAAATTTAAATTGTGCTAATCAAATCAATCAAAAACATACCAATAATTGTTTGCTTGAAAATTAGTCGCCTGGAGTCGGTTGACAACAACATCACGTGAGACCTAAAAGAGCCCCTGTGAGTTGCGCTCCACAAGCAAAGCAAGACATACGTATAACGCGCAATTTAATGCAAAGGTTAAATATACTTTGAGGTGACTGCTGTTGTGCCGTAGCACTATAACTTGAAAAAAAAACACAAGTGTGATCAGTAATCAGTGTCAAAATTTTAACGAGGCGTACCAATGAATGTAACGTGGCGCAACGGCATCCAGCAAGGAGGTAACCAGGTTGAAGAATTGAGGACTTGGGCGCCGTTGAAGGATGGAGCTGGGAGTGTGGTAGGTGGAAGGAAATTGAGGACTTGGTCGCGGAAGGACCGCCGTGGAAGAATGGAGCTGGGAGTGTGATAGGTAGAAGGAAATTGAGGACTTGGTCGTGGTATGTGGTCCGCCGTTGAAGAATAGAGCTGGGAGGATGGTAGGTAGATGGAAATTGAGGACTTGGTCGTGGTAGATAGAAGGAAGTTGAGGACTTGGGCGCCGTTGAAGGATGGAGCTGGGAGTGTGGTAGGTAGAAGGAAATTGAGGACTTGGTTCGTGGTAGGTGGAAGGAATTGCCGCCGTTGAAGAAGGTAGGTGGAAGAAATTGCCGCCGTTGAAGGATGGAGCTGGGAGGGTGGTAGGTAGAAGGAAATTGAGGACTTGGTCGTGGTAGGTGGAAGGAATTGGGAGGATGGTAAGTAGAACGAAGTTGAGGACGCGATAGGTAGAAGGAAGTTGGGAGAAGGGTAGGACGGTGTTGAAGACTTACTTTAATGTTGATGGGGGTCAGGCGTGGCGCACTGACTCGGAGTGATGGCTGATTGGGGCGAGCACATGCCCAGTTATGTGTCACCCACAACGCTAGCCTGCAGCAAGCGAAATCAGCACAAATATATTGCACCCAATTACATACCTGAGTACCACTATCGAGCCCAGATTCGTTCATTGAGCGTAATAAGACTTGAAGAAAACAACGCTGCGTGTGAGAAGGTAAGAAGCCCCTTAGTGCATAGTTACAAACCGGATCACGTGATTTACGCTGCGTGTGAGAAGTAAGAACTTCAGAAGCCCTCGGGCCTCGACCATCCCGGATCACGAATTGATCAGATCAGAGTCAATCATTACCACCAGCATCCTTCCTACTGATTGCTGATGACACGCGCAGAAATCCAGCGGCAGGCATCTGCACGTTGGCTTTTAAAGCCAGGGTAAGTCATATTCGTCATCATCTATATTTTCACCGGAAGCTTATTGACTAGCTAGTGTACGAGCTGCACAAAACGAAAAGGCACGTGTACGGATGGCAAGGTGAGGACTTATGTTGACATTTTTGTCAATTAGTTACTCAAACATTGCAGGAAGCGCGCGAGGTAAGTTGTCCGCCATGTTTATGGTTTCTGTAGATGTTTCTGACATTAGATTTTACGAAGTACTCGCACGGAACGGCGCCACGATTCAGACGATCAACACGAGTCAGAGCACCTCGCTGGTAAGCACCACTCATGCCTAATCCCGCTTCAACACGCTAACTCTAATCATAATTTACAGGTAGTGATGAATCTCGTGGCGTCGAACGGACCAGCGTTGAACGGACCACTATCGAAGATGTTCGCATTGCCATTAGCGAATGGCAGTTCAACTGGGGCCCGGAATACACATGGGAAAAACAGTTCAACGACCGCCTGCGTGCTCAACAAGAACGCAACTCAACCTTTCGTTCGGTGGACACATTCTTCGGCATTTGCGAGGATCATGTTCAGTCGGGGCGGGAGATACTCAGCGATCTCAGGAAAATATCTGTTGGCTATTGCAGGAATGGCAGGGTGATTAAGGATAAGTTCATTCAGATATACGATATGCTCACCATCGTGTTATCGGAGGTGAAGTTCTTCGAAGTTAAACTTGACGAATATGCCCCTTCCATACCTGCTTCGAGGCTCTCATCTGTACGCTACTATGAACGAGCTTAGATACATTGCAATACAAGAAACCTTATCCGTCAAATTCTTCGGTGTGATTTGTGCTTGAAATGACACAACTTATGAGAGTGTGCTGCAGAGCGCTGAAATGACGAATAGCGAACATAGCGAACTGGATAGCGAATATGTTCGCTATACCACATAAAACACCACCGGGAAGCACAATATATAAGTAAATTTATCACGCCAACGTGTCTGACAGCATGGGGATGGCCCATTCATTCATATATGACAGGTCCGGTGCTTTAATTTGTGATGTGAAAGGACAGACATTCAACTTGCTGGTTTAATGCTCATAAACTCATTGAACTTCCACTTGTCACTCAAACGGCAACCGGATCCCCATGATTCAAAAGTATCAATGATGCACTGCTACTTCAACTACTTAGTTCAAGTGCTGGGATCATTCCCAGATCTCTCAGAACTCAACTTAAGATCAAAATCTTTGGATCAAATGCGTTCTCATTTTCATTTACTGATACTACATGTATTCTAGTCTAGTACCGCGTGACCTGGCTCATCTGATCCGACAAATCTTCAACACGCGTCCAGATACTATCCTCGCTTGAATTTGCAGATGAGGCGGGCGATGCTGGGGCAGTGTGAAGGACATGGGGTGGCCAGAAACGACCCCCTACATGGGGGCGCGCTTCCACCGCGCCTTCGTCATATTTCCTCGTATATAGGCGCAAAGCATCTGCCCAAGTCTCTTGCCTGACCTGGATGGCCCCGCTGATGCCTTGAGTACGTTCGCCAACGTCAAGCCTAAAGTAGTTAAACATGTAGTTAGTAAAGTAAATGATAATGAATTTGGAAGGGACGCACCAATGAAAGAAAATTCCTACCTCCTGGCCCACTGTAACGACCCAATATGCGTCAGGGTGCTCGCTGGGAAGCGGAGCATGCAGCTCGCTAGGGTGAGGGACTGGTGGGACGTAAGGCGCAACGTGCATCGTGGCATCCGTGAGGGCAAGAGAGTTGTTAGGCTCAGATCGGAGAACGGAAGGAGTTGTGGGAGGCGATGGGGAATCCGTGGAAGCTGATGACAGCATGTTAGAGTGATGAGGCGCGGATGCACGAGGATGAGGGTTGGAAAACGTAATGCTGTTCCTCCTCAGTTTTAGTCGTGCGCTTCTTGCTGTACGTGATAGTATTGAAGGGAAGGTCTGTAATTAAAAGTCAGCTTGAGACTTGAGTTCAAAATCACCACGTACCTGACAGAGTCATTGCCTGCAACAGCTCATACAACCCACGGGGTCTACTTGAAGACGTTGAAGACGTTGGGGAAGTTGCCATCCGCGACATTGGCAATCTCAAGATACCTTGGTCTGAAACGCAAAGGTCAGTGGTCACGTGCATCATAATACCTTTCGTTGATTGGTATTGCACAGATGCTTGTGAAATCTCGAAATCGAACACGACTCACCACTCAGAAGGTCCGGCAAATCAAAGCTGATCGCAACAACCAGGGTCTTCGAGTCCACGTGAATGAGGTCTATGGGCCAAAAGCACTTGCGACTCGTGCCGTCAAGGCCCGTGGAGAGCAGCGTGCCCGACTTCAAGGTAAGTTTTACTTTGGTTGGACAACGAGAAAGACTTACAGTTCTCGAGCAATGTCTCCTGAGGAGCGCCGCAGGCTTGAGGCACTTGCTCAGCAGCAGGCCGGTAACAGCGCGTTTGACAGCATGGACTATGGCGACGACAACGCGGACTTCGACAACATCTTAGATGGCACTCACCCAATTGACATCAGTCATGCGGGAGGCGAGTTTGAGGATCTCGCAAGAGAGATATATGGGGACCTTTGGACTCCGTAAGTCTGCGCCTGTTCGACTTTGCTAGCCGTATTCACTAACCTTGCATTGATAGAAAATCTTCAAGCAAACAAACACGCCGTGTGGATCATCGGACTCGCAGAGATCGCATTCAGCGCCGTGTTGATGCCTTTGATTAACAAATGTTTGGACTTACTGACGCCTACCTTAAATGGAGCCACGAACGCGCTCAGCATGGGTTTCGGGGCTTCTTGGAGGTTCATAGGAATCAGTGTTCACATGTGGACCCTAACTCGGGCTCTTGGGATGTTCAAGTCGTCGACATTTTTTGTAAGTTTCATTTCCGGACTACACCCATTGGCTAACATAATTTAGACGCTGAGAAGGTCTCGGTAACTATCGCATCAACCGACCACTTCATTGCGTCTGCTCTCGTCCGCCATGGCGTCATCCCCTGCTCCCCAATATCACCATCTGTCGCCATTTCCATAGATGCGCTGGAACTATACCGCGTTGCTCGGTTGCGCAGTCCTCACTTCTCTATCCAAGCATTTGTGAAGTCCATTTGTGATTTGCATGGAGTAAGTCCGTTTTCTTGTTATATTTGTATGCTAGCGCTAACTTCTCATTCAAGACTGTCTTTCATAGGTACCTATCACGCCAATTTTCGATATCATTTGACCTCTATCTGCAATTGCGCACTCGCGTGGATTCTCTCGTCAACGCTACAATTCATCGCAACTCTCCCGACTGGCGTTTGAGGAACGCTTGCCCCTGCTGCACGTATGAGCTGCAAAACGAGCCCGCAATGACTTTCCGCCTGCTCTATGCCATGGATGGCAACGACTCACTCAAGAGGGTCTCGCGACGACTGATAGGTGCCGACGGAGACTATTCGGGGCCCTCAATCGAACTTCCTACGACACAGCGGGTGTGCAACGACCGGTATCTTTCTCGTGAGTATGTTAACGAGTGGGCGAATCCATCACAACACGACGAGGATTCGGTAAGTTCTTTTTTTTTCATTTTCAAAAATAATAAATAACAACTAAGTATCTACAGGTCGAGCCTTCCGATGACGAGAACCCCTGTGCTGGGCGATGGAAGAATATGGATGATGAGAAGACGAAGAGATCTTGGGGGGTATATGATGAAACGGGGGTTTTCGTTGCCGTGTGTCGCCATGGTTTCTGTCTGCTCATTGCCGACATGGTCCAAAGTGGTGAACTGTAAGTCTGACTTTTCGTTTCTTTCCAACCTGTGCTGACATTTTCATTGCAGTGCTAAATATCCGCTCTCTGTTGTCGCCAAGCTGCTTGATGCCTTTGGCACAGATTTGGGCAGCGGTTATGATATCGGGTGTCAGTTCAAGACCACGCTCGATAATAGCGCATTAGGTCCCTGTGCTCAATCACTTCGTCATACTTGTCTGGTTGGAGCCTTCCACGGACACGCACATAAACGCCTCTGCCAGTTATATCATCTCGCAACGTATGTGTCAGGTCTTGGTCTCGAAGATCTCGAGACTTGTGAACGTACGTTCTCGAAATCTAACGCTCTAGCCTCAACACTGCGTTATGCCAGTGTATTCCACCGCCAGCAGCTCATCGCAATGTACTTCGAGCATAACGATGAATATGAAGTCTATCCAAGTCTTGGTGAGTTTTTGTTACTTAGATCAAACACTTTCTGACTCGACGTTAGGAAATTTTTTATATAATAACTACAAGCAGGCGCTGAACATCCTCTCAGATGGTGAAATCAACCTCAAGAAGCTCATGCAAGACATTCACATCCCGGATGAGTCTGTATTCGAACGGTGGTTACAAGAGGAAAGGGATTACCTTCACGGCCTGCGCAGTGAGCCAGAGCACGAGACACTGCAAATGGAATATTGGCAGAAGTTAGTAAACCTCGCTGCCAGCCAGTACGTCTTCTCTATCGCAACGACTTTACATGTACTGATGTTTTATCTTGCCAGGAATAACCTTGATAGTGCAAGATCCATCTGGGCGTCTGCAACACCCGCGAGCGCTTCATTTAGCATGGCAGATGCTGCCGCAACTCGCAGAATGGAGACGGCTCGTAGACATACCCTCGAACTTTTCGAGAAGGATCTCACAACCGTGCAAGAACTCGAGAACAAGCTCGATATTGTGCGTAGGTGGGTTCCTGATGATCCTGAGTGGCAGAATGCTGGACGGATGGTCGCCAAAAGAAGATATCAGCGTGCTCTCGATACGTTAGAAGGTTTAGTTGTTGCTCGAATCTTTGAATTGACAAAAATGAACCGCTCTGGTACAGGTGATCATTGTTTCGCTTAACACGGGCTTCTTCCTCTGATGACTACTTCTTTCAGGCTACAAATTGCGCAAGCACATTGCAAAGGCTTTGCAGACTCGTTCCGCAGCCATTCGCACAGCTCTCGACCGGTACAATACCGCAGCGCTTGCACTCACTCCACCCCGTCGAACTCTTAAATGGGACGAAGTCATCGAATACGCATTCCTGGCCGACTTTGACTTACTACGTGATGCTCGGGAAGATGTATCAGAGCGTCCGTGGGCAACGCCGGCCTCTTGTCAAGCGATGGATTTATATTTCAAGATGTGTCGTGCCAAGGAGGAGATAGTTCGCCTCAACGTCGAGATTCAATGTCTCGTAACATACATTCGAGACGAGGACCGCTACCTACGTGCTTGTGAGGCACAAACGATGCCCTTAGAACCTGCACTCTCTTACCAGATTGGCGCTCGACGCTTGGCACGTGGGAGAGCTAATGGTCATCTTTTGCAGCGTTTAGCAGATATTGCCGAGCTCCCTGGATTCAGCGGTTGCATCATCCCTGGAGAAAGTTCCAAATCTTCTCCTGGTGACAGCGCCAGCACACCACACATTCAAGTTTCATCTCACATCCGCATGCACCACGCCGCAAGACAATCTCCCATTATCCCGTCTCATTTGGATGTCCTAGAAACCCTGGAGGAACTGGAGGAGGAAGAGGAGGATTCAGAAACAGTAGAAGAGGCTGCGCAGGCCCTACATGATGTTCTTAGGGTCTCTGCGGATTGATTCATAGGCTTTACTCGCGGAAGGGGGAGGAGAGCATGTCCTAGGAGGGGATCCAAGACATTTATGACATACATTGTGACAGAATTGTATACAATATACCTACTATGACATTGTGTAAAAATTTTGACGCGAAACGGTTGAGGGAACGCTTGGATTGCGAGCTCGCTGTGGCAGACAGCGAGCACGAAGGTTTGCGGGATTTGCCGAACGGTGTCGGGGCCAGGAACGTCATATTGCCGAAGGCAACGATATTAATAGCACGCCGGTGACGCATTATAGTTGATTTTTGCTAAGTACCCACACTAAATACTGAACAATTATCCGTCCGAGCGCTGTTTTGATCTATCTACCTGTAACTAGAGGCGCCCAGTACGGTTGACTATGTGTATCAGGTTGGTTTTCACCAAACAAATATTATTTGTTATGTTACTTTGTTTGCGTATTAGTAATTACTGTGTGGCTGTGTCCGTTTCCCCACACCACTTGCCACTTCCTCGTCGTCCTCGTCGTCGTCCTCAGCGGGCTCGTCTTCGAGCTTGTCGTCACCATCATCGGGCTTACTGTCACGCAGCTATTACCTTATTTTCCGCTATCGAGAGTATGGTTTTTGGTTTGTGTATTTAACCACACTGCTACTTCAAGTTCAGTAAAGAATTAATTGCCCCAACCACGTCTCGTATACACACCGCACAGCGCATACCACCATGACTATGTTGTGTTATAGCTGATGATCAGCTCTTGTAAAATGATTGAATAGGCTTTTACTATGCATGCAAGTTCCCGCTGATTCCTGAAGACACCACAAAGTAAGTGTATCATTGATGTTCAAGTGTGTATCCTGTGGGAGACGGTGTTTTGGAAGCGAGTCTCTTCACAAATGCAATATCACATAATTCAACGCGGTGTGGTAACTATTCTGTTCTCTCGCTATAATAACCTATTATCCCGTCTTCAGCCTATGGTTGTCTCACCGTGAATCATGGTTCGTTGCTTGGGGTGTTCTACTGCTTTTCCTCGACTGGACACTCCGACATGCGGAAAGTGTTCAAAGCTTGCAGCTGCAAGTGTAGCTGATCACGAACAGATTATGGTGCGTTCTCACTGTATTACTTCGTACCTGTAGCCTATATTCACTGATGTATTCAGCAGCAACCACAATGTGAATGCTGTGGCTGCGTGTATCCTTTCTTGCGCTCGCCGTTATGTGCCGGATGCAAAGACGACACTGACAATGGTGAGCAAGCTCCATTATTTGTATTTGGCACTCGATCTAATGTCAGCAATAGCCTCAATGAAACCATCAGGCAGTAGTAGCAGTACCGCCGTTAGCGTTGCTCAGACAATTTTACATCGACAGAATGTGCATAGCCACGAGGCCAGTCAGCATCGACTAAACCAGCAACGGCCACAAAACCCTTCATCGTTGAATGCAAGTGATGTAAAGCGAAAGGTTTCAGCTCTCAAGGCCAATGCTCGAGCAGCAAAGATTGATATTGACTTCACTATTCAGCAATATCTCTACGGAAGCTCGAAGCCTTCGAAACTTGCCATTCCGTCATCACGAGTAACTTTCCCTACCTCGGAACTAGCTACGAGTGCCTTTGAACAGCTGGCTTCGAAGGCGAGAGGCCTGTATAATAGTACTCCACCCCTTTTAGGGCTATCCGACGTGGCTCTCGATCTAATGTTTGACTGGTAATGTCATTGCATAGTGGTTGAATTATCCATGCTGAAACTCCCCGTAATTTAGGCACACAATCAAATTTTGCACGGTACTCAATAATACTACTGTAAATATGATTGAAGAACAAAAGTATCTGGTGTCGGCAACTATGGAAAGTCTCTACGGAAACCTCAAACAGGATCGCATGTTATCCGAGAAGGATGCAAATGCGAAAACCCCAAAGATCACACTTCGCCTGTTTCTGTATGTCCCCGAGACCGACGAGGTAAATAAAATCAGTATCCTGTGGCAATTGTCTGACACATACAACCCAAGGACAATGATATCCAGGAAGTCCAACAGAACCGACGTGTGTCAACTCGGAAATCAACAGCGCCAAGTTCTCGTCAGAAGCGGAAAAGGTCTCCATCAGGTGAGCAATTTATCATAATTCTCTCTATCTGCCCTTGTCTTTTTCCCTCCTCCATTTGCAAACTGTAGAGTTCATGCATCACATGGCTTTTCTTTTGCTCGCTCGTGTTTCTTTGTCGGCTTTTGGTTCTTATTGTTGTCTGTCCTCTTTTTCATTGTCCAAATTGTGTCGTCGTCAGCACGTCGTCATCTTTTCCATCCTCCGTATCGCAATCATTTCCTTCCTCTACACTCAATTATACTCATATATATCCAAAATAGCGTCACCTGAACGTCTGCGGCCCGCTAAGCGCTATCAGAGTTCATACCGATCAAGATGTTCTGCTACTGCACCCACCGTTGACGCGCCGGCACCGCTGGAGTTTGAATGCTTCAAAATGAAGCGTGTGACTTGCTCCGTAAATGACTTCGGGGAACCGAAGATGGTATACAGTGAGGAAGAAGAGGAAATCATGGTTGCCAAAGGATGGCAAGCTCATGTTAAGGCAGGAAAACCATATCAGGGTTACCTTGGTCAGGGATTGATGAAATTCGTCTTTCGTGTGAGTTCTACCACTTTTTTTCGAGCATGGTAGCAACTTGAAATGCAGGGTCGCTACAACAACACAGACTATGCCGTCCTTCAATGTAAACGCATTCGCTCGAGAGACGTTGACAATGAAGAGGATCTGATGGGTGAACTGGAAATCCTTCACTTGTCTCAGTATTTTTTGGACTCGTTCTACAAACGAGGGGATGAAGAGAATGTCCGCAATCTTCCCAGTAAGCTTATCATATAGAAATATTGATTGACGGCTGAGAACTCTACCACACAGAAATGAAGTGGAACATTACCGGGGCATTCATTGGGAAGCTTACTCAAAAACTCGCAGATGCTCCAAACGAAGGAGAAGAGGATTCACGCAGCCTCGTTTTTAGTTGCTTCATGGTCCTCCCACTTCTCCCGACTGGTTCATTGTGCAATGAAATCAAGTTTTCTGGAAATGCGGAAGTAGGGATCAATAACGACTCGCTCGGAAGTGCTGTAGATGCATATGCTCATCATGTTGCTGTTGATTCAATGTATGAGATGATCATATCCGATATTCAAGGTGAGTTCACACAACAATTCTATTATTTTGTTGTTGAGTAGCGCTACAGGAATTGTCACACCGGATCGATCTATCGTCTTCTTTGATCCGCAGTCTCATACGTGTGTACAATACTTTTATTTTCCTGATGGTTACACCTAATTTCTGCATCACAGTGCGAATGGTGACTCAGGCTACTGGGATCATGGAAAACCGGCGATCGCGGAATTTTTGGAGTCACACAAATGCAACAAATTTTGCAAGGCCCTTGGCCTTGACACTGAGGTTCCTCCGCTAAGTCTGTCCAATACCAACCGCAAAGGTCCACTTCGCATTGGTTTTGATTAGTACATACCAATCCTCACCCATTTGCACATGATACAACTCGTTTTACATTTACTCTTAATTTTCAACCCGACTTTCAGACTAATTCTCGACATTCATTCAAGCAGAGTGGTATATATCACCATGACATAAACTACATTAATGGTAACATTGCAGCAAACACTTGCCAGACGTTCTCGAAAGTTAAGACAGTGAATCCAAGATCATTGAAGATCAATTGTGCAGCAACACTATACTCAGAGTCAACAAAACGGATGAGATCTTCTCCGCCAATCTCCTCCATGAGATTCTTGACGACATCACGATCCACTGGTTGCAGGCAATTCTCGGCGCCGTAGTCTTCATGCAGTGACATTGCGATGTTCGGGGAGATACCAGACGGTAATATTTTATCACGATCGTACCGAACAGTATGGGTGTTGAGACGATGCTTCAGCTTGTCAAGCTCTTGTTGGATTAACTGTGGCCATAGCCACTGAACGAGATCGCTGCGACACAAGTAAGAATAAATCAGAAAACAGAAAACAGCACTACCACACATGAACATACTATTGGCGTGGATCCATATCGTTATAAATTTCTTCGCCTGCTTCCCAAAAGATCTTCACATTATCTCCCCACTGAACACGCACACGAAGCCAGCCACGCTCAATCGTGATATTGTGAACACTCTTCAAAAATCGATGTGCAGGCAGCTCGTCATTAGATAGATTCGGAGAAAAGATTTCCCTGTAAAAAGTGTACTTAGTCCACGGCGTGATAATAATAATAGCATCGAGACTGACCTTAATGCATTGGCAAAACCATATACTTCAGTTGTTTCGCTTCCGCAGTCAGTTGTTGTTTGAAGCGGCATTCCTAGATAAACAATGAATCACGCTACTGGCATACATGAGCATCACGTACCACCAATCTCGTAGACAAGAGATAAGTAAAGGTAGGCAATCGTTGTCTTAAGACAATTGTTCGGAACTACCCACATTCCCAGCCATTTTCCAGACCACTGATCACGAACGGCCCATATGGGAAAACCTATCTTACTCAATTTGTCGTGCCCGTCACCACTCCATTGATGATGAGGTCCGAGCGAAACCAGTGGCTGTCGAGAAGTCTTCTTCTTTGAAGGTTCCCGCTGGGCAAATCCATCAGGCTCGTGTCGCCTCATTTCATTCATCACATATTCCCTTTCTTAAAATTAGCTTGCCCGAATCTATGTAATGATGGCGTTACCTTGTCAGTAAATTTCCTGTGTCAGCCACTATGGCTTCCCGGACTAAGCGTGGCCCGCGACGGTGAAGAGGATCTTGCGCAAGTTGGTCAAGTACCAACTGCCGCTTCGTTGAATTGGGCAGTGAGCGCGTCGACTGACTGCTTCCTAGAAGCCCAAATTGTTGCCGACGTCGAGCAACAGTTGCTTCGCTATTGGAGAGATGTAAGCAGACACCTTTAGAGAGCGTGCTGGGTCAGACTTGCCTCATAATTATGCCGTGCTCAGCCTTGAGAAGGCGGCTGATCTTTTTCCTATTGGTGATGTTGTCGCTGTGGTACTGGGTGAGGACTTTCTGGATGAATTGATCATCTTTCGAAGCTGTAATGATATACAGATCAGTGTAACGGCGGAATATTGATGTTGCATTGCTCACGACATTGTCGATGTTGATTTCTGCCCTCTGGGTTGGGGACACGAGTGGATGGAGGCTGCGGCTCGTCAGATGAACCATGGTCCAAAGTGTCCACATCATAAGGGTCCGAGTCCATGAACAGATCAGAGGATAGAACGTTGGAGATGGCTAATAGCGCATGAGAACGAGATAACCTGGCATAGAAAAAATTTATACCTGTGTGTTTCCGAAATCATCCGCTCGCACTGGCGTGGCGGCACATATGTAGCAAGTTACTAGTAAGCGCAGCGGGTGTGGGCAAAGACGTAGTCAGTGACATAAATTAGACACACTTACTTACCTTGGAAGTTGACCGGACCAAAAACCATACTCTCAATAGCGGACAATCAGGTAATAGCCGCGTGACAGTAAGCCCGATGATGGTGACGACAAGCTCGAAGACGAGCCCGCTGAGGACGACGAGGACGACGAGGAAGTGGCAAGTGGTGTGGGGAAACGGACACAGCCACACAGTAATTACTAATACGCAAACAAAGTAACATAACAAATAATATTTGTTTGGTGAAAACCAACCTGATACACATAGTCAACCGTAGCCCAGGCACCCTACATCCGCCTCTAATTACAAGGGATACGTGGGAGTCACAGGTGTGCATGGGTCGAAGGATTCGTGGGTAACTTTACATAATTCTTGCTCGTGTCGTCACGAACATGATTCATTGTTTCCTGCCAGTGATCAATCATCACACTGCTGGGTACAACCTTTCCGTGTGCCCAACGTGTGCCCATTCCTCACTAGTGTTATCATTTTCATGTCTGCGTGCGCATGTTGCTAGCAGTGATCAGTAACGTCGTCACAGCGCGATGAACAGCCTCTGAGCTAGCCTGAGTGAAGCGAATATATCATGGGGTAAGTTTCATACTACGATTTGGCATTTATCAAGCCCTTGACTTTGCAGGCCTTAGGCTCAAGCTAAAGCTGGGCAGCCTTGCTAGGTCACGATGAGAAATTGTCAGATTCGACTCGGAAATATAATTTGACCGTTCCCTTCATCAATTTCTCCCCGTTCTTGCCAACTTCGGTCTCTGGAGGTGCGAGTTTACCAAATAAACGTGGTATGACAGAAAGTTCATTATCATGCCATACAGTCAAAGTTGTAGGGTCTTGCCGCAGGTTATCTTTGCTGGACGATAAGTCGCACTGAGCATCCTCAAGTCTTCCACCGGATTTCCGCTAGTCTGATAGTGACAGATTTGACGCTCATCGACACCAGTCGTTGGAATGTAACGAGATTCCACGTATCCTGGTCTGCGTCAAGGCAAAGCGTAATTCATATTGGTACGAATCCTCATCTTGCTACGCGTCGTGCTTATCGGTGAAGTTCCCCGAACTCCAAACTGAATGATAACATAGGTCCGAATCATTTCTACCAGCAGCGGAATATTATGCATTCATAACAATATTATGGTATAACCCGTCCGAAAGTCCAATCCAGCGAATATCCTTCAATCACAAAGGTACCGTGTTTCAAAATACCCACTGTTAACCTGACGTAGTCATGTTGCAGTAATAATAGTCCTATCGCCAACTCAGATTGACCGCGCTGTTGAATCGAGTCGTAATGCTTACCGTGACGGTGTAGCAACATGATGTTACGTAGCCACTTGAGCAACTCCCTGAGTAGCTTTGGCACTCCTCATCATTAACATACCCCGGGTCAGATGAATCCTGTTGCAACGCAGGTAAGCAAAGGTGTCTTTCTTTGCTCATGATTCTTTCTCACCTCCTTGCAGCAGCGAGCTTCGCCGTTGCCACAACTGGTCGAATTGGATGAGGATCTGATAACAGCGGCCATGACATGGGCTTGGGAAAGGAGAAGGAAGATAACAGAAATGGTAGAGATGCGAACGAACATGTCTATGGGTATCGAGGTCTAAGTGAGTGCTGTTCCATGGGCAGACGCATCCCTTTAAACCAGTCGGCTAGCGGCCTCTCGCCTGAATGCTCCTCCCATCTCTCCTCGGAGCTGACAGTGTGAATTGTACAGTGTCATTAAAGTGAGTTGAAACAAAAAAATTTCAATGACTTCATTCCTGATGTCACTAGACGCTCGCCGAGGGGTCCCCGAGGCTGCATGGCATCGACTCCATGTCAAAATTGCTGCTGCGGCCTTCCTTTGGTCAGCATCGGTGGAGACCCGCCTACAACAAGTTCTGTCAAAAATATGAATTACGTCACATTCGAAACTCGTCGTTAAGATTCACTGCACTTTCAACGTGGTCAAACCTCCATATTTATAGACTCTGTACAACAACTGAACGGCCATACTTGTTGTTATGGTAAATTCTCTTGCCGCATCACTCATCTCGGGTTATTTATTTGAGGCAGACATTGTTAGAAGCCAAGGCTGCGACCTTGCTGGACTCGGGTGGGTATTCATCCAGTAAAACTGGCCAAACAACAACACACCTATGACGCTAATAGGCCGAAGCCCGAGAAATCTCGTAAGCTCTCGTAAGTGTCAATTTTCGCTGGGGAGATCCACTCTGTTAAATCTAGACACGGATCAACCTCAGTCTCGGTGGAACGGACTGTATTATGTACCTAGACACGGATCAACTAATACAAGTGTGAGTTAGTGTCTAGGTATCGAAGCGGGACAAAAAACGAACGTACCCTCAGTCTCGGTGGAACGGACTGAGGGAAAAAGAGATACAAAGGAAAATAGGTATATAAGGAGGTTTGAATTCCTGATGCTCGAACTCCGCTGTACGCTATCGCGTCGGCACGTGCGCTCGCATCAACACTCCTCCTCGACGCGATAAGTACTCCTCCTCGAATGATTCACCGTAGGCCTAGCTGAGTGCGTAGACGTTCGTAGTCTTTTTTCGGTAGAGCTTTGGTGAAGATATCGGCGATGTTGTCTTTTGAGCGAATATAGTGGAGCTTGATCTGGCGTTGAGTTACGCGTTCTCGAATGGAGTGGTGAGCCATGTCGATATGTTTGACTCGCGCGTGAAAAGAGGAATCTTCTGTGAGGACAATGGCACCGTTATTATCGCACATGAGTGGGGATGCCGATAGTTGGGGGAAATCGATTTTGTGAAGGAGCATACGTAGCCAAGCAATCTCTTTACCGGCCTCTGAAGCTGCGACATATTCCGCTTCGCATGTTGACAGTGCGATCGTTTTCTGTTGTCGTGCGCTCCAAGTGATGAACCCGCCGCCTAGTGAGCAACAATAGCCACTAACAGAACGACGTGAGTCGATACAGCTGCCGAGGTCGCTGTCAGTGTAAGCTATAAGTCTAGCGGTGTGTTCTCCTCCCAGGACAAGGCAGACGGTGCGAGTTCCCTTGAGATATCGAACCACTCGTTTGGCAGCCTCCCAGTGGACGTGACCGTAAGAGTCGAGAAATTTGCAGAGTTGTTGGACCGCATAGGAGATGTCTGGACGAGTTCCAATGGCGAGGTACATCAGTGATCCAACCAAGGAACGGTAAGGGGTGCGTGACATTAGATCACGTTCGGTATCCGTACGAGGGGAGTGGTCCCGACGCGAAAGGTGGAGGCCTGGTTCCATTGGTACTGAAACGGGAACTGCGTTGGTGAGGCCAAACTGAGAGATGATACGGTCAATTAGCGCAGTTTGAGAAAGAGAGATGGTGCGATGCGTGCGATCTCGAGTGATTCCAATGCCAAGACAAAAGTGAGCATCGCCGAGTTCTGAGACTTGCCACTTGGTTTTGATTTGCGCTTTGAATTCAGAGATGGCCGATTTTGAGCTCCCTACGGTGAAGAAGTCGTCGACGTGTATAGCGACGAGGAGAGTACCGGTGGAGTTACGACGGTAGTATATGCAATGTTCGGTCTTTAGTCGAATAAAACCCCATGTGAGCATGGCTTCGTTCAGCGTACGGTTCCAGATGAGGCCACCCTGTTTCATCCCGTAAAGGCCTTTTTGGAGTTCCCAGACGTAATCCTCGAATCCGGGTTCGACAAAGCCTTCTGGCTGCTCCATATAACAGACTTCGTCCGAGTCCAGGAGCCCGTATAAGAACGCGGTCTTGATATCTAGCTGCTCGATTTCCCAGTCGAGTGCTGTGCCGATGTGGGCTAAAATTCGGAATGATTCGAGGCGGGCGGTTGGGGCTGATGTCTTTGTGTAGTCCTGCCCCCATACCGCAGAGTATCCTCTGCAAACATACCGTGCTTTGAACCTGGCTGGCCTTCCATTCTGATCGCGTTTCAATTTAAACACCGGGCGGCCCTTCATGATTTTACGGCCGGTAGGGACAGTTGATCGATGAACCAGTTTATAGACGCCAAGGTCGCGAAGGGAATCGAATTCGTCGCGCATGGCCTGAGTCCATTCGACAGTGTGATCAGAATCCATAGCCTCTTTGTATGTGATGGGATCGCTGGGGTGTTCAGTGTCGAAGTCATCGGGCATAGCGGCGAAGATTTCGGCCAAGTGGGCGAGTTCGGCTTCCAATCCAGTAAGGTCGTCGTCGACAGTCATGGTAGAGAGGGCAGATTCAGCGATGGCTGGGAGAGTGCGAGTGCGTTCTGCGGTGGCTAAGGACGCGAGAGCATTGCGCTGTGTAGCGTTAGTATAAGGTATACCGTTAGCTGCGCATAGACGCTCCGATGGGACAGGTGTGCGTGATGATCGACGAGGAATGGGTTCCGATGTTGGTATGATGGGTGGTACGATGGGAATAGGTGTAATAGTTGGGGGAGGGTCGTCCTCATCAGGAACTTCAGTCACAGAGGCGCGTTGAGACATAACGGGTGAAGCTGGTGCGTTCTCGATGACAGTGCCAGGGTGAAGGGGAGTATCAGCTGAGTCATGCGATTCAATAAATGAAACATGATACGATACGAATACTTTGCGTGATTCTCGATGATAACACCGGTAAGCTTTAGAATCGAGGGAGTATCCAATAAGCACACATTCGATCGAGCGGTTGTACACCTTGGGGTTGTGCCGGTTTTGAATAAGGACGAATGCCCTACAACCAATTTCGCGCAGATGAGTGAGATCGGGTTTGGTATCGTACCAGCGTTCGTATGGAGTGTGGCCAGCCTGGGAGGCAACGGGCGTGCGATTAGAAAGATAGCACACCGTTAAAACGAATTCGTCCCAACATGCCACGGGCACGTCACAAGCAGAGCGCATTGCACGAGCCTTACCCATCAAGGTGCGATGCAAGCGCTCGACCCTACCATTCTGTGCTGAGGTGTAAGGCGCGGTGAATTGATGCAGAGTACCACGCGAGAGGAGCCACTCTCGCATGGCCTCGCATTTGAGTTCACCATTGTCGGAACGATAGATACCGACCTTTGAGTCAGTCTCGAGTTCACGAGCTTTCTCCCAGGCCTGTAATGCGGGGAATGCGTCAGACTTAGCGGCAAGAGGGATGGACCACGCGTAGGACGAGAAATCATCGATTATGTCCATGATGTATTTATTTCCAGCGGTTGAAACGGTGTCTGGGTGCTCCATGAGGTCCACATGCACAATACCTAGTCTTCTAGTAGCCCTACCACTAACGCGAACCTTTGGGACACTAGACTTGGTCTGTTTTCCAAGAATGCAGGCGTCACAAACTGGAGGTTCGGTAGAAAGGGTAATAGGCATACCGGTAGCATTACCAGAGCGTGCAAGGTCATAGACTGCACGATAGTTTGCGTGACCGAGGCGACGGTGCCAGGATTGGAGTGTGGGAACGCGCTGTGCGAGGAAAACGTGGTCCGCGGATAGTTGTCCGCCAGAAAGAGCGTAGAGGCGCCTAGAGGTAAGAGTACCAGAGAGCATGCGGGTGCCGCTGTGCGATTGTACCCAGCAACTGGCCGCGTCAAATGAGGCAACGCAACGGTGGGCACTGCATAGGCTGGAAACTGAGATTAAGCGCACAGTAGCCGCCGGGATAAAGAGTACATGGTCGAGGGTGATGTGGATACCCTTGGCAACGACGAGGCGAATCGTCCCGACACCAATCGCTTGGATTGAAGAACCTCCGACACCGCTGACGGTGCGTGGTGGAATCGGACGGAGGGTAAAGAAGTCAGATTCCGTATTACTGATGTGAACCGATGCCCCAGAGTCAAGGAAGAAGGGGATGATGGAAGGATCCACTACGGTACGCTGACGCTGATTGGGTGCTTTGTAGGTAATGCCCGCGAAGTCGACAGATTGGTTGTGATTGCGCCAGTCGATGCTGGTATGGAGGGTATCGAGAGCAGAGTAAAGTGCCGTGAATTCATCGTCGTCTGCAGTGGAGAGCTCGCGGATGAAGGCCGGGGTAATGGCATCGAAGGCAAGTCCAGCGAATTCGCGGGATTCTGGAGCGGAAGAGGGTGCGGGATGAGAGGCGATGTAGATGGCTTTGTGAGTTTCGCCGTCCAGAATGTATGCGCGCCCCCCAGTGTCATATCATACGCCACCCGGCTTCCCAGTAGAAGCAGGTTTGGTGACGGGTTTGGCAACAACTCCTCCTGCTTTATTACTGCCCTCGCGTGCAGTACGCTTACGAGCAAGTACTTCCTCTCGTTTTCCTTCCATAAGGCCCCCTTTGGCGAAGCAATCCTTCGCATAGTGCCCCCAACTGGTACAGTTGGTGCAACAGAATGAGTGGCCTTGACGCCCACACTCGGAGCACGTTTTGGAACGCCCACCATGATTGCCTCCGTTTCCCTTGTTGTTGGCGACTAACGCGACGTCCCCGCTCTTGTTCTTTTCGGTATCGAGGAGCTGTTGCTCGACGTCGAGACGAGCACGAATGTTAGAGGGGCCGTATGCGCACGTATTGGCACTAGTGGAGGGGCTGGTGGACAAGGCATCCGCGATGTGATTGCGAACGTGTGGGAAGTCATCTGTCATGGCGTTCAGCATCATGATGGTTAGGAAATCCTCCTCCTTGGGTAGACCTATGGCGTAGATACGCCTGACTAACTCTCCAAGTTGAGTGCTGGTGGACGATAGACGCTCAGAACGGCGGTAGCGAATTGTGAGGGCCTGCTGGATGAGTAAGATCTGGGCGATAGGGCCAACCTTTTCATGGCGGGACTTCAACGCGTTCCAGGCGAGATAAGCGTTGGTGAAGCCGCGGAGAAACTCTTGTTCTTCTGAGCTGGAACGTGTGCGTAGTGCCGCGATAATACAGAGGTTATTGAGGTCCCAGTGGGACGCGCTCGCCGGATCAACAGACGGGTCAGGACGCATAATAAGCCCGAGAATATAACCACCGCCATGTTTGAGAAGGAGGTAATTTTGCATCTTATCGGACCAGATCCCCCAGTTGTTGGTTCCTCGGTCCAGAACTTCGATCTTTTCCAAGTCCGTTTGGCTAAGAGTGATCGCAGTTATGGCGGGCATGACTAGGGGTGATGGCGAGTTCGCCGTGGTTGCGTTGGCGCTGCTCTTTGTGCGGGTATGCGCTGGCATTGTGAGGACGATAACGTTGGGGATGAAAAGGTAATGGGGTGAATCCCCACGAGTTCTAGATATATAAATGCTTGGGGTTTGAGAGGACACGCTTGATGCCTTCTTGCCCGAAGTGGTAACAATAAGGTGGTTCGATGACTCTGATCGAAGCTCACACGAATCAGCGTACGCCCGAGGTATTATAACCCGACGTAGTTGTTCCTGGGCGGTTAATTAATGTCCAGATGGTTAACTGCTACTCGTTCACGAGTAAGCAGGGCTCATAACCTGTTAAATCTAGACACGGATCAACCTCAGTCTCGGTGGAACGGACTGTATTATGTACCTAGACACGGATCAACTAATACAAGTGTGAGTTAGTGTCTAGGTATCGAAGCGGGACAAAAAACGAACGTACCCTCAGTCTCGGTGGAACGGACTGAGGGAAAAAGAGATACAAAGGAAAATAGGTATATAAGGAGGTTTGAATTCCTGATGCTCGAACTCCGCTGTACGCTATCGCGTCGGCACGTGCGCTCGCATCAACACACTCCTGCTGCCAAACAGGCGTGGAGCGAGTTCCCCACTCTCATATAGACGAGGCTCCACAACGTCAGGGAGAAAACAGATGTCGAGGCTATGTACGTACTGTGAAGCTGCTTCGGTTGGATCGCACTTTGAAAACGTCATGCTTAGGCCCCAGTGTACCTGTATAATGATGCGCTTTACAAGTGGCACAGATAGCAAAATAGGCCACTTCAGGTGAGCTACCACAATAGAATGGCTAGTGAGAAGCAAAGGGTGTTAGATGGCGATCATATATGTCGGCACAACGGTAGTATTGATGTCTTCTTCTGAGAATTTGGCTCCGTCATATTCGACGGACAACCCCAGAGGCAATTCATGCCAAGATAATGATCGCCACCTCCAAATTTCTGAGGCAGCCATAAGTAGCTTCTATTAAGGCCTTAGAAATAACTATATTATCTCTGAACCTAAACGTCCTGTCGGAAAAAATGCGCTCTTCTAAGCCTCCGAGATGAACGTCCATGTGCTGGTGCGGTAGTGACGCCCTTTACCGCCGTCGTTGTGATTTGGTATGGCCGAAGGGGTTTCCCATCCCGATTCCCGTTGTGATCATCGAAGAAAGAAAAGAATCAACGGGTCAAAGAGCTCTTTGCACGCATACGTTCGCCAGCGTAATATATCCAGATGGGGAAGGGTATACCGATGATGATAGCAAGACCTGCAAGGAGGGAATTGCCTCCCCCATAACCAAGTGCAGCAAACATTTGTTGTCCAAAGAGGGGGAATGCGAACCCGAATAGTGAGCGGAATGTCTGGTGATGTGATTAGTGGATGGATGCTGACGAAAGTAGGGGTGACTCACAGAAGCAGCCGCCACAGCACTTGCGGCGTATGTAAATGTATCTACGAGGTATAGTTGGATGGGGAGGCTTGAAAGCGGTCAGTCGTGTACAGCGCTAGAAAAAGGGCACACCCACAAAGTAGTCATTAATCCGAATCCAAAGATAGCAGTACCGATGATGGGCATCATGAAGTGGAGCTCGGCTTGGGCAGACCAGCCATACCAACTAACGCAGGTCAGATCGGGAGTAACAAAAATGAACGTGTTTATCTCACAATAGTCCCACCGGGACGATCACCGAGCCTATTATCAGAGGAGGCACACGCATCTCTGGTTTACCCTTTCCTCCATTTTTTGCAGCAAGCTAGATACAGAAAGCGCTTTAGCTGCCGTAGTCGAGGGAGAAAGCAGCCTTGACGCACGTATGTATATGTCATGTTGGAAAGTTTGGCGCCGAGTATTGTAGCAGATAGGAATCCAACGCCAACTCCAATGTATGCTAGACCTGAGACTCCGGTGCTGAAGTGGTATACGCCCGAAAAGAGGTCTGGGTGCAAGTGTTCACTATTTATCCACATATTGAATGCGATCTTACCTGGGAAAGTAGCAAACATCAAGTAGTAGATACCTGATAACATGATTTCAGTGTACGTCCAATATATCTTGATGTGATGTGCTACTACTGACCGTACATCCTAAATAGATGAGCACCAGTTAGCCGCGTGAATACTAAAGTAAACTTACAGGGCCATGTATAAGCTCAGCATGAAGCATATCAAACTTCGGGCCAAAAGTATGACCGGTCGCTTGAGGTTGATCCATAAGTAAGCCCATTTGCCTACGTGGTGTGCTGTGAGCGCTGGATGTCCTGCAACTATCTTCTCGGGATCCGTAGCCATTTTTCCACGACGAAGCCTGATGACCGGTGCATAGGATTCTCTCAAAAGAGGAATGCCAAGCACTGCGGCAATAGCACACATAGCAACGACGACGTAGAAATCATATTTTATGCCGATCGACTCTGCGATGAAGCCTCCCATAACGGGGCCAACGGCGGGACCTTGCCAGACGAGTATGAACTTGAGTCAAGGTGGTACACTATGAAACGTACCTATCACAGGTCCGACATTGTATACTGCCATAGCCCAAGCACGGTCACGTTCGGAGAAGAGGTCGCTAACGACACCTCCACCAATTGCTACGGGTGCACTCCCGGCAAAACCAGCTTTGAAGAGAGAATAAGCAAAGTTACGAGCCCAACGGTCGCATGACATACCTAAAAACCGAAAGACGATTAAAGATGTGGTATTGGGTGACAAAGCGCAGCCGAGATTGCACACAAGGAAAAGTAGGTTCGATAAGTGGAGTACCTTGAGCTCATTCAGGGGAACAGCTACATTGAGAGTAAGGAAGAGGATGACGAACCCATACACGACCATAGACTTCGGACAAGGGTGCGGCAAATAAAGGACCGATGGCGAATGACAGAAGGAAGATACTGAGAGTCAACGCTGTGATTGTTGGATCGGTTATGCCATATTTTATGGCCAGGTCGGGCAAACCAGGTGCCATGATAGTACTGGCCAATGGCGTGACAAAAGTGTAGAATGCACCCTAACAGGAAAGCGAAATTAGCCCTCATTATTAGATATCGCTGATGGACAAACTGACGATTAAAGTGGTTGTCCATTTTTTTGCTGGAGACCAATTCCTGGGGTTGATTGGGTCATCTTGCCATTCATCCTCTAACTGTTCGAGTTTTTCCGAGATTTTATCCTCAAGGTTGTCATCTGGGATGGCGGATGCGACATGGAGCTGGGGAAGATGAAGGTCGTCCATATCATCACTGTCTGGTACGTGAGTATGGGAGGTCTCGACAAAGCTTATTCCTGGAGAGCCCGACATTGACCAGCGCTGAAGTAGACAGGCGACGGTAGGATAAGAGCCTCTGCATATGTCTGGCAACAGACTGTTAAAATAGAGGGTGGTGACTGAGCAGGTATTACACTGTACATTATACTTTGACAGGTACCTGCCGGTTATGTGCCGAAAACTCGGACAAGAAATTTCAGATGTCATACCGATCGCATGTACATGCGGACGGATGATGAGTGAGGCCGGTTCTCATTGGTTAGGCTCTGCAATCGCGCAAAGTGATGAACAGATTTTATTGGGCGTCGCGCGAGTACCTCCGAGTAATACTAGCTGTCGTCAATGCCAACTGGGTCCTAGTGTCGTGGTGAGCGCGGTATGTTCTGAGCCGGCGGCAGTTATCTGCGTGTCGTATCGAAACTTATCACTATAGATGTCACCGTGATGTTAACTGCTTGTTGCTTAGTACTATAGCTACCTCTGCTGTTCCCCATGGACCATGCATTCTGAATACAATTGGTGCAGTGACTACTCGAGGCAATAGAAGGAGAACAAAGTTGTGGCTGACAAATCGAATTTGGGTCATGATGCATGATGAGCCGCTACTGAAAATGGCAATCAGCTGAGGTCCCACGGTCATCGGTCAAAACTTACGTCGTCATCGTCGTCGTCGACGACGCCAACGACGACGAACTGTAGCTCAATCGCTTTCAGTCCTCATAAATTTCGCGCCGGTTTACTGCAACGATGACTTTAATCGGGGCATAAATATTACAGATTCAGACAACATACAAATCGCACCATAGTGCCGACTAGTCTAGCTCCCTGCGTGCAAAGCTGCCAAGGCATCGTGAGCTGCAGAATGCTCGCACAAAAGCCCCCCCTCTCGCAAAACATATTCATGCCTTCCGCATCGTCTGTTTGGCGTCGCTGCCTGCTTACGCTTTATACCACGGTCCACAGATGAGTTCACCAAACAATCGTTGTCAACTGATGGAACGCGTTTATGGCCGCCCGAAGAGGTATCCTGACTCCCAGAAAGACGGAGATGACATCGCGCCGTCAGACCTCGTCAGACTCATGAGTCTGGATTCCGGATAAAATCCCGCTAATTCCATATATCATGATGCACGCGGTCTTTGATCAATTTGATTGTTTGATGAGTCACCTATAGCGGGCCACAATCATTCCGCACGGTAAGCAATATCAAACTGTATCATAGGGATCCGATGGACCGTTCGGGACGACGATAGTCTTTGACACTTGCTTCTACTTGGGGTCATCGAAAGTTCCTTTCACATTTTTTATCCGTCATTCTATAATGCAGGGGGCCCGGGTGAATGCCAGCTATAGGGTATTCCATCACTGGGCAAATGTATCAACACAGCACAGGTGGGTTTCAAGGAGCGTGTCCAAACAATGGCAACCACTGAAACGCGTATGACCTGCGGAAGAAGGCACAATCTGATACGTCGCCCACAGTATTCTCCTGTATAAAAGACATGCCCCTCAGCTGCTAACTCCTCAGCCCTTCTCTTTCCTTCGTTTTCACGGCTCACCCAGGTGCAGGCAGTACGTTCATTCTTCCCCATCCGGTTGTCTTCTACTAACCTCATGACGCGACAGCCTATTTTTGAAAACCCCGTACATTCTCATTATTCTCATTTTTAACATACCTCTTTGATTTTTACTTTTCAACGTTTTTATAATACTCATCGTCCATCATGCGCTTCGCTACTCTCGTCGCTCTCGCTGTCGTCGCGTCAACCGTCCCTAGTCTCGCTGCCCCTGCTCCATACTTGTATGTCTCTCTCAGACAGCCATTCAACAGACCCACTGAATGCATTTCCAGCGCCAGCCGAGTCGCTTCCAACCTTGACAATAGTACCGTCGAATCATCTTTATGCAACGGCACCTTTCATCACCTTAATGGGACAGACATCCTGCAGCATGTCAAGTGCGTCAAACTCCTGCAACCTAAGATGTTGAATTAACACTGACATCTTGACAGCGACACCATTCCTGAAATCAAACAATTCTGGGGTGGTCTGGTCGGCCTGACTGTCAATGGGACAAGGACTAATTCGTCCCTTACTTCCAAACGCGACAATACCTCCGATATCGTCCAAGCCATTGAAGCAGTGCTCAACGAGCTGCCCCCTACAAGGAAGCGCGATACCACTGCAGACATTGCTGCCGCGCTCCAGACTCTCTTGGACGTATCTGGCTCTGTACCGAGTGATGTTAAGAGAGATTCAGCCTCCTCAGATGTCGAAGACCGCAGTCTCAATTTCTCGGACATACTTTCCATCATCACGACCGGGTTCCAGAACGCCGGAAGCTTGGAGGGTGTCACCAAGCGTCAACCATACTCAATTCCCCCGGTGGAAGAGCGTAGCCTCCTTTCACCCAGTGCTTCGTCCTTGCTGAAGAACATCGCGAATGTCGTTAGCATAGGAATAGGTGCTGATACCATTGCGAACGCCTTTGGTGGGAGCGACAGCACCAAGCGGGACTTTGCTTATGATGGGGACTCCATTACCCTGGTCGACGAGCGTAGCCTCCTTTCCCCCAGTGCCTCGTCCTTGCTGAAGAACATCGCGAATGTCGTCAGCATAGGAATAGGTGCCGATACCATTGCGAACGCCTTTGGCGGTAGCGACAGCACAAAACGGAACTTGGACCAAACGTTTGGTGGAATTGGTGGAGTTGGAGGAATCCTGGGTTCAGAAGCAGTCCAGATGGAAGAACGCAGCCCCGCCATTTCTTCCAGTATCGGAAATGCCCTGGGGAAGTTGGCGACCATAGCTAGTGTGGGGGGGTACTATTGCGTCAGTGTTGTCTTCCTTTGATGGAAGCAACAACGGCATGAGGCGCGACCTTGGCATGGACTCGGGACACAATCATGACCAGAAGCGCGTCGTCTCCTCCGATATCGAAACCATCCTCCAGCAGATCGTAGCCTCTTTTGAGGGTGCTGTGGACCCATCAGGAAGCACTTCTGCTTCTACCAAGCGTTCTACCGGCGTTCTAGGCCTTACGGATATCATGACCCCGGAGCAACTTGAGGAGATTTTGAACGATTCATATTACGCGTAGTATTTATTGATGCATACATTGGAGGCTAGTTGGATACTTATTAGCTAGCATGCCGATGCTAATAGCATTTGAGATTGTGCGCGTTATGGAGCGGTCAATGGGGCCCAGTGAATCTGGATTCTGCTTCAAAGCGTTTCATCGCTTCGATTGATTCTACCTGCCAGTGTTGGTCAGCTTTGCCTTCAAACTCAAACACAACGGAGGGCGTGATTAGAATAATGTCTAGGGAGTACCATAATGTAAACCGAACGACTGTAATTTAAGGTTGGGACGGGTGATATTCTTCTGTGCCATATTCAAACATTGATAGACTAATCCCCTCCCACACTGGAGCGGTGAGATCTGGCACAGGTCCTCCGTGGGAGTGCCGGGGGTCCTGGCGCAGTGGCTGGAGTCCTGGCTCGTAGGTAGTCGCTACTGCATGTTGTAGTCGGTCCTGCATAGACAGAGCCGTCGCCTCCTGCTACAGAGGTTTGGCCTTGGTTCCCTTGCAGTCCTGCCCGTTCCAACACTGGTTCAAACGTTCAATGACCCTAGCACTACATGCAAGCACCTTGATAATTAGGGGACTGATGATTATTGACCAAACCTCTCAAGCGTGTCCCTGGCTACAGTCCTCAAGTCCTTCACAGCCGCAATAGCGACCCCCTCTCCCTGCGGCGCCTGCGCTAAACCTCTTATCCGTCTCATCTGTCTCCTCTCCAGTATGTTGAGAACATCGTCCACTTTTCCAATGAACTGTGGGAGATCAGATTTTGAAGCAATCTGCATATACCTCTTTGTGCCTTCCACAAGGATGGGGAGAAACTCGAAATAGCGGTCGTCCAGGATCAAGGAATAATGTAGGGACCATGCGCTTCTCATCACGTCCCACCACTGCTGCTCTGTGAAAGAATCGAGTGGTGTAACCGCCGTCTTTTCAGATGCGATTCGGAGGAGGATACCAGCTATGTAAAAGGGATGTTCATCGTCTGGTTTGCAGTACTCTGCAATCAAGCTAATGCACTGATCTATATGGTGATCCCGACACAAATGGGGGTGCCAATCGGAATTCCCCGCAAGGGCAAAGACCAGTTTGAGATAGCACAGGTCACGGGGATTGTTGAAAGAGTGGTGAGGGTCATCATTGGCGGGTGTTGGACTGGGTGGCGTATAAACCACGGACAAAATAGCGGGGGAGAGCTTGGTCAAAACCGCGTCCCGCATCGCATCATCCATGGCGTCGATCGAGGCCATGTCTTCTCGGAAACTGTAAGCAGTGTGAAGAGCAGCGTGGCGTATATGGTCAGGCATGTTACTGTCCATGCAGGCGATGAGCCTCTCGATGAACACATGTTGTTTGGCCGGGCTGCAGCGCACTGTTATACCACCCAGTAGCAAAAGAACGTCATATATTGTCTCGTGGTCGCCGGAATCAATGTAAATGTAGTCGAGGTAGTCCACCAGCCAGTCGGAGTCGTCTGGCGAGTGGGAATCTCCTTGCAAAAACTCGGCATACCACAGCAGGTCAGGGTCCCGAGGCACCCTGGCAGCAGCGAACGTGAAGTGCAGTACCTTTCGTAGAGCTGCCAACAAAGCAGAGGGATCACTTTGTTCGGATGACCTCGCCCGTGAATAAACCTTCCTGCACGCCTCCAGGTTCCGCATCGTATGGAATGAAGGTGGATAATATCCAGCAAGCTCGAGAATGCGACAGATGACGTCGAGGAGCTTCCATGCTCGGCGTGCTGCTGCTGTGTTGTCACCGTTGATATTGCCTCCATCGCATGCCCAGAGAGCCTTTTGGAACTGCGTCAAAAGAGTCTCCGCGAGTTGCTCCAGAGCAGAACTACACAATATCGTTGTTAATCATGAGAAGAACCACCAAATGAGTCAATAGCACCTTTTGTCAACACGAATTATGTCCTTCTTGTCAATCTGAACCCCGACCATGACGCAAGCAAGAAGAGTGCAATTGGCAATGATTTGAGTCGAAGGAGATGATGGAGAGCATAGCAATTTGGATATCACTGTTATGGCGAGTTTTTCTCCTCCTTCATTCGCTCTCCCAGTAATAAAGTGATACGGAAGAACATGTGACAGCCACTCCGGGACGGAATCGGGACAAGCCTGCAACCCAACAGGAAATGGAACAAACACGGTCTCCGAATCTTCCATAAGACAAATATTTCCAGTCGTGCCGAGCACCGTGTTGTCGGCTGTACACGTGCCCGGCTGCATCATGAAATGAAACCAGATGAAGTCTCTTCCCCCCTCAGGGCGGAGGAATTCACCACGGCCAGGATGTGCCTGAAGAACACGGCCGCAGTATAGATGACTTAGAGCCAATGTACATGCCGAGGCCTTCTCCTTCAACGACGGTATGATTTTCCTCTGAGTGTCGACGCAGCTCATGAAAATATCATACAGCTGAGGCAGCATATCTGAGACGTCAAGATCCAGAGGCCATTCGACCTGCGGAACAATACTGGCAGCAGCGAGAAACACTTCAGGGTCCGTAGATGTCTCGAGCAACCACTTGATGCTAGGTGCGTCGAGATCGCTGGTGGGTACGTGAGGGAGGTCAAGGTCAACTTCAAGGACGGATGTGTTCTCTGCCACAACATCTTGATTCTGGTCGAGCGATTGTGCTTCCGAGTCTACAACATTTGTAGAAGACCGTGGAACAAAGAATCGCAGCCCGTCACGAAGCGTGGCGAACGCCCGTGGAAGATATCGCCGTGCAAATGCGCCGACCGCACGTACATGGCCTGGGTAGTGACATCAGCACACAGTATCTTGTGTAATAGTGGATAAGAACATCACCTCTCAATGCTTCAGACAACCAGGTCCATCTCGATCCGAGGGTCCCAACCAGTCGTTGCAGCACACCTGACAAGAAACGGTCAAAACCCGTGTAAAGGTAAGAAGATATAGCTCACCACGCACTGAAGTCGTGAGCTGCTGGAAATGCCTGGAGGCTGGTCTAAATATCAGGAGTAAAACTCCTGCAATGTTCATTGAGACTGGAAACGACCACGAGAATAAAATGATCTTACTGTCGATGCGTAGCATGCGCAATATCGTCGATATCGGCGTCTGGAATGGACAGGAGGGAGATATCAAACATGCCATCACCGTCAGCGAATAGAACAGAAATCCGAAGACCGTTGTGGCAACGATGACAAAGGCGATGCTGCGCTGCTCGTACCACATGTTGGCACTCAGGGCGATCCCAAACAGAAGAAGGGAGATCTGAAGCAAGACCGGAAAGGACTGCACGACAGCATCGAAATACCATGCGACGAGGCCATCGAACTTCTCTTGTCTGCGCTTTCCTCGCTCCTCCGGCGAGCCACGGCCATATCTGTTAGACTTGTAGTACCCGAGCCACTGCTTGCCTAGTACGGCTCCGAAAGCAGCGAGCAAGCTCATGGACAAACTTGCATATGCGATCATTTGGATCCGTATCGTCGATGTGGGCGGCGACCACGGAGATGCTGGTGCTGCGGCTGCAGTGAGGTTGCCGAGTCCGATTTGTACGAGTTGTGCGAGAAGGACATTCGTAGTGTCGCTGGGGTTGGGACTGAGATTTGGCTCCATCGCCACAATGAAAGACGTGCTGACAGCGGAGAAAAGACCAGACTGATTCAACATCAATCTCAAAACGGGTCAGAAATGAATGTGCGAAACATACGAAGACCAACACGATATCCATGTCGCTCGTATATCGCTCAAGAAACTCGCCGTCGTGTTCCTCCGCGACTCTTTTGTACACTCCCCAGAAACGAGAACGATGGTCCTTGCCGCTCTTCGAGGCAATTGTCGAGTCCTGGAGAACATCCAATACTCGCTCCATGACGGTTACTCTGCACATAGGATGTCGTCAGCTGCGATTGTTTGGCTTATTCTTCGCTCACAGTTTACTTAGATTTTGCTGGTCCTTCTGCAACGCGGCCTTGTCCGCCTCGCTGAAAAAAATTAATCGTTTGAGTAGTTTGACATCATCAATGATATGGACTTACGGAACTAAGCCACCGTTGGGTGAATCATCGGAAGTGATTTCCTGTTTGTGAGGTTCTGATGACTGTGAAGGCCTGATATTCGATCTGTAGTTCTAATGAGGAATAATTTGGAAGCATTAGGGTACAAATACTTACATCCCTGGTGGCAGCTTCACCGACGAAGGTCCACAATCTTGCTTCTCCCTGTGTTGTTATTATATGGGTGATACATCCCAGGGAGCCGGAACTTACTCTGAATCCTCGGTGGGTCGTACGGTATCCTGTTCCGGGGGAGGCTGCTCGTCGTTGTGGGCGCGTTGATCCTCGGCGCCGCCGGCGCCTGATGATTTTGACATGAGGAAGTTGGAGCTGCACGTATTTGGATACAAAACAAAGTCCAGTGGAACTGGGAAGAGTATGTGGCTCTGAGCGGGCAGAGAGAAGCTGTGGTGGTGTTTGGATCCAAAATAACTTGAAAAGCCAGTGGAATCGGGAAGAGTGTGAGGCTCTGAGTGGACGGAGATAAACGGTGGTACACAGCAAGCTGGTTGGGCGCCTGCAACTATCACAGACACGTGCAGCACATTGTTGACGCTGACGGTCACGGTGTTCGTGAGCGCTCCCTAGACCAGTGCACTGTGAGACGTATCCGAGTCAGGCCGAAAGACAGTCTAGCTAGTAGCATCGCAAAACATCGATATGCGCTGACTTCAACAAAAAGTATGGAACGGTCAGACCAGTGAGCAGGTCATGCAATTAGGAACGACAATATGGTAGACCAATCCCTACAGCGGGCCGAGGGTGCCAGTTTCAAACACCGAGCGGAGTTCGTTGTGTGTACTGTTGGGGATGCAACGTCACAATACTATACTCTCTCGAGCTCAGTACTTGCGTCAATCTGAAACTATGCAATATCATTAAGTACAGTGCCAGTGTTCAACTTAATTACTTCAAGCTTCGACTTGACTTTCCGTGCAGATTGTTCGATTAGATTCATCAGAAAATACTATTTCAACCGGAGCTTGAAATGCTCTTCGTCATAGGGAGCCCATTTCCGCAGTTCGACGAGTCCTATAAAGACCATTTGCTGCCCGGCTTTCCTCCCTCTCAGCTTGATCTGCCTTGACATCGTTTCGGTTACTAAGGGTGGCTAAGTAAGGCGCGTGATCCACTTGGCGTGCAGCTGGGAGCATGGTTGTTTTTCGTGCATTTGCTGCACAAAAGCCCACGATGCTCACATGTTGTTGCAAAACTTTCGGTTCGAATCGAGATTTGCATAATGGCGCAGTCGTAATTTTTTTTGTTCACTGTTGGTGTGCATGACAAGCACGCAACGCACATTAGCATGCCGATTGTTTCGGATCAGCATTCTATTGTACGATAGATGAATCACAATCAGTGCGTTCTTCCGTAGAATTTTGGAGGTCGACGGTCGTTATTGATTTTGCTGACGTGATCTATACCTGGTCAGCGCTAGCTTCAAAGAGTCTGAACGTTAACCACCAATCATGTCGGCCTTGCTTCGTTGGCTGGTCAGCCATGCATTCGTTGCAATACAAAAGACCTTCGCGGCTCTTGTTTGACCCTATTTCTTCTCGACGCCATATGTTCTCTCACACTAGAAGAGTCGCTGTGGATGAAAAAGCCGCTATTGGCAGGTGCTAGCGCTCATGCCTGATATATAGTGCCTAATTCAGTGATCGTATCGTGTGTTTGATCGGGAATACCTGTTGATGTGAGGTGGACGCTCTCGTAGCGAAATACGAGAAGTAAATTCTGATGTTCTACAGCAAACTTCCGTTGCAATCGGCCATGCAAACCTGTCCCCTGGCCACGCGCTAAGTCCAAACACAGCAAATGTCAAAAGTCACATTGTTGTTTTGATTCTGATGGGCAAATATATGTCCAGTGCGTGGATGATTGGAATGCAGTAAATGATCATGAGGATGAACCTAGCTGTAGCAAGGCAGTGGCATGGCTTGGCAAAAATAGAGCCTACAACTATTAGCGCTGTCTCATGAAATCCTGTCATACACACGAGAACTCACTGATATATTACTTTGCTACCAGAGAGGACCAAGCAGAAAAGCAGCGAGTACTGTGCAATCGTCCTTCTCATTTTCTATCATGACCAGTGACAGAGCCCAGAAAATATACGGGCGGCTTACCCTAATGAGCATGATTCCCTTGCGACACCGACCGTTGAGTCTTCTGAATACGCCGTCCACTGAAGAAGCTCCACCCCATAAAAGACCAACTCAGAAATCGCTGCGCCCACTACAACCAGCATGTGGGAAGTACTTGATTGCTTTGTCATGATGGACTGCTGAATGTGTAACAAGAACTTATCTCGAAAACAAGATGACGAAATCACGAACAGCTTAAATTTACCTTTTCAAGTGAACGTTCCACCCATGACCAACTGCTTGATTCATGTCCCACATCTTTAAATCAGTATTTTATTAATATTGCCTGATGAAGCACAGGCGTGTTCCAATTCCACGTCCCTACCCTACTACGAACAACGCGAGCCGAGCTCGACTCCCATTCACATCAACTGCGTGATGCATTTATGGTGGCATGTTTTGCATCGGTTTTCATTAGCGTCGAGGGTGTGCGTTGGCAGCTGTTGGCAAGTGTGTTATCTTGTTCAAATCTCTGACTTTTCTGATGGCGTGCCGACAGAGTGTTACCCCCTTCAGCCCTGGGATATCCTAGATGCTGCTGAGGCTCATCAATAATATCACCACCAAATCCACCAAATCAAGCTGTACAGTACAAAGAACAACAAGTCGGGCTTCATGCGGTCATAACCATGTGTTCAACTCTTCTTTCGCCCATGTCGTCTCTCAGTGCTGTCTTGATCTAGGGATTGCTTGTATATATCTCCATCAGATATCAATCACAGAATTTTAACTAGGATACCGTGAAACCTGATGCTTGTCACTGGCACCGCACCAACTCCACGATGCAAATCGAAGATTCCGCGCTGATCATTTTCAACATCCTTATGATAGGATAGCCCGACGAGGGAGGCAGAGAGCGAGAAGGTGTGCGTGAAGTGACAAAGTGGCAAGGACTAGGTTGGGATATGTACTTGCAGGGAGGTATTGCTAGCCTGGGTAAGTGGATCTCCCCTACTAGTATTTCTAACGGCTGACTTTTCTGGTCTGGCATCATGCCGACGCAAAGAACCATCATTGATCTTATGGATGACACTATTATTAGAAGGAAAATAGATCATATGAGATCTATTCAAGTTTCGCATCACCGCCACTTTACCCAAGGCCCGCTACAGCACTTCGAACGTGACATCATATCCATCGACAGGAACGGATATCATCCCTCGGTCCTCTAAGCACTGGGTGGTGGTGGTATATCTAGCACGAATATCATCATTGTATGTCCACCAAGTTCCCTTCTCCCTCACATACATCCTCTAACAGTATGACACTAGTCTCAGACGACCCTAGTTATTGGCCACTCATTAACGCTTGGCGTATTAGCAGCTATTTTGCAGGTTCGTGAAGAGTAGTCAGATGTTGACCTCGATCTGACCTTGATTGTGGTTTTCCAGTTGTCGCCTTTGTTGCAGTGACGTATGATTGGGGTGAGCATCATAACATTACAGAATTACCGATTTCTCACAAGTATTTCCAGCCCTTACGTTCGGACAAGAGGTATGTTGATGCTATGACCGGAGCAGCCATCTCGCTAAGATTTGTTTGTAGGTCGAACTGGTCTGGGTGAGCACGGTTCCACGTCAGAAGAACAATATTGATTTGCGACAGAGACAACGTTGGTCCCTGATGACTGTTCTCTATCTGAGTGTACGTAGCTCGCCTGTTGTGAATTTCTGCTGACTTGACAATATCCTAGGTGCGCTATCTTGGAATTCTATTTGCTTTGTATGTTCAGAAGACTTAGCAATTGGTGTTGTTCTAATCGACCATCTCTCACACTCAGCATGTACATACTGCGTATGTCTTCTCGCATCTAAAGTATTTGTATCTTCTGACCGGTGGCATACAGTCGGTGTTCCGACGATTTTGTTGACAGATGCAGTGAGTCTTCTACACCGATGCCTGCTATTCCCATTCAATTAACCCCGACGCCCTATAGGGGTGAGTGTCATTCTTGACCAGCTTCTTTGTTTGCTATCATGACTGCTACAGATGTGAGTCTGTTTGTAGTGTGTGATCCACCCAAAGCTCATCACTAACCGTATTTCTTAGGCCGGATTGTGTACCTCGTGGTGGATTGGACGAATGTTGTGGCATTTCCAGTGCTGTGTGGTGAGTTGCGCAGTTTCAAGACCTATGATATTGACTTGACTGAAACATGTTTCAGTCATCATGATCGCTCGGTTAGGTGCCATGTATCAACGATCCAGTAGGATCCTGATATTTCTCGTCGTCGTGTGCTTGGCTATCAACATTTTCGACGTAGCGGTCGCTGTGATGACAACGAGGCATGTTTCAGGAGGTAAACTTAATTGTGAATGACAACCGTGCATGGCGCTCATTGATGAATACCAGAGGAACTCATTCTCTCTAGCGCCTATGTGTGCGCGATTAGCTATGGGGACAATACCCCACTTCTGAATTCCATGTCTTGGATACTCGGTACTGTTTGGGAGGTCCTCGCGCTCTGTCTCGCAGTCTGGATTGCTGTAAAACACTTCCGTGAACTGCGACAACATTCAGCAGGAGGGATTATTGGCGACTGTTTCACGGTGTTGATAAAATCCCACGTGCTTTACTTTGCGAGGTGAGCTCATATTGTGAATATGGTTCCCTTTTCCGCTGAAAAAATTGAATGTTCTAGCTTTGTTGTTGCGTCTTGCTTCAACCTCATTGTTAATTTGTCTCCAACGCTCTTTGCGGTATGTCAATTTTTCACTGACCTCTGCATGCGACCGCCGTTCATCATTTCTATAGGACGCATTTTCCCTGGACGCTCAGATTCTTCTTGGTTTTTGTCAGATTGTGGAAGCCATACAGGTCTGTGTGCTGGGACCACGCCTCATTCTAAGCGTTCGAGAATACCACGCTCGGCTCGTGGCAGACTCTGATGCAGCAACCGGCATGACCTCAATCGCTTTCCAGGAGCGCGTGCAAATATCGACAGGCAGTGGCGTGTAGCATGGGAGATGCTCAATGGAGTTAACAATAGTCTGGTGCTCTGCAGGGAGCAGGAGAATTGGCTTTTTTCTTGATATAAAAGTTTCGTCGTGGTAGTTATTTATTTGGTGTTTCGAAGTAAATTTCACGGAGGCATAGGTCTTGGCAAATATGTCGTCGTAATGTGTATTTCAGTCATTTTTTCCAAAGAAAGTTCAAAGAGACAGGACGAGGTATCGAGTCAGACTGGGATAATCATTATGGAGTACAAGAAATCGGTGTGGCGCAAATATTAATCTTTGGGCCTAATATCGGTGCATGCGTATGACGTTGAACATTGTCATTGTCATTGAATATTCGAATGATGGCGTAGTAAGTACTGGGGAGGATATCTGAAATTCATGCAAGTGTTGAGTTCCCACAATGCAGATCATGATTGATGGTCCGTATTCGAGAGTCAACTTGTGCGAAAGCCAGCCTACCTGTCTCGTCATGCTTCCACGTAAGGTGATTTCGCCCGACGACTTCCATCCTTGCTCGGGAACCATTTTTGCTGGCTCGACGAGAACGGAGGCTTTATCGGCCTTATTGTTCTGTTTTGTCACGAGCTCCAACATGACTGTAGATGTGAGCTTGTAGGGCACTCGTCTTCCACACTCCGCAGTTTCTAAGATATGGATCGAGTCCCATGAATCTGAGGGCTCGTCTGGGCTTGTGGGTACCATTGCTAAGGTGCAGGAAGTTAGAGAAATGATCTTAAAACATCGAAAATGAAGGGATCAGTAGGTCACCCACCCTTCTTGAGTAACGCAACGCCTGCAAATCCGCCATCTTCGAGATCCCAAAGATACACAGAAGACATGCCACCTTCATAATACCTATTATGAAAATTAATTAGATACTGGCGCGAAGATCCCGAAGGAGGTGTCGTTGGCGGGGAGATCACGGATAGAGTGTGGATTTCAAAATTTGAATTTGAATTTGCGGTGGAAACGGGGCGTTTGACTTTCCTTGTTGAAGATATATTCGGAGCAGGAGGCCGTACAAGGGCTTTATTGACATTTGCACCATTGGTAGCGCCTAGGAATAGGTGGGCATACCTGCGCTACGGCGGAATTCTGAAGTCTTGAACAGATTCTCACTGTCACCGTCTGCGTCCACGCGCATATCGCAGGAACTTGCGAGAGTCAAATTGAATGGCCTGCGCAGAGAGAACGGATGCAGAGTCGCAGATGCAGAAATGGAAGTGACAAAGGTGGAGTTGGAATGCTAGGACGGGGTGGGCTTGCGAGTGTTTATCTGTGAGGCATTGAGCGTCAATGAACTGCGAGTGGAGGGAGTAAGTAACTGTTCTGTGGAACGACACCAGTCAGCAGGACACAGGCACGGGTGGTGGAAAGCGTGCTTGTATTGTTGTAGATTGTGCGAAAGGCTGTGAAAAGACATAGTAAGACAAGCAGGTGGTAGGGAAGGGAAGACGTACTGAACAATCCTCTCCTTATAATCAGCCTTGGCGATTGTCACAAAATCTTAGCATGTGTCGTGGTCACAGATTGGGGCCAGTCATTTGGGCCTCTGGCAACAGCGATACCGCGTGCAATCTTGTTGAGAAGGTCCAGAGGTGGAATTGAGCTGTTGAAAGGCAGGATTAGATGAGAAGGTAACACATCCAAGGTCTATCGCGCATTTTGGGTCAATCGCCTGAGGAAACCCGAAATTCTACGCACCCTGCCAAGTCACCTCATCTGATCTTCCTTCCACTTTACGCTTAGGGTTGTCAAAGTCGTAGTTTGAACAATTCCATGAGCCACAACTGTTGTTATTTGGAGACGGGGCGAAATGAAAATATGAGACGTGAACGGGCTACGAGAAGAGTGCGCGGAGCAGAAGAAAGAAGAGAACTTTGAGTTGTTGAAAGACGCGGTCTGATTACTGAAGGAATATGTGGGTTGGAGGATGAGAGCGAGAGGGGAAGCTTATGCAGGAGAGGAAATTATAACAAGTGCCGGGTCACTTTGAAAACTGCACCGAAGTCCATAGTATCGCATGGGCCAACTTAGTGTCTCGATCAACAAGTGCTGTGCGGGATGCAGATACAAATCCGCTGTTTGGGTAATGTTAATTAATTCGCGCCGACGTGCATATAGGCTGAAAGGAGTTCAAGAGGCTTTGTTCAGATCTGTATTAACCCATGAGCAAGTCCTCGGCGACTCACCGAACGACGTACGATCGTACAGGTTCACCCGTGGGAATTTGCTATTGTTAGAGTGCCTAGCATTGAATTTTTCAGAGTCAGTCACTATCAAACGAATTCGGTTATCGTCATGGACCGTGGTGAAGCACAGGTCCTTCCTGGTCTATTCAATCGTCCCCCGGGCGCCAGTGCATAGTATTTTGAAGGTGAGTAAACTATTCGTGCTTTACTTGCCCTTCCTTCGTCCCATCGATATCTTTTGTGTGTTTATTATGATATGATGTTTCGAGTACTAGTCCAGGGTTCCATCTTTAACTCCATCAACATTATTGGCCCCTTTTGCGAAATGTTCTTGCTAGTCAATGCACACCAACTTTTAGAACAGCCATCTCCATCGCGAGTATTATCTCGCCTAGTTAACTCGATGACTGTACATCAGCGGGGTGTGCAAGTTGAACCCCTTAACCAACGAACATCGATGACAATCATGCGATACTCATACTGAAACAGGTCAATATCCAAAGGTGTCGGCTGACTGAAGAGATACCTTAGCGCGACTCCGTGTGAAAATTAATGCTCAGGCTGGTCAGTCATCTCCCAGTGATTGCCGTACGACTTGATTCTTTGCTTCTCCGCCACCGACTGTAGGAATGGCTGTGACGCTCGAGCTTGTCATGAAACGTGCTTGCAGGAAGGAAGCTGATGGGCAAGATGATGATGTTGGGGTTAAGCTCCGTGCTTCGCCATTTATAAGCCCTCTCTAATACGCGACTTTAGAAGGAACCTTCTCTCTCATCGATGTTGATACAGACGTAGCAGGTTATTTTTTGAAACGATTTTTGGGCTCCTCAGCTCGGTGCCTTGAGAAGACGTCAACTTTACCTTGGAAGATCACGATCTCAAGCACACGCGTTTGGAAACCATGTGCGTTTTTCATACGTATACAGTAGCATGGGTTACAAACGTGTCTTATGTGTGCAGATTTACGACAAGCTATGACTTGCCAACTCCACTCCAAGCCTGCCACTGTCAACAGCGAGCTTGACCTTGTCCATAAACTCGTCCCTTCCAATGTCAAGTTCACTAGTCTTTCTGGCGACAAGCTGCAGAGGCAGGTTAACTCGGTGCTTTGCGACGTAACACTTGGGTGCACCTCGCTTCCCATGGCAAGCAGGACTGCGAACAGCCTTACAATTCACGTTTTACCATGAGAGACAGACCTCTCATGCTACTTGACATCAAGGAGAACAATGCTCCACAAGCTGAGTTCATATTCTTGTCGGCGTGTCATACTTGCTGGGAGTGGTGGACGTCAAGAAGGTTCGTTTCACTGTTATGGCCGAGTATCAAATTGCAATCAAGTCTCGTCCTACTCTATCGAAGATTGGAATAATGGCCCGGGAGAAGAACACCAGCTCGTCATGACTCGCATGCACAACATCTTGAGTTGCGGAACGCCTCATCCCACTCGTCCGGGCCAAAACCATGGACCTACACCGCCAGTACCATCCCGCCCAACTCAGTGTCCTAGGATAACGAGGACGATGCTCGTCGAGGAAGTAGAGTTAAGGGAACGTTTCACGTGAATGCTCCCGTCAATGACACTAAGCCCCGTGTGTGTTCTTCATCTAGATCCGCAGTTGCCTCTCCCGCCCGTCCCGCAATAAACCTGCGCCTGTGTGATGTACTGCCGATAGAGAGCACCAGTTCACGTCGACGTAGAATTGACGATATTGATGCACATGTTTATCGGACACAAGATCATCATCAGCAGATTTAGCACCGGCATCAACATAGATGCTCAAACCAGTCTCACTCGGAAGTCTATCTTGCGACAGGTTAGAATACAAGACATTTGAGATGGAATAATGATGTGTTCCATGTGAGAGAAAATCGAGTTGTACGAGAGTTTGTTGGTGAAGTTGTTTCGTCGAAACGTAAAGTTGGTTGCTAGATTTTCGATAACTTCTAGAGCAGCAAGCGACAAAGGTGGTACAGGATTCATGATGAAGCTCAGGCTCATGGTTGGAGGTTAAAGCATATTCTCTGACGCATGCGTACCAGCATAGACGCAGTCCACCTTCACATCCGGCAGCGGGTGATCACTCGTCCCTGTTAAAAAATGTCAATGCAGCATCATCATCATCATATAAGTGCCCTACCAGCATGACAGTACGGAATCCAGTCCTCCTTGTGTCCCCACCACATCACAGGCGACCACTCATCCACGAGGTTCGCGAGTGTCTGGAGGTGGCCATATGCAGCTGGCTGGTGGCCCCGCGGTCGGCGCAGTGCGACAAAAGTGAAGAAACATGCGAACACAGCCAGCGCTATAGATAAGTTCCAGATCTGCACGAGTGTGTGAATATGCTGTAGCGGTTTTACATAGAGGCAGTAAGTCCAAACCTGGGCAGTGTACATGAATACCGACATCTCCCCTATTTCCCCGTCAAAGGCGCTGCGAGATACACTGAACGAAAGCCCAAACATCCAGTCTGTGATCGTCGATGATGGTGTTCAATAACACTGATAAAATGATAGACGTGAATGACTCACGGAGGAAAGGCTTCGCGACGAAAAGTACGAGACAGATTGGATGACCGAAAATTGACTTCAGGGGATTTGTCGTCATTCTAAGTCCCTTTCTTCCGGTAGCGCATCTCCACTGACTTTCATCTCGAATAACATTCGCGATGAGCTCCGAGCAATGCAGCCCGAGTGTCAAAAATCCCTGGACAACTGCCATGTTGACAAAGAGCAGAATCCACGTCTGAATATGGATACCACCTGGCATGTTATACGCGATGTAATTGCCCCCCGGCAAGAACGACCACGCTTGTGCGGTCAGCGCAGAGTGGGACATTCGAGTCGTGCTGGCGTACTTGTGCCAGATATACATGATGAGTGCGGCCCATCCAGCGCATGCTACAACGATCCCCCAAAGAAAAATTACTACTTTTCGGATGCTGGGGTGAGCATGCCACGCAGCAGGCTGTGTCTCTGACGGCTTCGCTGGACCTCCATCTGCATCCAGGTCAGATACACAACGCATGCACCGGAAAGCAACCGGAGTTACTTGTGTGTGGTGTACCAGCGCTGCGGCCAGGTCAAGAGGCGAGGAGCTCCACGTCAAGATTTTGACAGCCCGCATCCCTAACAATGCAATTACCACCTGGAGGAGGAGTGCGAGACCCAAAAAGAGGAGGGGTAACCCTGTGATGGCAAAGCCTGGAGATTCAATTATTATTGGTGTCATTGGCAGCGTTTGGTCGGGTTGATAGTTTAAACATACGACAAGTGAGGTTGAGCTATAGGATACAATGAGGAGGACAGCCGAGACACCATTAAGCAGGGCGCCGTTAGGGCTATACCACCCACGAGCTGCGGTTAAAAGGTGCAGATTGGTATTGAAACGAAGTCGAGACTCTGAGGCTAGTGCAGAGCGCAATGAGATGCCGTGCACGAAGCCTATGGACTCCGTGCATAACGTGACGATTAAGTTTAGTATCAGGGCCACTATCTCCGCCAGCATGTTCAACTGAATATCCTTGTCAGCATTATTGACCATGGTTACTCCTGAGACTCCGTGATTGGCTAAAGTGACAATGCCTGCAATGATGCATAAGCAGCTGAAGATACTAGAGCATGCCACTCCAACAAGGGCATATCTGCGACTCGTCAAACTGCGATCGTAGAAATCGGTGCTAGTTTCAGCAGTGGACTTCGCATCAGATATTATTGAGTTCAAGTCCTGGTGATTCGGGAGTGCGTCATACGCAAGAAGCCTGAGACTGGATGGATGCCAATTTTCTTCGGTTGGTTTGGAAGAAGCTGCCATGGGAGGCAGAGGCAGAGGCAGGAGGGTCAGCTTTTTATAGGCGCGCAGATTGAATCTGTAACCATTTGCTTACGACCATAGCCTCTGATGTGACTCCAAGAGATGGAGCCTCATCATGATGGAACTCGAGCGGTGATGCGACGCGGCATTTATGCGTGTCTAGTGCACCATTGATTTACTGACAACGCAACGCGGCAATACGAAGTGCACATGTCAGGATGGTGATTATTGAAAGTCAGTCAGGCCTACTAACCTTCTTGTACTGCACACGTACACATACTGGCCACTGTCAATGAAGACAGGGCACTGAGAAACCTATGGTAACAACGTAAGAGGTCAAATGTGCTTGGAGGTGTGAATTATCGGAAAGTAGCATTGATATCGAGCAAAAATAGACCCAACATACCTAGATTTGTGCACATGTGGCTTCAAAGATGCTTAATTACCGGTGAGAACGACAAGTCGATCAATGATGGAACCTGGCCAGGCGAGACAGATTTGTTCCTTTGCAGAAAGCGTTAATAAGACTCCATGAACTTGCTTTGTACAACATCATAGTCAAGCGCATGCCAGTTATAACTGCAGCTAATCACTTGCCTTCGCTTGTTCTCGTTGGGAAGAAAGCCCATCAAGAGTATGGTTCGTAGGGGAAAAAGTGGATGAAGCTATTGCTATTTTTTTTATTTCCTTTTTTGTCATGTGCGCCAGTCAGTCTAGCTAGTAGCATCGCAAAACATCGATATACGCTGAACTGCTTCAACAAAAAGTGTGGAACGGTCAGATTAGTGAGCAGGTCATGCAATTAGGAACGACATCATATGGTAGACCAATCCCTATAGCGAGGGTACCAGTTGCAAACACCGAGCGGAGTTCGTTGTGTGGGCATGCAACGTCACAATAGTACTCTGTCGAGCTCAGCGTTCGAATGTTCAGTAACGTTCAGTACTTGTGTTGATCTGAAACTATGTAATGCCAGTTTCCATGCCTCTTCAACTTACTAGTAATGATTCACGAACACGTGGAAAATATTATTAACGCTGAAAGCGTTCGTGAGCGCTCCCTAGACCAGTGCACTGTGAGACAAGTCTCTACTTAGTAGAGTCAGGCTGAAAGACAGTCTGGTTAGCAGATCGCAAGACATCGATATGCGCTGGCCTGCCTCAACAGAAAGTATGATACATATAAATGGACCAAAAAATAATACCGAGGGTGGTTGATACCGGGCGGAGTTCGTTCACTGTTAGGTGGGCATGCCCTGCAACCATCACAGTAGTACTTTTCTGGAGCTCAGTGCGATCTGAAACTATGTATACGTGCCTGTTCAAATCACAAATATCCGGTATCCAGAACTTGAAATGCTCTTGTGCTCGCGTTCGACAGAAACGCGGAGTTCGAATATCTTGAAAACGTCCCCATGATCGACCCTATTGGTCGACCTCAGGCCTCGGGCGTCAGCCTTCTCGGTGGTTGACTTGCTGGAACGACCAACATGGATGAGGCTGACTACCCTGTGCAGATAAGTACCTTACCCCCCTTCTTTGTCCTAAACTCCCGGAACGACGAGACCAATGGCTGCCACTGAAGACGCGTTCAAACTCCTTGCCAGAATTGCTGACGCCTTCGACAATCCTTCCTCCCGCGAGTCACGCAAAGACTTTCGCGTAAACACCATCAAGATCCACAGGCCCCAGACAGTATGTAGTCTCACCGTGACTATGCGCGCCAGGAGCTAACATCATACCTACCCATCAGAGTCGCTCCAGTCAAGAAAGCCAAGTCCAGCATGCTCGCTATCCCCGTCGCGAGCCCTCTTTCTTTGATGCCAGCTACATCTACGATGATGATGAACTCGCCGATACATCGACTATGGGAAATCGTTCATGCGCTTCGTCTGAGACTATCAAGAGCCTCACCAGAATTACCTCGTACGACGATGCATTCTATACCTGCGATGATACAATTGCCTTGGTATTCCCATGGCCACCTCAACGTAGTTTGCACCTGACACATTTCAACAGGATGATGAATCGCCCTGTGACGAAATGACAAAGATGGTCTGTGGAACCCAATCATCACTTCATCTAACTAACATCTAGCAGCTTTTTTCCAACAGCAGCCCGCTTGACAGACTCAACAACCTTGCTCGTGCCGAACTCAAAAAGACCGGCTGGTTCGAACGACCGTACGTACATAAAAGAAAATATACTTACCCTCATTCATTCGTCTTTCTCCACTTAGTGACCAGTGGTCTATCGTCAACATGGGCCTTGCAAATCCAATGACACACACACGTGGAACTACCTCTCCCCCCAAAACCCCTCCAGTCATCCTCACCCCAATCCTCCCTTCCACACCCACCATCACAGCCATCCCCCCTCCATCCTTTTCCGAAATCGAAATCTTACCATCCCCATATTCACCCATGAAAACTTATTCCCCCACCTTCAAAGCCAGCACCCCAAACGGCAAATACAGCTCCAGCTCACACGATAGCTTTCCAGACTTCAGCTCGCTCTCGTACGCCCCACTGGCACCCGGCGAACCAGAGCCTCCGAAACGTTTTGGCGTGAGTAGCCGCGTCAAAGAGCTCATGAAGCGCGTCTTGCACGTGAACGCTGGCGTGCATCCGGGCGGGAGGTCGAGACAGTCTTTGCTTATGGGTGTAGGCTTGCGGCCTGCTTCTACGGCTGGAGGGTCTTCGGGTACCTGGGCGTTTGCTAGTATGGGATCCACGCATACACAGGCGGGGAAGCGATGGAGTGGGCTTTGGCATTGATCGATATTTAACGCAGATGCGGTTCATAATTTTATTTTATTTTGTATTTTATTTTGTATTCTTTTCTGACTCACTGTATTCGAAATATTTCTGTTCAGCCCAAGTAGTACTGCTATGAATGTTTACGATCAATCCAGGGTCTCTATGAAGGAACCAGGATATATATCCAGATACGAGCCTCCATCTACCATTAAGTAAACGACTCTCCTATCGATACCACTACAAATTACATCTCGAAAAATGATAACATGTATGTAAAATAGTCCAAAAGTTCATGCACATAAAAGGTCATACGATTCGGTCCTGCCATAAAACCAAAACCAAAACCAACCCCCATCCATCCTATATCAATGCCTGCTCGACATAAAACTCCCTCGCGTCACCCAACAACTCCACCAACGTCGCCAACCAATCCTCCTCCACAACCGCCTTCTCCCGCGCCCACGCATCCAACCGCACACTCTTCACCGTCATCCCAAACGCAGCGCTCACAGGCCGATGATCGCTCACATTCGCCTCATACCGTTGATAATGCAGCTGCTTCACCCGCTCCGGGTCCCGCGAGCGCCACAGCACGCGGTCGCACCACGCAGGCACCCGCTTCTTCTCGCTCGTGTCGAATTCGTGCGAGCGCCGGTCGTATTTGTACGTCGGGGAGAAGGTGAGCGGTCCTTCGTGGAAGGAGCGGAGGCGGAAGCCGCGGTTGTGTTTCATTTCTTTCAGGAGCTGGTCGTGCGTGTGGAGTGCTTCGAGGTCGCCAGACTGGATGGAGGAGATGACGGCGTCGCGGCGTTGGTCGATGCGGTAGTTTAGGTCGCCGTTGAGCTTGGAGGATCAATTAGCTACAGGTTCAAGGACAGCAAAGGAAGAAAAGCGAACGCACAAAAACAATCTCATGATCCAGAACCATAGACCCATCTCCCCCACCAACATACGCAAGAGACTCCCCAATAGTATCCGACGACGGAAACACAGACTTTTCCTCCAACATCGCAGTCACATCCGCATTCCGCTGTCGTACATGATGCTGCCCAGCCGCAAGATGGCAATTGATGAAACAAATCGACGAATCACAAATCACAAATCGCGCAACGATGCCTCCCTGCCACACACCATCATCACCAGTAATCAGCACGCACTTCAAACAACAACCACGACAAAAAAACAAACGCACCTTGTTTCCGTACCTACCACCCATCCCCCGCTTAATCGTCGTTATCGCCACATCCTTCAGCGCAGCCTTCTCCGAGTTCTTCACAAACATGCACGTAAAAAGCCCAACGAGACTCTCGGTATGTATCACCGTATACCCCTCCGAAAGCGCCCTCACCTCCCGCACGAGCCGATCATGCCATCGCTTATAACTAGACGTCACCTTCTCCGATATCTTGCCCTCCTCGCCCTTTTTCTTTCCGCCAAGTAATACAGTCTTTGCAGCCATCTTGCGGCTCTCGAGGTCGATAAGCTCTTGGAATCCAAAGGAGATGATATCAGGTGCTGGTGAGACGGATGTGAGAGCGTCGTTGAGGAAGGAGAGGTTTGCTGGGTCGTCGGTGAGCGCTTCGGGTTTGGCAGCGTCTACGTTCCAGGAAACGACCAGGACGTTGATAGTGCGGAAGGTGCTAAATTCGCGCTCGCGCTTCAAGAGCTCGTTCCCTGCGCCAACCCAACTATCAGCCCACACCCAAAAACACACAAAACAAAACAAAAAACACGCACCAATCCAATCAACCCCCAACAACCCATCCCAAAACCTCATCTGCTCATCCCTACCAACACTCACCACACTCAATTTCTCCTCCCTCTCAATCGACCATGGATCCACAAATATACGCATCACAGGTAACCCCGAATGCGCATTCCACGCATTCGTCACGACCCACGGACGGTACGTCACATCATACGCGCATATCACCCCCATCCGTCCACCAGCCCACAAACGCGTCCCGACGCCCTCGAGACTCAGCACGTCCGACGAGCTCACTTTGACGACGTCTGTGCATTCGGGTCCGCCGGCTAGGTTCCAGATGCTGATGAAGCCACCCTCGTGTCCGAGATAGGCGAACCCGGCGTGGGATTGAAGCAGCGTGCCGCTTGTTACGGCGCCGACGTGGTGGGGGGTGCTTGGGAGGACGCTTACAGCGCGTGCGATGCTGCCTGGGGTGAAAACGTCGTAGATGCGAACGATAGGCACTGTAGTCGGTCCAGAGCCGTTAGTGTCGCTGCGTACGCTCGTCCACAGAAGTCCCCCGAGCAACTTTACGAATTCTTGTTTTTCTGCGATGCGGTATACGCGAGGCGCGGTGTATGTGAGATTAGGAACATCGGAGCCAGATGTAGCCACCGGTTCGAATACAAGCACTTTCCCGCTATCATCCACGCTGACCATCGCGTTCCGGTGTCGGAAGATATGCGTCACGGCACCAGCGTGCGCACCGAACTTGGATCCAGTGACCTCCCCAGAATCCATATCCAGCTCGATCAGATGCCCTTCCTTCGTCCCAGCCCACACCACACCGCCCGCACTCCCAGCCCGAAACTCGAGCGCAGTCACCTTCGCATCGCGCACTCCCATTTCCTTGGTGTCTCCCACCCATATCGGCACATCGGCGTACCGCGCGAGGTCGAAGCATCGCAAGTGGTGATGAGTAGCGACGAGCACGCGGGTACCGGCTACCACGACTTGAGCTGCGTATGCGGGAACGTGGATCTTTGGGGTGCGTAGGGTGGGCGGACGCCGGGAGGCACGACTTGCGTCTGGGAGGAGCGTGCGTGGGTCGTCGCATCCTTCTTCTGCACCGCTTTCTTCGTCTGATGAGGGCGTGTGTGCCCGTCGTGCAGGGGGGAGTTTGTCGCCCGGTGCGATTGTGCGTGTTGGTGGGGGTGGGAGTTTGGCGCTTCCGAGGGGTTTGCGGTCGGAGATGAAGTCGGTGGGTGAGGGCGCGCTTATGTTTGTGCTGTGGCGTGCGGGGAGGGAGGGAGGGGGTAGGATGTTGTCTGGGATGTCTTCAGGGGATGGGCGGCGCGAAGGAAGGGGAGGGGGGCTGCTGGGTGTGGGAGTTGAGCTGGCTGAGGAGTCGCGGCCGTTTTCGTTGCTGTTGCAGGTCCGCCGTGGAGGGGGAGGAGGGGGAACTGTCAGGCTTGGGCGTGGAGGGGGTTTGTGTGGGGGCGAGATGCTTCTTATGCTATCGCTTGAGCTGCTGATGCTGTCCGAATGGGCGCGGGAATGGGTTGCACGAAGGGTATGGGGGATAATTGCAGGTGGTAGTGATGTTTCAGAAGTCTCGGATTCGTCATCGGAGAAGGGACTGTGTCTTGAGGAGGAGTTGGAGCTGGGAGGCTCGAGGAAATCATCGCTGCTGTCAAAGAGAGCAGAGCGATGGGGAGGGGGTGGCGGTGGTGGTGGACGACGAAGAATGAGTGGTGGACTTGGTGCTAGAATGTTGGGTTCTGAATGGGATGTGAGATTGTCATTACGTGGAAGGGCTTTAGGTGTGGAATGGGGTGTAGGGAGTATTAATGTACTAGAATGACTTGTTAGTACCTTGTATTCGAACGCAGAATTACACTGACGAGAAACGGTTTCTAAGAGAAGCGACGCCGGTCATACGGGGTGACTCGGGTGCGTCAAAATATTCGTCAGAGGGATTATCCTCGGGGGTTAAGACAGGAAGGGATATTCGAGAGACAGGCTTTGTATTGCGAGGAAGAACTGGAGGAGTAGAGTCAAGGACGTCGGGTTCGCTGTGAGTCATTAAAATGGAGAGACGCGGAACTGGTTTTATTGGGATCCGGGTAGGAGAGGTAGCTGCGGTTCTGGAAGCGGAACACGGGGGAGCACAGGAAAATTGTTATGGGGCTAGCGGGTGATGACATGGCTGGACCACTCACGCGAAACGTTCTCTCAATGAAGCCACTCCACCTCCACGAGGAACGTCGTCATCGTACGCGTTGGACACTGACAAGTGCTCTGGACTGGCGCGTGGTGATCTAAGAGCTGCTGGTATTGGCACTGGTCTCAACAGCGGGGAAACAGCAGGAGATTGAGCCGGCTTTTTGGCTGAGCGAGATGGAGGAGGCGGTGGTGGTGCACGCTTTTGGCCTGGACTCAAATCAGAGTTGGAGGAGGCGTTCCGTAGTTCACGTTGTTGTACGCGAGAATCATCCTTACGCTGGCGAGGCGATGTAATTGGGTTTGATTTGAGTGGCGGGGTTGTGTTATCCTGAGCAAGCTGTTCGAATCTGCTCTTCAAGCTCTTGATGGAAGGAGTTGGTGCAGACTCGATTGCTAGCTGATCCTCGGCCATGACGACCTGAAATGAATCTTCTCGGCGTCCTCAACTTCTCTCGCAGCCGATGAACCTTGTTCGAATCCAGGATCAAGTCGATTGTCGTTGTCGTTGTCGCTGTCGTTGAGCTAGACTGCAAGAAATATGAGATGCAGTTAACTAACAGCTCGTCGCTGTCGTCGGCGTGGTCGAGCTCAAGGTGCCACGGAGTCACGGACCAACCTCATGAACTGTAGTAGTTGCCAAGAACAAAGTGTTCCATTTTTAGCCGCTCAATAATTACCCAAATATGTAGTACTGAATTTTCATTGCCTCGGTCATGAGAATGCATGTACTGGCATGTCATAGTCACAGTCGACGTCCATAGTCCAGACTTCCTTGCATGATCCATGATGCATCAATATCATCATCGGCACAGGTAGTAAGGGCTCGGCTTCTTCCGGTCCCTATACCATCAATGATCTGCAACTGCCAGCATGCTGCTTGTCGAGCACCCTCTATGATACAGGTCTCCCTCGGAGAATCATACCAATGTCGTCAATAGGTGACGGCCCGAGGACGGTTCGACAATGTCCAACTACTAGGTTGAACTGAATTTGAACGTCTTTAAGTTTCGGTGACCCTCGTAAATCCATTCACCAATTTGATTTGTCTATAGGAACGAAGAGTCGGAACGACCGTGTGTTTATTGAGTTTTTCCTCTATTTAATAAATCTCTCACCGCACATGCCTTATTCTTCCATTCTCCCAGTTCTCCCTACCAACAGCCCCGCTCAATGTCTCTACCAAGAATTGAGACATCCGTACCAGAAGAAGGCAACCTTCCGGCTGCTCGTGATGTGTCCACCATCCCAGATGACAGCCTCCAAGATAAAAATTCGCAAAAACTTGAACAGTTGGAGGACGAGTGGCAACACGACCCAATCAACCCCAGGAATTGGCATCCGGCAAAAAAATGGACAACCGCTGTACTCGTCAGTTCGTCCATCAGAGATACATGGCTTATGGGGTCTAATCTCTATCTCCTGTCAGGTTGCACTCTACACTCTTATCACCCCCTTAGCAAGTTCTATCATGGCACCTAGTTTGCCAGACCTTGCTATAAGATACGGCATAACCAATCCAACAGTCACAGCATTGACTCTCAGCATCTTCCTTTTGCCATTAGCAATCGGTCCTTTATTTGCCGCACCCTTGTCTGAAGTATATGGTCGTTTATGGGTCCGTCCTCTTCCTTAACATCAGTGGATCCGTCGCCCTTAAATCAGTTCAAGGTTCTCCACGGATCGAACCTCTCCTTCCTCGCGTTCAATCTCGGCTGTGCTTTCTCACCCAACGCTACATCTTTCATCGTCTTTCGGTTTCTAGGTACGTCACAGAATCTCTGCTGTCACAAATTCCCTTACCCTCTCCAAAGCTGGTTTCGCGGGGAGCGCCCCCATATCATGCGGCGTAGGCGTCATCAGCGACCTCTTCTCCGAATCCGATCGTGCTGCAGCTATGGCACTATACAATGTCGGGCCCTTATTAGGTCCGTCCCACTCTCTCCCACCTTTACACAATCTCAGACAAAGATCTCGCAAGGTCCCGTCATTGGCCCCGTCATGGGAGGTTTCATGGCAGAGTCGCTTGGCGTACAATATGATTTCTATGTCGTCACCGCAATCTCTGGTGCCGCCGCAATGCTCGGCATCCCTCTCATGAGAGAATCCTACGCACCAGTTATCCGCCTTCGTCGTGCAAAATCATCTCCAGATCTCGAAAAGGCAGCTAAAGGACATCCGGCCTTCACCATGAACAAATGGGCTTACTTATGGATTAACCTCAAACGACCCTTCATACTTTTGACCCAGAGTTTCATATGCTTCATCCTCAGCTTATACATGGCTTTGTAAGTTTAATTTAATCTCGCGCGGCTAACTAATGTCATCTATTTAGGATTTATGGTCAGTGCTTAGCACCCTCATCGAGATGCGCACTGAAATCATCTGCTAGGTATCTACTACTTGATGTTTGTGACGTTCCCCGGTAAGATCACATCCACCTAATAGCACGGGAACGAGTATTAAAAACTCGCGCCCAGACCTCTTTTCGCAAGTATACCACTTCAGCATCGGCATCGGAGGTCTGACATACATCGGACTTGGTTTTGGATTCGTATCCGCTACCATCTTCGGCGTCAAACTTTCCAGCAAGATGTACATACACGTACGTCAAGACTGTCTCTGCCTCCTTCGGCCGCATTAGCTGAAACGCGTCTCTTATGTAGCTTGCTGCGAAAAACGGAGGAAAGGGTAAGCCAGAGATGCGCGTGCCCGCTCTTATATTCGGCTCGCTGTTCGTCCCAGTGGGACTACTGTAAGACGGACGCTTTTGTCTTATCTATGCTGTCCCTGATCTGATCTACATCAGTTGGTACGGCTGGTCTGCCCAAGCCAAGATCCACTTCATGATGCCCATCATCGGCACCGCCATCTTTGGATTCGGATTATTGACAGCTTTGTGGGTGTCCATATCATATTATAGCACCGTTGCGTTGATGGCTAACCTCGGAAATGTAAAGCCTCCCTATCCAATTGTACCTTGTGGACACATTTACCTATGCTGCGAGCGCAACTGCAGCTGCTTCCGTAAGTCTCCCCATCTCCTTCCTCGATCTAATCTTAATCTCAATCTCGTTGGCGTCCACCCTCGATTCTTGTCTGCGTTCACCGAACCCACCAGGCCCTCCGTTCACTCCTCGCGTTCGCATTCCCGCTCTTTGGACAACAAATGTTCGCAGCGCTCGATTATGGGGGAGGCAATTCGCTTCTTGCAGGTCTTGCTATTGTTATTGGGATACCCTTCCCTATCTGGATATATTATCATGGGGAACGTATGCGTGCGAGGAGTTCTTTGACACGATGATTTTGTTTTTTTGGGGTTTGAGGTTTAGAGTTTCTTCTATGTAATTTATATGTATATATACAAACCGTATGATGAGATGGTCAGAGGCTTGGGAATACCTGCGATGCCCTTCAAGTTGGTGAAATCATGAATCGCGCACAAGCCCATGGCGATTGACTGTACCAGACAAGGCATGAATCACAGGGCGTGATCCACGTACAGCGATGCATGAGAGTGGTACGCGACTCTGTAAATCCTTTGTCATATCCCAGTGTGTGTGAAATAGTTGAACAGATCCGCTGTGTCAGGGACTGGCGCGCACGACAAAAAAGGAAATCGAACATATTATCCTATCTTTTTCTCCCACTGCAGCCACGACCGATTTATCTCGCGGCCAGGCCAGCTCATGCCAACAAACCTGCGTATGCAAGTTGATACAGTGACCATTTGAATAAAGGACCGCGAACCATACTCTTACATTGATCATGATCTATATCACCGCTTTCACTAATTTACACTCTCCAGAATCTGTTTAGAATGGCTCACAAGGCAAAATAGCACCGAGGACACGCAACTCAAACTTTAGACCTGCGGCATACTACCTACCTGCTAGCAGCTTGTCACCTTTTGAGGACTACGGCATTTCTCGACGTTAGCGTTTACTCGTGCTGCACCATAGGGCTCGCATACACCCAACTTCCCAACAATGAACATTGGCCAATGGCAACCAGTTGAACCACCGTCGGTTCATCTCTGCACCCATCAGCACTCTCTCTTTTAGTTGCACATACGAGCATCTGCAACTTCTGCCGGTCGTCAGCACATTTTCACTCTGTGTGCAATCATCTATGGTAGCATGGTTGCAGTGAATCTCCTTCATGACCTGTCTGCCCTAGTAGTAATACTGCAGGAACCACCAGGAGGGTGCGTTCTTAACTTTGGTCATTGACAATGAAATACGCGATGACTTTTTAGGAACGAAAGCGATAGGATATGAATGTGTTGGGAAATCCGACTAGCTATTAGTGGCGAGGCTGTCTTACGTGAGTTTGCAAACTATCCAAACCAGGGTTAACGAACACAACAGACAGACTAGGTATTGATGAGGACAAGCGAATGTAAGCCATGGGTCGCGGTCATCGTTCGCATGCAGGTGACAGCTCCCTATGATGTTAGAAAAATTAGCTCGGTCAATTCATGGAGTCTTACGGATGCTTTCTGAAATGGAACAAATTTTTCTTGCCTAGGTTGCATGAATTGATCAACTTGTCATTCTCACCAAGGTAAGCATATTTGAAGTTACATGTGCACAAATCTAAGTATGTGCGGTCTATTTTTGCCCGAAATCTCTGCTACTTTCCGATAAATTGCACCCCCAAGCACATTTGGCTTCTTACATTATTTCCCAGTGCCCTGTCTTCATTGTCAGACAGTGGCCAGTATGTGTATGCGTGCAGTACAAGAAGGTTAGTAGGTCTGACTAACTTTCAATCATCACCATCCTGATATGACTTCATATTTCCGCGTTGTGCTGCTAGGTAAATCGCGGCATGCATAAATACCATGTCACACGACCGCTCTTCCATCAACGATACTCTTGAAGTCACATGCACCCAGAGGCTATGGTCGTGAGCGAATGATTATAAACCCAATCTGCACGTCCGTAACACGCCGACCCTCCTGCCTCTGCCTCCCATGGCATCCTCACCAACAGAAGAAAACTGGCATCCTTCCAGTCTTCTTGCATACGACTCACTTCCAAACCACCAGGACTTTGACTCAATAATATCTGATGCGAAGTCTACTGCTGAAACTAGAACCAATGTCTACGATCGCAGCCTGGCTAGTCGCAGATATGCCCTTGTTGGAGTGGCATGCTCAAGTATCTTCAGCTGCTTATGCATCGTGACCGGCATTGTCATTGTAGCTAAACACGGAGTCTCAGGAGTAGCCGTGCCCAATATGGTTATCATTGAGAGTGAGGACAAGGATGCTCAGTTGAACATGCAGGTGGAGATAGTGACCCTGATACTAAACTTAATCGTCATGTTATGCACAGAGTCTATAGGCTTCGTGCATGGCATCTCATTGCGCTCTGCACTAGCCTCAGAGTCTCGACTTCGTTTCAACACCAATCTGCGCCTTCTGACTGCAGCTCGTGGATGGTATAACCCTAACGGCGCCTTGCTTAATGGCGTATCGGCTGTCCTCCTCGTTGTATCCTATAGCGCAACCTCACTTGTCGTATGTTTAAACGATCACCTCCAACAAGCGCCGGTAATAACACCAATGTCATTGCCATTTCAAACGTTCGAGGGCCTTGCCATTACAGGGTTACCCATCCTCATTTTGGGTATCGCACTCCTCCTCCAGGTGGTTATCGCATTGTCAGGGATGCGGGCTGTCAAAATCCTGACGTGGAGCTCCTCCCCTCTTGACTTGACCGCAGCACTGGTACACCACACACAATTGACTCCGATTGCTTTCCGGTGCATGCGTTGTGTGTCTGACCTGGACGCTAATGGAGGTCCAGCGAAGCCGTCAGAGACACAGCCTGCTGCGTGGCATGCTCACCCCAGCATCCGAAAAGTTGTAATTTTCCTTTGGGGGATCGTTGTAGCATGTGCTGGATGGGCCGCACTCGTCATGTATATCTGGCACCGCAAGTACGCCGGCACGGGTGCAATGTCTTCTTCTGCGCTGACCACACAAACGTGGTCGTTCTTGCCGTCCAACACACTGCCCACCGGCAATTTCATCGTGTATAACATGCCAGGTGTCAATATTCAGCAGTGGATTATGCTCTTTGTCAACATGGCAGTTATCCAGGGATCGTTGACACTCGGGCTGCATTGCTCGGAGCTCGTCGCGAATGTTATTCGAGATGAAAGTCAGTGGAGATGCGCTACCGGAAGAAAGGGACTTAGAATGACGACAAACCCGCTGAAGTCGATTTTCGGTCATCCAATCTGTCTCGTACTTTTCGTCGCGAAGCCTTTCCTCCGTGAGTCATTCAGGTCTAGTATGTTTATGGGTGTCATTGAATACCATCGTCGACGATCAGACTGGATGTTTGGGCTTTCGTTCCTCATATTTCACGGCGCCACTGACGGGACACTAGAGAATATGTCGGTACTCATGCACACTGCCCAGGTTTGCACTTATTGCCTATGTAAAACTGCTACAACCTCACACAGTCGTGCAGATCTGGAACTTATCTATAGCGCTGGCTATATTTGCATGTTTCTTCACTCTTGTTGCACTGCGCCGACCACGGGGCCACCAGCCAGCTGCATATGGCCACCTCCAGACGCTCGCGAACCTTGTGGATGAGTGGTCGCCTGTAATGTGGTGGGGACACAAGGAGGACTGGATCCCATACTGTCATGCTGGTAGGGTACCTATATGGTCACGATGATGACGCATTAACGCTTATAAACAGGGACGAGCGATCACCAGCTGCCGGATGTGAAGGTGGACTGCGTCTATGCTGGTACGCATGCGTCAGAGAGCATGCTTTAACCTCCAACCATGAGCCTGAGCTCATCATGAATCCCGTACCACCTTTGTCGCTTGCTGCTCTAGAAGTTGTCGAAAATCTACCAACCGACTTTACGTTTCGACGAAACAACTTCACCAGCAAATTCTCGTACAACTCGATTTTCTCTCACACAGAACACAACATTATTCCATCTCAAATGTCTTGTATTCTGGCCTGTCGCAAGATAGACTTCCGAGTGAGACTGGCTTGAGCATCTCTGTTGATCTGCTGCTGCTGATATTGCGTTCGATAAACATGTACAATCAATACCGTCAATTCTACGTCGACGTGAACCGGTGCTCTCATTCGGCAGCACATCACGTCACGGTCTCTTGGAAATTGGGGAACTGATTGAATCATCTTGACCGCTCTGAGTCCTAGTGAGCTGCTTTACAAGCACACAAGTCGACATTAGTTAATCTGTGGTTCTATTAGCGTGTTACTTCTCATCAGTGGGCAATGTGCAATTTCACTAGATTAATTCATTGCGGTTTTACGACGCACATACAAGGAGTCAAGGACATCTGCATGGCCCGCCAGGATCAGGTGTGTGTTTCAAGATAGTTTCTTCAATGTCTGATCGCATTCCCACCATATCATCACATCAGATACATACACATTGGTGAGTTCTTCTGAAGCACGGACGCAAATGCAAACGCAAGAGATGGACACAAAAACGCTGAGTTGCAGTGCAGATTTCTCGCAAAGGAAGGTGTTAAGATCTCTGTGGAAGCGTGAAAAATCTAGGAAAGAGCCTTACCTCCTTGGCTGTGCTGAATGACCACACCAGTTTGCTGTTGCGTATCACCGAGGAACCGCAGGTGGTCGAATGTCTGTTAGGAATCCTGGAAGTCTGCTGGGACGCGTATTTGGCGAGAAAGCTTCTATCACGTGACCGGCACGTGTACGCGTCGAACAATTTCATCCATTTGCATATCCGCGTCCATGCGAGCCTATGCGAGCTATCAAATACGACATATATATGTAGTTATGAGGTATGATATATGAAGGATGAAGTATTTCTGAACACTTCCTTGCAGTGTCACACCAAGACTCGGAACCATCAGTGGATTCTTGAAAATTCACCCTTTTGCAAATTGCAATTGTTATGTCGACAACCAAATAATGTCAGCCGCCGTGCTGTCCCATATAAACACCATCCGTCGTGCTTAAATCCTCTATCTTCTCTTTCTTCTTCTTCTCTCTTCTCTTTATCTTCTTGTGTGACAACATCATACTGGACGTTCAAGTAAGGTATGTGGCGTGTGACACGGGGGTACATGGCATCCTACTGACGCTCGTCCTTTCCGCCACCAGCACCTGATTTTATGTTGACCGCCAGACATCACATGGTGTGTTTCTTGTCCATAGTATTTCCTATTGTCCAGGCAACTGATGTTGTCTTGATTTTCAGGTCCGCCAAGAGCGAGGTCACCGGATGCCACACGTATGTCTTATTCTCGTCGCCTTCTCGCAAGCCTACTAACCGACATCGACCACGCCCAGTCTCTGATGGAAAACTCCAGTGTGCACCAGGGCTCACCATTTAAGGACGCCATTAACAGGCACCAAAATAATACAACACAGCTGCTGCCCTTTAAGGGCGTCGCTCGCGGCGTGGACGGCGCAGTGGATGGGACTTGGGTCCTCCTGACCCTCGTTAATTTGCGTCTGCTGGCCACATTCGCAGGGGCTCTCAGCCTGACACCTCTTCACCCCGCTCGCCTCCTCTGCATCTCCCTGGTCGGTTGCACTGGCCCGCACCATGGCTTAGGCACCCCGGCCCACGTCAACTCAACACTCTCGCTGCTTCGTAAGCTCGGGCGCGAGATGAGAGGGTACGTTCCATTTTTGTCTTCGGCCCGCACCTGACATCACGCCATCTTCAGGGCATCGGTGGTCGCTGTCATCCACGGTCGGGACCTAGTGGATGGCTTGGGACGTGGAATGTGGGCCCTGCTCTTGAAGCCGAGGACGCCCGCCGGGTAGCTCAGTCTCCCGGTTGGGTTGAGGTTGCAGGTGTTGCTAACATTCCATCCCTTTCGCCCCTCAGTGCCCGCCAGGTCCGGGGTGGCGTCGTCATTAATCAGTCTGCTTCCTCGGCGCCAAGAGCCGAGGTCATCAGCGCGAGTAAGTCCACCCCGGTTGAATACAAAAAAGATGGCTACTTGCCGACTCAAGGCACATTCTGGACAAGAGGAGAGAGAATTATCGCTACCCAGGTCATGAGGAAAGGTGAGTACTTCCCTTTACTGATGTTTCTGGTTGTCGTCGAGACTGTTAGCATCAGCTCGAGACGCCATTCGATGCCATTGAATGAGCTCGTCATTCACTGTCATCGCATGGAGTCCCGGTGAGCTGATTCAACGTTCGATGATTTCTCTCTCTGAAGTGTTTACGCAACTCAACTAGGGATCATTATGACCACCAATCGAAGGTGACTTATCGATTATTTGACTTGATCCCCGTTTTCACTAAACCCGACTCGGAAGTTCAAACTCCACAGGCGCAGGTTTATTATGGGACGGGCGGGAGAGGCGACTGCGGATCTGGATGAAGAACACACACGGGGCTTAGTGTCATTGACGGGAGCATTCACGTGAAACGTTCCCTTAACTCTACCTCCTCGACGAGCATCGTCCTCATTATCCTAGGACGCTGAGTTGGGCGGGATGGTACTGGCGATGTAGGTGCATGTTTTTGACCTGAACGAGTGGGATGAGGCATTCGGCAGCTCAAAATGTTGTGCACGCGACGAGCTGGTGTTCTTCTCCCTGGCCAGTTGCTCGAATCTTCGATAAAGGGAGTAGGACTAGACTCGCTTGCAATTTGATATTCGGCCATAACAATAAATTGAAGCCCCATTCAAATCCCTGAATATATGCTCATAAAAAACTTCAACGACAAGTTTTTGCGACAGCGTCGTCGACCATCCACAGAGTACCGATGACACTCTTGAACCCCAAAAAATGCAAACCAGTCGCGAGGCGGATGACTTCGTCGGGTGTTTCTTCATCCCCAACAGCGGTATGAAACGCCAACAAGAGTACAAATGCAGTTTCTGGAGCATTGTTCTCCATGATGCCAAGCAGCGTGAGAGGTTTGTCTCTCATGGCGAAACGTGAATTGTAAGCCTGCTTGCGGTTCTGCTTGCCATGGCAAGCGAGATGCACCCAAGTGTTGCGTCGCAAAGCATCGAGTTAACCTACCTGTGCAGCTTCGTCGCCAGAAAGACTAGTGAACTTGACATTGGAAGAGACGATTTTATGGACAAGGTCACGCTCGCTGTTGACAGTGGTAGGTCTGGAGTGGAGCTGACGAGTTATGGCTTATCATCAATCTGCAGACATAAGACACGTTTGTAACCCATGCTACTGTATACGTATGAAAAACCCACATGGTTTCTAAACGCGTGTGCTTAAGATCGTGATGTTCCAAGGTAAAGTGGATGTCTCCTCGAGGCGCCGAGCTGAGGAACTCAAAAATTGTTTCAAAAAGGACTTACTACGTCTATATCCCCAACATCAATGAGAGGGAAGGTTCCCCCTAAAGTCGCGTGTTAGAGAGGGCTTGTCAATGGCGAAGCACGGAGCTTGACGTCCTAATTGCCCATCAGCTTCCTTCCTGCAAGCACGGTTCATGACAAGCTCGAGTGTCACAGCCGTTCCTACAGTCGGTGGCGGAGAAGCAAATATTAAAGTCATACGGCAATCACTGGGAGATGACTGATGACTGACCAGCCTGAGTATTAGTCTTCACAGGGCGTCCGGACGCGCTAAGGTATCTCTTCAATCAGCCAGCGCCATTCGATGTTGACCTGTTTCAGGATTAGTATCGCATGATTGTCATCGACGTTCGTGGTTTCAGGGGTTCAATACACGGGCCCGCTGATATACAGTGATCGAGTTAACTAGGCGAGATAGTACTCAAGATGAAGATGGCTGTTCTAAAAGTTGGTCTGCATTTGCTAGCAACGACATTTTGCAAAAGGGGCCAATAATGTTGATGGAGTTCTAGATCTAGACGGAACCCTAGTAGACTTGAGACGAGGGTGAGAGAAGCACGATTCGGAGATTGAACCATGAATAATTTACTCACGTTCACAATGGTATACACTGGCGGAGGTGAGCTGGTTACTGAAGTGCCAATAGACCAGGAAGGACCTCTTCTTCACCACGACGATGACTGAATTCATTTGGTATGATACTAACTTTGAAAATTCAACTTGAGTGCAGGCACACTGACAATAACAAATTCCCACGGGTGACAATACTTGTACTTATGTCGAGAAATTTACGCCTCGCCTCTGCGAGAAGTCACGTGATCTCGATCGCGCTTCCCGATCGGGCGAAATCCCGGCGATCGAAACGGCAGGGGTTGTGGGCGGGCGTGCGTCGGTTGAGTTCGCGCCTGGCCCTGATTAAACGAACCGTAAAGTGCTGTAAAGTGCCGTTTTGGCAGAGTAAAGTGCATAAAGTTGGATGCCGCGAGAAATTTACAGAATTTACCGCGTAAATTTTGTAAATTTCCCGCGCCTCTGTAAATCTCGCGTCCCGCACTTTATGGGCGCTTTACAACGTCGTCACGCACATTCGCGGCGCCCCAACAGCGCCGCCACGCGTCCTCAGCCACCTGTTTGCTCTCCAATGCATTTTCCTCCTCAAAAACAATTGGAATCTTTTGTATGATTGTAGAAAGATGTGTGAACTAAATGCAATTAAATGTACTGTACAATAGCATCTGTTCTACTGGGGCCGCAGACTCAAAACTCGCACCACAGAGACATCATTAGGGCGGCTGCCAACTGCCGCTGACCGCAGGACTTCACGTCCCCGTTGTGACTTCATAGACGCGCCCGAACCTGCCTGCAGTTGAGACCCGGGGTTCTCCGGCTCGCCGGTCATTTACAGAATTTACATTAGCTAATCGTGAAATTTTCCAGATATCCTGACATATTGCATTCTGAACGGTCGAACGTCTCCTATGGCACCGACGACTCGCTCAATTCAGATTTGAACAAATCCTCTTGAACCCTTTTTGCCAATATACACGTCCGCGCGATTCATTACGGGCCAAACAGCAGTTTTGTTTCTGCTTCCCGCATAGCACTTGTTGATGGAGACACCTAGCCCATACGATACTATGCACTTCGGGGCAGTTCGCAAAGTGACCCGGCACTTGTTACAAGAGAACACCCGTATGCTTACATAACTTGAAGTTTTCCCACTCGCTCTCATCCCCCGACCACATATCCCTTCAGTTATCAGACTGCGTCTTTCAACAATTTCTCTTCTCTTTAAATTCTGCTCTACGCACTCCTTCTCTTAGCCCATTCGCGTCTCATTTTTTCGCCCCCGTCTCCGAATAAGAACAGTTGTGACTCATGGGGTGGGTTGGGTTTGGGTTGGGGTTCAAACTACGATTTTGACAACCCTAGGTGGAAGAAAGATCAGGTTAGGTTACTTGGCAAGGTGCGTAGAATTTCGGGTTTCGTCAAGCGATTGATCCAAAATGTGCCATAGACCTTGCATGTGCTACCTTCTCATCTTATCCTACCTTTCAACAGCTCAATTCCACATCCGGATCTTCTCAACAAGATTGCACGCGGTATCACTGTTGCCAGAGGCCCAAATGACTGGCCCCAATGTGTAACCACGACACATGCCCGTGCAAGAGCAATGGAGAAGCGGAACAGTCCAGTATAGATTTCGTGACAATCGCAAAGGTTTATTATAAGGAGAGCATTGCTCAGTACGCCTTCCCTTCCCTGCCACCTCCCTTGTCTTACTATCTCTTTTCACAGCCTTTCACACAGTCTACACCGACACAGGTACACTTTCCATCACCCATGCCTGCGTCCTGCTCACTGGTGTCGTTCCACAGAACATTCACCTACCCTTTCTCTACTCCCAGTTCATCGACGCTCAACGCCTCACAGAGCAACACTCGCAAGTCCACCCCGTCCTAGAATTCCAACTCCACCTTTGGCACTTCCGTTTCCCCATCTGCGGCTCTGCATCCGTCCCCTCTGCGCAGGTCATTCACTTTGATTCTCGCAAGCTCCTGCGACATGCGCGGCGTGTCTTCTGTTTATCTTTGAGATCTCGAAGATGGCGGATTTTCAGGCGTTGCGCCGCTCAAGAAGGGTGGGTAACCTATTGATCCCTTTATTTTCGACGTTTTGAGCTCATTTCTCTAACTTCCTGCACCTTAGTAATGATACCCACAAGCCCTGACGAGCCCTCAGGTTCATGGGACTCGAGCCCTGTCTTGGAGACTGTAGAGTTCGGAAGGCCAGCGCACTACAAGCTCACATCTGCAGTCATGTTGGCGCTTGTCACAGAACAGAACAATAAGGCCGATGAAACCTCCGTTCTCTGCGAGCCAGAAATAACGGTTTATGAGCAAGGATGGAAGTCGTCGGGCGAAATCACCTTGAGTGGAAGCATGACGAGGCAGGTAGGCTGGCTTCCTCATCTAACCTGATGTGGGGTTGTCACATACCCTCACTTCCCGCAGACCGAGTGGGACTGGGCGTTCTTCTTCACGTATTACGAACACGGGAAAGATGGTGGAAGAAATTGAACATCAAAATCAGAAATCTTCTTCAAGAGGTATGAAGTTCTCTTTCTTGAAACATTCAGGACTTGATCGTAGCACAACTGTACTACTCCATAATGATTGGTCTGACCTCGTTGTGTCTCTTTCAATGGAACAAATAACTTAAATACATATTACAACGAAACATTTGCGAAGACTATATCTCCTTGGAACCCTCTGCCACACTAAATAAATAAGTAACACGATGAAACTTGAAAATCAAGAAAAAAGCCAATTCTCCTGCTCCCTGCAGAGCACCAAACTACCGTTAACTTCACTGAGCATCTCCCATGCTACACGCCACTGCCTGTCGATATTTGCACGTGCTCCTGGAAAGCGATTGAGGACATGCCAGTTGCTGGATCAAAGTCTGCCATGAGCCGAGCCTTATATTCTCGAACACTTAAGATGAGGCGTGGTCCCAGCACAAAGGACTGGATGACCGTCAAAATTTGAACAAGACCAAGAACAGCCTGAGTTTCCGGGGAAGATTGGTCCTATGGAAATGGTGAAACACGGTCGCATGCAGAGGTCAGCGAAAGATTGCCATACCGCTAAGATCGTTGGAGACAAACCAACAATGAGGTTGAAGCAAGACACAGCAACATAACTAGAACGTTCAATCATTCAGCGGAAAAGGGGACCACATTCACAATATGAGCTCACCTCGCGAAGTAAAGCACGTGGGATTTTATCAACACCGTGTAACAGTCGCCGATAATCCCCCCCGCCGAATGTTGTCGCAGTTCACGGAAGTGTTTTGCAGCAATCCAGACTGAGAGACACAGTGCGAGGATTTCCCAGACAGTTCCGAGTATCCAAGTAATGACAATCAGAAGTGTATTCTCATAGCCAATCGTGCATGTATAGGTGCCCGAGAGAATGAGTTCCTCTAGTATTCATCAGTGAGCGCCGGTTTTCATTCACAATTAAGTGTACCCCCTGGAATATCCCTCATTGCCACTACATTAACCACTACGTTGAAAATGTTGATAGCCAAGGACACGACGACGAGGAATATCAGAATCCTTCTGGATTGTTGATACATGACATGTAACCGAGTGATCATGATGACTGCAACATGATTCGGTCAAGTCAATATATCATAGGTCTTGCAACTGAACAACTCACCGCACAGCATTGGAAATGCCACAACACCTGTCCAATCCCACACGAGCCACAGTATCTGGCCTGAGGAACCCAGTTAGTGGTCAGGCTCGGGTGGATCAACACACTCCAAAAAGACTCACATCTGTGGCAGGTGTTGTAGTGTACGGAGGGGCTGGTCAAGAATGACACTCACCCCTACAGGGCATCACAGTTAATGGGGAGGAATGGCAGGCATCGGTGCTCAAGACTCACTGCATCTGTCAAAAAGATCGTTGGAACACTGACTGTATGCCACTGGTCAGAAGAAGAAGAAGAAACGAATAATGCGGGAAGACATGCGCAGTATGCTCATGCTGATTGTGAGAGATGGCTAATTAGCACAACACCAATTGTTAAGTCTTCCGAACATACAAAGCAAAAGGAATTCCAAGATAGCGCACCTAGAATATTTTTGAGTCAGCACAACTTTACAACAGGCAAGATACATACAGTCAGATAGAGAACGGTCATCAGGGACCAATGTTGTCTCTGTCACAAATAAATATTGTTCTTCTGACGTAGAACTGTGCTCACCCAGACCAGTTCAACCTAAAAAAAAATCTTAGCGAGATGGCTGCTCCGATCATAGCATCAACATACCTCTTGTCCGAACGTAAGGGCTGGAAATACTTGTGAGAAATCGGTAATTCTCTAATGTTATCATGCTCACCCCAATCATATGTCACTGCAACAAAGGCGGCAACTGGAAAACCACAATCAAGGTCAGATCGAGGTCAACATCTGACTGCTCTTCACGAACCTCCAAAATAACTGCCAATACGCCAAGAGTTGATGAGTGGCCAATAAGAAGGGTCGTCCGAGACCAGGGTCATACTGTTAGAGGATGGATGTGACAGAGTGAGGAACTTGGTGGGACATACAACAATTTTCTTTGCGCTAGATATACCATCCAGTGCTTGGATGACCGAAATAACATCGAGGGATGATATGTGTTCCTGCCAATGGATGATATTATGTTCGAAGTGATAGTGGGCCTTGAATAAAATGCCGGTGATGAGAAAGTGGTCGGATACTGAAGGTTCGATGCCAGCGAACACCGCATCAATGGCAGAATCATTTAGTGTTGGTGCGGCGGTGTCTTCCCTTCTATTGAGGTCTTTCACTACAGGTACTAGTTGATCTCTTATATCGTTGAATTTCATTCTAATAGCCAGTGTTGTCAGCCTGTACTTGATCACAGAATAACCCTAACTAACGTACATCAAGTTGGTCATAACACATTTGCACGGGCGGAATTTGAACACTGCAAAAGATGAAAGAACATATAGAACTGTTCGTGATCTTGTCACCTTGCTTGTGATGCCATTCTCACATTCCGGTCACAATGGGTGCAGTATTTTCGAATTTGCATCGTGGTGTGGTGGTGACAGGTATCAGTTTTCACAGCCAGAGACATTATAGTTGAGATTCCGTGATCGATGTGCGGTGAAGATACAACACCATCTCTAGCTCAAGATAGCGACATGGGGGGAAAGAAGAGCTGGAAGCACCGTTAATGACCGCATCAAGCCTGACTTGTTGTTCTTCAACCTAGCTACCAGCGCACACATTCAATCAACGTTTAATTCAATGAAACCTGATGTGAAACGTACCGCACTAAATTCATCATGCAGTCAATGCCGATTGGAGTGACAGAGTCGACTTCTTCATCCACTGTTCGCAGGGTACCCTGGGTACGGAATGCCATTGATATCTCGGGAGTCAGTTACTACATCGATGCCGGGGACTACATAGTACACCGACACCCCAGAACACCCACTATCGATCAAGATTCGAGAACGCAGAACCTACAGATCATGCGGAAAAGCTTTGTCTTATTTTCTTCCTGATGGAGGCTGTAGACGAAGAGGTGAAATTTTAGCAGTTCCGCGAGGGAGATGGTGGTTATCGCTACCCCGTGAGTGTAACAGGATCAAACCAGGACAATAAGTTGACTAGGTTGTGGGATTAGTTGATGGTACAGCATTAAAGAACTTACTTATCTTCAGCCTCCCATTGGTCTTTGACGGTTTTATCGTCATCATCGATGTGGACCATGACATCGGAATATGTCTGTGCAAGAGCGTGGATAGCTTAGAGTGTTTGCATCATGTATAGCTTTTTTTTTACCGTCAGACCAAAGTTAGACGATGTAGATTAGTAACTCGACTTTTGTTTACATTTGTTTACAGTGTCAAATTTCCATTTGCTCGCGTTCAACGACTCGAGAAGCACACTCAAGGTGACTTCAAGTTGTCGGTTCAATTCTTACTTACGCTGCTTGCTCACCAGACTATCCCAGCCGCAAGCGTGACTGCATTGTATGGACCAGTGGACGGAACAAGAATCAGCCAGGCTCAAGATCCAGTGAACCAGTACTTGCTGAAACCGCACCTTCAAACATGATAATTATATGGTGCATCGAGTCTCCGTTTTTCCGAACTTCTCGCTGTTGTGTAACTCATACTGTGTCTTTCAGCATTTCAAAATTCGGGTGTTCGTTTTCCCTACTGCCAACTTAACTCTCGTCAATTCATGGACCGTACGAAAGCTCCCAATACAGAGCCCTTCCAAAATCATTGAACTTTCCGCCTCCTGGATGCTCTTTGATCTCCCAGAGTACGACCACTACCTGGAGCACACTCGCAAGCACCTCCCAAATTTCGAAATCTTTCACACAGGCCCTATTATTGACGCTATAGTCAAATTTGTTGAGGACGTCTTGGCCGCATCCACGCAATCGATTTCAAAGTCCTACTACGTGCAGGAGGCGCTCTCTGCCACCCAGCTCCAAACCTACATGGGGATATCCGCCCTCCCTGCAGTCTCGAAGTCGCCATCACGTCGATAACCTGACATCAGCAGATTTTCGACTTCTACATTATTGCTGGTGCTTACATGTCCGTTCCTGGGTGCGTCGATGTGACCGTTGGAACTACACTGACTAGTTGTCTTTCTAGCTATATTTGGTGTGCGATGTTGCCATCTTACTCGATCCATACGGATTCAGGAATGTCTTTCCCGCTCATCACGCTGTCACGGCCTTCATGGTATAATTTTACATAGAGTGCACGTAGCGCTACAGTTACAATTGTAAAACCAATTGCATTCATATCTCCCCATTGAACAAAATAAAGAACAAGCGCCTCCACAAGCACCAAGTACCTCACGAAAGAACTTCCATCGCTGAATGCTTCCATCGTCCCTCCCGCATGCATTGTCTTTCCTTCCGGTGAAAGAGAGATTGCCTATATGCTTCCGCTCTCGCCTGTCCATGGTCCACCGACAATACGTCCTGTGTCCCAGTCCCACTTGCCCATTATGCCGCCCTCCGAACCACTCACGATGTGGAAGTTGTCGTGCAAGACGACAAAATCCCAAAATTCGTGCTTCAGAGTTGGTCTTTTGGGTTGTGATGGGTTGGAGCTTCTTCAGTGGATGGCGTTGCAAGGGATTCAGATCTAGAATACATATAGTTTCCTCGATGGTCAATGTCGCAAGGGACTCAGGAGTCATCATACTCGTTAGGGTCAGCCGTCCGTATATTCTCTGGGATCTGACACTGGTCATAATAGAGAATGAAACGAATAGTTGCATAGTACGTACTCACTGTTTTTCTGCTTGGTATTCTCTGGTAACAAAGTACCAGTGAACATTAATGTCGAGGAAGTGATTTCATGAGGCAGTGCTTATGCGGAAATCGCTGAAGCACTGCAGCATAGGATTCCCCCCTAGCTAGTTAGTAACGAAACATCACATCACATCTATTCCCGCTACGTCAGTAGTGGGTTTTGTTGTGTCATGGTGTTTTTTTCATGAACGACCAAATTTTTTGGTGGAAAACGCACTCCGGCCCTAAACTGTTCTTTAATGGTCTTTAGTGTCGACAAAACTTGTCCTTATTCCTCCGTATCCTTGACTTTTCTGCACCGTTATAGTGTGCCGCTTTCTGTTGTCAATCACGATTCACGACGGGGTGGCTGTGGAGTCCACTTCTGGTCCTGCGCGTGTGCCTACCGTCGACGATTGGTACAATTCCCGACAGCCGTTTCGTCCGGCCTATCTGAGCGGGTGCGATGTCGAGCTTGGTCTTGATTGGTTCGCTTCGGAGGCGAAGCCAGTATGTAAGATGATCGTTTCAGAAATGAGTTGGGTCTAACTATATTCTAATTCTATCTAATGGTGTGATTGGTGATGGTGATGAACTACTTTGTGCTACTCTAGTTGAGTGCACATGCAGTGATACTTTGCACATGCGCCGACAAGATTTTCCCGGGGAAATGGTCGTCCGCTCCGACGCACACTCATACTTGTTACCACGGGGACAGGATTGGGCTGGACAGGGTTAACTGCCGAGAAAGCCCTTACAAGTTAACGTGACTCTGTGTCTTATAAGTATTGTACGTTGGTGATCAGCTGCCCACCGCTCACTCTTTGAAATCGCTATTTGATTTCCACAGTTTCATGTCGCAACTAGAAGACGATGCCTATGCTCTTAAATGGAACAACAACATATCTGGTTCGTCAGCCCTGCTATTAACGACACATTAACTTATTCTTCGTTTTCCAGTTGCAATAATTACCCTGGCATCCTATGAGTACAGTTAGTAACTTTCATGAATCCTGCACTGCGGCTGAGCGTAATATCATCTAGTTCTTCAGTTCGAGAAAGAGGTAACGAGGAGCTCGTTTTATCTTCGTCGAGTACTCACAATCATCTTATCGCAGGTCAAGTTCGTTTGGGTTAGAGTTCAACTCCAACGATATCAAGCTCTAGAAACTGACTGAATATCTAGGGAAGACAGTGGTCAGTGATGACATACCTATACCTCGTTGTGAGCTCTACCCTACCAAAGCGCTTCATGGTTTCCCATTTTTGTTACTATGTCAGGTTCGATACTTTGGGGTTTTCATTGCAATGTATGTCGCGGTGGTTGTGTCCCTCAGATGGTATATTGCATGTTGACACTGAACCATAGGACTTGCGCCTGTTGTACGTGACATGATGTCAACTGAGCTATCACTTATTGACTAGCGCTAGGGGGTGGTCTATTCTATATGCCTGAAGCAGTGAGTGTATCAATTCTTTCTTTTTGATTTCTAGGTTGATTCAGATTTAGCCGTACGTCAGAAGTTCGTTTTGCAGCTAAGCCTGATCTGTTGCTTATCTATTATTTAGTTGTGAGTGTATCGTATTCGGCTAAAACCGCCCTTTGCTCATCATGAAATCGAAATAGGCCATGGTATTTTTCTGTTAATGCAATGGGGGATGTCATTATATTTTTGCTTGGCGGAAGGTCAGTCATATACGTTCCTGCATCTTTGCGCGTACCGATTGTGCGTCCGCAGTCATTCTCATCTGGCGTCTTTACGTTCTATACAACCAATCCAAGCCTATACTTTATGTTTTCCTGGGGTTTTTCATACCTGTCATCGCGCTCTACATAGCGATGGATATATTTTTATGGAGTCGACCTTCAGCGATCTCAAGTGAATGTCTACTTCGATCAAATCATGTGCAAGCTAACGTCTGGTTGCATAGCGGAGGAAGTGATGATAACTTCGAACATCAAGTATTGCACGGCTTCGTTCCACATTGGGCCCATGCCTGCGATATATGCTTCCATCCCCATCATATGCTATGATATTTTCCTAGTTATTCTCGCAATCGCTGTCCTCAAGAAGCACCTCAGAGAACGGAAGGAAATCAAAATGAGGCCTAACACCTATGTAATAATGATCGTCCAACATCATATCATATACTTTGTCCTGTAAGTTCCCCTTCCCCTGTCGGGATTTCTAACTGTATTCATTGAATCCCGCTAGGAATATAGCATGCCAAATTTTCATAGCGATACTGTGGGCCAACCTTCCGGTATTATCTCCCATTATTCTAGAGAGATCGGCTCTAACGCAGGCATGCACAGACGGTAGCGAGGAATCTCGTACTGTTGTTCAAGGATACAGCACCATTTATTACCGTGCCTCGTCTTATCATCAGCATTTGGGATACGCATGCCAATGAAAGCTGCGTACATGTCAGTACGACGTTCGAAGATTGTGTATGTTGGACTTCGCCACCAGTATTCGATCAGCATGAGATGGGCTCCTGCGCATGATGGTTCCAAAACGGGGGAGAGGGTAGAGTGAGGTCCTTCAAGCCCTCGGGCTCTAGCAAAACTCTCAGATACTTGTGCATGGGAGCAAGTAGTTCGGGGCCGATTTTTCTTGTATATATGTACTATCATGTCCACAAAGTTTCAGCATATCTCGAGCTTGCACTAGACAGTCACGTAAAAGTGGGGCTTAGCATAATTTATTCTAGAGGACTCGACATGCTCTTGGCTCGTGACTCTAAATTTGAGAACATTCCGCTGTTGAACGTTGAGGCCGCATATGAGCGCCACGATGTGAAGGATCATTATTGGAGAAATATCGCGCATGTAAAAGACGGTCGAGTTCGAGCTGGCCGTACGCATTCAAGTTAATGCGTTCGCATTAGGAATGTACTCCGATGGACTCATCGAGATTAAACAGGACGCCCCGCTACGGAAATCTGGGCTCAAATGCTACTGGCAAGATAATAGAGAGCTATAAGCCGGTGATGATGACCAGGGGGACAGGTCTTCAATGCCACTCGCCACTTCCCTTCATTTGATGTGTTATTTGAGGACTCCTTCATCTCACTAACAAGAGTCTCGCTTGTGAGTGTATGATATCCAGTGAGACGAGGCTGAATACGCACAAAAATAGCGGAGATTAGAGCACTAAGACAGCTGGGACCTGCGAAGGATATACGTGACCTGTGTCAGCGGTGGTTTCGCGACTGATGAGTCGACTCCGCTGGAAGCAAATATATATGAACCTATTGACTGGCCGCGCAGCCCGAATCACTTGAATTCTGCACGAATGGACACGAGGGAGGAAATCGTTGAGACTGAAGTACCGTGAACGTCGCTGAACAGATATGACAGCAGACTCAGTGCAAAGAGAAACTTAAATGATCCGATGTATGCGGAAGCAATTGCACAAAGCTCATAAGGTTCTGAGTCAATAGGGGAGCGTTTATGCTTATCGTTGCTTATGCTTACACCCCCCCATTCTCACTAATTTGTACTGTTGAGTAAACAAGTCAAAATACGTCCATTTGAAGTCTGTTGACAGTTGCCACGTACTTTGCAAGCGCTAAGATATATCTCCCGGTGTCAACACCATGCCATTTGCTTCGCCCGCTGTTTGGTGATGGTGAGCTTCCTTAAATGAGCCCCCTCCCTCACCATTTGAATGGCATTGCCTCCAGGTATGGAGGATTGTACTGCCATATTGTACCGGCGCCGTCATCACCAGGTATTCCAAAACACGAGCTTGTGTGTCAGTACAACCACCGTCAAAGCACAAGATGTTCGTGTTCGTTTTGCCCGCTGTGTGGTGATGCGGCACTGTAGGTTACCTCATGTGACTAGAGACATGCCTCCTTAATCTTACTTAGACTCAATAAATAAATAAAATTTTCTCCTTGTATCTGCTGAGTACGAGGGATTATATGTTCTTGTATTCCTTAAGTTTCGGGTGCGGAGGACCATGGACAACAGATATGGAGATACTGATCATGCAATGGAACTCGTGCAATGGTACTAGCGGCCTCACTGTGGCTGCACAGAGATCAAAATCCGCTTGGGATTACATAATCAGCTCTGGCGTGCGATGGGGGGTGTAAGCATAAGCAACAATAAGCATAAACGTGAGTGTTCAACTTTGAGCTCCCCTAATATCTGTAGTACGACATGTGTCGTTTGATGGGGCGCCCAGGACTTGCTCATGGGTTGATACAGATTTGAACAAAGCCTCTTGAACCCCTTTCTGCCAATATGCACGTCGGCGCAAATTCATTAGGTCCCAAACAGTGGATTTATATCTGCATCACGCACTATGAGGGACCGTATTGGACAAAATAAAATCAAAACAATGAAGTAAATAAATTGATGTTATAACTAAAACTCGAATTGATTTCACAAAAGTCATCCACATGGCTTTGCAAAACTCTAAATCATTTCAGAAAAGTCGTCCACATGGCTACCAAATCAGGATGTTACACACAAAAGTCATCCGCGTGCTTTCTCTAAACTCTACTAGCCCCACACCCGTTGTGTCTATTTGTTGTTCCCATGCTCACTGTCATCAACAGCGAGCTCAAGCCCGCCCTTCGTATGTCGGGTCACAGGTCACAGTATGGCGGGTGGTGACACTAGCACCACCACCTGCCTTTTACAGTAATTAATCAATTAGTAAGGCGCCGCTGTGAGTTGCTCCTTTCATCCACACCATCAAATTCGTCCTTCCAGCATCCCGCTTGCCCATCCCAAAATGCATATGGAACACTGCACACACCCATGCGTTTGTCATCGTCACCGCCAATGTTGGCCCTGGGGCGCAACAACGGGTAGACATCGAAATTTTGGATTCAACACTCCACCGCAACGTCTGCCTCTCACAATGCGACATTAAAGGCGAGACGAGACTTGCTGTCACAGCACATGGCGAGGGGGAGGTTGGAGTGTGTTTCAAGAATTACTATCTCCCGGTATGTTTGTTGTTCCCATTTGTCTTACTGGCCATCACCTATGACATTATAGAGATCAAACTAGACATAGCGCAGAATATGACGCGTGCTGTCGATCTCGATATTTATATTGGGCTGATGCTGTTGAATACAAGTGTGTATCCTGCTTGTTATCTAATGATAGCTTACTGGCTTCCTCCTTGTCATGAAGGTCATTCACCACCTGAGCGGTGGGCGTAGGAATCACCTCTCGCTGTCCGTTCTGCAGACTACACAACTGCGTTCCCAGCTGGCATTCACCACAAATGACACCTCGGCCTATTTCTCCCATGAAGGTGTTCTGTTCTTGTAACTATATTCCCCCATCGTCATCTAAATTGTGCCTCACGGCTCCCCCAGCCCCCTCCTCTTCAATGCTATTACATCTGTTGCAGAAATCCCTTCGCTGTTCTTCCAGCGTCCTATCGTGCTTCGTCACCAGAAAGCCGCATTACATCATCCTTTTATTCAGAGCCTCGCCCATACTATCGTTGATATTCCGGTCACTTTGATCGTCCAATTGGTGTTCACTGTGGTACTCTACTTCCTAGTTGGGTTGCAACATTCTGCCGCACAGTTTTTGTAAGTTCTTCAAGCTGTTTGCTCTTCACTTTAATACTCACCCTGCTGCACAACAGCATTTTTTACCTTTTTATCTTTTTTATGTCGCAAACCATGGAATCATTATTCAGAGCTATCGCTGCAAGGTTTAAAACTCTTCCTAACGCAATAGCTCTTAGCGGTATCTTCGTTCTCTTGATATTGCTCTACGATGGGTACACAATTCCTTGGCCAACTGCACCGAGAGGCTTGCGGTGGATCATGCGGTTGAACGAGCACTGTAAACGCACCACAATCGCAGTGGAGCTCACTGCCAAGGTTTGAATCTAAACTCTTGAGGCTACAGTTGTGCTAAAAAGACCAACAGCCCAAACTTCTACTCTTCCTGGATGAGCCTACATCCGGCCTAGATTCGCAATCTGCCTGGGCTATTGTACATGTCCTTCGTGAGCTTGCTGATCGTGGTCAGGCCATTCTCTGCACGTGAGTGCCATTTTTACGTGTGGGTTCTCAATGCTTATGAACTGTACCAGAATCCATCAACCTTCGGGAGAGCTCTTCCAGGTCTTTGACAGGTTGCTGCTCCTTTGCAAGGGTGGACAGACCGTCTAATTTGGCAATACTGGCGAGAACTCATCGACTATGCTGAACTACTTTGAGCGTAATGGTGCTCCACGCTGTGACTCCGATGACAACCCATAAGTAAGGCGCAGTCATACTAGGTCTTGCGCTTACCAGGGTATTGAAGGGCGGAATACATGCTCGATGTAATAGGTGCTGGGGCAACTGCAGTCTCCACTACTGATTGGTACGATGTCTGGAAGTGTTCACCAGAAGCGGTGCGAGCTTCAAGATCAGATCGATAACTTGCATGAACATGGTCGTACTCACCCACGACAGCTTAGCATCCGGTACTCTGTCTTCACTACCTCATGGTTGCACCAGTTCATTGCGCTCACCCACCGAAACTTCCAAGCATACTGGCGCAATCCTACGTATATCCGCGCCAAATTTATGCTTAACATTGTTGGCGGTCTCCTTGTAGGCTCTACATTCTTCCAGGCAAATGATTCTTTGCAGGGCACTCAAAACAAACTGTTCGTAAGTATATCAATTTGGATTCTTCGTTTAATACCATTCTCACTCCTCTTTAGTCAATCTTCCCCTCGCCGTAGGAGATTGGTGAGCACACACGCCAATGTGGCACCCAATGTACATATAGATACAATGCAGACTACAAGATTAATTGAACACACTTAGCAAATGCATGTTCCCAGAGAGACCTACGAGTGACATTTTGCCCATCGTCTGGAAATTGCCAGAGGTAGGCATGCATACATATCCTTTCACAGCGAGGTTTGCAAACTCTTGGCGCCCAAAAAACAGCAGCCCTTTCAGCTTGTCAGATAAAAGAACACAATCAAAACAAAAAGATGAACCAAGACTCCCATTTCATCGAAACATCTCCGGATGATCCTTAATTGACACAGCCACTAGGATCTTCAAACGGGCAGGGTGCTTGTCGTTGGTGGAAGGATGCAAACGTGACGTGTCCTGGGCTTCTGATAAAAAATGAAGGTCTTGAATTGTGATTTCGAGCACCTACCTCAATATTCTGATTTGATGAACCACATTGAGGGTTGACGCAGACGTGTTGATGTCCACACGTTGAGCATGAATGAGCTGGGTGTCGAGGGAGTAAGGGAATGTTCCATTGGTACAAATATGCTCGTTGTGGCAGAGGGAACAAATCGGTGTTGCCACACAGTTGTCTGGTCCAGGTGAAGCTGCCTTAGGGTTGGGATTTGGTAGGTGCTAAGATACACTGCATGACCAGTATAGCAATCGTCCAACTTGATATTCAGTAGCGTGAAACTCATGGGACTTCCCTGTGGTGTCAATCCAAGAATCACTTTTGGCGCCTGAATATCTGCTTACCAGAGAACGACAGTGCAAACCACACAACTTTTAGCGCAAATGGTAGCATGGGGGCCAGTTTTAACCGACAATCTTTGACCCAGTGCAACTCCTGGCGGCTCACTGTGCCGGGATGAGATTCACGACCCCCTAGTACTTGTAAATTGTCCGGATTTAATTCACTCCTATGCCCTTGTAGCTCATTTCAGGGCAACCGACATCATGTCAAAGGGTATTCGGATAAGGAGCACATGGAAAAAGCATAATATTAGCCTACATTACACCGTCCGTCATAGCATCTATTATTCCGTCGCGACTGGCCCCTGTGACTGGCTGAGATATGGAATAGATAGAAGTCGTCTTCGGATTCTGAATTGTCGTCGGAACCATCGCTGGAAGAAGTCGAGTTGAGGAGCCTCTCAACAAGCGCCGTGCCCTTGGCGCGGGATGCTCATCGATGAGCAGCGATGCCCTATTGACAGTGAGTTCGAAGAAGAAGTATGGGAAAGTGAAATTCATGGTTGTGCCAGTGGCGTAGTATGGGGATGATAATGGGGATGAGATCTGGTAGAGAAAGAGGATGCCGAGGACTAGAGATAGGAATGGTTAGTGAGGACATGGACACGTAGAAGTGTAGACTATTGATAGTCCCTAACAAAGAACCCAAAACGGACAAGTTCCACAGTTACGGTATATGATCGCACAGCGCCAGGCCTAAATTTAAGCTGATGAGCAGAAATGACATCGCTCGTCTCGACTGAAACTCACCATGAGGGCTGTAGAACACCAATCTGCCAGAACAAAAGAGACATTGGAAATCTCATCCAAACTGATGGAAAACATCTCGACCTCCCATGTACTGGGACCACCAGGATAATTTCGATCGTTGATGAAGGCGAGCTGAGTGAATTGGGGGTTGGAGTCCATGAAAAGCGATCCTGGGGGGAACATGACACAGACATAGCCGAGAAAAAAGCAATTCCTAGTGTAATCTGCATCTTTTACTCGAGTACGGTGCCATAATGAGCGCAGACAGAGCCAGAAAAGAGCGAGGACAACACCATAGCCGACACCGGTCAAGATGCTACCAGCCAGCCATGTTTTCTCGGTGTAGAGCTGAGCGGGGGACTCGTCTGGTGCGTTGGAAATGGTAGACGGGTTCGGGTAGCCCTGGTAGTGGTGCTTGACGGAGAAACGTGAAGGAAGGTCAAGAGAGGCATGAGCTCAACGCACTCAACAACCGAGTAAGATTGTGGCAGAATTTCAAATTTGGCTGCGCTCGGTTGAGGAATATGGTGAGCAGAGGTGCTGGGCTGGCTTGCATGCTAGATGTCAATGGTGATGGAGCAGCAATCTGGCTGTGAGGTGTGGGCGGTATGGGTGCGACTGGACGAGGTGGTGTTAGACAAACTTGGACAAACACAAAGTTGAGATTTCAAACGCCAATAAATAATTACCATAGAAGGAAGGTGCGGCACTGTACTGTGTGAGTCAGTGTGACGCATGACCCGACGCGCAGCGCTACGTAGCTCATCGTTGACGACAATGAGGACAGGAGGACAACGCAGTAGGACTCTACTGAAGGTACCATGTGAACAACTTTTGTGCTAAGAATAGAGTTCTGAGAAGCCACGTGGATGACTTTTGAGAATGAATTAGAGTGTTGAGAAGCCACGTGGACGACTTTTGGTTATCCGTTTGAGATTTTTGAACATAACACGACTTTTGGGTTATCAGGTAGATATTTTATATAAAAATGATTCAATTTATTATTGTCTCCTCTGGGCCGTCATACACAGCACTTGTTGATCGAGACACCTCTATAGCCCACTATGAGGGACCGTATTGGACTAAAATATTGACTCAGAATTAGCAACTCAACTTGACGGTTTGCAACTCAACTCAGTCACGTGGCAACTCAACTTGACGATTTGCAACTCAACTCAGTCACGTGGTAACTCAACTTGATCACATTGCATCGAGTTTTAACTCGTTTAAACAAGTTGAATCAACGGCTACGCTCGGCTCAAGCCAGGTTTCACCTCTGCGCACATCCACATCATCTTCTGACGTATGCTCATGACTGAGCCTCCTAAAATGCTGATGAGGGGCTGAATCTTGTGACTTTAGTCCTTGATCTTTACCGTCATCCAGCGTTGAGCACTGACTGCTTGCGCACCCGCTGCACCGTTAATTTATTTATTATTGAAGCTTCGTGCACACACTCCACTTCCGTCGTACCTCCATGACCAGCAATGCACCAATCAGAACTTCACTTACAGGACCCGGAATCACAGGGTCTTCGACTCAAACCGAGGCTGGCAGATCGTCTTTTCCCCAACAAGACCTGGCGGAGAAATGCCTTAGTATCGTCGAAGACTACAAGCATGACCTCATCTCAAAGTCCGAGGCATTTATCACTATCACAAAGACTATCACTGCCTCCACTCAAGAAGCAACAGATGAGGCTGAGTCTTATATTGCGAATCCATACTTTGCCATGCTTGAAGCCCAGTGAAAACAAGCAAGGTAGAGGTAGATCTGTATCGAAAAAGGTAGATAGAAATTGAGGTATATCGATGTTTCGACCTATATCAACACGCATCGTGAAAAATGAGACTTTTCTCGATCTTATCGGTACGCGTCGAATGAGCAATAGTTACACATCGAACCCCATTCGATTGCGTTGTGGGCTGTTTCCACGTTCGCAGTTTAATCACATCGATAGAGAAAGAAACAAATTAATACATTGATAGGTACTGATAGGTATCGCTATGGGAGGATATATAACGAAACACGTCCATGCAGAGCGAAACGCAGTGAAGAGAAATAAATACTCGAAACATGCACCCCTACCGTATCCCACTGCACGCACCCCCTCCACTCGCTGCAGCGCTCGTGCCAGCTACTCGTCTCCGTCGGATCCAGCGAACTCCTCCTCAGTCACGGTGTTGCCTCGAGGCCCGCTGCCAGTAGTAGCGACTGGCGCCAATGTGTTCGTAGCCAGCTGTAGAAGAGGATAGTTAGCTCGTGTATACTAATAGTAGAAAAATAACGCACCAATGTTTGAGCTTGCGCTTCAAATACCTGAGGAGTACATCAGATCATCGAGTAGTAAGAAAAAAAACAATCACGTACTGCTTTCTCTGCAGCGGGAAGTTGCTCCCAGTATCCTTTGAATTACTTCGCTGTGCCCAGCAGATTTCTGGCGGCTTTCCACGCAGCTGCGCATAGATTCCTGTCGAGGACCGTTAGAATTGCTCTGGCATCAATAATATAAACGCACCGTGCATTTATGGTCTTCTGGATACGCATCGCCTTGGCTTTGCTTGGCGCGTTCGGCTCTTTCGGCGCTGTGGGAGCTTTGACTGGACGAGGTTTTGGTTTGGGCTTGGGTTTAGTGGTGGTGAGAGCAGGAATCGTGTTCACAGTGGTTGCAGTAATCATTGTCGTTGTCGCAGGAATCGTCGTCGTCATTGCAGGAATTGTTGTGGTTGTCGCAGGAATCATCGTTGTTGTTGCAGGAATCGCGGTCGTTGTTGGGGGAATCATGGTCGTGGTCGCAGGAATAGACGAGGAACTTGATGAGCTTGATGCCAGTGTTGCGCTTGTGTATGTAGGCCCTCCGAGTCGGAACGTTCCCGATACACCAGCGACCCTAGATTTGCTAATATTCAAACGGCCGTTAGTACTCTGACCGTCAATCAAAAATTTAAGACTTACAGAAGCGGATTTTTCACCTCTGGAACCACAAGACTGGTCTTCTCCTTGCTCGTGCAAGACGAGGAGGGTTCAGAGCACTCAGCGAGTGCACTCACGGTGGCGGGCGTGTCAGTATCGGGGTTGGAGGGAGCACCGAGAGCCTTTAGCGCTGGATCTATGAAGTCATCGAGAGTGTCATGAGTAGGAGAGGTAATGACAACCGGAGATTGGTTAGAGGTGACACTGGGGGGGTTATCGATGTCCATGTACTCGAGGTCTGAATCTTCTGGTGCCGCCACTTCGTTTTTTGGCTTCTTGACGTGTGATGATGATGATTCTGCTGCCTCATTGTCGTCTTGGGACGTTATCGCTTCCGATCATCCTCTCTTTCGACTGCCTCCGATGTGGTATTTGTACCATTGTGAGTAGTTCTGCGTTGCAAGATGCTCGGCTTTCCAGTTGTCAGCGCAGTATCTGAACTCGATGTAATTTGTCCTTATCGCATGGTAGAAACCCTCCTTGAGGTCGAGAGGGACTTGAGACCAACTGGTAGGCAGTTTCACACCTGCTTGATTCAACTGATGGAGGTATGCAGAAAACACGCTACGTGCAGCCTTTGCTCTGTGTCCATCCACAGGCACACCAGCAGCATCTTCAATGAATTGACATGCGACATTTTCGCCTTTTGCAAGCCTTGTTGATCCACGTTGTGTGCTTGCAGCACTGGACCCTAGCTTCGCAACAGCCTTCTCGGCTTGAACATGCAATGTCCACTTGGAGCGAGTCCAAAATTTGACGTCTTCGTACTCGTCAGGACTGAGATCCTTGTCTGCTTCATTGGCACTGCTTGTGGTAACAGTATTGACGATGTGCCCATTTCGTCCAAGTGAGTTGGTCAGCGTGATAAATGAACTCCTGCAAATCGTGTCAGTAGATAGATCACTCAAATAAATCAACCCACTGTAATGCTGCTACTTGTGCTGAAAGAAGATCTCTATCCCGTGCAAGCTGCTGGTTCCGCTGTTCGAGCAAATGTATATGCTGTTTGGACTCCTCTAGTTGGCTCTCGAGGTGCATATATGCGCTATTCTTGGAGTCTAGTGATTGGCGGCTGCTGTTTCTGGAGAAAAAAGAGCTGCGTGAAGATATCCCACTCGAAATGCTTGATGAGTCCAAGGACGAAGAATCGTACCCGTCCATAGTAGATGGGGGTATGAAGTTGTACTGGTTAGGGGTTTCGCGTGCGTCGATCTGATCCAACTGATGTGAAAGACTGCCTGGAAAGTTCAGAAAAGACTGAGTGGTCATAATGTTAACGGCGAGATCAAAATAATGTTTATGTAGCGCAACGATGATGGGAGGAAGTAAGGTGAGCAATGTCAGACAAGTTCAATCTCCGATTAGCAAGACCAACTGGAAATTCACCAAGTCCCTCTCACATACGCTATGCCACTATCACAGGCTATCCAAGATTTCTTTGACATGTCATCCGAGCCAGACATCGACATCGAAGGCTATGAGGCTGATACAAGGTACATTCCCCCTGTTTTAACCGTGCAAACTATAATTTTCACAGCATATGTGTTTCTGAGTCCGATACTATGCTTCCGAGTCTGATGACATTGTCGGATGATGTCTTCCTTGACCCCACGTACTGGCGCGCGAACCCACAGCTTAGACAACGGTTTCATGAGCACGTTAAGACAGACAATGTGTGAGTGTGTTGTCTTAAGTCTTCTCACTACTGAATATATTCAAAGGTGTCCTACATCCACAGCTACCACTGTTCGGCCTCGCACTTTCGATCCTGGCAGCACGACAGAGTCTGAGAGCGAGCCAGACATCACAGTCACAATCACCAATCCATCTACAGTTGTCCCCTCTACGTCTACCACTGTTCGGCCTCGCACTTTCGATCCTGGCAGCACGACAGAGTCCGAGAGCGATGACCCAACAACCCCCACTACAGCCACCATTCCACTCCATACTTTTGAAGGTGATACAGGCAGTACTACGGAGTCTGAGAGTGAAACGGATAGCATTTTGGAAGGATACGTTGTCATATGAACATTTGTAGTACCTCACGAGTGTATAACTAGTCAATCCAAAGATCCTCATCCTCGTCACCATCTTCGTCGTTATCAATATGGCCTGCGATTTGTGCGACATCAAGTCCTGGTTTTTCGACTAGGAAAAAACGGAGCTCCAGACTACCAGGGAGCTTGTGGGGCACCATTGCTATAACAGACTGAATTGTAGACACGTCGACAAGTTTGAGTGCATCATTCCCTTGATACGTGCATGAGTATAACGTATGGTACGATTCTTGGAGAAGTTGGTAGTTGGGTGGTGAATATAATGAAACGAGAGCAAGAGTCTTGATGATGTTGTTGACGTGGATCTGAAAATAAAATTGAACTTCGCCAAAATGTGTTCGTTCGTTGAGAGAAAGCTAATCTGTTTGAGTTATTAGTTGTAGCGTGAATGGAAATAATCAAAGGACACTATACCTTGACGTTACGTGCCATGCGTGGCATGCGCGTCATATCATTCTCTTTCCAGCTTGACCGTGCGATTTGTCCGTTTGGAAGACGGAGCCTTGCCCATCGGGTAACACGGGGACATTGTGTTGGAACAATATCAAGTCCTTGTGTGTTGAGGTATGAAACCATGGCATTTGCTTCATGTTCCAGTAAGTGATGAGGCGTCCGTTCTCGTTTAGTGAGGAGCACGTATCCATGACCTAAGTCAACTGAGCAGCGTGGAAGTGTGTCTGTTGGTGGGTCGAGAGTCGGAATCATGACTTTGAGCGCGTTGACTTGACAACGCCGAACACCACGTTCCGATAAGTTTGCGTAAGGTTGAGAATGTGAACGGATTTCACGACCAAGGTTACCAATCGTCCGTTCCATGGTCCACTGCGAGGAGCAGATGGGAGGACCCTTGGTGATAGTCTCGGGTGCAAGATGTCCAAGTGAATGTGCCCACGGTCGCATAAAGTGGAGGCGGTCGACACGACGCTGATAGTACAGGAGTTCGAACTCCTTCTCGAACTGCGCAAGCATCTCGTGAGCTTCGCACAAGTCAGATGCAAGGATCTTGTGTTGCTGCATGATTCGAATCCCACGAACGAGCTTGCAGAAGTTCTTCCAATAGACGTCGGGGAGAACACCATAGAGGATCGCAGGTCCGAGACCGAAGAGGTAGAGTAAAAACTCCCAGGCTTTGTACCCACTATTGATTTTCTGTGCAGGGTTTCGGGGGGGACGATCAAATGATCCGGGAAGGTAAGGAGTAGCATCCGCTACAGCTTTTCCGTGGTCCTGCCATACCCGACCCTTGAGAACGGCCCAGTCCCATGTCTCTTTGTCGTCGGTGGGTTCGCATCGAAACGAGCCGCGCCAGATTGGGATAAGTTTGTCAGCGATGTTTATTGCAGCAAGATGCATAATGTCAGACCCGAAACAGCCGGGAATACCGAGGATGTTGTTGGGTTGTATACCGAGAAAGATTGTGGGTTTCGAGATACCTGTTTCAAGCCGACGCTGCTCGTACTGAGTGTGGGTGCGTGATTCCATCAGGTACTTGAGGTTTTCGCGATAGTTTCCGGAAGATGCAGGAGGAAGATTGTTGATGTCGATATCGGGATGGTTCGAACCGGCGTGATCGTAGTTGACTGGCTTGAGAAGCGCCGGATAATAGTGTCCACCAGCACCTGGTTTATGTCGCCCTCTCGTACCACAATATAGCCGGCAGCCGTTGCCTCCGTGTGAACCTACGAGTCCATTGAGATATACCATCCCTGGACCATCCGCAGTTGCGAGAGCGAGGAAGGGAGTCGATTTGAACACACGGTTTTGTGATGCATCCCAGATGGTGAGGCCTTCACGCTGAACAGCTGCGAGATGATATAAGCCTGGAAATAGAAACGAGTCGACGTTCTTCGGCTTGTTGGGACCGGGAATGAATCCTCCTGGTAGTACGTACTTCTTCTTGTAGCGATCCTGCGGGTGGTGGTCGAACACTACCCAGATGTATATCCAGCAGTCGGACTGTTTACTCTCGTACAGCTGAGCGCCGTCAATCGAAAGCATAAGGATAGGATCGCCTTCTTTAATCTTGCCTGATCGGACAGCATCGAGATAGTCCGTTCCATCAAAGAAATCTTCGTAAGCATCAATGACACCACCGTTCGTCCTGAGCTTCTCAAGAAGCACGTTGGTTGCGTCATCCCGATACCGCATCTTTTGCACGCTGATAGGGTCCCTCCAAAGTGCTTGAATCTGGTCGGCGACGGGGATAGTCTCGAAGACACGAACGGGCACCTTTTTTCTCCCTCGACTTTTCCGCAAGATATTCTGGTCATACCGATCTTGCCCGCATTTGGGACACTTGTCGTGGTGTCGCCAGGGCCCACAAAATGCTACACACGAGTCTATGCACATGTCGTGCACAATAGGTTGAATTCCGCTAAGAAGGGCAACACGACGACGGACTTGATAGTATGATAAGACTTCGCAATCGGGAAAACGTTCCATGATAGCGTTACGTATGGAATTATAAGCAGCCTCGGTGGTGTCGGCGAGGAACAGCTTTAACGAGAGGAGTACGTCGGGATCATCAATACTCAGAACTTCTCGAGGTGGGTTGCGAAGGCGTTCTAGAGCGTCTGGATCAAAACTGATTAATCCGTTGTCTAATGTTGCACTACGAAGGGCTTCAATGAAAATCATTGCATCTTTGATGTCGTCGAGTTTTGCAAGGCGAGATAGCTCTGCGAGGTCTTCGTCGTCGAGGCCAACACTATTATCGTGCGGAGGGTCTGCATTGGCATTACTCATTTACTAGTATGCTTAGTACATGGTAGCGGTAAAGTAGATACATACCGTGAAATGGCTGAGGAATATTGGCGTCGTACATGTCTTCGTCCTGGTTTGGATAACGTTAGATCGAAACCTACGAATACACCTGAATGAATATCTCACCATCGACAGAGCGGGCGTGTTCTCGCGTCCTCGAAATGTGTTTTCATCCCCCTGTATCCCATCATCATAATCGTGAGGTGGTGGGGGATCTTCCTGTATAGTAGCAAGGCCAACTCGATGCATCAGAATACTACCGCAAGGTCCGACTCAATGAAGATCTTACCATCAACAGAGTGAAGTTCTGGACTGATTCTTCCGTGTCCTCCTCTACACGCCTGCGTTTGACTGACTTGTTGGACGAGGGCTGTCCGTGGGTGGCATTGCGGTCAACAGAACTAGTATTGCCGGTGGTAGTACTATTAGTAGTCGAGTTCCCTTGGATCACCTCGGCGAGTCTTTCATCAAAAACGTCTTGACGGGGTCGATATTTGGAGTGACGGAAATATGTTGCCCTAGACACGGGCTTCAGAACACCCGCACATTTGGTGGAACAATTGCATTGATATGCCTGCTGCATATGATCGGATCGAGTTGTGACTTTGCGGAATTACCGAAGTTTACAAATGCAGTGTAGAATGGCCGATCGCGAGTGTGCAGTGAAGATTTCCAGGAAATGCAGAGTCGTGCAGAATACCTGGACCTGTGCGCATAAAATGTAGGATTTGTGTATGTTCGTGCAAAAATGCAGGAATGTGAGGGCTGCAGCAGTGCAGAAAGGTAAAACTGGTCTTATCTTCAAAGTGTAGTATTGTTTGTATCGACGTACATCAACGTTATTCATTTTATATTTTATTGTATCTATCTCGTTTGATTTATACCAACCTCTATTTTGTTAGTTTTCACTGGGCTTGAAGACTGGTCCAAACAGCAGGATGACACCAGAGATCCCCATGAACATGAACCAGACGTCAGATGCCGTTCTGAAGATAGGGAAACTGTCTCTCCTAGAGAGATTGAACATGAGCGAGAAGTTAGTTTTGAGCAAGGTGAACCTGCTCAGAAACGAGGTAAACTTAACCTCGCCTGTCTCACACATGCCGAGCAATCAAGCACAGGAGGACAGCTCTCCGCTAACCTCACAAAAACTAACGAGATCCTTCTCAATTGGTTGCAAGACCCTAAAGAAGTACGACGATGACTCATGTATCACCGATGCAGCCCGGAATTCCATGAAGCTGGATGGGCAGAAATCGTCGCAGGCAAGTGTGTCAATCTCGACGCCATGCACTCCATTATCTCCTCATCACGTACCATTGACAAATGCACCGAGACTATCGGCAACATCGAGATCAAATATGCAGGAACATCAGAGACAGTCACGAAGAAAATCACCACCACAATGCAGTGGACCGCAGCTTGGAATAGGACTGCCAGAGCCATCAAATTCACTTTCCCTCATTGGGAGGATGAGCTCGCATCTTGTGGAGAATACATTACCACCAGATTCGACCGTACACTCGAACAGTCACATGAGAGGATTATCAGATATGACAAGGCCATCAGGAATAAAGCCGCAAACTCGCGCAGAGTCGAACTCTCAGACCTCGCTTCCTTCATTGACATCTATGAATCCCATCTCCAGTCAGACGGGAGGCACCACGACGACGAGAAGCAAGTCAAACCCAGCGCATCTATGCGGGAAAAAACCACTTTCAGTCGGCGTGAGCCATGTCGCAAATGGAACATCGGGGAATGTGCTCGCAGCACGGGAACCTGTCGCTATGCACACGTCTGCTCGCACAAGCAAGATGGCAGATTATGTGCCAGGCGTCACACGTCCAACTTCGACTGTTGGATTAACAAAGGCAATCTAACGCGAAGGCTCGGTAGGTTGGGCTGAGTCCGAGCTTTTTAGCTCGGGCTGGACGCTGAAGGATTGATCCGCTGGGTGGGCGGGCAAACGAACAGCGGTTTGATGAGCCTTGCGATAGAGTGATGGTTATGCCTTAGGTGATATGTGCTTGAATCAAATTAATGGATGTAGTGGTGGGTGGGATGGCACGAACTAAAGTATGAATGATATTATGGATATGAGAGAACGAGTAAACGAGAGGATGGTAGTGTAATCTGATGCGTGGATACTAAGGTTCAAATAGCAATAAGAAAGTAAAGACTATAGGCGTCACGCTCAGTTGGACGCGTGGTGCTGACTCTCCGGCAGGCTCCGAATCGGCACCTTGTCATTCCAACTTCGACTGTTGGATTAACGAAGGCAATCTAACGCGAAGGCTCGGTAGGTTGGGCTGAGTCCGAGCTTTTTAGCTCGGGCTGGACGCTGAAGGATTGATCCGCTTACCCTAATGCTGGTGAGCTCCGACCGCAGCTGACTTCAGCGGCCAAACCCAACCGAGCGAGCTAGCTCATGCGTGGGATGTGTGATTGCTTGCTAGGCCGCCCAGGTGCTGCGTCGCTACTTGTTCGAACGCCCTGATGTAAGTCTCATATGCTAGGGATTTCCACCAACCTGCTATGCGCACTATTTCCGGATCTACCTTGTTGGCGAGGTAGAACGAGGCTCCGCCAATCCTAAATGAGTGGCTGAAGGTTGTCCCCCAATTCCAGGCTGTCAATATGCTGTTGATGCTTTCGATGGCCCGGGTCTTGACCATTGGGCGGACGAGCCCTTTATTATCTCTCCACGAAAATAGTGGGTCATCTGGAAGAGCTGGGACGACTTCCGCTAGATTTCGAAGTGCTTGGATTGGGCAGAGATCGCCTCGTTCGACGATGAAGACAGACTGAGTTTCCCCAGATTTTGCTGTCTTGGCTCGTGGAAGATCGAGCCTGGCGTATGGTTTTCCTGCTAAGTCTACCCCGAGGAAAACATCTTTCCTCGTAATGTGTTTCGACTTGTCGAAACTCGCATGAGCATTGACAGCGACCTCTCCGAATCGCATCATTCCAAAGAATGCGCAGCTGGACATTGCCCAAAGGCACACGTCGAATGGTTGGTCTGTTCGAAGGGTGGCCTTGATAGCCGTTAGCATCTGGAGTGTAATTGGGGGCCTGACTGGTCTGCGGCGAGTTCCTTGCAAGTTTTCCATTCCGCGGAGTGACCAGTTAATCCGCGTGAAGTGTTCTGGTGATAGCGGAGGTGGCCATCCTTGTGCCAGATGCCATGCGCGGATTGCAGACAAGTATTTTCTTGCTACTGAAACTGAGACCGGTTCGAAGGGTACTGCCTCGACTGCTGGTGTCTTCATGAAAGATTCTGCTGTGGAGGGATCGGAAACGGCCCAGAGTGCGAAAGAGTGTAGTACTTCGAATGATGCTGGTAGGCGGTCGGCTTCTGAGATGGAGAAGATGTCACAGAACACGTGGAATTTTCATAGCCCCAACCCGTAGCTGGTTGTTTCTCGCAGTGATGCTTGATTGGAGATGTTCGCCAGAAATTGGATGACGGGGTGTTCGATCGTGGATGGTGGTGGCATGTTGATGCCACGCCAGCAGAAAATGCGGTCTTCCGCTGCGCAAGGAGGTCGTAGCGGTGATGGTCGAAGGGATAATAAGTCTTGAGTTGCTGGGGGGACGGGAATGTGCGATGAGGAGTTCAGACTGTAACAAAGGATAATTTGTTGCTGAGGTGCGACGGGAGTGGAAAATTGGTTCTGAATGATGGGCCCGAAGAAGTGCCTCGAAAGGCTCGAATATCGCCCCGCGAAAGCGGATCTGAGATGTTGCTTTGTCCCGGTACGTGTTCGACCTTGAGGTGTATCCCGTGGTGCGCCTGCAATAGATAGATTTCTTTGAGGATGACATTCATTGGCTGGTTTCTCGAGTGGCCTTTGTTTATTGCTGCAACTACTCCCGTGTTGTCCGAACGGACGAGGATGGAGTGTCCTTTCATGTTGATCCGATCTGTGAGCCCGAGATGGATGGCTAGCCTCAGGCCGAGCTCTATGGCGATGGCTTCGGCCCAGCCTATGTCGTATTCGAAGCCTGGGCCTACGCGAAAATTGTCTTTCCATCTCCATGCCGCCCAGTGTTGGCCTATCACGATGCCCACTCCGAAAGACGTGCTCGCGTCGCCCCACCATTGGAGGTCGATAGGGAGGGTGGTGTGCAGAGGCCTTTCGCGTGGCGAGATTGCTAGGATTTCGATAGCCCACTGTAGGTCGGCTGCTAATGAACTTGGTATGTGTAGTCGCGCTCGTCGAGACTTGAATTTGTTGGCAAAGAGGGCCACTGAGCGAAGGAAGGGGCGAATTAGTGGGAATATTGCTGATATATGTACTAGCTTGCCGTGCAGGCTCGCCGCTTCGCTCGCCGTGAAACGTGCGCCCTTTACGAGCCACGACTGCATCAGTGCTAAGGTTTTCGTCATTTTCTCTTCTGGGAGTGACACCGCTCTTCGAATTAGGTCCCAGTCGAAGCCGATGTAGCGCTGGATTGATGCAAATGCCCTTAGTTTCTCCAAGCTCCTGGGTACCCCCGAAAATGGATGAAAGTTTGATGAAATCTTCCTCTGTCCACGTTTGATGTGGAAGACGGATGACGAAGAAGTTGTCTACCCATTTTCGAATTGGGCCGAATCCAGCTTTCTCGTATATGGCTACTAGCATGTCTGCTACTGAACCGAAGACTCCTGCACTTGAGCTCAATCCGAACATTAGGGCTCGATCGACGTACACGCGATCGCGCCAGAGTATGCACAGCGCCCATTGTTGGCTGGGGTGAACGGGCACGATTCTGTATGCTGACGCGATGTCGAATGTCGCTGCGACACATCCGTCTGGTAGCGAGAGAATCAACTCCACTAAATTGTCGAACGTGCCCCACTCCGTTGGGAATGCGTCTGGGTCTATGCCCGCGTTGACGGAGAGGTTCTCGGGGTCGTTGCGCGGATAAGACATGTCTTGAACAAGCCTGAATTTTGTTGAGTGCGGCTTCGGCACGAGGCCCAGTGGGGACGTGCGAAAAGGGCCGATTAAAGATTCCAGTTCTGGGATTGAGTAGGCGCGAGAGTAACGCCCAGTGTTCTGCTCGCTGATTATATATTGGTCTATGATGTCGATGTTGAGTTGCGAAGATGCATGATTCTCGAAAGGTCATTGTGGTTTTCGGTGTTTCTCTGACTCCTACGTCGAAGCCTTCCTCTATGTTGGATATCATATGTTTCCAGTCGTCGTATATATTATATTCATATAGTAGCTCCTTGAGCTTCGATGCGATGAGGGGGGTGACTACCCGCCTAGGATCTAGGCCGGGTTGCTCTGCAGGTTCCTGCGCCATGGGCAGTGTCTCCACAGATGCTGCAACCATGATAATTGACGCACGCGTTGGCGAAGTGGCAGCTGGAGAACCTCGCCCATCCGATGCAGAAGATCTTTCCGCCTGGAGCGGCAAGGGCGTGTGTGCTCTTGGCTGAGGATGCGATTCGTGCCGTTGGGTGCCCAGTGACAGTCGACTCCGCTGTGCAGTCGCCTGGAAGGTGGTCTGCTCCTCCGCACCGAAAGCACTGGAGTCTGGCTTTCTTCTTTGGCGGCTGCTGAAACTGGGATGACGACGTTGGTGATGGTCTCTTTAGCTGCGGTTGGCTATACGGTGCGGATATGGTGGGCTGCCTGGCCACTATGCGCGTTGCGATGATTGTTAGTGCTCTGTCGTCCAACTGCGATAGGTTGTGTTGTGGGTGTTGCGCGACCATTTCGCGTTGCTGGATGTCGTATTCGACTGCTATGTCCCATGAGTGTGAACGGCTGAGCCCTAGGACCACACTATGGTGTGCCTTTAGTGCTTTCGCATGCGCGACTCCATGGTAATGCTCTGTGCGGTCCTCTGCTGCGTCGGCTGCCCCGATCCAGTCCGACAGTGTGATGCTTCTCTTGTTCCTGCGATCAAGTCCCTTGGCCATAAGTGAGCCTGATGCGGATATGGTGAAGGCTTCCTCGCCACTTCTTATCGCCTGCCAGCGAGCCGACGAGGTGAGGGTACTATATGGTACATACTTGAAGGCTTTGAACGCCTCGTCGACTTTGGGTGGCACGGCTGTAAACGATGAGCTTGGTGTTAGCTCTCGTCTTCTCATGGTTGGTGGGTGCACGGGCTGGATAATGCCCGTGACCAGAAGCATAGTGAAAACGCGAATTTTGTGGGCGGCCTTTAGCCACCCTCCAGACCACTCTATGATCAGGCGAAAACGACGAGTTTGGCCTATTGCCTGGCATATCTTATGGGTCGCCTTTAGCGACAGAGCCTGTCGCTCCATTTGGTTTCGCATGTTGGTGTCGACTGCACATAGGCGCACAGCTGTGTTAGCGTGCCTTGGGTTGGTTGGGTAAGACCCAAGGCGCTGACCACTGTATCCTTTGTGCGTGTGGCACGAGGCCCACGAACGACTAGGTGAAAAAGTGGTTCTCACCAGTGTCGAGGGGGTTTGCCTTGTAGCCTGGTACTACGTCAGGGAGGGAAACCTTAGGTTCGTCTCGCTTGGCTGCAATGATGGTGGTCCTCGCCTTCTCCACCTCTTCTGGTGATGCGAACAATGTGGGGTTGGCTGCCTTGGGGTGCGGTTCCATGGGAAGTGCGACCCTTGCTGCTTGCTCTTTCTCGAGTTGTGCGATACAGGCTAATAGCGCTGCAATATCCGATGTCTGCTGCACTGGTGCCGCAGCGGGCAGGGGCTGTGGAGATGGTGCAGGTTGTGTGGCGGCTGCGGCTGTCTGCTTGGGGGCTGCTTGTTTGGTTGCTGGCTTTGCTGATGGCTTGGCTGTAGCCTTAGCTGGTGCCCCAGGCAGCGGTGTTGTTCTGGATGAGCTTGCTTGGGTTGCTGCTGCTTCATCTGTGTCGATGCCGACACTTGCGATCCTAGCTGATTGCCTCGTTGCTGCCGTTCTGGTGTGGGTCGTGCCTCGTCCTGTTTCTGCCGGCTGCTCTGCCGAGTCAGGTTGCGGTTGAGGATCTGCAGGGGTGGCTGTCGCCGAAGAGCTGGCCTGAGGCATGGGCGAACTTGGGAGCTGCAAGTTTAGATGCTGGTGTGTCATTGATCGCGCAGATAAGGTCGATTTGAGTGAAGCGCGAGTAGGATTTGGGAAGGAGCGTGATAAAGTATGAATGATATTATGGATACGAGAGAACGAGTAAACGAGAGGATGGTAGTGTAATCTGATGCGTGGATACTAAGGTTCAAATAGCAATAAGAAAGTAAAGACTATAGGCGTCACGCTCAGTTGGACGCGTGGTGCTGACTCTCTGGCAGGCTCCGAATCGGCACCTTGTCATGAAGCGAAGCATTTCGAGGAGTCAAAGCCCAAATCCAATTGAACAGCCATTTAAGCGCCCGCGTCATAGACGGGGCCTTATCTGGTCACCCAAGGATATCTCATTCAGTCCAACTGTGCGCTCGTCAGAATACACTGAACCTGTCCCTTCACCTCCACTGAACGAAGTCATGTCCAGTGATGCTGCGCAGACTATAGCACGCAGACCAGATCTGTTTCGTATCGTTACCCCTATAAATGTTGAACAATTCGAAGAACTGCTCTTGGACCACCCAAACCAACCTTTCGTTGAGTCTGTCTGCGAATCTTTGCATCGAGGTTTCTGGCCATGGGCCAACACCTCAGATGATTCATATCCTTCCATTAATGACAACTCCGCGCATACCTGCTCCAAGTCTAATGAGCAGCAACAATTCATTGAAGATCAGTTACGTGAGGAGATGCGTTTGGGGCGAGTATCAGAGAGTTTTGGCACCGACCTTTACCCTGGGATGTACAGCGTGCCAATGCACACAGTGCCCAAGCCAAATTCTGACAAACTTCGCTTGATTGTAGATCATACTGCGGGCGACTACTCCCTAAACTCTATGATTGATAGGGATGCCATCAAAGGTACAAAGCTGGATGGATTGCACTCACTCGGAGCCTCGCTACTTCGTTTCCGTGAACAGCATCCAAATGTCCAGCTGGTGATGTTCAAACCGGACGTGTCACAAGCCCTCCAACGCTTACAAATGCACCTGCTGTCTTACTACTTGAGGGTCTTATATGTTTTTGTGTAAATGTAGTGACACCACAACTACACTTTGATAAGACAAGAGTTGCCAACTCCTCAAGTACACGGTCAATGGATTTTCTAGTTTTCTCGGTTGATAATGTGTCGTTCGTGGGAGGCTCGACTATACAGTCTGTCGTTGGTTCTTGGAATGGGGTTTGGTTTTGGATGGGATGATAGACCTAGATGATAGGCCTGATACGATGAACTGCGTTGAATAGATGGACTAGACTATGTTGATGAATGGTTTGTCTGAATGGTCCTTGGACAAATATACGAGTGGATGCGCTACACAACACTTGGCTGAAGTGTGTGGATCCTTTGATGAACGAGGGACCTTTGGTATGGAGCAAAAGTCCTTGGTGGTGTGGAATTGGGAAGCTGACTAAGCTTTTCCCAGACAGATCCTTGCTGATGTAATCAAAGCAAGAATATCTCCTGAAGAGTTCTTTGTCCAAACAGCTCTTGGACAAAAGATATGGGTTGTGTGGGATGCTGACTAAGCTTTTCCCAGACAAATCCTTGCTGACTTAATCAAAGCAAGGAAACAGCAGTTCTAGACCAACAAAGGACTAGAAAAGAAGGTTAGGGTGACTAAATGCCCCTAACAACAGTAAAGATAACACAAGACTAAGATTATATCAACTCTTAGTGTAGTAAGGCTGTCAGTATCAGCCTGCACTTCAGATGATAGATGTGAAGTGGGAAATCTCCAATATAATATGGGGAGTCTCTCATTTCTCCTCAGAGAATTGAGCCAGCTACATAAAGCAAAGCAACCTATTGCAGAGGTCGACAGGGCCTTAAAGCATCGAAGTATTTCATGCAAAATCTGGTCATCATGATCCTGGCCTGATATTGGGGCACAGGCACGAGGAGAGGGTTGACAGTCAGAGTAAAAAGGAAGTAATGTTGTGTGGCCAGTCCAAGTTCCAGACTGTGTTATTCGGGTGACAGAATACCCAGAAGTAATCTCTGCAAACATCCGAAAGCTCCTGGAGGTAAGCTTTATAGATCCTCGGGTGATGTAGCTATTCAATAAAAGCATGAGGTGACACAGGTGAAGCAGGTGATTCAGTTGGAGGAGGCGTGGGTGGTAGTAGGATAGCACGGATCAACGAGTAAAAACTTCACGACATGGTGTATTGATATCATCCAGTGGGAACGACAGTGGGATAACTTTGGGAAGGGGGTTGACGTAGGGATATGGCAATATATTATGATAATGTGGGGGGACAGTTGTTGTGTGTGCCCTCCAGGAGTGCAAGTATCTTAACAAATTGTCAGAAACATGCAACAAGACACAGATATATGTAAAAACACGTACTATGGTCAGCGATTGACGAGGGAATGGCAGGCGTCTGACAATACATCTCAAAACACCCTTGAATGTTCTCCACCTTCTTCCATCTCATTTACACCTCCTTGGAGAACTCGAACGGTTGATGAGTGATGAGGAAATGGCAGAAGCGAAGAAGCACAAGACGGTGTGGGTGTCATGGATGACAATGAATCTGAAGACGACCTTCTAGGGATCATGAGGCGTGGAAGGAGGAGGCTGCTGGGCACAAAGTTAACAAAATCCGTGTCCAGCCTTCTCAAAAGTGTCCGTGTTGTGTGTGCAAGGGGTGGGCGTAGAGGTAGCATAGTCTGATACACCGGTATTCCTATTAATTAAACACACTCTGGATGAGCACGCTCCTAAGGGGGATGTCAGAGTCCAATCTAACCTATGTATATAATGAGACTCACCTGTACACAGGATGACGCACCACTGCCAGTACCGGATGTGATCGATGATGTGGAACAGGTATGACTGTGGAAGAGATGAGATCATTGCGGAAATGAAAAATTGAAACGTACTGATGGTACAATCAGCTATCTATAGTCTATCCCAATAGTGGGAGGTGAGACTCCTCGCCTGGTCGACGATATATTCACATGGTCATTGAGTGATGGAGAATGGATGGGTCGAGCCCCGCTGCGCACGTTAACCCCGGATCAGCCTACAAAAGGCATCTCCAAGCGTGCACAGCCTACCGAGTTACTTCGCCCACAGAAGGCTTGGCAACTCGGGAAGATGTCGAGTGGAAGGATGGGGACAAAACAAAAAGCAACTAAAATAAAATATAAAATTAGTTGGTTGGCTGCTGCAGGGTCTTTGAGCTGCCGCAGAGACCTCCAGCCGCCAAACAGCTCTCACCCACTGCAGCCAAAATAAAATGGGAGTTTTCCCAGGGCGCCATGTAATGCTCAGGGACCAAGACACACAAGTTAACAGCGGACGGTCATGGATCAGAGCCTGAGCATCTGAAAGTGTCCCACTAAGGGGAGCCATGCGTGGTGCTCATATCGGCGTCTGGAATGAGCAAACGTCCTATGGTACTAACTGAAGAACAAGAACGAACCGATTGAAAATTTCGTTCAACGACATCACGTGACTTTCGGATCAACAATGTTCAACATCAGGCAATTTCCGATACTCAATCGATCAACAATTGCCTTCACTCGATCGATCATCAATTCCACATCCAGTTTTACCGACGTCGCTACTGTGCTCATCAACCTTGGCAGTGCATTTTTTATTTAACCATCTCATAGCGTGTTTCCATCCATCAACAACTTCTCGGTTATGCATCTATGCTTACTCCGGCCAATCAAGCCCATTTCATTTCGTTCTTCAGCAGTGGCAGTGGTCACACATGTCACATCGCACAGTGGCTTGCATACGCGCTCTTCCTTCCAAACAGTAGACCCTCTGTACATATCTCTCCAACTATGTCTGGGTTATGTATCACTAACTGGCGTAACTCACAGGATGCGCTTCCCGCACTCGACCCGCTCATCCTTCTGCTTTCACCTGCACCTGGCTCGGATGAGCTCTTCGACGTCACTAGCCCAAAGGCAGAATTTGAGGACCTCGGGCATTACTTTGCTATCATTGGACACTTTCTGGGCTTTCCGACAAGTGTGCGTCCTATAGCCCATTTCCTAAACCTCCTTCCCACAAAAACACTCATGCACACAGATATGACACTGCTCAGCAGCTTAAAGAGCAACAGGACGTGTATGCCAATACCCGTGCGCTGGCAGGTGAATGGGAAGACCTTGGAGAATTCCCGGACAACCTACAGTGGGAAGTGCTTGTTGATGTGTTGCGCGGATGTGTCAAGGTATGTTTCAGTCTTTCCTATTGTGCAAGAGGACATGCTAATATGTCTCTCCTTGAAATAAGATTCACACACATTGCTACGAGGCGGTTGTCTATGTGTTCTGTTATCTTTTGTGGTCAGAGAAGAATATATCAGATTGATTTGTAATAAATACAATCTGGACTACGAATATGAATTGAATGATGCATGCAAGTATTTGGGCAAAGCCCGGCAGGGGCTTTCGGCCAGAAACACGACCCCGAACCTAATGAAATCAAGATGAGCCGTGATTCCCAACATTCTAAGGAGCCCAGCGACGCGTCAAGGCGCAGCTTGGACTCCCTATTTATAAGGAGCGGGGTGTGACATACCATGGACTTAACGAATTAGTGGCATGGTGTATCGAGTGAAGGGCTCAACAATTGGAGTATCTTGCAGGTACGGAGCCATTATTATGGCGTGATCGCGCAGGTAAATGGTGAAAGCCTCACTCGACCATCTCCCCATAGATTTAACAACGTCAAATGGAATGCCACGGAGTAAATACTCTAACGTGCCTCCTATGCGAATGCCATGACCTTTGAGGTCTGGGCATCCACCTGCTTTCGCGATGCTCGCGATCCTTTTCAAGAATGCGCCACGAGTCAAGGGGCGAGCACCTTTGGGATGCTTCCATGAGAAGAGGTGGTCGTTGGGGGAGGGTTCATTGATCATGAAGTGTTGGGCTAACGCTGCCTCTGGATCTGTGGTGTCTGATTGTCGAGACCAGTATATATCTTCCCTGACGGCGGAGGTTTTCGTACACGGTAAGTGTATCCTGGAGACTTGGAATCTGTTTCGATCTTCACAATTCATCCTCACGTCAGATGGTTTCACGTGTTCCTCAGGCATGAAGCCTTTGATGGATCTGACGGTCAGTTCTCCAAGGCGGGCGAGGGAATAGAACGTGCTAGTCAGGCAAGTGAAGACTGCTGCATCAAGAGGTGAGTTTAAATTGAGGTGGGTCTTGATTTGAGTGATGTAAGACATTGTGAAGGGTTCCCTTTTAGCGCGTTTGGAATCAGGAGGGGCTTGACTAGCAGCACCGTCAAGCGCTGACTTGAGTTGGTTTTGCTGTATCTCCCAGGTTTGTCCATGAAGTACGTGCCACGCGCGTATGGCAAAAACATAGTTTGCTAATGTTCTTCCAGCGTATGCGCCTGCGCAACCGGCTACGAACGCTAGAATCATCAATGTGTCGACTGGACACCTTTGAAGCTCTGGAACCCCACGCGTATCACAGAAAACGTGAAAGACCAACAAGCCAGCTCCATACGATTCCCTTGTGCTCTGTGTCCAGGCAGAGTTCATCACCGTGAGTACTCGTTGTAGATCTTCATCTGTGACTGCAAGAATCTTCCCGTTAGCGTTTCGCAACGATCTACTCTCCACTGGACGCCATAGCTTGAGGCGATCCCTTGCTAGGCAATGGGGTCGTAAGACGGATGCGATTGGAACCAGACCTTCCTTGTAAGGCGCGGGTTTCGATATTGGGAGGGTGACGACGAGTGGGGCTGCGAAGCGTTGCTTATTCCTTCGTTCCGCAGGTCCTTGATTCGAAAGGATCGTAAATGAAGGAACGTAGCGCAATGGGGATAGGGATGGGGGGGAGGAGAAGTGCAGTGTCCCCGTATATTGCTCGCGAGGGAGGGTCGGCTGGATTGACCTTACTGGGGACGTATGTTGGATGGAAAGAGTGTGGGGATGGTAAGTCTTGTAAGAATCCAAATATCTGCCGGAAAACTTCGTTGACGGTGGTATTACGACTTCGTCCATTTTTCCAGCCTTCAATAACGCCTTGGTTGTCACCGTAAATGGTGTAGTGCCATTGTGGTCTATCCAGGGAGACAATGTATCAAATGAGAAGCTCGAAGCCGACAGCTTCAGCCCACCCAATGTCTCGCTGGCCGTCAAGGGTTGTCCACCCTGGGTACAACTTCCAGGCTCTCCATTGCTTGCCGATGATGATCGTGATGCCGACTCCAGAGCTTGCATCAGAGTATGCCTCTGGATTAAACAGGGTGAGAGGTGTTGGAATGTTGCGTCCGACGAAGGTACTCTGCAAGGCGCGTGTCCACCATTTAAGGTCCTCGGCGAGGCCCTTAACCGGTCGATGTGGTAAGAAGGGGTGAGTATGACACACCCGCAGCATGACCTCGAGTTTTGTGAGGTATGCTTGTCCTTGTGGAAGCACCAATGACACATGCAGAAGCTTTCTGTGTAGCTTCTGCACGTCACTAAGAATGTGCATGAGGTGTTCTCGCCACTCTTGTACCGCGCGGAGGAATTTAGCTTTCTTCTCGTCTGCGAGAAATACTGTACGACTCGTGAGATCGCAAGTAAGTCCAATATATAAATTGCATTCAGCAAATGGAGAGTCCTTCTCAATCTCCCACGGCGTTCGCGTGATGCGTGAAACTCGGTCAATGTCGTCGAAATTGAATGTAAAGAGAGAGTCTTCATGTGAGCAGGGTGAGGCATTCGATAAATCAAGGATCGGGAAATTAAAATCTTCATCAAACTCTTCTGTGGTGCCGTCGATAAAAATGTGCCCTCTGTACCATATTCGCCCCCCATCACGATGCTCGCCACTCTCGATAATGCTCTTACACCATTGTCGACGACTCTCGTTATAGTCGTCGAGGTACTCCTTTCGAATCCGGAAGAATAGATGGTCATCCACCCAGCGTGAGGTGGGACCAATACCCTGTGATCTAAAGATATTGAGGCCTGCATCTGCAAGGGAACCGTACGCTCCCGCTGAAGGGGACACCCCGAAACGAGTACACGTATCAATACAGAAACGATCGTCAGAAATACGTACGACTGCGCCTGGCCATTGAGTGTGGTGTAGCGGGATCGTTCGGTAAGCTTCCGATACATCCCTTGTTGCCATCTGTGATCCGGGAGGGAGTCGACTGATGAGGAGAGCGATGGTATGGAACGTTCCCCAGGTGCTGGGAAAGTCGTCTGGGTTAATGTGCGAATTGATGGATGGATTAGGGAAATTAGCGGAATGCGCGTGAGGAAAGGAATAGTCTTGTATGACTCGGAAACGTCCTGGTCGTCCTGGTTTCGGGATGATGGAAAGGGGAGACGATTGAAACGGGCCGATGGGACTTTCGATGCCGGCGGCTGTACAAGGACCAATATATCTTTCTTTTCGTAGTTCTGATTGGATAATGGATTGAAATTCGCTAGTATAGACAATAATTGAATCTTTGTTTGGAGGCGCTTGTGTGACTGTGATAGTAGGAAAATTGAGAATAAAACCTTGGCGCAGTCCTGGAGGGATGTGCGCGTATCCGATCAATGAGCCCTGCTTGCATGAGATAGGACTCCCAAGCGTCGGCGTCATACGGGGTGAGTGCTCTATGCTTTCTGTGCTCGAGTGCAAGTTTGCACTCCGTGAGTGGAGGCAGCACATCCAGAACAGAAATGATGTCTGTCGTGCGAGCTGTCGTTGCATCCGGTAACCCTTTGCCAGTCGCTGCAGATTGGTCACCCATCCCGCATGGTGAGGACTTTGCTGATGCGAGTACAGAGGGTATCTGACGAATTGTCCCATGTCTTGGTCGCTTTGCACTCGACGATTCGGTGAGGGTGCCTTCCCAAACACACTGCGCAAGCGGATAGGGAGTTTCCGCTTGCGCCGCTTCGAAAATCACCACTGCAGGGCCTGTGCGCAGTTGGATATTCAAATGTTGATCTATTCAGTGTTTAGAATATGTTTCAAGGGGTACGACATAGTATTCGAACAAGCTATAAGCCGTTAATAACGCAGGAAAGTGGGATTCACATTCAGCTGGGGCAATCTCATCGAATGAAGTCGGAGATAACTTCATCGAGTAGGCGCTGAGATCGATAGATCCACCTCCAGCATCAATGAAAACGACCCCCTGGCTGTCAGATTGATTATCCTCCTCGTTGGCATAATCTGAAACATCTATAGGGGTTTTAGAGGATATATCCGATGCAATCGCATTGGTAACACAGAAATGAAGACTCGCTTCGCCCTCAGTCAAGAGGTGTACATGAGATTGCTCCTCCTTAGATGAGACAAGACCAGCTAGCTCGACAGCGCGTCTAATCTGTTGTTGTTGTTGGCCTTCCCAACCGTTCGGATGTGTGAGCACAAACTCAATAGAATTCTCGACCGATCTCCAGAAATTCAAATGCGATTCCTGGATGTAAGTCCGAGCACATTGGAAGAGGTAGCGCATGAAGTCGGCGAGGACTTCCACTGCGGATTTGCCTCGTGGGAGAGATGGTATATCGTCCTCCCGTATGTGAGACGATGCCAGATGCTTAGCGCGAAGATGAAGTTTCCACCTGACCGAGGTTAATATACAATCTATGCTTTATCCTCGATGATTTACATACCATTCTAGCTTCACCCATCCCTCGTTTTCTGCCTGTTCGATGATATTTTCTTGTAAAGCCTCAGCACCCACGGCGCGGACGTCTCCTTGAAGATCATAGTAGAGAATCGATGGTATTTTGGAGTCACCTCCGACATGCTCTTGCGCAGGATATCTGCAATCCCACCATGAGCAAGAGACACGATGGTCGAGCTGGCTACTGACCTTGCTACTCCTCGAATAACAGCCACTTCCCCTGGGTCTAGCATACAATACGAGACTCCACTGAATGTGGTCCCGACGTCAAATGCAAGCACTAATTTTCGCGTTGAGCCCTTGTATGGTTCACGTGGAAGCACGGTAGTAATTTGTAGCCTGGAAGTTTGCGTTCTGGTTGAAGTTTATATGCAAAGGGGCATGCAGCTGCTTGACGTTTTGAAGGCCACATACCAAGGTTGGAAGAACAGATCAAGGCGTGTGTGCCTCGTGTGGTAATTGATTGTGTGTCGTGCCACATCTCCTAAATATGGCCTGTTCTGAACAAGGCAGATCAAAACAGGAGCCCTACGCCCAGTTTCGCGTACAATTCACCGCGAAATTTATCTGAGTTCAGATATTGTGTGCGCGAGCAGCTCCGAAGTTCGAAGTTTCATGGAACCCTGTGTGCATGTATTCGACATCTCGGCACGCGTCACTCGAATTGCCAATTAGCCTTGCGTATGCGGCTTGTCCGAGAGAAGAAAAGTCAGACCATCAAAGGTCCACGAGTCCCAGACCGCGGGAGACAGAAATCTGGTTGATAAATCAAATTCTAGGACGCCAAGAGAGGCGAGCTAGTCACTACTAAGTATACCGTGCTGCCCCGGCCCATCAAGATCAGCACACACCCAGCCCAAAACGAAACAAAAAATACACGCACCAATCCAATCAACACCAAAGTACGCCACATCACACCATGCGCGCATATCCCCCCATCCATCACCAGCCCACAAACGCGTCCCGATGCCCTCGAGACTCAGCACGCCCGTGCATTCGGGTCCGGCGGCTAGGTTCCAGATGCTGATGAATCTACCCTCGTGTCCAAGATAAGCGAACCCCGCGTGTGATTGGAGCAGCGTGCCGCTCATTACTGCGCCGACGTGGTGTGGGTTGCTTGGGAGGACGCTCGCAGTGCGTGACATGCTGCCTGGGGTGAAACGTCGTAGATCCTGACAATGGGTACTGTAGTGGGTCCAGAGCCGTTAGAGTCGCTGTGGCCACTGACAAGTGTTCTGGACTGGCGCGTGGTGATCTAAGAGCTTCTGGTATAAGCACTGGTCTTAAGAGCACCGGGACAGCAGGGGATTGATCTGGCGTTTTGCGGAGCGAGATGGAGGAGGTGGTGGTGGTGGGGCTAGCGGGCGATGACATGGCTGGACCACTCACGTGAAACGTTCTCTCAATATTAAGCCACTCCACCTCCACGAGGAACGTCGTCATCGTACGGGTTGGACACTGAATGAACCTTACTCGAATCCAGGATCAAGTCGTCGTCGTCGAACCAGACCGCGAAAAATATGAGATCTTTTGACTAATAGCCCCGTCGCCGTGACCGAGATCGGGTGTTCACGATGCCACGGACCACCTCATGAACTGTAGTAGCTGTTAAAAACTGAGAGTGTTCCATTTTTAGAGTACTAGTTGGAAGCCCGCCGTGGTGGCGGCGGGAAACACTAAGCAGATCAAACAAGGATTAATAGGACAAGACCGTGGATTTCAGAGCGTGATACAAATGAGCAGATGATAGTAGGTAAGAGACCTAAGTCTGATCTCGATGGCGTGAAACGTAGTGATATAAATGGGGGAACGTTCACGTGATTGTTGATGTTGTAAGCACTCGGCTTACACCCTCCCATCCTCCGAAGAACCAAGTGTCTCGTTGAATTCTTGAAGAGCGTCTGAACCCTCAACCTCACTTCCTGCTAGCCAAACGTCTGTTTGTGGTCCGTAACCGCGCCATCGAACGAGGTATTGAAAGCCGCGGCCGCGTGGACGACGATCTAGAATGTGCTCAATCTCCCATTCTTCGGCACCTGAAGGTGTGTTGATTGGTCTTGGTGTTTGTAGCTCGCGGGACGGATAGAGTGTTGTGTCATTGGGTACGTGCTTCTTCAATTCCGAGGCATGGAAAGTTGAGTGTATGTTAGTATGCGCTGGTAGGTCAAGAGTGTAATTGGAGGACTCAGGGTGCGCTATTATGATCTTGTATGGCCCGTCGAAACGGGGCATAAATTTAGCGACCCGTCTGTTATTTCCGGTTGTGTATTCTCGTCGCCGGTGCGCCGTTGAGAGGTATACGAGGTCGCCAACTGTGAATACTGGTTCTATGTCTCGGTGACCGTTTGCTGAGTTCGCTTGACTGATCTTCGCCGCGACAAGAGCGTCGTGTGCGTCTGCTATATCTGATTTCAGCGATATGATGGCTTCGAGTGCATTGTTGATGTCTGCTGGGAAGTCTTTGCGGATGTCGTGCACTCCTTTTGGTGTCAGTGGAGGCAGCAAACGAGGTGTGCGTCCTAAATGTAAGTGAAAGTGTGAGTACCCAGTGGATTTATTGACAGTAGACATGAGGTTAAATCTGACGCGCGGTAGCGCATTTACCCAGCCGTTTTGGTGACGGTCTACGAAGAATCTTAATGCTTCGTTGATACTTTTGTTGGTACGTTCGCTTGCTCCGTCTGTTTGCGGGTGATAGGCCGTTGACATTTTGAGCTTTATTCCCGTTAGGCGATGCAAGGCTTTCCAAAACTTGCTGGTGAACCATTTGTCGCGGTCGGAGACGATGCTGAGAGGCAGGCCGTTCTCACAATACCACCCATTGAAGAACAAGTTCGCGATCTCCGGAGCAGTCATGTTCATCCGGCACGGGATGAGTCGAATATCTGCACCGAGCCTATCTGTGATCGTCATGATGGCATCGTATCCGTGCTCGACGGGAAGGGGTCCAATAAAGTCAATCGCGACCGAATCCCCGCGATCGTCGGGCACCGGTAACGGGTGGAGTGGACCTGGAGATTTAGTAGTTTTGCTTTTGTTTCTCGCACAATCTGGGCACGCAGGAATGTAACTTTCTTCCAAGTCCCTCCTCATGTTTGGCCAATAGAACGATTCTCGAAGAGCGGCGTACGATTTGTCAACTCCGCAGTGACCCAGATCGTCATGTGCCAACCGGAAGACGGTTTCGCGAAGGTGAGTGATGCGTGGTATTACGAGCCTGTTATTGATGTAGAGTAGTCCATCGCGTTCTTGCAGTCCTGGAAGGGAGCCTGTCAGTTGAGTGAGTCTTTTGCACCAGTGATCACTTTGGTAGCCGTCTTTGATGTCATTGAGTAGTTTGTTGTCAGAGGTGATGGAAAGGACTATTGCGATGGGTTTTATGTTGTTTCCGATGTTCGACGGCATGTTGATGGTATCGCGAGTGTACGATGGGATGTCGTCCGTGTCTGCTGGCAATCGGGAGAGTGCGTCGGCTACTGTGTTTTGTTCGCCGGGGATGTATTGAATAGTGAAATCATATTGAGCAAGAAATTCTTGCCACCTTGCCTGTCGACGGGACAGCTCTTTTTGAGTCATGAAATTTTCCAAGGTACGATGATCCGTGTAAACAGTGAACGGCGTCCCGAGTAATTCCACGCGCCATTTCTTCAGTGCTCGGACAATTGCTAGGAGCTCTTTTTCGTGTACAGGGTAGTTTAGTTGTGCATCCCGAAGTTGCATGGAGTCGAAAGCTACGGGTCGTGCGGTCGTTTGAGTTGGTCCAAAGCTTAACATTCCACCAGTTCGCCAGTCGCTGGCATCACACGTCACGTAGATGTGGTTGTTACCCAGATCATCGTGGTCGATGGTTGTCAGGCAGTCTCGGCTGACGACGAGTCTTTTTATGCCGTCGAAGGCTTCTTGGTGACGTTTGGTCCATCCCGGCCATTGAAGGTCCACACTTTTCATTGTGAGTGGTGTGAGGATGTGGGTATGGTCCGCAAGATTAGGTAGAAATTGTTCGAGGTATCTGACGAGGCCGAGGTAAGAGCGTACATCATTCGCTGACTTCGGAACAGGCCAGTCGAGGATCCGTTTCACCTTCGATGCGTCTGCTTCGATTCCGGAGGCCGAGATATGATGACCGAGAAAGTCAATTTTTGTGCAGAATAAAGATGTCTTTTTTGGAGAGCAGAATAGACCAGCCTTTCGTAGTGCATCGAGGACGAGTCTCACGTTTTTGACATGTTCCGCGACTGTTTGTGACCATATAATGATGTCGTCCAAGTAAGCGTGACAAATTTTTCCGATGAGGGGACGTAGTGCGATGTACATTCGTCGTTGGTGTGTCGCGGGAGCATTCCTTCCTCCTTGTGGCATAACTGTCCACTCGTGGAGACCTTTCGGTGTGTCGATAGCAGTATATTTAATGTCGTCGGGGTGTACACGTGTTTGAAAGAATGAATTCGTCATGTCTATTTTCCCGAAGATTTTTCCCTTGGCACAGTCTCGTAAGATTTCGTCGATGCGTGGGAGTGGATGGTTATCGGGGATTGTGTTGGCATTGAGCGCTCTGTAGTCATTCACCCAACGAGGTAACGCTGTGGGGTCCTTTTTTGGGATTAGAAAAGCAGGGGAGACGAACGGGCTTGACGAAGGTCGGAGACGGCCTGCTGCGACGTGTTCATCGAGGAGTTGTGTCCAGGCTTCTCTATATTTTCGAGGTGTGTTGTAACGTCTGCATTGGATTATTTTGTTTGGGTCCTTTAGTCGAATTCGGTGAACGACTTCCGTCGGTAGATGGTCGATATGAGGAATATCAGACGGGAATCTGTCCGCATATTGTCGACGGATTTCGGCATCGAGACGCTCGAGTTGCTCTTTGTTCTTTTCGATGAAAGCTAACGAGTCGATTTTCTCACGTAGCACACTAGCAACATGTGGAGAAGTCGAAGTCGTGTGTTTTTCAAGGTCATTGTGACGTGAGGTGAGAACTGATCGAAGTTCACGAATTACATCTTTATGTAGTCGTAACGTGTCTCGGAGTGAAGGAATCGGAGTATGTACATGTTGGATGCGTTTCGGTGGGTTTAGAAGGTCATAGTCGGAATCTTTGTTGGTGCAAGTGCGAAGCTCGTGATCTATAATGAGGCAATTATGTGATAAGAATGGTCCTCCGAGGAGGAGGGGTACAACAAGGTCCGGTGCGATGATTGCACGTATCGTACGTGATTGCCAGTCATGGTCAAGAGAAGAAGGAGACAAGAGGACATATTCGGAAAAAGACAGAGTGGAACTCGAAGAATTAAGAAATGCAGAATTTGCCTTCATCGCGGCATGTAGTTTGCGTCTTCGCAAGCCGAGTTTGTTCACGACATCGTCGTTAATAAGAACTAGATGTGACCCATGGTCAATTAACGCGTCTATGCGCTCAAATGAATTGGAAGAAGGCCCCGTCAAGAGACAAGGCCATGTAAGGTGGGCAGTTTCAAAAGGGGCTACGCACGTGTCATCTTCGGAGTCTGATACATCCTCGAACACGTTGGAGGGCATAACGGCAGCTATGGGAGCGATTGCGGCAACGGTTTTGCTCGGTTTGTCTCCCTTTTGCTTTGCCGCGGTAGCATCAGTCTCCGTCAGCGTTTTGTATGATGAGGCATCAGGTGCGCCATTGGGACACTCCTTGGATCTGTGCGATACGTAGAATCTGCGACATTTAAAACAGCCACTGTGTTCTGCGAGGAGGGTGCGTTCAGCCACTGTGAGAGCTCCGAGACGGGGTGTAGATGTATTTAGAGGCACGCGGGAGGAGGATGATGATGTTTTCGTAGAAGTTTGGTTATAGGATGTCGTGCGTTTGGATTTGTAGAAGTCTTCAGCGAACTTCTTGTGCATGGCGATGTCTTCAAGACGTTTGTCGTCGAGGTGGCGAACCTCTTCGATCCACACCTTGAGTGTAAGTGTCGAGGGTAGTTTCGCTCGGAGTACGGGCGTCGTGAGATCGTCGCACAAGTTTGCTTCTAGCTGGTTTCGCAGCTGCGTGTCGTCAAGGTGGGCAGGGTTACCGTACAAGAGGGCATTTTGATTTTGAAGTTCTAATGCCCACTCGTAGAATGGACGGGAGCATTGTTGTGAGCCCAATACCTTTTTCCGGAGTTTCGTGTCCCAATGTGTTTCGAGCCACGCGTCTTTCAGCGCCGTCATATACTCATCGAAGGTCCCTGTATCTAAGGTATTTCGTTGTGCAAGATACCAGGTATGTAGGCGTGGGTCTAACATCCCAAACGCCACCATTTTAACTTGGTTCTTCTCTTCGATTTCTTTATGCATGAAATACGTGGAGCACGCATTCTCCCAGTCGCGCGCGACTTCGGGGGTGAGTTCACCTGCGAGGAGTTTTGGCGGTTTACTAGGCGCTGGTTGATCTACCATTGCTGTTTTTGTCATGGTGCGGATAAGGTGGGGTATATGCGTTGACTCCGGTTCAGAATCTGAAGAGGAATCGTTAGAGCGCTTTGTTACGGCGGTAGTGGTTATCGGTGATGTATTATTCGAGGACAGGGGTGTTAACGGAGACGGCGGGGGAGATGATGGGTCAAGAGACGGTTGGGGTACCTTCGCGCGTGAGCGCGTGGTCAGGGATCGGGAAACGGTTGGGTTCCTCCGTGTGGAAGACAGGTTGACAGGTCAGGTGGCGGGCGGGGGCCCTATGTTTTGAACGTGGTTGTTATCAACGGTTGTTGTCGATATTAAAAAAAAAGTGGAAGCCCGCCGTGGTGGCGGCGGGAAACACTAAGCAGATCAAACAAGGATTAATAGGACAAGACCGTGGATTTCAGAGCGTGATACAAATGAGCAGATGATAGTAGGTAAGAGACCTAAGTCTGATCTCGATGGCGTGAAACGTAGTGATATAAATGGGGGAACGTTCACGTGATTGTTGATGTTGTAAGCACTCGGCTTACACTAGTCCGTGCTTTCCTTTACTCGGGGGTTTCCGGTCCCTACACCAATGATCAAGGTTCCCAGTCCCGAGATGGCTCATGCTTTTAAGCCCACTGCTACAACTCTGCATCCGCTCTCTGAACAAGTACAGTGGTACCATGATTTACTATCGCACCGATCCAGATATTGTATGCAACCTATGGTAGTCTATATCCGCTCTCTGGGTCGATGTGAAACTCCTGCGACATGCGCGTAGTAGACGCGTTCAAGACTTTAAAATTTTGCTGTAGCGGAAGGTTTGCCGACCTAGCCCCGGGCACTACTTTGGTACAAAGGTCAAGAAAGCCCCTACGCAGCCTGCTACTCCAAGTATACCTTCAACGAGGAAAGTCAAGACTCAAAACGCCCCGTTTCCACCACAAATTCAAATTCAAAATCTGAAATCCCCACTCTGTCCGTGATCTCCTCACCAAAGACACCTTCATCGGGATCTTCGCGCCAGTATCTAACGAATTTTGATAATAGATATTACGAAGGTGGTGTGTCTTCTGTGTATCTTTGGGATCTCGAGATGGCGGATTTGCAGGCGTTGTGTTGCTCAAGAAGGGTGAGTAGTAGCCTACTGATCCATTTATTTTGGACGCTTTAAGATCATTTCTCTAACTTTCTGCACCTTAGCAATGTCACCCACAAGCCCTGAAGGCCTGACGAGCCCTCAGGTTCACGGGACTCGATCCATGTCTTGGAGACTGCAGAGTGCAGAAGGCCAGTGCACTACAAGTTGACATTTACAGTGATGTGGGAGCTCGTGACGACACATAACAATAAGGCCAATGAAAACTCCGTTCTCGGTGAGCCAGAAAAAACGGTTTCTGAGCAAGGATGGAAGTCGTCAGGCGAAATCACCTTAAGTGGAGACAGGTAGGCTGGCTTCCTTGTCTAACCTGATATCGAGCCGTCACACACCTTCACTTCCCGCAGACAGAGCAGGATTGGTTGTTCATCGTCACATATTATGAATACGGGAAAGATGGTCGAAAAATAGAGACTTTCAAGAGGTATGAAATTCTCTTTCGTGAGACATTCATAACCTGATCGTAGCACAGCTATACTGTTTGCTCATATATTGTGATCACATTAAACCATCGGCTCACAACTAAGTGCCGGGCGTGGGCTACAGTTGGAACACAGGTCAAGAAAGCAAGCCCGTTTTTAAATCTGCGGCGGGGGTAGTTGTATAGCGTGCGAGGCGCTCGCCTACATTATCATCGCATGAATGGGTACGATTTGAATTCGATTTCTTGATCTATATATAATATGTCACGTTGCTAGCTTTATGTAGGGTAGGGGCGTGATCTGGATGAGAATGCAAAAAAACGAACAAGTGAAATGGCACAAGTTGACTTTCGAATCTGGACTGTCAATTATGATCTACGTTGTGGGGACTCAACACTTGCATGAATTTCAGATATCCTCCCCAGTACTTACTACGCTATCATTTGAATATTCAATGTCAATGATAATGTTCAACGTCCCCGTACGCATGCACCAATATCAGACCCAAACATTAATATTTACGCCGCGCTGATTTGTCGTACTCCATAATGATTATCCCGGTCCAGGTCTGACTCAATACCTCATTCTGTCTCTTTCAACGTTCTTCGTAACGAATAACTTAAATTTATGTTACGACGAAATATTTGCGAAGACCTGTCTCTCCTTGAAATCCGTCTCGCAACCAAATAAATAAGTACCAGGACGACACTTCAAATCAAGAAAAAAAGCCAATTCTCCTGCTCCCTGCAGGGCACCAGACTATCGTTAACTCCGTTGAGCATCGCCCGTGCTACACGCCACTGCCTGTCGATATTTGCACGCGCTCCTGGAAAGCGATTGAGGTCATGCCGGTTGCTGCATCAGAGTCTGCTACGAGCCGAGCGTGGTATTCTCGAACGCTTAGGATGAGGCGTGGTCCCAGCACAAAGGACTGTATGACTTCCAAAATCTGACCAAAACCAACAAGAATCTGAGTGTCCAGGGAAAATTGGTCCTATAGAAATGATGAACCGCGGTCGCATGCAGAGGTCAGCAAAAGATTGACATACCGTCAAGAGAGTTGGATACCAATCAGCAATGAGGTTGAAGCAAGATGCAGCAAAAAAGCTAGCGCATTCAATCATTCAGCGGAAAAGGGCACCACATTCACAATATGAGCTCACCTTGCAAAGTAAAGCACGTGGGATTTGATCAACACTGTGAAACAGTCCCCAATAATCCCTCCTGCCGAATACTGTCGCAGTTCACGGAAGTGTTGTACAGCAACCCAGACTGCGAGACACAGTGCGAGGACCTCCCAGACAGCGCCAAATATCCAAGCAATGGAATTCAGAAGTGAGAAATTGTCTGGATAGCTAATCGTGCACACATAGGTGCCAGAGAGAATGAGTTCCTCTGGTATTCATCAATGAGCGCCATGCACGGTTTTCATTCACAATTTGTACCTCCTGAAGCATGCCTTGTTATTATTGCATTGGCCATTACGTCGAAAATGTTGACAGCCAAACACATGACGACGAGAAAGATCAGGATCCTTTTGGATCGTTGATACATGGCATGTAACCGAGCGATCATGATGACTGCAACATGTTTCGGTCATGTCAATATCATAGGTCTTGTAACTGGACAACTTACAACACGCTATTAGAAATGCCATAACACTCGTCCAACTATATACGAGGTAAAGAACCCGGCCTGAGCAATCCGGTGAGTGATGGGCCTTGGGTGGATCACGGACTAGAAACAGACTCACATCTGTAGCAGTCATGATTGTAAACGAGGAACCTGGTCAAGAATGACACTCACCCCTACAGGGTGTCGCGATTGATTGAATGGCAATAGCAGGCATCGGTGCAGAACACTCACTGCATCTGTCAACAAAATCGTCGGAACATTGTCTGTATGCCACTGGTCAGAAAAAACAACCACCGTGAATGCGAGAAGACATACCCAGTATGTTCATGCTGAGTGAGAGAGATGGTTGATTAGCACAACACCAATTGTCAAGCCTTCTGAACATACACAGTGTAAAAAATTCCAATATAGCGCAACTAGGATATGTTCAAGTCAGCACAACTTCACAACAGGCAAGGTACATACAGTCAGATAGAGAATGGTCATCAGGGACCAACGTTGTCTCTGTCGCTGATCAATATTATTTTTCTGATGTGGAACTGTGCTCACCCAGACCAGTTCGACCTACAACAAATCTTAGCGAGATGGCTGCTGCGGTCATAGCATCAACATACCTCTTGTCCGAATGTAAGGGCTGGAGATACTTGTAGGAAATCAGGAATTCTCTAATGTTATCATGCTCACCCCAATCATACACCACTCCAACACCAGCAGCAACTGGAAAACCACAATCAAGGTCAGATCGAGACATCAGCGCCGAACCCTGACTGCTCTTCACGAACCTAAAAAATAGCTGCCAATACACCAAGAGTTGATGAGTGGCCAATAACTAGGGTCGTCTGAGACTAGGGTCATACTGTTAGAGGATGGATGTGAAGAAGAGCGGGACTTGGTGTACGTATGACGATGACATTTTTGCTAGATATACTACCATCCAGCGCTTATATGGCCGAAATGAGCCTATCATCAAAGGGGTTGTATCCGTTCCTGCCTCGATTGACCGAAGGAAGTTTTTCCGGATATCAGTAGGCGTAGGTCGCAAAATTGAAAAGAAGGGACTCGCACATGGCGCGACACGTTGAAACACTGCAAAGATCGGGACAAGAAGCCACTCGTTCCGGTGTCTACCACAGCATCGACAACTTTAGATTAAGCATTCACTTCCATCATAAAGCCGCTGGGAATCGCTGCAGATGGTTGGGGCGCATACAAAGATATATTTAGTCCACATGAGTACCAGAATGCGAAGAAATACGCACTGGAAGGATTGCAGTAAGTCGGTAGGTTGAAGGCTTCACTCACATGGCTGCTGAAGCGCTGACGGACAAAGCGTATCATATCTTTGATGTACTTTACTCAAATCCTAACTGCAACCGAGAAACACTGCATAACCGTGGACGGCGGCATACCTTGCATAGCCGCATAGCCGCATACCCGAAGGATACTGATAGCACAGTGAGACTGAATGGTGTTGGACGCAAATGACTAGGATATGAATTCACTCTGGAAGCGCATGCTTTTGGCCTTGTGTAGTACTGTGAATGAATTGATGTTAGCGTTAACTTGAGCTTGAGCTAGTCTTTGACTAAACTCGTGGTACAAAGATCTGTACCGTGGGAACACATCCATCATGCAGACCAACGGCTCAACATCCGGGACTACACTGACACCACAGAACTCCGATCGCGACGAAAAATCAATTAATCAAGACCGGAGAATGCAGAGAATGCGGAGAGGCTGACTCGAGGAATGCTGTTGAGTACACTTTGAACCGACTTTGATTCTCTCCTCCGAGTCACTAAATTGAATCGTTTGGTAGTGACTGACTCTGAAAAATTCAATGCTGCAGGCACTCTGACAATAGCAAATTCCCACGGGTGACAATACTTGTGCATGTTGAACCTGGGTCCTGTACGATATCGTACGTCGTTCGGTGAGTTCCGAGGACTTGCTCATGGGTTGATACAGATTTGAACAAAGCTCCTTGAACCCCGTTCTACCAATATGCACGTCGGCGCGAATTCATTACTCAAACATGCCGGATTTGTATCTGCATCCCGTACAGCACTACACAGCAAGACGGTTGGATGCACCCGGGGTTAGCCTACAATAGTTGTAAACAGTACAATGTCAGACTGAAACAGATTTTAAAAAGGACCAGTGCGCCTCCGTATTATTGAATCTGAAGTGCGACGTTTGCTGTGACACTCAAGCTCGTTTACCACGGTGTTTGTCCCACGGGCAATGTAGTTTGGACCTGAGGACATTTTCAACTTTAACCGCTGGTTGCAATGTTATTTTTATCCGGGGGACGAGGGTGATTGAACCTGATTACCAGTAGTTCCAGAACATGAGGGTCAACTCGCTATGTACTAGGAAATTAAACGGTTATAGAACTGATGTAAGCCCTGGAGGAGCCTGTCCCATCCATCTCACCAAACCTTTGCTCAGGAGGATTAATGCTAATTACTAAACGGTATTGATCTTCAAACTGAGATTGGCGCAGTACTGGTCACCAGTTAGCGTTGATCTTCAATCCGAGGTTTGCGCAGTACTAGCCACCAATTAGTGTTGATCTTCAATCCGAGGTTGGTGTAGTACTGATCACCAATTAGCATTGATCTTCAATCCGAGATTGGCGCAGTATCGGTCGTCAATTAGCGTTGATCTTCAATCCGAGATTTGCACAGTACTGGTCACCATTCAGTGTTGATCTTCAATCTGAGATTTGCACAGTACTAGTTGAGTTGTCTTAAGAGCCTCAGGTGAATATCGTTCCTCGTCGACTAAGCTAGCTTTGGAATTATGGGGGATTTATATTAAAGAAACTAGCTATAGGGTGTTGAAATTTCGAGTCAGAATTCTAATGAACGTGCTGGGCCTATGTACAGGTGTTGGCTCCCTCAAACGAGCCTCAAAATGTCCTCCATACTTCCTAGGGCCTTCTGCTTCAGGGAAGCAGCAGAAGATCCGTGTGCCCTGTAAGCCTCTGGAACAATGACATCAATCATGAACGGATTTTGGACGACTGGCCTCTGGTAGCGGTGGGTATCGAGCTCGATGGTTTGGTTGATGTATCTATTAGAGGCTAGGTCAGCTCGATGCGCAGCCAGACAGTGGGACAAACATACGAAGACCAGCCTGTTGTCCCCCACGAGTCTCCCCACTGCTTCTGTCGTGCCTCAAACCACATTTCGACTTTGGACCAGAAGTCCTCGCCTTTGACAATGCGCCCGCCTTGACCACGCTTGCGCTTCTTCTTGGCTGGTTCTCCGATGGGTGAGTCTTCGCCATTGTCCTCTGCACTCGGTGTTGTGGGACTTTCATCTTCTTCCTCTGCCCGGTCAAGCAAATAAGGGTTTTCGTATGCAAAACGGCGCTGAAATTTGAATCAGCGAGAAAATTTGGCAGTCATAAAATAGAGAAAGACTGTACTAAAATGGCCAAACGGGCACGGGTTGCATGTCCAAGGTCTGAATTTCCACCTGCCCGACGGAAACGATTCGAACTATCATAAATAAAGTCTGATAGTGTGCTTGTGTTATCGCCGATGACACTGTCACGTAGCTGCAATAAGGTAATCAGTTTGAGAACGAAAACAAACATCAATCACTGGTGCGCACCAACTCGCGAAACGAATTACGGATACTAGAACACTGACGTTTGATATAGATGGTCAGGAAACGTTCCCTAGCTGGGTTTCCATAGATATTTGTGAGTTTAAAGGCCTCGCGATCTTCACGTAGATGATCCTGTGGGATTAGAAAATAAGCATATAGCACTATCTAATGACTCCGGACTTACCGCCACATCAAAGTGCAGTGACATGAAAGTTATTCTATTAGGATCAAAAATGAGATCACATCCCACAATCCGTATGTTTGTCTATATGCTTCAGACAGCTGATAGATGACGGTGCACACAAAAGACTTACTCGTTGCTCCGGACTAAGCGAAAATGTGGCTTCCAGCCGGATTTGTAAGTCTGCGAGAAGTGTTTGCGTTGACTGGTGAGAGGCAGCAATCATGCGTTGCTCCTTGAGAATGCAGAATATACTGCCGAGGAGATAAGTTCTAGTTGCAAGGTCAGATTTGCTCAATCCATGACCGAGCTGCGCAAAAAATCTCAGTGCGTGGATGAAAAATCAAACCATTGACGTACCTTAGCAAAACCATGTAGGTTTTTCCGTAAGTCCTGTTCTGCGTCGCCAAGGCCAAATTGGTTGGCAAGTGTGTCCACAAAGAGGGCAGACAATTCGTCTACAAAGAGATTTGGGTCAATTTGTGGTTGACGTGAACTTGAAGGCGGGGATTCAGAAGTGCGTTGGTAGCCAGTAGGGCTCATCAGCAAACTTGAATTCAAAGGAGTTCCTGGCTCGGAACGGTCGGGTGAACCAGATAATTGGAATGATGATAATGCCCGTGGCTGGGAACCAGCAGGTGGGATAGAGAAGTCGAAGGACATATTTGCAGACTGGGACGGTGAAAAGAATGAATGACTTGGACTTTGCGAGTCGCTGGAAACTGCTCTACTAATGAGATGTAATGCTTGTTAACATATTTATACGAAAACCTGACTTACATTAGTGGGTTCTGTGCAGGATCAATGACGGCCTCAAGGCATATCTTCAGTTTCCTATTACTTGTAATAAGGATCATGTTTGGTGGTAGCCGGCACAGGAAGGATGACCTCAAGGTATAATTTCGGTTTCGTGGTTGTAATAAGGACCATGTTTGATGGTGGTGGGCGCTGTTATAATGATGGCCTTGAGGCATAAGAGTTCCAGTTTTGAGTCACTGTTGGATGGTATTAATCTGGTGGGCTGCAGCCAAACGGCAACACCGCATAGCAGCAAGTATTGGTAATCAACTAAGATCAAAACGTCTCGAGGCGGCACAGCAGATGATAATATTATTATCGAGGTGGGATACTATAGCTAGTAGCAGATGATATGTAGAATGGGATATCAATATTAAATATACTAGTAGCAGATGATATGTAGAATGGGATAATATTGCGTTACTGGACTTGTAATACAGACCGGTGTTGCTGCAGCGATCTATTAACTTGTAGGCCTCGACCCCGTCCACGTGGTCCATGTGCTGCCGCCGTAGATGTCACGGAAGCTCCACTTGTGGTATTGTTACGTGTCCGAATCTCCCTGGCAGCACCCTCGAGGATTGCAAGGTTCATATCGGGTGGCTGAACAGGTACCCGAAGGCCCTGCATGTGTTTTGCGTCTCGCATCCGTGCGGTGTTGAGAACGAGGTCATCAGGATCCCCGATATGACGTATCACGGCCTTAGCTTTCGACGTCTTCGCTCGTTCTTCATAAACAAACTCAATATCAGAAGGCGAGCTTGTGCAGTTGTGCGCTTGGCACTGATGCTGCAGATTTGCTGCGCATAAAATTTGCTTTCACGGAAACAGAAATTTAGTGATTGACAACATGTACAGATAAACCACGAACCTCAACAGGATAGAGCAAGAAACCGCCGTGTGCCCTGACTGCGGGCATAGAGTAGGACACCGCTGGTTCACCAACACTTCCGCGTTCCAGAAGAATCGCATCTGGACGCAGAAGTTTATCTGCGTCCGAGCCTTGGCGCTGGATGATTTCGCGAATGCACGCCACAATCGGAGACTCCTCTGCTGTGCCCTTAGCTGCAATGACCCAGTCTCCTATCTTGCAAATGTCCCCGTTGAAAAGTACCACGGACTTGCAGGTACGAAAATTATGTCCTCTGAGAATGTCATTTGGAAGGGACCGGAGTGCGTTTGGGAATAATTTCCCTGTCTCGGTAGTGGAGTATGGTTGGAGTGGTAGGTTGCTACGAAGGCATTGACCTAAAGGTACTTAGTATTATATTTCTCAAAGCCGGAACTCGTGTAAAATCAAACTTTACCGTATTTCGTGGTGTCAGCCTGTGTATCAAGTCCGAGGTAGTCCGTGATGATATTCGGCCGTTGAACGAGTGACAATGGACCCTTTCCGACAACTTGAACATTTATAGCATCCGGCGGCTTGTCTGACAAGGGATTAGAGACCTGCAGAGTAAGATCGGGAGAATCAGAGTGGATATCGTTAGTATTATCGTGTATCAGTATTCGTGCGCCCGAGAGAATATGACGAATCCGACTCCCATGGGCAAAAGAACGCGCGATATCTCGAGAAGGAGCACGGTGGTTCGAATGGATGCTTTTTGCGCGGATGACAGCATTGAAGGACTCAAATGCCTCTGTTGCAAATAAAGCGGCTGGCCCGAATCGTTGAATGTGGTCAACAACATGCAATAGAATATGGAATTTAGGTTTATTGAACCATCGAGGAGTCCACCTGGCAGTGCACGCAAGGAAGTTATTGATTGATGTCGTGAGATTGCGCTGAGACGATAATGATCGAATAATATCAATATCAGCAAATCAAACCGAAAAGTACTGTGCTACATACCAAGTGTTCCGTGGAGTTTTCGATTTCAGGCTGCCAGATGAGTGGTATCAGGTTCGATAATGCGACCCAAGTATCATAGCATTCCGTGGGTACCAAGTCGTGAAGCACAAAGGGTGCAACCTGCGCAATGGCACGAAAATCACGACCAACAAGAGACCCTGCATATTGAACGAGGGTGTGACCGGCAAGATGGCTGAGTCCAAGACCCGAGACGTCGACAGATGATAGGCGAGTTTCTAAAAGCTCGCGCTTCAACTTGTCTTTTCCGATCCTTACAGAGACCACATCACGCCAAAGGTATTTGACGAATCCAAGAAGGACCGTGTGGAGGATTTCCACGGGTGTGTCAGCGTGAGGATCGATACCTGGGATATTGTCGAAGTCAATCCCACGCTGTGAAAATAGTTGAGATACCTTTTATTCGCCAAACGGGACTTGTGACGTTTTCGGGCAGCGTCTCTTTGACTCTATCGAGCGCTTCCTGTTTCGCCTTACCACCCCGAATTTTGCAGTGTGATTCAGCTAGGCGATTCAAGAATGAGTCCAGAAAGGTGTCCTTGATGCCCGTGGAAGTCTTCCACTGCTTGATCTGGGTCTGATTCCCAACTGTCGATGCATGACTGAACATTGACTTGAGTTCAGAAACGGTTTCATTCTTGTGACGTGGTTCTCCTATCTGGTACCATGCTTCGTAAACAAAATTATATTCAAGACTGCGCAGATTTGTTACCTTTACAAACCGCTTAACCCGTGTTACCATCTCCTCCATGGTCTCCTTTGCTCGTTTCCGTGTAGATTTCAGAGGAGCATCAGTATGGGCTTCGGGCTCACTTCCACTAACCTCACCAACACTGTGGTCGGTATCATCAGGCTGTGCAGCAGCTGCTCGTGCAGGATTGCTCTCCGCACTTGCATCGTGCCCCTTCACTTTACACATACGGCAAAAGTATTTTCCCATCGACCCAATATGACAGGCCATCTCACTTTGCATGGGGTTGTCCCCAAGCAAAGCTAAGACAGACGGAATGACAAGAATGTACTCCTCGTGGACACAGTCCCAGGCCCAGATGCCTTGCTTCCATGATTCTCTAAATTGTACCAGCATCATTATTTCTACTCGCCTGCTTGTGACAAATCTCACTCACTCGAGTTGGTCTACAATACCATCCAACATTTCAAGCGGAGGGGCAAGATTTGATGTACAAAGAAAATGGACGTTGTACTCGTGGTGGACTTCTGCACGCGGCAATCCTGCAGCGGTAAAAAGAAAAGAGTTGTGTTTGTTCCACTTCTTCGACAAGTTTCCAGATGTGTCGTCACAGTATAACCAGAGAGGCATCGCATAGACACGAGCGCCCGATGCCCGAACACGCCATTTGTTGCCTTCGGAAGGATTGGTTAATGTCCATGGCTGCAATTCGCCGTTTGGTTCACGTTCAACACCTAAACAGATGTTTGTAAGTGTAATTGTCAAAGTGATAAATGATTCTACCATAGATTGAGTGTGCGCGAGGTAGACCAGATGTTGCTTCGCTCGAATCCCAGTTTTTGAATGATACAAGAAGGTCATCTTCTGATACTTCGAATGAACGAAAATCTTCTACAACCCAACCACAGTCCAGTTCATGGGTGACGGGCCGCAATGACCAAGCTTTAGTGTACATCTTCCCACCACGTGTGAACCAGCGAAATGGAATGCAAGCTCGGCCGCTCAATAACAGTGCAGGCTCGAAAACAAAGAAATCTTGGTTGTGCAGTCTGGCGACAGGCGTAAGCAGCTCCGGGTCGAGTTCCTCAAGCCAACGTTTAGCTTGTCGAGCTTCATTCAGTTCCATGCCAGTATCTTCAGGGTAGAAGTGTAACAGTGGGCGAACTCGAGGATTCATCATTTCCTTCAAACACGACTAAGTGTAAAATATTAATTACAAAACATAACACACCTGCCGAATAATGTCAGGCAGCGAGTTAACATAGTACTTATGTCCAAGAGCACCATCATAAGGGATTGAGCGGATACCACATAACCGTTGAATAGTGTCTTTGATGAGTTTGACAGACTTCACCGAAGGTACATCGTCTACATTGTTGACCCGAAGTAGCCAGAGCAAAATGTCAATCTGTCGTTCTGAAAAAACAGAGCGCGGAAGGTGCATGAGAATATCAAGCGTGCACGTCTAATACAAAACCATTGGATCAACAACAGTTGGCAGGTTGATACTAGAAGACCTTACAATTTTATCGGGCCACGGAAACCACTCCTCATTCACGATTTGATGTCGAGAACGTGTTCTATTATGACCGCCGGTTCCAATAGCAGTCTCACTAGCCTGGCTGCCATCTGCTCGAAATGTGAGAGTGAGCTGCATACTGTGTAGTTAGAGTAACATACCGTCACGAAATGCCCGCCCCATAAAAACCTCTTCATCTTCCGATATTTCAGCTCCCTGATCATCCGAGAGGTCAACTTCATCTAAAAAATCACTTAAACCTTGCGCAATCATTGCCGTCGTGATCGAGTAGTTGCTAATGTTGTCTGCTGAGTCGTCGCCCAGCTCAAAATCGGGAGTGCCAGCCATGTCATCGAGAAGACCACGTAGCTCGACAATGGAGTTGGATGAGCTGTTCCTGCGGTGCTGCTGTTTTCTCGCATGGTGTTTGACTGCATTTTGATGAGACTGGGTCTTCTCGTGCTTCTGAACTGCCCGCCGATCATGGGGTTTATTGTCCTGACAAAGGTTGCAGACCCATTTGTTCCCCTTATCAGCAGGCGTCCAAACTGGCAAAAATTAGATCCTGGAGTTGCTAGCTTATCTGAATCGCTTCGTACCATCAAGATCAGGCATAGTAAATTGAGCAATGGGCCTGTTGATAAAGTGACTATTATACCGAGGATAAGCAGAACAACGGCGTCAGGATATCTGTAAGATGCCCCATGTATATAGTACTTACAATGCGGAACTATAGAACAATATTGTCCCCAGTATATTCTGCTTTTGACCGCAGTGAGATGACTAAACGAGCCTGTTGATCCAACGATTATTGTGCCGACAATGTGTAGAGACTGACGAAGGATAATTCAAGGACGCCCTGCGCAGATAGTGCCTATGGGGTGCAGCCCTTGTTTGGCGTTGTTCCCAGGATAAATTGTCTATGGCTGACAGACCAAACAGTTTGAGCCTCAGTTTAAACTCGCGATGAACCTGAGGTAATCCGCTCGGTAGCTGACGGACAACTCAACATTAGCACTTCGTTCTCGTTTATGCTTAACTGACGGATCTTGTCCTATCTCAGTACTCCGTCTCTATTCAAAAAAGTACAGCATACAAATTATATATATATAATGAGTACTAAAAGGACCGGCTTAACCACAGGTTCAACTAACTTCTTACCGTGTACAATGTTGGTCGAGACACCTGTCCATGCGATACTATGGACTTCGGTGCAGTTTTCAAAGTGACCCGGCACTTGTTACAAGATAGCTTCCTCTCCTGTGTAAGCTTCCCCACTCACTCTGGATCTCATCCTCCAACCCACATATTCCTTCAGTAATCAGACCACGTCTTTCAACAACTCAAAGTCCTCTTCTTTCTTCTGCTCCACGCACTCCTTCTCGTAGCCCATTCACGTCACATATTTTCATTTCGCCCCCGTCTCCAAATAAGAACAATTGTGACTCATTGAATTGTTCAAACCACGACTTCGACAACCTTAGCGTAAAGTGGAAGGGAGATCAAATGAGGCTACTTGGCAGGGTGCGTAGAATTTCGGGTTTCGTCAAGCGATTGACCAAAAATGCGAGATAGACCCTGGATGTGCTACCTTCTCCTCATCTAATCTTGCCTTTCAACAGCTCAATTCCACCTCCGGACCTTCTCAACAAGATTGCACGCGGTATCACTGTTGCCAGAGGCCCAAATGACTGGTCCCAATCTGTGACCACGACACATGCTAAGATTTCATGACAATCGCAAAGGCTGATTATAAGGAGAGGATTGTTCAGTACATCTTCCCTTCCCTACCACCTGCTTGTCTTACTATCTCTTTTCACAGCCTTTCGCACAATTCACAACAATACAAACACGCTTTCCACCACCCGTGCCTGTGTCCTGCTGACTGGTGTCTTCCACAGAACAGTTACTTACTCCCTCCACTCGCAGTTCATTGACGCTCAATGCCTCGCAGATAAACACTCGCAAGCCCACCCCGTCCTAGAATTCCAACTCCACCTTTGTCACTTCCGTTTCTGCATCCGTTCTCTCTGCGCAGGTCATTTAATTTGACTCTCGCAAGTTCTTGCGATATGTGCGTGGACGCGGACGGTGGCAGTGAGAATTTGTTTAAGACTTCAGAATTCCGCCGTAGCGTAGGTACGCCCACCTATTCCTAGGCGCTACCAATGGTGCAGTGACTGCATTGTATGGACCAGTGAACGGAACAAGAATCAGCCAGGCTCAAGATCCAGTCAACCAGTACTTGCTGAAACCGCAACTTTAAACATGATAAGTATATGATGCATTGAGTCTTCGTTTTTCCGAACTTCTCGCTGTTGTGTAACAGTATGTGTCTTTCGGCATTTCAAAATTCAGGTGTTCGTTTTCCCTACTGCAAACTTACCTCTGGTCAATTCATGGACCGTACGAAAGCTCCCGATACAGAGCCCTTCAAATCATGGAACTTTCCGCCACCTGGATGCTCTTCGATTTCCCAGAGTACGACCACTACCTGGAGCACACTCCCAAGCACCTCCCAAATTTCGAAATCTTTCGCACAGGCCCTATCATCGACGCTATAGTCAAATTTATTGAGGACGTCTTGGCCGCATCCACGCAATCGATTTCAAAGTCCTACTACGTGCAGGAGGCGCTCTCTGCCACCCAGCTCCAAACCTACATGGGGATATTCACCCTCCCTGTCTCGAAGTCGCCATCACGTCCATAACCTGACATCAGAAGATTTTCGACTTCTAGCCCCACTCAATTACATTTTATTTCGCCCATTTTATTTTCCTGTAAATGAGTGTATATCGCCGTGGGGAACAACCAGACGACTAAATAATTAAAATAATATGTTGGACCTGCTGGATATCTGTCGTCGCGGAGTTTCATTCACTGCGAGCACATCAAACATCGCATACATACATCATGGCACGTCTACGACGTCTCGGACGCAAGTCACTGAAGTATCATCAATCAGCAGCACAACAGCTCGAAGTCCTTGCAATTGCACAGCTGGCAACTGCAGAAGATGGTGATGACGAAATTCTCGGTCTCACTCTAGCAGCCCTTGCAGCAGACCATAGACGGAAATCACGAAGCAAGAAATATGGCATCCGTGGAGAATACAACCAACCTAAGTCTGAGGACTTCTTCAATATTCTGCTTGGACAGGCTAGTGAAAGGCAGTTTAAAGCCTGGTTTCGGTAACGCAATTTTTTGCTGATTTGTTCTCGAAGACTGACTACCAATAGAATGCGAAGGGAATCCTTCTGGCATGTCCACAACTTGATATGCGCTGACCCGATTTTTGTTAGCACTTGCAACCGCCCTCAGCGCCCTGTTTACTACCAACTGGCAACATTCTTGTGTCGTCTGGGTGCCGAGAGCGGACTCAAAACTGCTGGTGTCATGTCCATTGCCGAGGGCTCAGTGTATGTCTATTGCTATCGAGTTTGTCGGGCAATTCGGAATATCCGAAGTGCTCATTTAGCTTGGCCAGGAGAGCAACGGAGGCAGTTTCTCTCTGGCGAAATGGCTGAGTGGGGTTTTCCTGGTTGTATTGGAATCGCCGACGGTAGTTATATTCGTCTCGAAAATAAACCAACAGAGAATGGGTTTGCATATTGGTGCCGCAAGAAATTTTATGCAGTATGTCTCTGTGCTTTAATACTGCTGAATATTTAAACTACCAAATGCTAGATCATCGTACAGGCAACCTGTGACCATCGGGCAATTTTCACGTCGTATGATTTTGGATGGCCAGGATCAGTTCAGGATAGTCGGGTGTTCAAAAATTCGCATTTATGGAGGCGAAAGGCAGCCTACTTCCAGCAACATGAATATATACTAGTCGACAAAGGTACATTGCTCAGAAACTTGTATTGTCATGTGCTAACCTGAGATCTTGTAGGCTACCCGTTGACAATGTACTCGATACGTCCTTTCAACGAATTTGATCTTACCAACGATGCTGATGAGGCGAGGCGACGGCGGGATTGGAATAGGAAGTTATCTTCACTTCGGATATTTGTTGAACATGCTTTCGGGCGCTTGAAAGGCCGTTTACCGCTCCTCCGTGGCATGAGTGGAATTGACTTGCCAGACATCTTCCGAATGGTTGAAGCAGCAATGATTCTTCATAATATACTGGAGGAAAATGGTGATGACCCAACGACTATCAAGGGATTTAATGGCACGGAGGATCATGGTGTACATGAAGTTCGAGGCGAAGGTCCAGTGCAGATGACAGGGGCAAATGCTAACGAGGATGATTTATATCGTCTAGGTCTTTTACGTCGCAAGAATCTCGTAGACTACTCTATGAACTAGTGTCCTCTGCTGTCAGTCGCTCTGCCATTTTTTGGCCACGAGCTTGTATCAGAGGGTTTGGATGATTCAAAAATTCACTAGCCTGTTGCCACTCCTCCTGCTGTGCCTTGCGTCGTGCCTCTTCTCTCGTCACTCGAATGTCAGCCTGACGTTGCTCATACTCCTCCTGCTCACGCTTCTCACGCTTCAACGTGACCTCCATGTTGAGTTTGGCAACCTCTAGATTAGTTTCGTCGACTTTTGCCTGCCGTCTATGACGCTCGCCCATAGTTCCCATCATGTCGCGAAGAAGTGTGCTGGTATCGGAAGTGTCATTGGCCTCAAATGATGCTGACTTATGCATTCGTTTTTTCGGTGGAGTCTCATCATCTGAGATAGACTCGCTCGAGTTGATGTCGTGGCTGCGAACCACTGTAGTATCATTACGAGCACTGATGAACTATCAGGAGCCTCTCCCAATAATAAATGATAATTACTCACACAGCGTCAATGGCTCTGAAAATTTCACTAGCTTCAAACTCGTCCAGTACCTTCTTCGACACTTTTTTCTTTGATGTGCGTTTTCGCTTCATCCCATCTAGTGCAACATCATCTTCGACAATATTCCCGCACTCACTGTCAAGCTCATCTCCCTCTCCATCTTCATCTCCATCACCTCCAATAGTGTGCTCTTGGCGCTCTCGCACAGCCTTGTACTTTGGCCAAGCTTGGTTGTGCCAGAAGTTACGAATTTGAGCATGGTCGACTCGGCCTTTTAGCAAGACACATGCTATCTGCATGGTTTCGGACCTTTCGGTAAGCAAGCACACTCGGACTCGAACAAATTTCACACTTACATATGTGAAGGTTGTGGTCTGTGTCAGCTTGAATGTTGGCCACACTTCTGGAGAGGTAATATACGTCACGGCTTTCAGTTTATCTTCATCCGAAAACGCTCTCCCTGAAGTTGCACCTTCCAGCTTCACGGGTGTCACCTGATGCTGTGGTAGTTATGCATGATATTACTGTTACTGTAGTTCAGACCTCATGCATGTTCTACTGCTATCCTAGTATGTAATTCATGCATGGTGTACACATAATCTTGCTGTATTATATGAGTCCCTGCCTTAAGTAGGTCGTGCATGATGACCGCAGTCATGCATGGCAATTGGTGCATATATCAGTCACGGCCATGCATGATCTAATCTATACATGTGTCGGTTTGGATTCGTACCTGGTGGCGCGCCACGGTGGCAATCCCGCCCCTCCTGCTCACTGTGCACGACGGCGAGCATATCATTCTCGCTTGTTTTTGGGGCATTTTGTTGCGGACTTTTTGTTCTATGAAGAGAATTGTTAAAAGAACAACTTCATTGGTTGATATGCACAGTGTTACAAAGATAGAGTGTAAATAAAAGCTACAAATATCAAAAAATATGTGCTGGGGCGTGTACAATTGAGGGTGTTCTGTCAGTGGGAGAATCGGACATGGAGTGAACGGGAGGTCAGTTCACCAAGTCGTGGCGCTGTCGCCGACTCTACGACCAATTTGCCTGCCAGTCCAATAAATTGATGACCTGCTATTGTCCCTCCTTCAGAAAGTCGACCGCTTCTTCCCATCTCGTCGCGCGAGCCTTGCACAGTTCCAAACAAAGCACTAACGAGAGGGTATAAATCAAAGCGGCTTCAAGAAAATAAGTAGAACTTGACCTATGGATGGGCAAGAGCTGCTGCAGGAACTACGCGGCCCTGTTTGAGTACCGCTGTGAATGTTCCATGACACCTTTGGCTGTGCTTGCTGTGAGAGCCTGCCAAATGGGATGTCGTTTCAAAGGTGGAAAACATCAGATGTAGCGAGCGCCGAGACAACAGGAGATTGCAGGAAGAACAGTGAGACGATGGCGTGTAGTACTGCATGCCTGCCTATGCCTGCAACTCCAGGTAAAACACTTCAACAGCATATAAAAACGCACCTATGTCATAAAGCGGGGCCAACCAGACATCGTGAACCATCCCAACTTCCCATCCCTCTCCATCAGCGTCTGTGCTAATAATCTCCCGGTTGCTCACCTCGTCATAGAAGCTGTGGAAGAGGGCAGACCAAGGCTTTAGTTTGTTTGTTGTGCGCTGCGTGATCACGTGAGATGTTGAACCATTGTAAGCCGCAGCCAATCATGATGCAAATAAAAATCCTAAGAAAGCTTGGAAACGAGAAAACACAATGATTTGTTGAGTTCCTGACATATTAGAGGTCCCACTGTTATTCACCGAGTTTACAGCTTTTGATACACCCCACACGCACCTTAGACGAGTGTACAACAGCACTTACAAAATATAAATTGAGTCATCCGAGTTAATTGTACTAAGTAGTACATGTAAGCACATGTATCAGTAGTGAGTCGCGCGACTGTTTACCTATCGGATGGGTCAGGGGTACCTCGCAAGAACAATTCATATTATAATATTCACAAGTCCAGTGAACTCGAGACCTGAATGTACTGAGTGTTTTTGTCTGCGAGACACCATGTAGGTAGTGCACAATATCATATGTTGTCTGACTGGCTCATGTTCTTGGGAGATTTATCAAAATATCATAATAACTTTAGAGCATCTCAAATTGCGGCCACTACTAAGTTCAGGTAGAATAAAACAAATCAATTTGCGTGAATTTGAACCACTCCCATTCACAATACAAAGATAAACATGGGACTAAAGTCTAAGAGTGTGACAGCATGGTAGCAGGCAGGCGCGAGAGCATGGAGACGGTGCGAGAAGCCATAATAAGGTGTAGGTATGGTACCGGAGTATGTACAGGGCGGAACTAACAGCGGGGTGGCAGAATGTACAAGTGCCAGTGAGTGTGAGAGATGGGCAGAGTGGTATGACCGTAGGGTTCGGAAGAGTGGAGCGAGCATAGAATATCATTAGCATGGTTCCGGACAATACATATATTTAAGACCTACCATTCAGCATAGAGTCATCAGTATCGATTGGAGTACTCCCAGTGGCGGAGAAGTGGGCATTGTGAAACTAGCATTTTTTCAATGCTTCATGCAGTGGGTGCAGCGTGAGTGCGGCAGCAGGTCAGCCTGGGAGGGCAGCAACAGGATATAGCAGGATAGCAACAGCAAGTGTGGGATGGTAAGCGAAGGGGCGGGAATAAAGCCTGAGACCTGGCCGCCAGAGTGATGAGTATTGAGCAGCGAGCATTGCCAAGACACCAGACTAATGGCAAGCGGAGAGCAGTAGTATACAAAGGCTTAGAATGCAAGAATAAACGCCGAAAGAGATGCTGAGATGCTGCATATACAAATGAATCCAGGGCGGGTGGTTGACGTGACGGCGGGATGCAAAGGCGGAATACAGCGCTGCGCAGGTATGCCGAACGACGCGCAGCGCTGTTCAAATTGAGTAATGTGATAAACATGGCACGCACCGCGTCATGCATGGTATCAGTATGTAGCGTGCATGATTGGCGCTTCACATTTGTGTTTCACGCCATGCATGGTAGCGTGCATGTTCTATCTGTGATCCTACTAAGGGCTCGCTACAGTACAAACATGCATGACTACAGTACTACAATCCTAGTTATATCATGCATAAATAGGACAGTATAGCCTGCGGGTGTCTCTACAGGTGCAGCTCCAAGTCCCTCTGGCTCAAGCTTAAGACCTGCCCGACCGAGCTGGCTCTCGGCGAGCTTTGAGATCTCATCGTCCGAGTTACCAGAGGTCCGTCTGTTCCCTTCGCCGGATTTACTTCCTGTCCCTCTCATTGACTTTGGCTTTGGAACAGGAGTAGCACTACCCAGAGTCTTCGGAGCAGCTCGTGCTCGAATGCGTCGCACAGGTGTTTTTGCGGGTGTCACCATTGGCATAGTGGGAGCTTCAGGTATGTCATTCTCCCCATCTCCGGAGGAGAGGATATGACCCTGATCTGAAAAATTTGATGGTAGGCTGAAAATCGTGTGGCTGTGGTTGTTCCATCGATGGTCGTGGTTTTGTGAGGTGCCATTTTGTGATGGGATGAATGAGAGGCCCTCGGGACACATTTTTCGAGGTGATCGACGAAGCCCAGATGTTGGATCGGTGTAGAAATGTGGTTGACGTGCAGGGGTGCTGGGACAAGACATGGGGTGAGTGTCAGCCTGCTGGATGTGCCTTCCGTGATACTGATTTGATGAAGGGGGCTGCGGCAGCTCGAAATCTGCGTTGGGGAGGACATGTCCATTTCCATCGTGAATGGGAAGTTGCTCAAATACATTTGGCACTTGCAGGTACGTGTTTTCGGTTGGAAAAGTCCACTGTGAACCGTTATGATTCATGACTGCAGCACACTGATGAACTTGCACGCTCGTTCACGCATCTGCGATCACGGTGTGTGCCGTGTCGGCACATTCGAATCTCAGCTAGTGTTGCGCTCCTGTAAATATATAATAAAATACTTATGGTTTGCTTTATTTCGGTGGTGCTCTCACAGTCTGTCAATCATATATTGCTTGCACAAAATAAAATGGGCGAAATAAAATGTAATTGAGTGGGGCTTCTACACTATCACTGGTCCTGGTGCTTGCATGTCCGTTCCTGCGTGCGTTGTGTGTCACCGTTTGGAAATACACTGAGTCGCCGTTTTACTAGCTATGGTTGGTGTGTGATGCAACCCATGGATTCCTTCACAATATTAAACATTGACTGCACAGACAGCGGAAGATCTCAGCTAGAGAATGGACTCAGGAATGTGTTTTTTCGTTCATCGTGCTATCACGGCCTTCACTGTATAATTTTACATAGTGCACGTAGCGCTATAGTTATAATCCTAAAACTATTCATATTTGTATCTCTCCGTTGAACGAAAATAAAGAACGAGCGCCTCCAAAAGCACCTCGAAGAGCTCAAAGAGCAGTTTCCGCCACCCGAGGAGGCTCCCAGTCGTGAGAAGCGCATGACCATGATCGACACGGTTCTTGATCGTATCGAGGAGAGTTTTCTACATTTCGCCATCAAGGTTGGAGCGAGGAACTCCTGAGAAGTTACACCAGTTCTCTCAAGTCCGGTGTCGTGGTCAGGGAATTTTGCTATCGAACATTGATTCACTTCTCGTTTGCTACAAGACAATCCATCTCACACCACCAGGTATTCGTAATCGTTCCGACCCAAAGATGAATATTTATGCCACGCCGATTTCTTGTAGTACTCCATAATGATTATCCCGGTCTGACTGAACACCTCATCCTGTATCTCCGTGAAATCCACTGCGCAACACCAAATAAATAAGTACCACGACGAAACTTGAAAATCAAGAAAAGAGCCAATTCTCCTGCTCCCTGCAGAGCACCAAACTACCGTTAACTCCGTTGAGCATCTCCCATGCTACACGCCACTGCCTGTCGATATTTGCACGCGCTCTTGGAAAGCGATTGAGGACATGCCGGTTGCTGCATCAGAGTCTGCTACGATCCGAGCGTTATATTCTCGAACGCTTAGTATGAGGCGTGGTCCCAACACAAAGGACTGTATGACTTGCAAAAGCTGACAAAAACCAAGAAGAATCTCACCGTCCAGGGAAAATGCGTCCTATAGAAATGATGAACGGCGGTCGCATGCAGAGGTCAGTGAAAGATTGACATACCGCTAGGAGCGTTGGAGACAAACCAACAATGAGGTTGAAGCAAGACACAACAACAAAGCTAGAACATTCAATCTTTCAGCGGAAAAGGGAACCATATTCACAATATGAGCTCACCTCGCAAAGTAAAGCATGTGGGATTTTATCAACACCGTGAAACAGTCACCGATAATCCCTCCTGCCGAATAATTTCGCAGTTCCCGGAAGTGTTTTACAGCAATCCAGACTGCAAGACACAGCGCGAGGACCTCCCAGACAGTTCCGAGTATCCAAGTCATGGAATTCAGAAGTGGGGAATTGTCCGCATAGCCAATCGCGCACACATAGGTGCCAGAGAAAATGAGTTCCTCTGGTATTCATCAATGAGCGCCATGCACGGTTTTCATTCACAATTAAGTTTACCTCCTGAAGTATGCCTCATTATTATTACAACGACCGCTACGTCGAAAATGTTGATAGCCAAGCACACGACGACGAGAAATATCAGGATCTTGCTGGATCGTTGATACATGGCACCTAACCGAGCGATCATGATGACTGTAACATGATTCGGTCAAGTCAATATCATAGGTCTTGTAACTGCACAACTCACCACACAGCATTGGAAATGCTACAAAACTCGTCCAGTCATACACGAGGAATATAATCCGGCCTGAGGAGTCCGTTTAGTGATGGGCCTTGGGTGGATCACACACTACAAACAGACTCACATCTGTAGCAGTCATGATAGTAAACGAAGAAGCTGGTTAAGAATGACACTCACCCCTACAGGGTGTCGCGGTTAATTGAATGGGAATAGCAGGCATCGGTGTAGAAGACTCACTGCACCTGTCAACAAAATCGTCGGAACACCGACTGTATGCCACCAGTCAGAAGATACAAACACGGTAGATGTGAGAAGACATACGCAGTATGTCCATGCTGATTGTGAGAGATGGTCGATTAGCACAACACCAATTGCTAAGTCTTCTGAACATACAAAGCAAATAAAATTCCAATATAGCGCATCTAGGATATTGTCAAGTCAGTAGAAATTCGCAACAGGCAAGCTACGTACACTCAGATAGAGAACGGTCATCAGGGACCAACATTGTCTCTGTCGCAAATTAATATTGTTTTTCTGACATGGAACTGTGCTCACCCAAACCAGTTCGACCTACAAACAAATCTTAGCAAGATGGCTGCCCCGGTCATAGCATCAACATACCTCTTGTCCGAACGTAAGGGCTGGAAATACTTGTGAGAAATCGGTAATTATCTAATGTTATTATGCTCACCCCAATCATATACCAGTGCAACAAAGGAGGCAACTGCAAAACCACAATCAAGGTCAGATCGAGACATGAGCGCCGAAATCTGACTGCTCTTCACGAACCTATGAAATAGCTGCAAATACGGTAAGAGTTGATAAACGGCCAATAACTAGGGTCGTCCGAGACTATGGTCATACTGTTAGAGGATGGATGTGAGGGAGCGGGGAACTTGGTGGACATACAAGGATGATATTCGTGCTAGATATACTACCATGACCATCCAGTGCTTGGATGACCGAAATGAGATCGAGGGATGATATCCGTTCCTGCCAATGGATATGATATCATGTTGGAAGTGATGTAGCGGGCCTTGAATAAAATGGCGGTTCGATGCGAAACTTGAAAGTAATCGGCACCACAGGTTCCAGTACTAAATAGATCTCATATGATCGATTTTCCTTCTAATAATAGTGTCATCCATAAAATCAACAATGGTTCATTGCGTCGGCATGATGCCAGACCAGAAAAGTCAGCCGTTAGAAACAGTAGGGGAGATTCACCTACCAAGACTAGCAATACCTCCCAGAAAATACATATCCCAGCCTAGACCTTGCCTCCCTGTCGCTTCACGCACACCTTCTCGCTCTCTGCCTCCCTCGTCGGGCTATCCTATCATAAGGATGTCCAAAATGATCAACGTGGAATCTTCAATTTGCATCATGGAGTTGGTGCGGCGGTGACAAGCATCAGATTTCACGGTCAGGGGCATCCTAGTTAAAATTCAGTGATTGATATCTGATGGAGATACAAGCAATTCCTAGATCAAGACAGCACTGAGAGACGACATGGGCGAAAAGAAGAGTCGAACACATGGTTATGACCGCATGAAGCCCGACTTGTTGTTCTTTGTACTGTACATTTTGATTACGTGGATCTTGATGGTGACATTATTGATGAGCCTCAGCAGTGTCTATGATATCCCAGGGCTGAAGGGAGTAACACTCTGTCGGCACGCCATCAGAAAAGTCAGAGATTTTAAGAAGATAGCTCACTTGCCGACAGATGCCAACGCACACCCTCGACGCTTAATCTAATGAAAACCGATGCAAGACATGCCACCACAAATGTATCATGCAGTTGATGTGAATGGGGGTCGAGGTCTACTCATGTTGTTCGTAGGGTAGCCTGGGTAGGGACGTGGATTGGAACAACACCTGTGCTCAATCAGGCAATAAAATCCTGATTTACATAAAGATGTGTACATAAATCAAACAGTTGAACACCGCAAAAGATGAAAGAACGTAAAGAACTGTACTCGTTATTTCGTCATCTTGTTTTCGAGATAAGTTAGATTATTTGACGAATTTTACACTTGGCAGGTAAAAACCGTAAATGGGAATCTGTTGCGCCCGCCCTCGCTGACAAAGCGCGCCCTCCCGCCACGTTTGGTTTCCTGTCGTTTGGTTTGCCTCTTCGTCGTCCTTCAACGTTGGAACATCGATGGTCGAACAGTGTGGCGGCACCACGCAGTGGATATATAGTCTGTTTGAATGAAATAGTGAGCATGTTTCAGACCGAGAGACCTGAGTTGACTCACCAGTGATTTACTGGTGTTCCTAGACTGAAGCTTAGCGTTGTTAGCGCTGACGTGAAAGGTCCGCTGCGCCGGTGGGTCCTCAAATTTACTGATTTACGGATTTACAAACAGATTTACCGGGTTTACGACCGACGTCTGGTGGTTCCCGCACTTAACTTCGGCTTAATTCGACTTAACCACCCAAACCTCGACTTAGTTCAACTGTGAGTCCCTTCGCGTGGTTTTGAACCTCCGGAGGTTCGAACTGACCATCGGACTGACACATTTTCTGTTTAGACACACCCTCTCTGGTTTGCCAACCATGGCGAGGACCAAGCCAAGGTCACGAAAAGGACCCACCCCACACATCGCGGAGGCCAGCCCGAAGAAGCGAAGGAAGGGGGCAGAGCCCACTGGAAGTACCACCCTGCCGGCCATCGACAAAGTCAAGGAGAGGGCCAAGCAACAGCACAAACACGCGAAGAAGACACGGGAGAACTACAACGGGTATGTAGAACGAGGACAGACGTGGCTAAGGGCACATTTCTCCGCTGCCATGAACACGAAGGCTACTAGGGAGGCGAGCGTGGATTCGGAGACTGTTTCTATCAGTGCCGATGCCTACGAGGATCCCAAGTTCAGAGACGCACTCGAGAGGGTGCCCAACCAACATTCCGACAAGGCCCTAGCGCTGCTCATCTCCTTCAAGTGCTTCCACGAAAACTGTGGCCAGAGCACGTGCGACGGGACTTACTCCGCGTTCAAAAAATTCTGGGAGGAATCGTGAGTGCCATCCTCACGTCTCAGCAGCAAGTCTCATACTTACGATTTTCGATGGAATGTGCCATCCAGGGATGGAGATACCTACCGTGGAAGGTGGAATTTCAACGAGGCACGCCAGCGCTGGGAAGGAAACCCTGCATCGTCAGCCGAGGTCCAAGACATCATCAAGTCCGTCAAGCACAAGACGAGCAGCGAGGGTGGGGACAGAACCCACTCGATTGCAATGTCGAAAGCATTCATGGATCGAATCCTGGCCTGGACCCACAAACTCTGCCCACAGGAGACATTCCTTGGGCTCATGAGATCTGTCCTTGCAGCAGATACCACGAGGACCGGTGGCGTGGAACTCCTCACCGTGGAAGCACGTGCGTCGATCACGAAGATCACAATGTACCAAGCATTCAGTACCACTGCGTGGAACCTGTGGACGAGGTCAGCTTGCTTTTGGAAGACCGTTTTTGCTGAATTTTGAAGCAACCTAATGCCAGGTGCTTCGAGCTCGTCAAACTGAAACGGAAGGACTTGACCATCGATTTCATTGATGTCGGCATGACATTCACGAGATACCTGAATGGCGAGAAACTGTCATTGAGGGACCTCCACACTCACTTTGAGGTATTTTTGTCCAACCGAAAAGGCTGGCAGCGGAAGGTGGACAAGGGCACGAAGGAAGCAGACCTGCGAAGTGAGTGCGTTGTTTGGCAGTCGTCGTTCGAACTTTAACGTCCTGCTGTTCTCGCATCGTCCAGGCAACCGGTACAAGCTCTACCCACAGCCAGACATACCAGGCTGTGACTGCTTCTTCTGGCTCTTACTCTGGATTGCCTTTCTCGAAGTTGCCCACTACGGCCGAAAACTCGATCCCGAAGACTATATCTTTCCCGCGATGGGTGCGAATGGCATTGTCCATCGCGGCGAACCTATCTCGCATGACACCGTTCAAGCGTGGATTGACGAGGCAACCACGGAGGCTGGAATTCCACGAGGAGCGGGTGACAACTTCACGACCCACACCTATCGACGTGGCGGAGCACAGTGGTGTTGGATGTTCGCACCTGTTGGCCAGCGCTGGACTCTCGCCAGGGTGAGGTGGTGGGGCTCATGGGCAGAGAATGAGAATGTGAGTACGAGATGGTGACTACACCCTGTTGTTTCGCTGACTCGTACCTTTACACTTCTGAAAATGAACTAGCGCGACACGCTGATCCGGTATCTCCTCGATGAGCTCTCCATGTACGAAAATGACCACAGCGATGCGCTCTGTCCAACGCAATGTGAAGCTGATGCATCTCTGCTTGGCGAGCACGTACTCGTCAAGCCTGTGTGCATCCAAGACCTCCAGTCAATGCAGGAATGCATCTCAGCTGACGTGGCAGGTTTGCGGAGTGACCTATGCACCCTCGCAGCCGTGCTCTGCAAGGGACAACTGACTCATTCACCCGCCGAGTCGCCCAGCCACACAAATACTATGTGCGACTCAGACGTTCTGCACTCGCCAACTCTGCCACCGCACCCAGGTAACTCCCGTGCCACGTATCCATGCCTCAGTCCCCCCAACCCACCTGTCTCTCAGCCACGTCCTGCTGTTCCCTCCTCCATTCTCCCACAGCCATCTGCACTCACTCGACTTGGAATGGGCTCACACCTGCTACCTGAGAAGGGACTCGTCATCCCTGACATCCCGACACGATGCTCTGACGGGAGTCACATGCCCAGAGCTGCCTCTTGGAGACAGATCGTGAAACACTGGACGGATGGCGACCCTGAACGTGGCTTACTCGTTCCACTTCGAGATTGGCCGCCCAAGTGGATCCGCGGGAAGAACAAGAAGTTTTTCGCGATGAAGTACCACCAGCGCTCGGTGATCGCACTGGAGTTTCTCGACCGGTAAGCATTTTCACCAACTGCGCAGGCACGTGGAACTCTCACCCACACCATCACCATTTCCATGTGCATAGGTTCGATGGACGCGAGCCTGCATTTCTTGCTGCATATCCAGAGGCCACCGAGGGCCACACAGCCTTGCTCCGCGCAATCAACCATGCGAAGAGGGCACGCGGGGACATCATCCCTCGCAAGTGGTGAGTCGCCTCTTCTCACACGCTGCCCAGTGACCACACCAGCAATTTTCGAAGACCTCTTCTTTTTTCGATGTGAACCTTTCACGACGGACGGCTCGCATTCGAAGCTGTGTTTCCCTTTTTCGTTTCCAAGTTCTTCAAGCCGAGTCTCGTAGGTCCCATCATTCCGATAGTCTCACAAGCTTCGTCCCTACTACTGTACATCCACTACTACTAGCTTAGTTGCCTCTAATTTCCGGGTTCTAATGTTCAAGCCTTTCGTTCAGGACATCCCAGACTGCTCTCTCTTCTCCTCCGCCAGCATTCTTGGCCCCCAGCTCGTCCCTCGCCTTCGTTTTCTTCCCCCTCCCCCCCCCAAGCGGAGGAAAACGAACGGCGGGGCAGGCGGGGTCACGTGATCGCGCGTTGCCTTATATGGCGTGCCAAGGTGTAAATTTTTCGGACTAAGTTCTTGTTACACATTCAGCAGGCCATCATGACAAAGCAATCAAGTACTTCCCACATGCTTGTTGTAGTGGGCGCAGCCGATTTCTGAGTTGGTCTTTCCGGGGTGGAGCTTCTTCCGTATTCAGAAGACATAGCTTCCTCGATGGTCGGTGTCGCAAGGGAATCATGCTCATTAGGGTAAGCCGCCCGTATATTTTCTGGACTCTGTCACTGGTGATAGAAAATGAGAAGGACGATTGCACAGTACTCGCTGCTGTTTCTGCTTGGTCCTCTCTGTAGCAAAGCAACAATGTCGGTGAGTTCTCGTGTGTATGACAGGATTTCATGAGGCAGCGCTAATAAGCAGTTGTAGGCTCTATTTTTACCAAGCCACGCCGCTGCCTCGCTGCAGCTAGGTTTATCCTCATAATCATCATTTACTGCATTCCAATCATGCAATCTTCCGCGCACTGGACAAATCTTTGCCCATCAGAATCAAAACAACAACGTAACTTTTGATATTTGCTGTGTTTGGATTTAGCTCATGGCCAGGGGATAGGTTTGCATCACCGAACAGGTATTCCCGCTCAAACACATGATAAGCACCAGCTGCCAATCACTGCGTTTTGCCCTTGAATTGACAAAGTTTGACTAGACGGGTGAGACATATAAGGACAAGCTTAGTCACAGCCTCGAACTAAGCGGTCTGAACATTTCTTCGTCTCTCTATAGCTACTTCGCTAGCACCTATCTACTCGAACCCGTTGACTACATGAGCTTCCTATCTTGTAAATAGCCGACTCCTCCTTGGAATACATGACCAGTTTCATCAAAACGTGGCCCAGATAGCTGCACCGTGTGACCACCTGTATCGTACTGGTAAGGACAGACATCGGAGAGGCCGATCCGCACTTCTGGGCAAGGGTTTCCTGCAAAAACGCGTAAGTCCCTCACTTGCAAGCTTTAACTCTTACTACCAACATTCCCGAACGCTCAATGGCGAGAAACGAGGTAAATCTTGTATAATGAAATTTTTGACGTTGTTTTGCAAACGAAGGATCCTGGAAACGTGATATTCAACTCTTTTGCAGCTGCTGGCGTTCCATGTGTGCCGGGTTATCACGGCGTGAACCAAGACGCTGACCTATAATTCGCAGAAGCTGGGAAGATCGGTATGTACCCTCTTCCATGCTCTCCTCGGAACCTCCCCACTGAGTGCGTCATGTTACACAGGTTACCCAGTCTTGATCAAAACCATTCATGGTGGCGGTGGCAAGGGTATGCGTGTCGTCTCATCTCCATCTCAGTTCAAGGATGCTCTCGCTAGCGCACAGCGCGAATCCTTGAAAAGCTTTGGTGATGCAGATGTGCTCGTAGTGAAGTACATCGAACGTCCCAGACATGTTGAAGTGCAGGTATTTGCGGATACACTTGAGAACACCGTGAACACTACAAAGACCTTTTCCCAGCTGTCGAAAGTCCCTCAGCCGAGTTAATGGCACAAGCAGCGTTGTTTGTCGCACTACGAGAGTATTCAATTCAGTCTACAAGCCTTGTGACGCCATGGACGACGCTGACTTCAAGGCGCTTTGGCAGAGACGTTTATGAGCGTACTATTTCCATCCAGCCTGATGATGCATCCGCAGAGCCCACCCGAGTTTCTCTCAAATCCATCTCTTCAGGCCACTTCGACATAGCTGTTCACTCTGCCACACCAAAGACGTTCACAGGTGTCTCAGCATGCCTGGTTTCGCCTACGACCGTTTGCTATTATTTGCCCATCTCGTGATACCGCCAATGCCCCCACTACACTGCGATGCCCCTCCATCTTCTTCAACACAACACCTGTCTTCAAGTCCCAAAGACAAACTGTCTTGTCCCACGAGCCCGTAACCATTCTTCGTCTATCGGGGAAAACTGCGACTGCGCTTACGCGCTTCTCATGACCTTCAAAAGTTCGAAGGGGTGTGGTGCTTGGAACGAGCTTCGACATTTAACTGGAGGTTGGTAGTGTTGAGCACGGTCGAGGCGGACTTTGGAGCGTTTGTGAGCGTCTGTGTCTCAGCTGCAGAGGTGCGTGTATTGTGCGTTTTTACCTTACTTCAATACATTAATCTGCCTCGTTTCCATAGACGCCCAAGACACGAGCTGGTTCGCTTCCACAAATACTCCCTATTGTCACACTTGCTTTCCTCGACAGTATACCCTCCCGCTGCCTGAGCACTATATACATTTGTCTGACTCTTGTCTCCACATCTTCTAGCATGGGTGCCCTCGCATCATAGTGCGATTGCTGCTTCTTGGCGCTCGTATCTGGCCGACAACCATCTATCCCAGATGACCGCATCAATATTGTTGTTTTTGTTGTTGAGCAGTGGCTCCAACACATCACCGTGTAACTTGCCCGAACACTTGCATACACCTTGCTGCAATATGACCTCTTCATTTCGTCGACTCCCAGGATCTGCGTGTGCACCAAATGTAGCTGACTTTCTTTACCCTCACGCCTCAAACCAGCCACTCATTACTGGAGGTTGGTAGTGTTGAGCACTGTCACGCATGTCGCACCGTCGATGTATTTTAGAACAAGGGTTCACGCAGGGCGCGGCAGAGCTTATTTGACGCGTCGAGGGGGGTAGCATATATGCGCGCCACATGATTGTATTACTCTATCAAATCAGTATCTGTTTTGATCAGTATCACATGGCTTGTTTGACCTGGGTCTAGGTCACCTAAGACTGGCTAGCTGTCACATAAAACGGCCACAAAATCGAAGCAAAACAAAGGTTGTAGTGATGGACTTCATACATATAGTTTAGCCTTGGACTACATCACCTTGCCACAGCCAGCTAGATGTTTGAGCAAGTAAATTTGTTGTTATTTAGATAGTTCATAGTTATAGAGTTAGCCGTACATAGCTAATATGCGAGACGCTGGACTTGTCATGGGTTCAAGCTGATGCAACGTGACCATGTTCTCACATTTTTTCATACTACAAATACTCGCTGGCTACACCCAGTGAATAGCGGCTTTTTCATCCACAGCGACTCTTCTAGTGTGAGCGTAATCTCATGGCCCATTGTAAGCCCTCCAATACATGGACAATAGTACGAGCTCGAGTTAGTTGACACCATGAACTCTTATCAGAACTACGTCTAACCCATTGCTCTACCTGCATCGCCCTTCCGTTGTGCCTTTCATTTGTGGCGGGAGTTTCTGCCCTCAACACAAGTGCATATACTATCCAAGTCTACTAGTTGCAGAGCTGTAGATCGCGCCCTGAATGAGGAAGTCGATATTACCATTGGTAAGCTTATATGCGCGTTTCTTATCCTGGGCCGGGGAAAGGCGTCGACGATGGTGAGAATGTGGAGTCGGATAATATTGCGTGGTTGTTCAGGGCGTACATCTGCATCTGGAGAGCGACTTGCTCTTTAATCACTGAGTGGTTGGGGTCATAGTTGGACGAAGGCGCGGTGTGGATGGGATAGCCAAAGTAGGTGTTGTTGCGCCGAACGTGCGAGAATGGGTAGGGATAAGGCGAGCCTACTGGAGGTGCTGGGCTGGCTTGCATACTTTGCATGCTAGATATCAATGGCGACGGAGCAGCAGTTTGGCTGTGAGGTGTGGGCGGTATAGGTGCGACTGGACGAGGAGCTTGGGAGTAATGCGATATATAGGCAGCTGCGGCATCATCGCGATTCTGATCATGGCGGGTGTGGCCGTCCGTTGCTCTCATGTTGTCGTTGTTCTGCACCGCGATTGTCAGAAAATGTGCGGCTGTGCTGGCGCCGCAAATCATGCTCTGATACAGAGTCAACCTGCTCAGTCGTCAGCCTCACCCGAAGTGCTGGTCGGTTAGTAGATGGATAAGAATGTGACGAGAAACAGACATACTTTTGTCGTCCAGTGAAAGCTCGTTGTCAGATCTGTGCAATCACAAGAACATTAGTCGTCTTGGCAAATAGATTTGTGAGGAAGAGACGTACAATGTAGCATCAGGCAGGTGTGATTCAATGTGTGCTAGCGGCACAAAGAACAAGATGTCAGCTAAGTTGACTCAGCTAAGTCGGAGTCTGAGTCGCACGCCACATACCATACCTTCAAGTTGCTCGAACGTCCAATTTTATGGGGGCGACAAGCCACTGGGTTTGGAGAGACAGTTGTTTAAAATGTGGGATAGGACTTCAGTTGGCAAGTCCGAGTCATGGAAGCGTTTTTGGCTCCGTATCGTGTCAGTGAGGAAATAAGGCTCAGGAACGTAACCTCCCGGGAAAACAAGAATTCTGATGGTCCCCCCTGTGCATACCAGCTCTGGTTTCGTCCGAATACGGTCTCGTTTTGTATTCGAGTTGTCAATCGACCTAGGTAGACCATCGTTAGAGCCAGTTCGGCAACAGGATGTTGGCCGACATTTGGCAAATTGTCAGGTGAGAAGTTGTCGGCTTGATTTTTGCCGAAGGGCGGAGCGTGAATAGTATGGACGCATTTGGACCAACCCCCGATAGTACTGTACGCTGTTATCTACATAGGTGCCCGTCCTTGGATTCAGCGAGAGTCCATGCTGCAATGGATCCTCGATCGGAAGCAGGCCATAGTGCTAGAATGATACATCAAATATGGCTTATAAGCCTAAAAATGTGATACATCCAGTGGCTAGCCTATCCATTCAGTGGTGATATATCATCTGTCCATCCATATACACAGCCGCATTTTTCGCATTTTTGAAACTCAGCCATTTGTCATTCCAGCATATGTTATAACTGGCATCCAAAAGCAGAAATTCACAAAACATATCCCATTTTGGTCACCTCCTCATGTCAGGCTTCCCCACATTATTCCCACACTCCGCATTTTCGCATTTTTAGCCACCCATTGTGGGAATTACCCCACAACACCCAAAACATCATCCCAATATGGAATACCACATAATTATAATTATTCCCACACCCTCCCCACCTCACTGCAGCTTCACCACCACACCACAATAGGTCCTCCCTTGTATCTAAGTAGTAGTTCAGTATATATATGTATAATATTATATAATAGACCGCTTTTTTTGTCTATTTGTGTGCCTGCTCCTCCTCCAGGGCCTTTTCAAAATAGGGTAGGGTACAGAACATTTTCGCACTTTTGCCCCTTTGATAGGGGTGATTTCTATTATATTCAGAACATATTTATGAGCATATATGTGTAGATTCCCATCTTTATTTCACCCTCTGAAGTGTCCTACATCAATAGATATAGCACATATGCAATAAAACACAGAATATGCTCCCATTTAATTATTTCTAGGTGAACAGACTTGGAAAATTTATTCCCAGCATCTATTCAACAGTAGGAACAATGTATCAGGAGCCCAGGACCATAGGATAATCCCCTGTTGCATGGTGTGCCCCCCTCTCCTGGTGGTTTACCCCCTGTGAAAATTGTTCCTGTAGCACCGGACCTCAATTGAGGTAGGGGGTCTATTTCTATGTATATTTGAGGTAGTTCTATCATATAGCTGACCCAGGACACACATAGGATCCTGCTACAGGAACAAAAACATGGAAAATCACATTTTGACCCTTTTTTTTTTTAGTGTCCTATTCTTGCACACATAATACAACCTGTTCATATATCATTATTATAGTATATATACTTGCTCTTTGTGACAAGGATCAGCTCAAAATAGGCCAGGGGTTTGAGTTAGTGTGAATGCTTGCTATTTCTACTGATAAGGAGCCCATACTTTCAATACATCGAAATTTAATAATCAGACACCTGGAGTAGATGTCAAATATATTTAGTATCATAGGCCTAAATGTACAGAACAATCCAACAAGAATTGAGTGCTGAGGAAGTGAAATAGATAAGGAATTGAGTGTGGGAAAGTTAAAATACCCAAAACATCGAAAATGGTCAGTTGGGCAGTAGTTGGACTTTAATGCTGGGTCAACTCAGATATATACCACATTCCTTCTACCACCCTCTAACTTCAGGGCAGTATGTAGTATAGGTTCCTTCAGTAGTTTACAATGTATCCTACATATTTTTAATGAAATATTTGAGCTGTACCATATAGAAATGTAACTTTGTGTGAAAAGATGTCAATTGTCACTTTTTACACATATGTGATTTTACTTGTCATTCAGTCAGTCCTTGATGGATCTTTCTCAAACTTCAAATCTATCTTCAGGGCAATATATAGGATGTACCCCAGGTCTTTGATCACTTATCACAGGCTTTAATACTATGTAGGCTTCTTATCAGTAGAAATACCCCCTGTACATGAGATATCACATTTGCACCATATGTAGGGCTGATCCTTGGCATAAAACATATTTGTGAATGTACTACTGATCATGTATGAGCAGGCCTGGTCAGTTGTGCAAGTGTAAGGGACTTGAAAACATCAAAAGTGTCAAAAATGCGATTTTCTATGTTTTTGTTCCTGTAGCAGGATCCTATGTGTGTCCTGGGTCAGCTAGATGATAGAACTACTAAATATATACATAGAAATAGACCCCCTACCTCAATTGAGGTCCGGTCCTACAGCAAAAATTTTCACAGGGGGTAAACCACCAGGAGAGGGGGGCACACCATGCAACAGGGGATTATCCTATGGTCCTGGGCTCCTGATACATTGTTCCTACTGTTGAATAGATGCTGGGAATAAATTTTCCAAGTCTGTTCACCTAGAAATAATTAAATGGGAGCATATTCTGTGTTTTATTGCATATGTGCTATATCTATTGATGTAGGACACTTCAGAGGGTGAAATAAAGATGGGAATCTACTCATATATGCTCATAAATATGTTCTGAATATAATAGAACACACCCCTATCAAAGGGGCAAAAGTGCGAAAATGTTCTGTACCCTACCCTATTTTGAAAAGGCCCTGGAGGAGGAGCAGGCACACAAATAGACAAAAAAAGCGGTCTATTATATTATATTATACATATATATACCAAACTACTACTTATATATGAAGGGGGATCTATTGTGGTGTGGTGGTGAAGCTACAGTGAAGTGGGGAGGGTGTGGGAATAATTGATATTGTGGAGATTCCCAAAATGGGCGATGTTTTTGGTGTTGTGGGGTAATTCCCACACTGTGTGGCTGAAAAATGCGGAAATATGATGTGTGGGAATAGTGTGGGAAGGCCTGACATGAGGAGGTGACCAAAATGGGATATGTTTTGTGAATTTCTGCTTTTGGATGCCAGTTATAACATATGCTGGAATGACAAATGGCTGAGTTTCAAAAATGCGAAAAATGCGGCTGTGTATATGGATGGACAGATGATATATCACCACTGAATGGATAGGCTAGCCACTGGATGTATCACATTTTTGGGCTTATAAGCCAGTTTGATATATTCACCCAACACAATCAAGTGTCGGAAGTCGCGCATTTTGTGCCCCAACGCCCAGAAGCTCGCCGCCGCCTCGTCCAGTACTCTATCCTTCTAATCAGTATCTTAATCAGTGCTACAACTAGTGTCCTACAATCCATGTATTCGAAGGATCCAGAGCCGTACCATACCTCTGCTCTCTCGGGCGAAGCATGGGTCATGGAGTTATTGTCTGGTCACCCAGAACGAATACGGAGTGAACTTGGTGTGCACGCACACATTTTTGCAGCGCTTATCTCTGAACTTCGTGCCCTCGGACACACCAACTCGAAGTTTGTTTCACTAGAAGAACAACTTTCAATTTTCCTGTACACTGCTGTCACGGGCTTGTCTATCAGGCACGTAGGCGAACGATTTCAATGCTCGAACGATACAATTTCTCGGTAAGTTGTATGTACTAATAACTGTTGGTAGACTGATTGTATGTTCTATGTAGTTATTTTCACAAAATGCTCACCATCTTCTCGTCCTCCCCCTTCTATACAAAGTATGTTCAGTTGCCGGATGCCTCCGTCCCCAACAAAATCCGCTATAATCCCAAGTTTTGGCCGTTCTTCAAGGATGCCATTGGGGCCATTGACGGGAGCCACATCCATGCGTCACCTCGTGCATTCGAACGAGGCCCGTATCGAAACCGAAAAGGTTTTGTTTCCCAAAATTGCCTCTTCGCCTGCGACTTCGAGCTCAATTTCACATATGCCCTCACTGGCTGGGAGGGCTCAGCCACAGACACACGCGTCTACGAGGCTGCAGAGGGTCACGACCTTCACATTCCCGTAGGGAAATACTTCCTTGCAGATGCAGGTTTCCCTCTGCGGCCTGAACTACTCATTCCTTACCGTAACGTGCGCTACCACCTCGCAGAATGGGGCCGCGCAAGTGTTCGGTGAGTTTACTGGCCGTTATTCTTCCCGCTATGCACTGATTTCCCGCAGGCCAACTACCAAACAAGAATTATTCAACCTCCGTCACGCATCAGCTCGAAACGTCATCGAGGGAATATTTGGTGTCTTGAAACGACGTTTCCGAATCCTCCTTCTATCCCCATCATACGCTATGGGCATACAAGCTCAGATTCCAGCTGCATTGTGCAGCATTCACAATTTCATCCGCTTTCACGATCCCGCCGAAGGTAGACTGCCTGATGCAGACTATTTTCCTGATGATGCACCCGCTGCAAACTCAGAGGGCGCACCAGCAGAAAACCACGCGGCTGCGCACAACGATCTACATCTGATGCGCGACGGCATTGCTGAAGCAATGTGGGTGGACTATCAACACATCTTGCGGGAAAGACACGCTCTCCTCGAAGATGACGACAATGATGATCTATCAGACCAAGGTATCTCAGAGGATGAGGGTGGACTGGGCTAATTCTCACTAGTAGCACATAGTCGAACTTGTACAATATATCATGATATGAAACACGCGCAATACAGGATGTTGGATACTACATGTTAGTACGAAAAATGTGACAGGCGGTCATGGCTCTACACAGACGCAAGGAGTCCCAAGATAAATTCACGGCGCATCTCAAAGTCATCCTCCAGCTCAACGTAAGCAGTCAGATTGTTCTCACCTCCTGAATGAGTAAAGATCCGCAAGAGGTGGGCTCTCTGAGCGACTGACAGGTCTCCGTCTCCACTGCGCATAATTGCCAGGCCACGAGAAATCATGGTAACAACTGGAACAACAACTGGCGCTGGCGCTGGCTCAGAGGCCACAGTGTTTTTCTCGATAACGTCCGTGAGGCGATTAATAGTACCTTGCATGTTCATGATGGCGGCCGCTGGAGTAATCTTGGCAGCTATTTTGGCAGCGCTACTCATCGCCGCCGTCTGCGCGCTTTCATATGCCGACACTCGAGCCTTCTTGAAGGCTGGTGACTTGGATGATGGCACCAATGTTGGCAAAAGGGGGAGTGATGAGTGGTGTGATGAGTGGTGACTATCAGCGTAGCTGGACTTGGGGGTGGCATTGGAATTGTAGGATGACGTCTCCAGGGTGTCAAGCAGGGTATTGGTGCGCAAGCGTTTACTGGACTGGGAGCCAGCAGCAGTAGAAGAGGTCTTATGGAACAGGGCGCTAGGTGGCATCATCAAGTCAACGCTCATGTCCGGCACATCACTAAGACCAGCGGCGCTAGGACCAGCGGCACTAGGACCAGCAGTGCTAGGGTCTACATCCATATCGAGAAGGTCAAGGCCCCCATCAGCACCCTCGAGCACATTGTCTATATTGACGGAGGCGGGGGCTGCTGTGGCAGGGTGGAAAGACAGGCTATACTGTCATAATGATGCATCAAAACAGGCTAACTAGCAGATT